AATTTTTAATTTATGTTTATGATTTTCCAGCTAAATCTTCTTCATCATAACTTTCATTAGAATTATCAGATGATACAAAATTACTAAATTTAGAATTAGTTGTTATATGTGAGGATACTAAATAATTATTATTATCTAAACTGGTCTCTTAAGATTATTCAAACATATCTAAAAAACTAATACCTTTAGAACTACTACCATCTATTTTATCTGATTTTGTTACTTTTTTAGTAATTTTAGTATTGCCAAGCCATGATGTTGTAATACTTATCTTCGGAATAAATACTTCCTAACCAACAAAATATGCATTTGTATAATCTTCCTTTAATAATCTTTTTCCATCAGTTCCAATACTATCAGCTGGGTCTACAGTAGGAGCTATGTGTATCACATTCGAAACTAAAGGTTAAAGCAGTTCATTTGGAACTTCATATGGTACCCCAATTTATTATATAGATCCAGTTTATTAGTCAGTAACTACTGTGATTAATGGTACCTCATTTACATTTCCACATTCAGCTGTTGAAATTCCTTCACATAAATTTTGACCTCCAGTTGATGATGTTGCTTGTAATATCCTTAAGAGTTTCTTAATTTTTTATTCTATTTCTGTATTTTAATCAATCATCTCTTCATATTATCTAGTTCCTTCAGAATTTTATTAAAATGTTTAGACTTTCAAACCCGTAAGAATCAACAAACTTGAGGAATTTTTTTGATTTACATCATAGACAACTCTTTTGGTTTTCATTGAAATTTAAGTACAATTATAAAATCCGTTAGATTGATGTGATATACAAATTTCATCCACTTATGAGAACTCATCTCTTTGGAATTTTTTGAGCGTTGGGGCCGAACTTTTGTTTTAACTTAGATATATTCCTAAAAATATCCCAATACCAGATAACACAAAGAAAGATACACTTAAAGAAATCCATTTACATTTCGTTGTAAAGTATTTCTTGCCCTAGTTCTTTTGTTCACTTTATTAGATTTAAAAACCAGGACTGCTATCTGAAATTATTTCCTACTTTTCTTCTGAGTTGTTTTATTAATTCATTATTGTTAATATTATTTAATAAACTTACTTGCTTATAAATGCAGAAAATTAAAAGAATTATTTTTAAGAACTTCGAGAACAATCTTTCATGAAACATAAATAGAAACCATTTTTATTAATATAGTGTTTAATTATTTTATCTTTAATTAAATAATATAAATAATTATATTGTTTAATTATACAGCTATTGGGACAGAACCAATCCATCTTTGAATTGAAACTCCTTCATCAAAATTAAAAATTAAACAGGTTCTATCCTCCCCCAGATTCTTTTTAATCTCAATGAATAATTCTAATATATAGTTAATAACTTTTATCTTTCTTTCTTTTCTATTGATTCTCAATGAACAAAATATAATAATTTCTTAATCAAGATTCTTTCAACACTAAAAGCATGAGCATCTATTTTTTAGAATGGACTTTCTAAGCATTTCAATATAGATAGAACAATATAAACAATATTTATCAACTAGTCTAAAATAATAATTAGCATTTAAACTGTGATAAAGACTTCCAGTATTTTGGATAGTATAAAAATACCATCATATTTTTAAACCATTTGAGAATCATTAAAAATGTGGAGGAGAACAATTTAAATATTCCACTTTATTTCTTTTTCTCTAAGATGAATAATAAAGTCTTATTTGGTTATTTTTTATAATTTTAAGTCTTATAAACTATTTACTTTTCATACAGTTATTATGAGTCCTATAGAGATGTTTGATATCAAATAAAAAAACAATCAACAAAATTTCATTATCCTCTCCCATACGATATTAAATAGAAAGGCAAGAATTTCATGACTTTAAAAGGGCAAATATGAAATATTATATTCTATTAGTATAAAATAGCAAAATTTTTTAATTTCATTTTAGGATTTCAGAATAAGAATTTCTTTAATGTTATTAATTATTTTTAAATTCAATAATATTTAATGAATTAAAATTATAGTTCATATACTGATAATTAGTTGAAGGTAAAAATAATATAAGTGTAAATTTTTATCTATTTTGTCAACTTGTTGAATCTAAGATTAATTAAATTTCTGATAATGAATCAACAAATCAAACAGTAATTCTCTAATTAATCAAACAAAGAAGAGTTAATAGTTATGTAATGGTCTCCAAATATAACTCGTATCTATAAACATATATAATAATTCATTTAAAGCTTGGTGGCGGACCCAACTCTTATTTTGCCTGAATAATAAAACAAGTTTTAATATTGAGACAAAATAAAATAAGACAATTTAAATAAAAATATTTGAGAATTGAAATCTTAACTGTATTCTTAGATCCATTCAAAATTAAAGGAAAAATTTAAGGAGAAAACTAGTCTATAGATCTAATAGAAAAGAAATGAAAGGTTTTAGAGGACAATACTGGATTGTCAACAATATATATGTAATAAGGCAGGAAAATGTAAGAAGGGAAAGGTAAGTTATAAAGATGTATGATTTGGCAAAAAGGAATTTAAGGACAAAAATTCTAAAGATTCGAAATGCAACAAAATAGATAGGCTGAAGATGCGCAAAAATAAAATTGTAATTTTCAAAAAAAGAGGGATTATCATAGAAATAGAAATTTATATGGATGCCTTCTCTGTAAAAGAAGAAAAATATTAAGAAATTAAGAAGGAGACTGTTGTAAAATATGTCTAGAAGAAAACTAGCGGTAAAAGTTTGAAATAGTTAATCATATACAAACTTTTAAAAATTGGGAAATTAGAACCATCCAAGAAGAGTTGCGCCAAACCGAAAACGTTTTTTTATATTAATTACTGAAAAGTAAGATTAGCTTAAAAATGAAGTTGATGAAATTATGGTAAATCCTAGAAAGTAGATTCGTAACTATTGATATTAAATCTATATTAATAGGATTAAAATGCATAAGCAAATTAAGAGAAAATTAGGTAAATGTTGATTGATTTGATACAAAAACTTAAGGCCAATCAAATCTTAAATATTGTATATTGACCTATTTGAATTAATTTGTACCATAATTATTCACAAAAGTTTTTCATTTCAATATTTTGAATATTCAAGAGTTATAATTTTTAATTCAATCCAAATGTAAAAATATTCATCAGTTAATCATGCACCTATTTGTTATTTGTACAAAAAATGTAGGGCTTTTTAAAAGAGAATTCTAGATAATATCAAATATTGGAGAAAGATTTATATTAAATCATACCTATTAAAGATAATGTAGCAGGAATAATGACTACCTTAGTAAGAGAAAACTATGAGTAAATTTGGCTTATAATAAAATTTTTTTCAATAATAAATAGTATAATTTTGTAGAAATAGAATATTTCTTTTTATCACCATTAAATTGAAGAATTTTGAGAATAATAATTAAGAGATTCCCTTAAAATTGATTTTATATTTTGATAAAAGAAGATAAATTATTCGATTAAGGAAACAATTTTCGCTTCATTATAAACCTTTAAAATTTTTAACTTAGCATGAAAATGGACAAAAACTGAATTAGATTTGAGCAGCAGCATATAATTAACAGAGTTTAAGAAATTTATAAGATCTTTTATCAAATAAATAAGATCAAAATATAATATAATTTATTGTTAGAACTAACCTAACGATTGATTTATCTTTATTTTAATTAATGGTGTATGCATTTTCCTCTTGTGAAAATGATGATTAATTTATTGAAAGCCATGAAAGAATAAAAAGGTGGACTTATTCATTTTTTAACTTATATTTTTGATTTGATTCTTCCCAGAATTATAGTCATAACTTCTGGTAAATGGTTTACATTCTTATTCATTGATACTAAACTCTGGGATAATGGATAAACATCAATACTTCAGATTTAAAATATTTTTCTATCATTATAACAGCTTACCGATACTCATTAAATGTTACTTTCATTTAATTTACAATCAAAATTAAGAATTCAATAAAGATTTTTTTTTTGGATGAGAAGAAATCCATTTATTTATTCAATCACTATCAATTAACTCATAGGATAAATTAGTTTGCATACAATATTTATCTCCTTTTTTATTCTCATGATAGACAGACAATACTTAGAAGAATTGTATATCGTTCCATAATTCCAAAATAAAACTACAGCATATGTCAATTTAATTCTATGTATCTATATGATTTAGCTTCGACTTGGTAAACATCAAATACACTGAAATTATAAAATAATAATATTTTCACTTTTTGAATAAAAAGCGCTTAAGTATCTAAAAACATGGAGTAGGTTGGAATAATAATAAGTGTATTCAGAATATGAATTAAATCTCTTTGTTTAATTATTTTTTATTTATTAATGTTATTTACAATTGACTGCATAAATATAAAAAAAAGTAAAAAGGTTTTGTTGACAAACGAAGCAGAATTCCCAATTTTGGTTAGGATCATAGAAAACAATTCTTATACTGTTATTCCATCCTTTTCATTATTGAAATCAAAAGAAAGAAAAAATTTTTAGATACTCCATCGATTAAATACTAAACCTGACAGCCTTATAAAGATTGAAGCCATAGAATTTGATGAAACCAAACTTGACACGTTCGTAATTTGATTATACTCTAATTGTAAGTCTGTTCCACCGTTCTGGAACGAAAGAGTAAAAGGTTCCCTGAAGACACTATCTTAATCATTGCATCTTTCCGAGTCGAGCTCTTTTGTTTCTTATGATAGGCCTCCAGCAATGAATCAAACATTTCAGGATCAAAATCAAGTCTAAAATAATACTAATGTATGCTAAAATAAATTTCATACTAAGTGGCTTAAATAAAACAGCAGCATTCATGATAACTAAAGCGATTAATTTAACTCAAAGTAACACATAAACTCGTAATAATCAATACAAGTAATAGGATCAACCAAAATAGCAGAAGAAAACAAATTTCATCAATCATATTAATAAGAAAGGAAACATTCCATAAGTAGTTTCGAATCATATGGATACATATCAACAACACAAACCTAATAGTAAATCCTCAAAATGCCGAAAGATTTGAATAATTTTTTGGATCAAATTGACTCTTCGAATAGTCCGTTTCAAATTTAAACTCCCTCTCAATAGCAGTCTTAAACACATTCATATATAAACATTCCCGATAACGCTTAGTAGGATGTGAGTATCAGTGAAACTACTTCCATTTAGAGATTCGGGTATAGAAAATTATCATTCCTTTAACAAAGCAGATTATAATTCAATGAGAAACCTAAGTTGAGAGTTTCGTAAAGTTTTATCAATCATCCAAGATTTACAATCTAAAATTAATAAATTTTAAGTAAATTCAAGGAACTTGAGAATTAGTTATAAAAATAAATTGTAAATATTTGATAGAAAATATAGACCGGATTGCAAATAAACAAAGGAGTATTGCAATAAGAACTGAAAAAATTGGAATTCAAAGTTATGTTCAATAATAAAAATGGCAATTCTTACGACCAATAACATTACTTTATTTGGCATATACTTATAGCTAGTGTTCTATGTCTTATATTAGGAAGCTTTCTAAAAAAAATAATCCCTTAATTTTGATTTATATATCATTCAATAAGAATATTCTTGTATATTACATATTTATAATTTATTATTTACTCTTCTAGTTTTTATAACATTATTTATTAGATCAAATTAAACATATGAATATTTTAGAATAAATAATTAAATCTCAATTCAAGCCCTTTTACTTTTTCCCTCAAGCTTATTTTAGAGATTTATAGATGCTGTTCTTATACATAATAATGGAACAATGATCCATACGGGATTAGCAGCAACAAAAAATATCCAAAAATAAAATATATTTTCAAAAGTATAGGTGAAGCAACTTTATTGGCAAACATCTTTAAAGTTTCTAGACCATTCATTAGCAACAAAGAATATTGTTCCCATTATTTGGATAGCTGATGTAATTCCAATCAAGTAATTTGTTAAAATCTCGTTTCTTTGATATTTTATTCTTAAAGCAATCCAAACGCAAAGGGGACCCATAATAAAGAATTCGATTGCTGAAATAGTCATTAGTGTTGGCTCTTATAATGGATATCTCAAATCTAATTCGCTGTACTTTTGGAAAAGCCTCATGTAATAATAATAAGGGATTACCATTAATGTTGTTACCAATATCCAACTGTGCCATCTAAATATAAATGGATCCAAATGCCATTAAATATGAACCAATAATAATAACGGTTGGGCCCACTTTTCAAGAGAAATGAAAGAATAATAAATCCTCCTAATATAACATTATCTAAACTAAAATCCATTTTTAAAAATATTATTAAAAAATTAAATCATTTATTGTAATAATAATATGTCGAGATAAATAATTAAATAATTTATTACCAGATGGAATAATTATATTTACTTCTAAGAAATAAATGATATGTCATTTTTTATGGTTTTTAACTTTAATTTCCTCTCTTAATTATTCTATCAACTTTTCTTCTTCCAATTCATCTTCTTCATCTTCCTTTATTGGTAATTCATCAAACATATCTTCGTCATCTTTAATTGAAGATTAATCCATAGAATGATTAGTATGAGATTAAGTGAGTTATTTCTTTGGTTTGACTCTAACATTTCTTTTTAAGAATTCTTAATCTTTAATATCAGAAACTGCATTTAGCATTGATTTATTTAATAAATCTTATTAATCCTATAATAAAATTGTAAAAGTACTTTTGTAGACAGATTTACCAATTTTTCTCTTACTGAATCAATGATGGCTTGAAATCCTTAATTTTTTTATAACCCAAGCTTTTTCAATCCTCGAGACATCCAATTTCTAAGTTTGTTCTCTAATAGGCCGGCCACAGTAGCTTTTTCTTCTACTTCTTGAACTAATTTATCTTATTCGAATAAATCTTCCTTCTATCTATAAGTTTCAACTTAAAATTCTTTATCCATATCTGTATATTATTGTTTTAAATTTGAATATTAAGTTTGGAGCTCTTAATTTTCATTTTTTAATGCATTAATTTTCTTTTCATAATCAGATATTGAAATTAAAAGATGTGCATAAGTTTATTCTCTACCCAAAAACTTTTAAACAATATCATTTGCGTCAGTAATGCCTGTAGATGCTTTAATTTTTTAAAATGTCATTTCTAAATTTTGATATTAAGCGATTCCTCTTTGCATTTTGTTTTTTAAAAATGAATTGAGAAATTTATGTACCAAAAGCAACTTCCTCCATTTTTTAAGTGCACTATCTTTAATATCCTTTGCAGCCACTTCAGCTATTTCTTATTACCTTTTTATTCTATCATCTCTTTTTTATTCTATGTCTTATCTTTATCTTAAATCGTCCTTAAATCTTTGCAAATTCTTCTCTCTATTCTTATTTTGTTATTAGATCCCTTCAGTGACATCTTTAAGAGCCATTAAGGTCTTACTATATATTTCCTGAATTTGTTATGTTCTAAGAAATTGTATAAAAATCTTACTTATAAGTGCTGCTATGATATTATTAAAGAGCCAATTGTAAATGTCTTTCATATTAATTTGCTCTAAGTTAATAAATTAATTGATCTTTTTTCATTCTATTTAGCGTATGTTCAAAGATTTTCCTATCATATTAACTCTCACTTAACAGTTTATGTTAGCCTTCTAATTTTTGCTGTAATTCCTTCTCTTTTGCTAATAAGTTATTTTAAGTAGAATTATATTGATCAACCTGGATTGTCATTTAATCAATTTCCTTTCTCATATTCTCAATATCCTTTTCCTTCCTATTTCCAGTTATCTTCATCGAATCACAGCTTTTTTTTAATTCTGTAAGATTGACATGAACTTCATGTGCTTCGTTGACTTTCTACAATAACTAAGCATAAAACTTTTTAATCTTCAATTTATTTAGGATAATAATCATCATCAAAACCCAGCACTGATTAAAGATCATTTTTTTTTTATTAATTTATCAACAGACTTAATCACAGCTAACTTTCGATATTTTTCGTAATCACTCTTCTTACTTTATCTTGTATTAGATTTATTAGAATATAGACGTATCTATTTTAATCATATATGAATATATACATCTGGAAGTTCCATTGCAGACATCCTAATATATCAAATAATAAAAAAAATTATTTATTATAACTAAAATGATTCATATCCAATCTCATCATATCATTGAATTTTATTTATCAAATTCTCTAAACTCTTTTGATTACATCAACTTATCCAGAATTTTAAATTTAATTTTACATATTTTTAATTTTTTTTCTCAAATGGATAAGTCTGATACATCAGATAAATAGGACAAGATTAATAATATTAATTAGAATTCTCCAAGATTTCTTGAAGCATTAAGATAACAAAATTGGAAGTTAATTGATGTATAAAATATTTCAATTGAATAATTGAAACTAGAACCCAAATATTCACAATATGATAATAACATCTTATAACACATATGCATGTAATTACAGTAATAGAGAGATATTAAATCCAAGATTGTTTTGACAATTAGATAGAAGATCATAGAAGAAGAGATTAATAAAAGTGAATTAAGAAGAATATAAAAACAATAATCAGAGATTATTACTGTAGAAATGCAAGATCAAATGAAAAAGAAATAATTAAACCATATTAATTTGTAAATGGAGTATGACGTTTAATTAACTTAGCTGAATAAAATGTTAAGTGAAAAAGAATCTTCTTTTAAGGAACAAGAATTTAAATTATAAAATTAAACAATAGAGTAATAAAGAAAGAATCAACTTTTAAAAGAGCAAAGAGAATTTCATATTGAATATTAGGAGTTTTTAAGATAATAAAAAGCAAAAGAAGAAGAATATCAAAATAAGGTTAAAAGTGGATAATTCATGACAGAGGCATTGTATAAGAAAAAGCTTAAGGACTTCGATAGGTTGAAGTTTTAGAAAGAATAGCAAAAATAATAGATTAAGGAGGAAAGAGAAAAATAACAACAAGATAGAATGCAAATGATGGAAAAAGTTTATGAAGAAAAAATTAAAAAAATGGTTGCAAAGGAAATTATTCATTAAAAGTTAATTGCTAAAGAAAGAACACTTTATAACTAATAACTTTTAGAAAAATAAGAGAAACTTTAATAAAGAATCAATGAAAATAAGAAGAGATTATCCAAACAAAATTTGGATGAATAAAAAATGAATGAACGAAAATAAATAGAAGCCAAATCAAGATTGGAGGCTATGAAACAAGAAATTGAATTTTTAAACAAATAAAAGAAAAAAAAGTTTGAAAAAAAGTAAAAATAAAAAGAGATATATAAAAAAGTAAATGAGAGAATTTAAGAAGAGAAAAGATAATAGCTACTTGACAAATTTAAAGAAATTGAAGAAAAATTGGAGATCAACTAATTTTATAAAGATATGGACTTCCAAGATTTAGAAAAATTTAGAGAATTTACAGAAATTACTAGAATGAAAGTACTAAGATTGACTGATGATAAACTAATTGAAAAAACTATTTATATACAGTAAAGAATAAAGGCTTAAGAAGAAAAGGTTAAATAAGTGTTGCATTAATAAGAAATTGAAGAAAAAGATAAAAAATTTGAAAATATTATTAGAAAAATAGATTAAGAAGAAAATTTTATGATATAATAAAGAAAGAGAGAAGTAGAAAAAGAATTTATTATGAACAAAATTCAATAGAAAAAAAAGAAAAACGAATTACTGATTAAATAAAAATAAGAATTAGAATAAAATGGCAATAAAAATAGGAAAATGAACCTAATGAAAAAGGAAGAAATGAAGATTAAATTTAAAGAAGAGATGAATAAAGAGTTAAAATAAATATAAGAAAACTAATTGAAATAATAAAATGTAAATCAAGTCCTTCTGTTGAATATCAAAACAAAGGAAGAATTTGTTATGGAAGAAAAAATTAAATTAAATCGTGAAATGAATAAAGTAATTCTTATAATTTAAAATGAAGCTATTGGATGAAGAGCATGAGAAAGTATAAAAAAGAATGGAAATGATACAAAATGCCAAAGGAATCGAGGTAGACAAGTTGTAGGAATAGTTTAGAATTGAGAAAGAATAATTTGATCTATTGATTGAAAACAAAAAAACACTCTATCGGGAATTATCACGCGAGAAATTATAATTGAATTCATATTGATTTTGCTTTAATGAAAAGAAAATATATTTCGATTAAATGGAAAAAGTTTAATTTCTAAATATCTCAATTTATTTCTAATTCATCTAAGAATAAACTGATGATTTTTCTCTAAAAAAATTAAGAAATTTATGGGAATTAATTATTTTTTTTTGATCGAATAAGACAAAATTAAATATTAAAATACTCCTAATTGAATATTAAAATCCAATACACTCTTTATAATGGGAGAACTTTTGTTTTTGCACTAATATTCTTAAATTGCGTTAATAAATATTTAATTTTTTTTTATAAATTTAACACTAAATAAATTAAATAAAATGCAAGAACGATATAAAGAGGCCTTGCTCTCGCCTTAATTTAAAGATTAAGATTATGATCTCTCCACTTAAGAATGCCGAAAATTCTCAAGCATATGGGCTGCTGAATTCAACACTCCCGAAACAAAATACAGATCTACAATAGGAGCCAATAGAATTGATATATCCAAGGATGCAAATTTGTTGCATTTTAGGAATAGAACAGCAAAATTTGAGGACGAATAAAATCAATTATATATAGAAATACAGAATTTATATGATAAGAGATAGTTTGACATCCCAAATCTTGTGGAAACAAAAATCTTATATAAGACAGAAACTGTTCCAAACAGATTTATGTAAATTTATTCTAATAGATATTTAATCATAGCATCAAGAGAAAATAAAATGAACCTAAATAAAAATCGCAATTTAATGATTAAGTTTTGATAGAAAAAATGCACTAAGCTAATAAATAAAGTCTAAAGAATTTATTTTCTCATAAATTTTGAATATTAATTTAGATATATATTATAATCTTAATTGATCATAATAATAGTAATAATAATTTTCTATATTATACTTTCAATAGGTATTTTAAGTTTAATACTTAAATTATTATATGAAATATTTTCCTATTCAGAGAGAGGAAGATTGCATAAAGAAAATTTTGAGTCTAAACATTATAAAAGGATTTCTGGAAGGCTATAAAGCAAATTTCCTTCTCAGAGGGATTTTGTTATTGTTTTTAAAAATAGCATCGGTGAGCTTTGAATACATTCCACCATTCATCTTAACTTAGTATGAAGAATCAGCAGAAAAATACTTGCTAATAAGTTTTGCATTGTATGTTGATTGTAAGATATAATAATAATAGTTTTTACTTAGAAATATTATGGAGTATACTTGTCTGAATTTTAATATCTGGTGAATGCTAAATTGTCATAAAAGCTATTTTCTCAGTGTTTAAAAGTGCATAATTAAACAACCTTTTAAGGAATGCTAAAAGAATTAAGATAAGTTGAAAAAGCAATTCGTTCATTTTATGATTTAGTGGCAATAGCATTTGAATTACCGTTTGTATATCACTTGTTGAAGAATGAGAGTTTATTTGATTCAATCAAATATGGTGTTATTTTGAGTTTATTTGCTTTATTAGCGGCTTCTGTGGCTCAGATATATGCCTGGAGAATCTAATTTTTTTCAGATAAAAGACTGAGACTTACTTAAGATATGCTGTGTGGGATTAAAAGCATTAAATATTTATAATGGGAAAATGTTATGCTTAATCTAATTAGTAAGGTTAGGGAGTAAGAGTTTTTAGGGAATAAGGGAATACAATATGTTGATACTTTCGTAACTTTTTTTAGAAGAATGACCTAAATTGTATTGTTATTTGTAGCCTTTTATAAACTTTAAGAGTTGGAAAAAGAACAATTCTACACTATCTTGATATTTTTTGATAAATTAGTAAGCCCTATTAATTCATTTCCTTGGTGTTTCGGTGAATTTTTAGGGAGTATTTTTTCTGTAATAAAACTTTATGACTATTTTAAAAGTACAGAAGTTGAAGCTAAGCTTATTAAAGAAAACACTATTGAAGTGAGTTCAATAAAAAAAATTAGAATTTTCGATAGGGTAATCAACTTTATCAAGGGAGACTCATTTAATTAGGCAACATAAACAAGATTTTAGGTTACCTTTACATTTAAGGAAATTAAGAGAAATAAATTAACTTGTATAATAGGTCAAATAGGATCAGGAAAAAGCTTATTGCTTGAGTATTTTTGTGATGGATCTTATGTAAGTCAAAACTCATGGTTGTTTACTGGGACAGTAAGATAAAATATTTTATTCGGATAAAAATTTGATGAATAAAGATATTAATAATGTCTCAAATTAGCTGCTATAGACTTTGATGATAATAAATAAGTAGGTTTTAATGGAACTAATTTAAGTGGTGGATAAAAATAAAGGGTAACATTTTGTAGAGCATTGTATTACGAAGCTTAATCATATTATTTTGATGATATATTTTCAGCAGTTGATGAAAATGTGGCTGATCACATGTTCAAATCAATTACTACTTATTTAAAAGGGAAGACTGTAGTTTTAGTATTAAACTAACTCTAATATTTATAATATGTTGACTTTGTTATCAAGATTGAAAATAATATAGCTACACTTGAAGAAATGCAAAATTTTCAAGTTGGCAGTGTTCATTTTACTCCTAAACCGATCACAGATGCAATCGAACCTGCCTAACCTGAAAAAGAGATTGATTAAGAAACTGAGTAAAATTTAAAAGAAAATTATCAATTTTATATAAATGCATTAGGTTTGAAGACTCTTTTATTTTTTGTTGTAAGTTCTCTACTTCATTAAATCATGAAAGGGGGATTTGAATTATGGATTCATAATAATATTTCTAATTTAAAGAATTTCGACAAATCGGAATTTTTAAATGTATTTTTGATTTTATCAGGATTGACTTTGTTGAGAGGATTCAGCTATTCATATGCAACAATAATATCCGCCAAAAATATATTTGATTTATTGATGTAGAAATTCATACATCTACCTACAAAATTTTATGATATTTTTTCAAGTTCCTTTTATATCAGGAGATTATTTGATGATATGAATGAAATTGATGATCTCCCATTAAATTATTTTTTCACTGTCTCTCTAGAATTTTTGGGTTTGTTCATCCTTATTAGTTCTATGCAAATTGAAATAATTCCTTATGTTATTATAAGTGGTTATTTATTAATTAAAAATTAAATGACACACAGAAAATTTATAGTGTCAAGATAAGTTGAAATTAATAGGTACTTTGAAACATAAGACTTTGATTCCTTCATTATAGAGACAGAAAAAGGACACAAATTTATTAAATACTTTAAATAAGAAAATAAAATCCAATCTTAATTTTAAAAGATTCTTCTATATAAATATGCTAATGCTCTATCTTAAAGTTAATTAGAATACACTCTTAAATTACGTAATTTTATTGTAGAGTCTACAGTTTTGGTGCTATTAATTATCACAGGAAATAAATTAAGCTATACTTATGCATATTTACTATTTGGTAATCAGTTTTTATCTAAATCTGTTTCAAGTTGGAGAAGGATTACTAAAGTCAGCCAATCATTATAAAGAATTAAATAAATTGTAAGTTTTCCTGAAGAATAAAAAGCATCAATTCAAGAATACAAGGATAATTTAATTATTTATGATAATGTTTGGCTTAGTTATGGAATGGCAAAGGGTTTGGCATCTGCAGATTATGCTCTTAAAGGGGTCTCATTTCAGATTTCTAAAGGATAGAAGGTAGCTTTTTGTGGCAGAACAGGATCAGGTAAATCAAGTCTTTTTAATTTACTTGTCTCTTTGTACGAATTTTAAAAAGGCTAAATCTACTTTTTTGGAAATCCAATCTCCAATTATGGAACAACTTAGTTGAGATCCACTATGAGTGTAATTCCTTAGCAAGGAGTTATATTGCCAGGATCAATAAGATAGAACATAGATCCTAATTAATAATTTAGTAATTAAGAGATTGAAGATATATTCAAAGAATTAGAATTTTAAATCGACCTGAATAAGGATACTTAAAATTTATCAAATGGGGAGAAACAAATTGTCAATTTTGTACAGTCTATTTTATTGAATAGGGGCATCATTTTGATGGATGAAGCTACTTCAAATATGGACATATAAACTAGTATTATAAATAAATTATTATTTTAGACAATAAAATTATGAAAAAGTTATTTAATTTTGTATAAAATAAAACCTTACTCCTTATTTCCCATAGACTTGAAAACCTTTAATATTTTGATAAGGTGTATGTGATGGGAGAAGGATAAATATAAGCGTGCGGAACTTATGAAGAACTATTAAATAATGACAAATTCCTAGAACTCAAGAGCATTTTATGAAATACATATTATTCATTAGTATTTATCTTTGAAAAACCTAGTTGGAATTCCTTTTTCTGGGTTAATCTAATTTATATTTAATTTTTACTTTATAATACAATTTTTTACAAAAATCTTCTAATTAAGAGAAGGGAATTGAAATTGCTCCGAATCCAATGTAATTTGCAACATTATTTAAAGCACTAGCAGGTAAGGCTGCTAATTATAATACTGCTGATGTGACTCCACACGTGAAATCATAACTTCCCTCAATTAAACCATACAACTACAATATCATATTATTTATTACAAAGCCATTGTTTGAAACAAAGGGTTTACTAAACATATTAATTATGCCATCAGTAAATGAACTAGCAACTTTAGTTATATCAAGAGTACTGTATGCTTAAAATATGATCCTAAAAGTAGATAATTATTAACTAATTAAAAACTAAATGAATTCTTATTTTGAGGTTGAATTTTACTAATAAAAGTGCAATATCTGATTAGTTGCTAAAATTAAATTATTGAATGATCCAAGTTTTAAGACTTGAGTTTTAAATCCCTCGGCATCTAAACCTTCTGAGTCAAATGAAACTATAAATTATATTGGAAATAATTCAACTTGTAAATTAAAAGGCTCTCCTTATTTTATAATTTCAAAAGATTCATCATCCTCTTCATTATTATTGGTAAATATACTATTTTCTTCCTTCTCTTTTTTTGAGAAGGATTTTAGTAATATTTGAAATTAATATCCCGATAAACATATCCTTACAGGTTTTAATTATAATTTGAATACAAGGCTATTTTGATCAAATTACATTAATAAATCTAAAAATGGACTCTCCTTTATTAAATCATTTTTGGCTTCTTCAAATTCATTTAAGTCTTCCTCATCAAGCATATACTTAAATTTACTCTGCTAATGCAAATCTAATATATAAGCTCTACCTAATTTCAAATGACAACACTTATCTCCCAATTTGCATTAAATATAATGTATGTTTAATTCAAATGAATGAGATTCAGTAGTTAGATTTAATTAATCACAGAATATTTCGAAAATTGTTGCTTTCATTTCAATTTTATCTATTTTCTCATAATTTTTCTTTTCATTAACCTAATCCTTTTTAAAATCTTTAGCTATGTGTTCAAAATGATCTATAAGATTGACCACTATCTATTTAGAAATATGGAAAAATTGAATAGAATTGATTTTCATAACTTTATTATTTTGTAATTCAATTTTTTGAATCTGCCCTATTTTCTAGTATTGATTTAAATTTATTAATTCATCATTTCGAATAGCAGTATTATTATTTCGAAAATAATGCTAAATTTCTTCAATTTGAATTAAGTTATCCGTAATAAGTGTGTTATTAATTATGAAAATTGATCTTGTCCAAGATGGATATTATTCATTTGAGTATCTTAATTTCGCTTGTCTTTTTTTCTATAGGATAACTTCTTCATTGTAAAAAGGCAAAGCATCAATTATTATTTATTTAAAGGAAGTTAAAATTTATTTTTTTTCACCTTCTGGTTATTAAGGAGGATTCATCAATTATACTGACTTTATTAACCTTATTATACAGGAACTTAATATTTAAAAATTGAAATCTAGTAAGTTTAGTTTGAGAGCTGAGAATTCAAGTTTGATTCGATTTTATTTCATTATTAGACTGAATACCCATTTATCTTAAACTTAATTCTGCAGCAATAATAAAGGATTATTTTTAAAAGAAGCATTTAAATCTTCTAATAATATAAAATGGTAATCAATAGTGAAATAATATTTGAATTGCTTGAAACAAAAAATTAGAGTATCAAATATCGTAGCTTCAATCGTTTTGATTTTAGTGGAAAAATAAATATTTTATTGTTTTTTTTAATTGTTTTATTATTATTTCTAATTACCATTGAATACTTAGTTTAACTAAGCAATCATTGTATAGACATTATCTAATTAATCATGTTTTAAATAGACATTTTCCAATTCCAATTCAAAATGTAGCGCTTACCTTTATTTACATTCTTTCAAGTATTTAAGTATTTATGGTTTATTTTATTCGTCCAATTACTTTAATCTTTCAGTTGAAATTTTGAGTAATGATCCAAAATAACCACTCAAATTGTTTATTAATATTTAATTATCTACTCCAGAAATCCTTGGACATCCAAATTTGAATTAATTCTTATATTAATATGATGAGGATTGCTGTTTATCATCTTCTGGAGTGGTTATGAAAAAATCAAAAAATTTTAATTCCACATAATCTTCATTTCCAGGTTGTAGAGTACTACTAATAATTGACTAGGATTCATTAACATGATAATAGGCAGAAAATTTCGTTTTAGATAGTTAGAATTTGCCCTTTGATATATTTTGATTTTTAGTTTTAGGCTAGTTATCATTGATAATATCAACAATGCTCATGATAAATTTAAGTTAATTTTAGTCTAAGATCAAGTTAAAAGGTGCCATATCCATATTAATGGTTTAATCCATAATTTCTAGTTTAATTGGACTAACAAATTGAATTTAGGATACAAATATAGTTGGTTCTTCAATTAGAATTTCGCAACCATCTTTAAATAAATCCTAACCAGAGTACTAATCTTTTCCTGTTTTCAAGATAATCTTGCATAAACACTTTTAATCTCCAATGATATCAAAATCTTATTCCACTTACTAAACTGAATCTCTTATGCTTTTGAATCTAGGGTCCAACTTTTATAACTCATAAATGAACGCAGAATTAACAAATATATTTAATTTATTGTTATTTTTTATTGCTCTAATATCATATAATGAAATTGAGTAATAGTTTTCTAAATTAACCTTAAAGTATTGCTATTAATAATTAAATTCTTGATCAACCTCAGTAGAGGTTATATACAGAATTAAACCTTTGAATGAAAAGTTCAAAAATTCTTATTATTCATTCATTTGTTTAACTGAAGAACAGAAATCTTAAATTTTAGTGTCTGAAATATCCTAAACAATAATTCTGCTCTCTTCAATTTCTTATATGAATGTATACTTCAAATTATATGATTTCTTAAAGTACTCTTCTAACATATATTTGTTTAAATTTATAGTTTTTCTAAGTTATTCTGATTATTAATTATGAAGATTTCCTGTCCTTAAGTCATTGGAGCTTAATTTTAAAACTTCATTTAGAACAGTTTATCTTTATTCCAAAACTTATGCACTCTAAGCAAATAATGAAGATATTTAATCGATTTAACTTAAGGAAGCAACTATTTGAAGTTATTCAGCTTAAATTTTTATTTTTGGTTCTGTATTTTAAGTTAAAAAGACATCTAATTTTACAGCATTGTTTATTTAACCAATTTACTTATTTTCATCGAGATATAGTTTTATTTAATCAACAAATGCTAAAAAAAGAATTTAATTGCTATTTTAAGGTTTTTACATAGTGCAATCGATTTTATTGATTCGAAAGGATATATTAGATTCTGTATCTGGTTTTATTTTGCCTGTAAATTTTACCCTTAAATTTTAAATATCTATTTTAATATTCCCAAAAATGCTGTCAATTATTCTTAAAATCTAAACAATTTTAGATGAAGGTTATTTTTGTTCATTTTATTGAGCTGGTGGAGTTATTATTTCTTCTTAAAAAAAGGTGTCGTCATTTTAATTCTAAATTGAAAAATAATTATTACTAAGAATTCATTTTTTAGTTGCTCTATTTACTTTTGAATACTTTTGTTCATTATATCTTCAACTTCTAATGATTCTAAAGCTTCTTCTTATTTAATTTAAGTATTTAAATCCAAGGTTAAGTCAACATCACTCACTAGCAATTACAATTTTTCAAGCTTTATAAGTTCTATTTTTAAAGAAAAATAAAATACTAATGGAAAATTCTTTTAAGGTGTTTGTTTTCATCATTCCATTTAAATATTTTGTGTTTAATTTAACATTTGTAATTCCTTTATTTAAATCTTTAATAGCAATTTTCTATTCAAAAATGTTTTCAAAATTATAGTCTATGATGGGTTGTAATGTTTTTTCAATAATTTTTGACTTTGCTTTGGTTGCTAGTCCTCCAAAGAAAGAAAAAATGGGTTCAAACATTTAATATATGTAAAAATAATTATATATTTTTGAATATTTGTATTTCTTTACAAATATTCAGCAATATAGATTTGAATCTCTAAAACTATTACCTAAAAAGATTTTAATACTAATATTTATAGAATACTCCTATTTTCTATTAGTTTAAATGATAAATAATGCTTATCGTATGTAAACTGAAATATTGTAAATTCATCATATTTTTAATATATATTTTATTATTATATATATTTGATTTATAAATAACATTTGGAATTATGGATTATTTTAAGAGTTTGGAAATTCCAAAAAGTCCTTTAAAAATAAAAAAACATATGTTTTTATAAATATATTTGATGTTTATTCATATACCAGCGAAAGACTTGTACGTTAGCGAACCTGATCCTCGCTATTTTGGGAACCCCAAAAACGATGATCCCAAGGTTAATTGGTTAAAGAGTAGATTCCACTTTAGTTTTGCAGGTATTAATTACAAATATTCAAGAATACCGTGATCCTTAGAATTAATAATTCGGTGTATTGAGAGTAATGAATGATGACTTAGTCTAACCTAACAGAGGATTTGGAGAGCATCCTCATTCAAACATGGAAATTGTTAGCTACATTGTTTAAGGAGAACTAACACATGGGGATTCAAAAGGAAATAAGGAATCACTCGGAAGAGGCTCAGCATAATATATGAGTGCAGGCTCAGGAGTATACCACTCTGAATTCAATTTATCAAAAAATGAAGTTTGCAGATTCATATAAATTTGGATTATGCCAAGACAAACTCATACAAAAGTTTAATACAAGAGTTATAGAGGCTAGGATGGCTAAGCTGATAATAAGTGGTTCCATTTAGTAGGAGATTTGTAATAAAATTCTTAAGCTCCTGCTAAAATTAATCAAGATGCTAATATCTGGACAAACGAATTTACAACAGAATAAAGATTTGAAGTATTACTATATCAATAAATTATAGATCAAGGAAGGCAGGTAAGCTTACCTTCTATGTGTTGAAGGTTCTTTTGAATTGAATGTTGATGTATGTTTACCTTTGCAAGATGTCAAAAGCTAATTAGTAAATTAGCATGATGGAGTGAAGGTATTCAAAAGCATCATTCTCAAACCAAAAGGCAAAGCTCATGTCTTATTGATTGAGATGAATAAGTGATTAACATCACTTGGTGATATATATATATATATAAGTATCAAATTATAAATATTTCATTTTATATCATTTTACTTTTCTTCTCCTATAAAATAAAACATATGCTGCATCTGTGACTGGACTTGATCTTAACTCTTTCACTTGAGAATCATTAAAATCAAACCAAGCATTATACATTGGATTCTTGGCATAGGCAGTGTAATGCCCTCCTCCCATCCCTCCATAGTGATTGGAAACTGCGAATAAATCATAAACATATGGTTATTGAGATTCCTAAATTTTGGATCATAATAATACCTTTTCTAAAATAAATGGTTATATATTGAAGTTTTCAACAGGGAAATCTACATATTACACTATCTTAGTCACACCTCCAACTGAATATGTGCCATAAAATTAAGTGACTCTTGAGGATCGAAATCTTTTTAGATGCATAATCATAATTTAGGGTGCCTGCATCAGATGATATATATAATACCTTATATATTTGCATTTGCTTCTTTGCTTTCTAATGTTTTTTGCATTTAGAACAATACCACTCATTCCCAGCTCCTAAGACTTCTTCTGAACAAAATTGATTTAAACAATCGTTCAAAGTGATTGCTTACATAGAACTTTGATTAGGAAGTTAGAGTGTAAATTCTGCATCAACACATCTATTGAGTTTTAAAAGTTCGGCACGCAATTTAAATTATGCGTTTAGAATTATTGGCTTTCCATTTCCTTCTATTTATTTTTCTGTAAATGGTAAAAGTTTGTTATTATCATCTTGGAGTTAATATATACTTTCTTTTAATTTTAATAACTCCTAATATTCTTCAAATTCATCTTTGTAAATGCATTTTTTTATATTCTTTAAGAACTGTTCAAATTCCTTGTTCAAATTTAAATTAGAAGTGATGTCACTAATCTATAATATATGAGTTCTAAAGATCTAATATATTATCAGGTGTAGTTCTTAATATGTTGTTTGACTATCGACATAACAAATCCTTGTAAAAGATATTCTATAATTTTATTGATTCAGTCTGTTCTCTTCGAATTTTCTAACATTACAAAGTACTTAATGATACGGGGATTTGATTTTGGAATCATATTTAGAGATTGGTTTATCTATTTTTTCATCAAATTCCTCATATAAAAATGTTGTGGCTTAAGACTCTTTAATTTACTTGATGGTTTATTCTGATGAAATTCCGTTGTCGATTATAGCTGAATCTTGTAATGAATAGAATTTTAGATATTCAGCCTTGATATTCTTAAGTTTTGAAATAATTTCTATTATTTCACCAGCTGTCTATGTTGATTACAAGGTTTGTTAAATTTTCAGTGGTGTTTACTTAGAATCTCTGAAAATTAAATAAAATTGGAATTAAACAAATTCTTTACTTGGAATAGGCAATGAAATTGTAACAAAAGGATCAAACGTAATGGACACAAAATTACACTCAGGACATTCTACTCTGGATTTAAATTATCCTGTAAAGAGGTCAGTAATTTTAGAATCATTTCTTTTTTTATGATTATCCCAATAGAGATCTGCAAATTCCTAATCACTTTAACCCTTGTATTCTACATCTGGAATGTAAGGCTTCTTTTTAATTCTATTCAAGTCTTCGTGCAAACCATCTAATAAATATGAGAGTAGTTCCTGAGAGTCCTATTAACTATAACCATTAAATTGAGGAGCTTGTTATCCAATTATCTTTTTAACATTCCAAGGTGCTACACTGGTTGATGTTGATTCATAAAGTTCTTTCAATAATTCAGCATAATTGCATGCTAATCGCCCTCCTGTGCCTAAGGGATTCTTCTCATTTAAATCTTAGAGAAAAGTATTGTATATCATATATTCAGTCAATTCAGTGACATTACTCAAACATTGCAAACTCGAATTCATAAAACAAGTATTTCCTAAATTACTTAATCCGCAGATTCCTTTGGCTGAATTTTTCACTATTTTAGCTGGGGGTTTCACTTTATATTTCTTAGCTAATTGATTGATTAAGGAATCCTTTTCAATGATTTCTAAATAGAAATTTAATATTACTTTTACAAATATCTTAATGGTTCTTTAAATCTTGAGCTTGACAAGTTTCATTACAATATTTAACACTTCTACATTCACATAAATAGAGTTGAGAATCCTGATTACCACAACTCATGCATTTATTAGGAATTGATATTGTTTATAAATTCTCTTTTTTTTCTAATCTATATTAGTCTTACTCTAATTCTAAAAGTAACACTTCCTCAGGTCCTATCTCAGCTTACTAATGTAATAATTTAGAATACTTCTAATATGTTATCTCTACTTATTTTTGTACCAACAATCAACTAAATTTTCATTAATTCCTCTTAGTTGGCTTCTTTAGGAATCTTCCAAATATTTCTGACTTTTTAATTAGTTATCCTATTTACTTTATTAACAAGGTCTTCCATTCTTTCGTTTCCATTAAATTATAAATTTATTATCCTTTATTATACTTATGGGAATAATTAGCATCTAACTTGAAATAAGTGGGTTTCAACTGCATGTCTACTTCTACATAAGATGATTCTTTTTATTTCAACTCCTCCAAATAATGCATATAATAATCTCCATATCTAACTGCTTACAAATATGAAATTCTAATTCTCTCTAATAGATTTGTTTAAAGCATAATTGGAATAGCTTTTTGCTTTTAATGGATCCTTCTCAAATTATGTTTATATATCAATTAAATCATCATTATATATTGGACAGATATGAATGTCACTATTATTTTGAGTTGAATTTGATATTCTTTCCAATTCTTCATATGTTTATTGATTACAGTATTATTTAAATATTTCTACAAATGTTTCATCTTCCATTGAGTTCTTTATATAATATGATGAGATTATACATTCTTTTTAGCTATGAAGGACTTCAATTGATCTGGGTTTTCCTTTGTTAATTCATAATATTTAGTGTATAAACTAAATCGTGCTATCCATTGAGAACTAACTAAATAAGCAGGATAACCCTCTTATTCAAAATATCGATCCTATTCCTATTTTATTAATAATTATTATAATTTTTTTGCTAAAGCAGCCTTCTCTTCATCAGTATACATTTAAAATTATTTCAATTTATTATCAACATAATCTTACAAATAGGATTTCTTCTACTATAAAATACTCTCTAATTAAGCCCACGTTTTTTTATTCTTGCTCTTTGATATTTAATTTAAAACAATCTCTATTTTGGCAATGCATTCTTATAACTGATTCATTTTTTATAAGGATTGTATCGATATCCATTCTAATTCTAATTTGAGCCATTCTACCTAATCGAATTCTTGTGAATCTATTGATGGAGTCTCTTGAGAACATCCGAAGTAAGAGATCAAATGACTTAAATTAAAATCATTTAATTTATAGCTGCAAAGTGCTAATAGCAATAATGCTAACGAACTGGTATCTGTTAAATATTTAATAGAAATTTACTATCCGTCTTTTTTTCCTGAACGTTTTGTAAACTTAATTGTGTCCTTAGAGATTATTTCAATTATTAACACACCTCTACTAGATTCTTAATTTAATTTAGTTTGTACTTGTTTACCCTCCAGTCTTTCATATGCTCTCTTTATTACTCTTTCATTGCAATTATTGATGGAATCCAATAAGTATAATGGACATATCATTCTGATATTAACTTAAATATATAAATATTTATCATATAAAATTATTTATTTATTCATCTTTCTCCTCTTTTTCTTCATTAGGTGGCATAGATCATCAAAATTGCTTTGAAATAATTATAATTCTGCATTTCGCCTTAATCTTATTCTTATCTTTCTTATTGATTTAACCGTTTCAATCTTTATGTTTCCTTCTCTTTATCTAAAACTAAATTTGGTGTAATTTGACTTTATTTTATTACTATATTATATTGCTCTAACCTTAGTTCAGTTTCCCATAATATATTCAATCCTAACATGACTTTTCTTAATTATGGATTTAGATATAATTTATATATTTAAAGAAACAATCATCTCCATCATCCTTATCCTTCATCAACTATGAGATTTTAATCTAATGATTTCACAAATACAATCTATCTTTTATATTTTATTTATATTTTACAATTTTTTTCTAATAACACTCAAATCATCAAACAATTTTCTCTTTTATTTTTATTGGCAGTTGGAAAATTGGTTCTATCTTTAAAATTATCATGAGAATAATTTAAACAATTAGGAAGGATCTTTAAATTGATAATTACAATTTATTATCAGAATCCTTCGATATATTTTAATTATCAGACTAATTTATTCACTTTCTATTAATTTTTGATCAGTAATTTGCGTTCTACTAATTATTTAATTAATTTTTCTTATTTTATTTTATATTCTTCTTTAATTAACTGTCTCTCTAACTCTATTTCAAAGCATTTTTGCAGCTTCTACAATATTACATAGATCAAATAAAATTGATAAATCTTTACTTATTCTTCCTTATCAAATTATGTTCTGTATATTTATTCAATTTCGATCATGTATTTTAAAGAGATATGACAGGTATCCACTTTTTGTTGAAAAGTAATTATAAAGTGTGAATATCTATGTAAATTTATTATTTATTATTTTCGGTTATATTATTCTCTTTACCTCTATCATGTTAAAAGAATATCTGAATCTCAAATAGAGTTTTATTCATTATTATGAATCTAGTTTTCAAAATATCTTGTGGCAATTTGTTAATTGATTTTGGTATCAGAATAATATAAATACATTAATTAAATATACAGAGAGAATTCATTATTATGTAGAGGACATAATCAAATGTTTCTATTTTGAATGCATGGTTCAATTTGGAGAAGGCTTTGATTGATGCTTAAGTGCCTGAAAATGAGCAGGTTGCAATAATTTCAAGGCCACCTACATCAAAGATGATGAGAGATTATTCAAATTATCACTCAGTATGAGAATGGTTTGAACTTTAGCAACAAAGGGCTTAATCATTAAGACCTTTGACTGGACTGACAAGACCTTCAACTGCAATAACAATGAAGAAGCCTGTTGAATATTAAGAGAAAACAGCAACAATTTAATAATCTTAAAGAAAGATTTTCAGAAAGAAAGTGAACCAAAGACCCTATAAAAAGTATGGTTTCGATAACATTCATATTCAAAAGTAATATTGAGTATAATTATAGGGAAGAATAGGAAGGGGATATTTCAGAAGAGGAACTGAATTCATCAACAGTTATACACACTTTAGATGTAGATTAAATAATAGATTTATACAATAGTAAGTGTAAAGATCGTGAACTTGAATATTAACCAGAACATGGTGTTCTATTTATCGAAAAGTTTAAGAAATTATGCATAGATGAGCAATTCATTTGTGAAGACAATTAACTAGGTTTGGAGAGTGCCAAAACAATCAGAGACATCCTACTCTATAACAATCATTTCTCTACTTTGAGATTAGCAAGAAATTCAATAGGAGACGAAGGTCTTGTAGAGTTGTTAGAGATGTTGAAAGTCAATAACAATATAGTTCATTTAGACTTATCAAGTAACAATTTAACAGCAGATGGCGCTTTTTATTTATTTAATGAGTTAGTCCCTTTACATTCGATTATCTCTATTGAATTATCAAGTAAAGATGGTTTGAATAGAAACAAAGTATCTGTCAAAGGATGTGAACCAATTGAAACTATTTTAAAATACAATCATCCTCTTCAATTTCTAGGTTTGAGAGGTACTTCAATCTAGAATGCAGGATTTGAATGCATTCTATCTGGATTGTAAACAAACAATACATTAACCTACTTGAATGTTTCTAACAATGATCTAAATGAGGAAGCTTGCAATTATATGGTTTAATATATTTCAGTTTGTAATCTGGTTGAATTAGATTTAAGTTACAATCCTTTGGGTAATAATGGAATGGACTATTTGTCAAGGATATTTGATAAAGGCAGTTTTATGTTAAAAAAATTAAATTTGGCAGGATGTGAAATCAAATCATTAGGCATTTTGAAATTTTTTCAAAGTTTATCTGTGAATCGATTTTTGGAAAAGTTGATTTTAGATGAAAATCACTTTTCTGGAAATGGAGTCAATGAAATTGAAAATGTGTTGACATCCAGAATACCATTGGCTTACCTATCAATGGCTAAATGTAGTATTAATGCAACAGGAGCTGAGTTCATAGGCAATGGAGTAGAAAGAAATAGAACACTTAAAACACTTATATTAAGGGATAATAGATTGACTGATGTAGGGGCTGAATGTATATTTAAAGGACTATTTTTTGAGAAGTTAGATTTGAAGAGATGCAATCTTACTGATAAATGTGTACTGGGTTTATGCAGTATGATTAAACAAAGTACTTAATTAACAACGCTATTGCTACCTGATAATGGGTTTCATGATTCTTCAGGAATTGTAATATGTGAAGCTATTAGAGTGAATTCATCAATGTAATTATTATGGAATAATTAGATTAAATTTAGATATATGTGAAAACCCTTTGAGTTATAAATACATTGATTAAATTAATAAGGTTATTGAAACCAATAGATTGAAATATGAATTGGATAGAGTTCCTATGTATAAAAGAGAGATTGTTAAACTTAATAACATTATCTAATAAAAGCCAACTTTGGAAAAAGATTAAAATGAAAATCAATAAAAAAAAGCAAGATCTCTTTAAACATTGGAAAAAACAATTGAAGAAAAAAACAGAGTTAAGATTGAACAAATATAAAAGACTACTGACATGGATGCTAGATTAATATAAATATAATAATAATCAAGGTAAATGGATATTGACAAAATTAAATTTGATAATGAATCCAATATATATTTGATTAAGATGGATGATGAGATGAATGAGTATCAAAAGAAAATGTCTGAATGTCATTAAGTAATTACTCGTTTAGAAAAAGAAATAAGGGGTTTAAAGGATTAGAGACATGTTCGGAAGGGCCAAATCGACTCTAGATTGGAAATGCTAAGACAATTAAACAGAGCGGAAGAAAGAGCACTTTAGAGAGCAGAAATTGAGAAAAAACAATTAGAAGAAAGGATAAAGGCCATGCAAGGGAAGGAATCCATTACTAGTAGAAGGAAAACTAAGTAATTGTCTTAAATTATTTAATAAAAATAATGAATAAAAAATATACATCTTCCAACTTAAATCCGAAGGTCTTAGACGATAGAGACGAAATTAATTTTGGAACTTCCCTTATTGATGTAATTATAGATTAGAATCTTTTTTAATATCTAATATCCTTTCTTGATACTACAAGTCTCATTAATTTTTAGCTATCATCAAAAGTGTTTAAAATCAGACATTGGAAGAATAACTTTAAGAAATTTATATTTGGAAGAGTATGCAAGCCATTGGATCATAGATTAATCTCTTAATTCATCATCGATCAAAGGTGTAGTTAATTTATTTTCTGGGATTGGGTAATTGATTTTAAAAGGTTAAACTTATAATATTCTCAACAATATAAGTAGTATTCATGTCAGCAATCAGTTGAAGCAACTAATATATAAAAAGATATTGATAGAACCTTCTCATAACATTAGTACTTCAAACAAATTCATAATCGACAAAGATTGCAAAGAATTCTTATAGCCTTATCTAAAATACAAGAATAAATTGGCTATATTTAAGGATTCAATTAAATTGCAGGTTGTTTCCTAATAAATGGTCTAAATGAACAACAAACATTTTGGATAATGTATTATATTTTAAAGAAAATGAAATATTCTACAATTTTCGAAGATTAATTTAATGAACTTAAATTTTTGAATTTTACTGTTGCAGTTTTTCTAAGGAATTATGTTCCATTTTTATCTGATGAATTTGTAAATATTTTCATTTATTTAGTTATAAAACAAAATAGACATTGGAATCATAACAACTAGATGGTTTTTGGTGATCTTTGGCTATGATTTACCTCAGTAATTAGTAATAATATACAAATATCTTAGTTAATTTAAGTTTGGAATATGTTCTTATTAAAAGGCATAAAAATATTAATACGAGTCTCAGTGGCTATTTTTAAATTAGTTTCTGAATCTTAAGGAATAGATGATTTATATGAATTGCTCAAAGAAAATTTATTTGATCTCCTAGAAACTAATGTTTAATTGCAACAGAAGTTGATTGAATATTTCTTAACCATCAAAATAACCAATCGTTTAATAAGAGAATTAAGATATAAATTTGAGACTGGAGATGAATCACTAATTCTCTCATTTGATTCTGACTAAAAAAAACATTATTGGAGAAAAGGTGCTGATGGTGCTCGAAGTTTAATTAGCTCATTTAATGAGATAATTAGTGAAATTTAAGAAGAAAAAGATGCATGCTTTTAGCGATCTTAATTGTTCATGAATGCTTTTTTTCCTAAGTTGATAAACAAAAATTATTTAGAAAGTTCAGAAGGCAAAAAGAACGTATCTATTAAAATTGAAAAATAACCTTAGCTGATCAAAGGATAAATTATATCTTAACAATTTAATCTATCGATTCCATAATCTGCTAATGGAGATTAAGTAATGATTTTCAATAATTAGGAATCTAACATATATGCAGATGAACTCTAGAGTAGAATGAGTCCAAAGGAAGATGAATCTATAGAACTTGAATGTACTCCAGAAAAAATATTCAAATTTTCTAATAAAAAAAGATGAATTAATTTCATATTTTAATATTTTACTAATTCTATCCAATTATTAATCATTTAATTAAATAATTCAAAGGAAAATATAATTATTTGGAATAGATTGACTTGAAGTTATATGTTTCTATTGTAAAATTAATATATTATAATGAATTTATATTTAAATTATATATTAATTTTGGATGGAAAAGATAGATTTCTTAATAGTTTTAAATTTAGAAGGTTCCTTCAAAATATCATTAAGACAATGCCATTCTTGTTTCCTTTATCCGTGTTTTATATATATATATATAGAAATAGAATAAATTTAGCTTCTCTTATAGATTATGCTATATGTTCCATTAACTTAATAGTAAACTCATTAAAATAAAAAGAAAATGATCTTGTAATCTTCAAAATTTGAAGAAGATTGTAAATATACAAATATTCTAAAATATAAATAGCTAAAGGTGTTAATTTTAATTTTAAAATAAATATGCATAAACCTCTCATTACTATGATGATTGTTGTTAAAATAATTATTATTGTTATGACAATGGGATTTTATATTGACAATCTTGCTTCTTACCCTATTCTAAGATGGTATGTTCAGTTTCACAAATACCGCATAATATTTTTCTATTTGGACTTAATCTTAAAGTTTTCTTACATACATTTGATTTATGTCCAACTTCCTAACAAGATTTACAGATGACTGGTTTAACATTTATTTCACTTTATTTGAATGTAGCTTATTCTTATTTTAATTTTGAGTAAAATTTTTCTGTAAATTTGAGTTCTTAAGTTCTATCATTCAAGTCGAATAATTTGACATGTTGCATTTTACATTCAGGTCCATCCTTACAAAATCCATATACATAATCCATGCATAATTTCCTTACTATGTGTTTTCTAAAAGTTTTGATACAATTTTAACTTATCACATGAAGGACCCAAATAACAAAATCCTTTGTCATAATCAGGACATGGCCAATATTTATGTTCTAATGTGCATTGAGGTTTAATGCAATTATCCTTCTAAAATTCCATACATAAGGGCTTGTCTTTCGAACCTGTAGGATTGAACATAGAAATATTAATAATTTAATTAGTATAATTAATCATTTTTTTTTTTTTACTTTTCTATCATTTAAAGAGCCCAATAACATCCACATATTCTCGTCATTTGGATAACCAATAACTGGATAGTCAGAATGCATTTCTTCCTTGATTTAAGGTAGTTAATCTTGAATTAGAATTGATTATTACAAATGGATGGCAATGATTATTTATGTGGCTACTATTATGGGGGAAATAAAACATCAAGTGTTAATTTGAATGCGTCATCTAGCATTCTAGGAATATACATTTTTAATAATGGGCTTGATTCTTCTATGCATGGATTTGTATTAACTTCTATTAACCACACTTCTTGATCTGCATCCAAAATAAAATCAAATCCAAAAATCTCAAAGCAATACTTTCGGTCTTCAAAATTAATTTTACTGCGAACTGAATTAAAAACCATCCATATTCTTTCTTTCATTTTGTTTATAAGCTTAAAATATTAATTATTTTACATCCTCGACATTACATACAATGTTTTATGATTTCAAATATTCTTAATAGTTTTTGAATGATAACTGATTACCATCTTCGAATTCTCCGTAATTTTTTGAATACTTTTAAATTGCATTATTTGTTAGATGAACAAAAGTATTCTCTATGTTATAGGTGAAATCTTCAGAGGATGTTCGAATGTATCCTTCTTAAAAGAAATATGTATCCAACTCTTGAGTCACTAATCCCCATACTCTTATGTCAAATTTTCTTTTATTAATCAAGGCTGGTCTTTCAATATATTTTTGAATAACAAATGATTGAGATTTTATAATGCAAGGTCCTGATGGCTATTATCTAATATATTAATTTGGATCTTTTTTCGTTCCTTATGCACTTTAAACCTACTTTGGTGGATCCTCCTCCCCAGAAGATTCATCCTTTTAATTCAGAGTTTTTTCTTTTAAACCTTCTTAAAATTCAGATACTAATTTAACTAAAGTTTCTAGGTTATCAAATATTTAAATTCCTCTTCCTCTATTTAAAAAAGTAGGCTTTAATAACCACATATAAGTTGAATCTTCTGACAGAAAGGTATTATTCATTTGAATTTTTTGAAATTAGGAACTTGATTCCCTTTAATAAGAATTACAGAAATTTCCTCTCAATCTTCTTTTAACATCAAGCATTTATTTGGCTTATGGCTTTTTAGGGGCAAATTGTTCATAAGTCTTAAGGAATTGAGTAATATTTTAGTCACAATTCTCATCGCTAAAATCAATCACAAAGGTTAATGGAGTATAATCAAAAACATTCAGTTTATGTTTCTAAAAATATACTTATTTTTACTTCACAGTATTAGGAGAGATTCTTAATTAGATATGATTTATTTGATATTTCTCTATGATGTTCAAAATGATTAACAAGTTATTTGTAATTTTAACTTACAATCAATCTTTCATATCTGTAACCTCTTTCACTTTGTTACCATTTAAAATTAACAAACATCGAACTAGAGTCAGTGGTTTCTTTCCATTAAGTCCTTTTTGACATCACTCTTTTAACTAGAGCTTCATTGTTGCCCCATCCGACATAATACTATTTGAATTATTTTTATTTATTTACTTTTAAACCAAAATCTTACGGAGCTGGTTTGAACTGATTTCTTTTTTTGGAAAAACTAGTTGATTTAGGATTTAATTTTCTGGTCACATTAGGCAATTACTCTTGTTTTTATTAAACTCTCTCTTTTGTTTTGCTCTTTTTATGTTGTAATTGTGATTAAGTAAATTGAGGTTTTATTTATGGACTTTAAGACTTGAATTTCGTTTCAGTTTTATTGCGTGGTCTCCTATTTTCCACTGTTATGGTTGATTCTTCGGACAAATTCATGATTATAAATTCTGAAAATAATTATTTATATTATAACTTTTAGCATATCTAAAATTTAACATATGTAAAAGATATGTATTTAGATTAATCAAGACACTCACTCTCCAATTTTCAGTCTTTTGAGGCCCTGTAACTTTGAGACATTTTATTAAATGATTTCCCTACAAAGATTAATTTTATATTTTTACTTCTTTAATGTTTCATTCTTTTGAATTGTTCTTATAGTTCTACTAAATCCTTCATGCTACTTTTCCAATAATTTATTTTATAAACTAATACTTTAATTATATAATGAATCTACATTGAATTCATACATTGAGTTTAAAGAATCATCAATTGATCTTGATGATTTTTGTGATATCCCATCTTTTAGATTCAAATATGATTATTTATGAAATTTCTATGGAATTTTAAAAATTTTGTTGTGTGGTACTATCCCTGCGGAAATTAACAAAGACTTTTTCACTTTAGATTAGATCTCTTTATCATGAAAAGGGTCTTCAACTTGAAAATCGGTTATATATTTAATCAATTCTAAGTCATTATTTATGTATTAGTTTTTTAAGTAATTTTACTTAATAAATGGAACTATTTATTTGACATTCCCAAGACTATGCAAAGACTAAGATTGTTAATGAACTATTTTTTTATATTAAGAATTTAAGAATATCTTCTTTTTTGCTTTTTCATTTTAGATGAAGTCTCTTACTTACAATTCATCAATATATTATTTGGCCTTTTAATTTATTTAAAACTTGATGGCTGAAGTTTAAGTGGGAGGATCATATTTATTTTTTGTTTCATTTTCATAAGTAGCTGTTTTGACAGTTTAATAAGGATTTGAGTGTTAGATTAGTTTAAGTTGATTTCCATTAACAATATTCTTCTATATAATTGGATTTGATTTTTTTTCCATATATCTTCTTGATATTAGTTTAATATATTCATCGCTAATATCGTACATCTATTTGATAACACCGACATTTTTCAATTCTCGACTTCTTTTTATGATTTCTTCCTCCTCCTTTAATTTAATTTTATGTTCAATTAAATTTCTTAAAACACCAAATCTAGATTCGATCCTTGATTTCTTTGAGATATCATCTGATTTGTCTTTCAGCAATTTAAGGAATCCTTTCTATTTTTGAGGCTGATTTCTAGCGTTACTATCATCTTATTCAATTCTGAAAAGTTTAAATTTTTTTGGTGAATTGGGTCTTTGTCTATCAAGCAATTCTGACTAGTTTTTAAGTTTTAGAAACTCACAAGCTGATATTTCACCTTTGATGAATTTTTCAAAATTGCCCCTTACTGAAGGACTTGAGTAGACATTGTTACCTAAAAACATTGGAGCTTCTCTCAAAAAAGCAGGATCAATGTGTTTATTCCTTTTCTTTTATCTGACAAGTCCTTCACCTAAGAAATTGCCAAACATAATATTCCAATTTTTAAGTCTGTCATCTTGTTATTTTGGTTCAACTTATTCAGTTTTATGTTCGCTAAACTAAAATTTGTCCAATTAATACACAAGTAGTTGTTTAAGTTGCCTCCCTTCGTCTATGTACTAATCTTTTCATTAAATAAATTATGATTTTTAATCGAAGAATTTGTAAAGTTATATTTCATCCAACTCCTCGTTTTTGTTTCTTTTAACCTCCATAGTTTGATATTAACAAGGATTATTACAAAATCTTAAATTCATAACCTACAGATCAGGAACAAAAGATAAAACTAGAATATTATAAATTAGCAAAAAAATACCATCCCGATGTAAATTAAGGAAATGAAGAGAAATTTAAATAAATCAATGAAGCATGGAATGTAATTAATCGAAATATTAATTAGGTTCTATCTGATAAAGATAAAAAATAATAATATGATTCTGCAAGATCCTATACAAATAACAATAATGAAACAAATAATAAAACCAACCAAGAACAAAGACAGCAATAAAATCATGAGGATTTTTTCAATTAAAAAGGTTCAAACGGGTTTTATTAATAATATTCATAAAAAAGTAATTATTTGTTTGTAAAGAAGGCAGCAACAATTCCTAATAATTTTCCAAAAGATAAATGGATGAGATGTAAAAATAAGCTTAAGAATATATGAATATGTTTTAAAATGGATAATTCTCACAAATGTCTCAAGCATTTCGATAAGCCACAAAAGGAGATCCTAAATTTAATAGGATCAATGCATTTATGAATCTTGCTGAAATGGCAGGTAAATTTTATTCAGAAAGATAAAGGTCAAATATGTAAAATGAAAAAAATAGATAACAAAATGTATCATCTTTTTAAGATAAAGAAGATTAGCTCAAAGATTCCTTAAAAAATATAAAAAACGGTATTAAAGGGTTATGGGATTAATTTACTAAGAAATGAATTCCTCTTATTTATGTTTTTAATGTTTTTAAAATCTATTGATTTTTTCATAAATATAATCTTCTTCTTTATCAAGGACTAAGCTTGTGTTTTTGATCAGAATACAAATCTCATCTCAAAAAGATATATCGAAACAATTAAGCTTGTTGATTGAAATATGGATTATCATAAATAAAAATACAGATTTTTATATAAATTGATTAATTAAAAATCATTAATTACTTCTGTTTGTATCCATTTTAGAACTAAAAGAGATTGACAAACTTTCTGAGTTTCGTTTATTTCTTCTTTAACTAGAAGCTCTTTTAATTTGAGTGCTTTCAATATTAACTAAACTTAAAATTGTATTGACTCCTTAAGAAGTCTTTTCTCCAATAGAAAAATAGTTTGACTTTGTGACTGAATTTGTTTCCCTTTATCTCCAACTTAAATTACTTCCATATATATGTTCTTTTAAAACTCTAGAAGATTTTAATCTACTTGCACTTCCTTAACTCTATTAGAATATTAAATATGAATTACATTGCTTAGATCTGTAAACTGATTCACTTCCTTGAATTTACAAAAGTTTGGAGCAATCATATCGTTTTTCTTACACCTTAAACATATTCTATGATCAAAAGGAGGGAAGATATCTTCATTTTATTACTCTGTTTGAACAGCATGATCAGTTATTTATGCTCTTCCTGAACTGCTATAGTTTTAAACTGAAGATGCTTATTCCTAACTAGTATTATTATCATCCTCAATAAATATATGTTTGTTTTTTTTAATGATCCCAGTCGGCCTTTTTTAAGTATTTGACTCTTAAGAATCATCTAAATCTTTTGAAAATTTAGCCACTTCTCTGTAAAAACTTTATTAAATGGAGGAAGCTGGAGAGTTTGTATAACAATTAGGACTCTTATGTTAAGCTCTAGGAGGTTTTTAACTATTGCGAGTTTATTAGTAATCCAACCTATTCTAAAGGTTTAATTAGTCTTGCAGATAATTTATCTATTTATCATATTATTAAACTAAGTCTTAAATAATTTATTCATATTTTTATTATGTTTGAACTATTGATTTATTTGATGTTTCCTAAACTTATTACATTTTTTTCTAAAAGGATTTCTCGCTTTCTTTTATTTACTAAAAGCTCATAGAAGAATTTAACACATCCTTTACCTACTCTAATTCTTTTGCAAATTGAAGAGACTTTTTATCATTTTCAATTTTGTATTATAATAAATCTTATTGTTTCTAAAATTCTAATTGATCAATTTATCTTTATAAAAGCATAATCTCATGCTTTTGATTCGAAATTGTCTATTAAAATTGTTAGTTTTATGATTATTTTTCCTAAGTTTATTATAAATATTTACTTCAATAATAGAATTGTATTCTAATTGAACTTCATTAGCTTATTATTCGTATTAAGCTGAATTACTGTCTAGTTCCTATTAAAGTTCCTAAATCAGTGCTTCTTTTTCCAAAACCGCCTATAATTAAAATAATATTTACTTATTCCAATTGAGAGGCTTAAAGTTTTAACTTATCAAATAATTAAGATTGTTATTGATATTATAATTATGTTTAATCTAACGCTAGTTTAGTAACTTTAATTTCATTCAAATAATTTAATTCCTACTATTTCAATTATTCTTATAGCAAATTGATTTTTTGATTTAAAATTTGATTCTCGCTCTTTAAAGTTGTTTCTTTCTCAATCATTTTATGGCTCTCTAACAATTTTTCCTAGTCTTATATCTAAACCTTTTATTATAATTCTTAAGATTATGTTAGTACTTTTTTTAATCTATTTTCTGTTTACACTTTATATTCTTTATATTCTTTTTGTATTTCATTGTATTTAATTTAATATTTAATGTCCTCATCAATTTCTCTTAGATCTGAATTTTGTGTATTACTAAGCTCATAACTTTCTTTCAATTATTTTTATAATACATCATTCAACTTTAATTATTTCTTAATTTCAGTTTCTTGACAGCTAATTTATTTTTGAAGATCTTAAACCTAATCTCTTAATTATTTCAACAAATTATCTGATTCTTTTTGTTAATCCAATAGTTTTGAATGCTACAATTACGTAGAATTTAATTCGGTTTCTAATTGTTAAATTCTACTCGATTGAGATTTGGATAATTGAATGTATTATTTGATTTCATCACTTTCATCATTTTTGGACTAATATAAAATTGATTCCAATTCATTATTTTATTTATTGAGTCTATTCAATGATTAATAAATGTTTTTCACATTGATCCTCTAATTTAATTCTGATGTCATTTAATTCATCCACATCATTCTTGTATTTCTGTAATTCCTTATACAAATTCGTATTGCTCTTTTGGAGTTATTTAATTTAATGAGTATACATTTGCAATTGATTATTGTATACTTAATTCTCTTTTTCAATTTCAATGCTGTTATTAAGAATATTCTTCATTTCATCTTAAAGTTGCAATTTTTCATTATGTTTCTCATCAATTCGTTATTTGACTTAGTTTTAGATCTGTTTATTTTCCTTGATTATAATTTCATTTTCTTATTTTATTTCATCAATTTCCTTCTAATATTTGAAAATCTAATTTTGTAAGTCTTTAATTTCACATTCTTGATTATAAAGCATTTAATCCAAATGATCGAACACATAATTAAATAAATTTCCATTTGATTTTGGCTAAGGAATTCGAAACCTCTCTAATTGATTGAATATCATCTATTCAAGATCCCTCCATTATTCCCATGAAGAATTGTTCTGCAACTATTAAATGATTTAATTTTTTTCCTCTAATTATTGACTCAACATCAAATTAATCTTCTACTCATTTCTAAATAGGTTATTTTATTATTCTTAGGAGTTAAGTTTCTATTCCTGTAATTATAAGGTCATTCTATTATACTCATTCATGGACAATAACTTAAAGTCCATTGACCCAAGATCTAATCTCTTCTCTTTCAAAGCAAGCACTTATTGTTCTACTTCTTGGAACACCTGAGCAGCAGCCTCTACTTCTTAAACAGACACGGTTTATTGACTAAGGTAATATTGATTAATAATACTTTTCAAACACATTTTCAATTTCTAGTGTAATCTTCTGATTGAATTCTATCAATTTTCTTACAAAAGTTAACATTTCCTTAATTTAATCTTCATCTTGCTTTTATAATTTATTAATCTCTCTTGTTATGATTGTGGCCATAGATATTTTGGATTCTTTGAATCTTGCATACTCCAAATCAATCTGATTTGATACGTTTACCATTTCTTATTTGTAGTGGCTTAACTTTTTGCTGTATTCCTTTAACTTCAATCGATTCTTATTATTAGTTAGTATTATTTAAGGACCCGTGCTTTCCTCCTTCAAAAAAGACTCATTAACAGATGACTTATTTTGAACAGCACTGACTTCTCTGAAATCCCTTAGTAATTGATCCATGAATTGAACCTTGCTCATTTTGAATTTGTATAAATATTAATTTGTTCGTTAATATATATGTAATTTGTCAATTGCACTCCTTCTCCAAGAAAATCACCTATTACTATGCAGGGGAAATAGGGAAAAACGTACAAGTAAAAAAAGTCAATGAAATCAACATCAAAATAATTAGAGATTCCTCCTATTTCTACTTAGAGAACGATGAAGACAACAGACCAAATTTTATCATAACGAAGTCCAATAACTGGTACCACAAAAACAACAAAATATACCATCGAAACAAAGCGGAGCATGTCTCCTGAGGAATTAAAATCTTTCAGAAAAAGTAATAAGACATAAAAAAATTAGGAAGACACAAATAATCCCAAACAAAGATCTCCTTTATCCACTGAAAAAAAATAACATTCCAAGAAAATGTCTATACAATAATATATGAAGGATAAAAAGAAATCAGAGCAGTTAAAAGAAAAGCTACTGCAATAGAAAGTTTTGAATGAACAATAAAAAAAGTAATATTCATAAAATTCATATTTGTTAGATTATGCAATCTCTAAAAATTACAATTAGAAACTAAATAAATAATTCAAAATGCTAAAAAAATAAAGAAGAAATCGTCTAAAAAAAGAATGAAATGTAAAAAATAAATACTAGATTAAATTATAAAAAGATTTGAAGAAATATCTAAAAGGTATGAAAAAGTCCAACTTGATTAGATTGACAAATTCTAATAAGAAGTTGCAAAACATTAATAATCTTATAAGACTTAGACTGAAATTGAATCCTAAATCAATTACAATTAAGAAGACTTTGATGCATTTAATGAATACTATTTACATCAAGCAGCCTTATTAATTTAAATTCATTGGAAAGAACACAAAAAGAGAAAGAATTAGTAAAATAAGAAAGCATCCCAATCTAAATTATAATAAATCAGCATAGATTGGGAACCACAATAATTAGTCTCATAATAAACATCTCCTAGCAATTTCGAAGATGGCTTTCTGTTTTGTCAAGGAGGAGAGAAATAAGTTCATATCTCAAATATTAGGAGTTCGATCATTTCTGAAGAATCCTCACCTATTGTTAGTCAATTAAATTAAGAATTTGAAAATTGGAATCTATTTACTTAAAGAATAGTTAAAAACAAAGATATTTCAAGCATCAACAAATAAATGCAATAATAGATTATATCAATTGTTTAAACTCATTTAAAAAAGTCTGAAAATATTTCAGAAAGAAGAAGCGAAAACGAAGTCCTATAAGAGAAAAGCATAAATAAACATCAAAAATAATTGAGTGAAGATCTCTCTAAATTTAATGTACTGCAATTGTAAAAACAATCATAAGAGGAAGAAAACCTAGTATTAAACTATAGAGAAGAAGTACTATATCTAAGGTATGATGTTGAATAAAAAAATACTACTGGCAAAGATCATCAATTGCTTGAAGAATGGCTAAATAGAGAATTAGAAGATCTATAAAATACAAGAAAAGCTTTTGAAATAGGTCATCGAAGGGAAATCTCAACACTAAAAAAGATTCAACGAGACATACTTATTGCTTCTGCAGAGCTTTAATCAGATCCTTAAGATAATTTGCAGATTTAACAGATATAGTAATAAATAGATGAATAATTTAATGGTCTTAAAGTTACTAGATAGAATAATAATAAATTATAAGAAGAAATCCACTAAACTGTAGATTTAGTAACTACTGAAATTCTTAATGATGTGATGATGGAACTAACTGAAGAAGTGCTAAATAAAAGGGAGGATCTCTATCTATTAATTTCAAATCTTGTGGTGAATTAAGATGAACCACCTTGCGTTCCTACTTCAATGGTTGATATCTCATAATATATTGATAACCTATTTAAATATATTATGGAAAATTATCAATAGTCTTTGATATCAAATTTGAGTGCTCCTTTTGGATTTACACCTAAGCAGAGATTGAGGCTTATCCATGGAAATGAAGATGATGATATTGATAATAATAAGGAACTCTAAGACCAAATTGCATTCCCAATTGATGAGGCTATTTTTGTAGAATATGAAAACCAAAGAATGCCAGCAACTGATAATGATGATGAAATTGGATGTGCCATTCTGGAACTATAGCATATCCACAATAAAGCTATCTTTGATGCATGTAATGAGGTCTTAAATCGTTTTAGACCATTTTATTATAGTAATTATTTTATATTAAATTAAGATTCCGGGATAAAATACCCATGGGAATAAAAAAGAAATAGTTTAGAAAAAATATTAAACACTAGCTTGGTTCATATAATGGAAGAAGTGAAATCCACAGTATTGAAATAGAGTAAAGTTCTGTGTGGCTTTTATCCAACAGAAGACTTTGAAATTATTAAATAGGAGAAATAAGAAATAATAGATGAGAAAAATATATTAATGCTTATGTAGCAATTAAATCTAGTGGAAAACCCATTATTAATTGATACAAATATTTAATTTGATAATTTGGCCTTAATTAGGGATGAGTAACTATACAAACTACTTATAGAAGATGTAATATTTTATTGAAAAATACTTTAGATAAAGGAATAGGAATACAAGTGGACTTTGATTGAAGATGATCGTGCTGAATACTTAATGGAATTAAGTGATCAAATTTTAGAGAATCTTATCGAAGAAGTCTCGAAAGAAATGTGATTCTGCTTATTATTTGATATTTTATGTATAATAACGTTTATAACATTATATAGTGTTCTCATACCATTTATTATTTAGCTATATACAAATAACAAATAACAAAAGACTAATATTAAAGGTTCAATAGTTTTGAATATATCCGATTTTAAAGCAATCAAGTAAAATTGTTTAAATAGCACTAATTAGTAGAGTTGATTACTATAGTCATAAATGTTCTTTTATTGTAAAATGATAGTTATCTGAATGTATAAATTAGTCTTTTATTCATTAGTATAAAAGTATAATATGAGAATTATAGTGTTTAATTTTTAAGAATAAATAAAAATAATTATTGTGTGTGTGATGTTGACAGAAAGCTTATAAATAAATTCAGGACATTCTAGTATGATCCATGATATTAAATACGATTACTATGGTGATAAATTAGCAAGTTGCGGAAGTGATGGATATATTAATGTCTATGACGTGTCAAAAAAACATTAAGTTGCTTAAATAAAGACGTACATAATGAATATTACATTTTAGTCGAGATTCTCCATTATTTTCATTATCTTGGTCACATCCTAGGTTTGGCAACGTATTAGCTGCATCATCATACGATGGAGAAATTTCTATTTTTAAGGAATAAAAGGAATGGAATAAAGTGGCAACCTATTAGAATGAAGGCAGTGTCAATTGTGTTCAATTTATGCCTAGAGAATTATTTTTGGCATGTGGTACTTCAGATGGATTTGTAATTTTATTGGATAATAACAAAAATTGGGATGTTGATTAGAAATGGTAAGCACATGAATCAATAATACATGGATTATGTTGGAATTAAGATGGTTCATTATTAGCAACCTGCAGTGCTGATAAATTGATTAAAGTCTGGGAATTTACTATCAATAACAAGCCATAATTGAAATACACAATTCAATCTCATTTGGACGTAGTGAAGGATGTTTAATTCCATCCTTTAGAAAACAACATCCTTGTATCAGGAGGAGATGTAAGAATCAATCACATTTATAGGATGGGAAACTTAGAATTCATAGATTAGATGAGGATGCACTAGAAAGTCAAGTTATTGATTTTCACATGACCATTTGGAGAATATCATTCAATATGTTGGGCAATTTAATAACAGTAAACGGAGAAAGTAATGGTTAAAGTAATCTTAAAACACTTAAATAAGAGAACAATTTTTAATATAGCGTTATTGATTGCAATTGAATAATGTATAGATCAAAATGAAATTATATCAACTTGTTAAATTTACATTTATATTTGCCTCTTTAGCTAATCTTAAAATTGCTGCCATTCTAACTGCCTTCTTCGCTGCCTCATCTAAATCTTCAGTAAACATCATGTTGAATCCTGACTCCTCTATCAATTTCTTTGCCTCATCTATTTTTGTTCCCTTCATTCTCAAAACCATTGGTTTCTTCATTCCCAAAACTGTCAAACCTTTTAATAGTCCCAAGACTATTTAATCACATCTTGAAAATAATTATTATAATGTTACCTGGCTATACCAGCAAATATATTGACAAGAATGGCTTCAACATTTGGATCTTTATCCATAATTTTGAGTGCAGATACAATTTCTTAATCAGTGGCTTTTCCTCCAACATCCAAGAAATTAGCAGGTGATCCATCATACTACTTGATTAAATCCATTGTAGCCATAGCCAATCCTGCTCCATTAACCATACAACCTATGTTTCCATCTAGAGCAATATAATTTAATCCATGTTTTTATGCTTCTACTTCTTTCCAATCTTTTTATCTTACATCTTCCATATGAAAGATGGCATGTTATCTAAATTGAGAGTTATCATCAATATTAAGTTTTTGATCACAAATAATCAAATTTCCCTACAAATCAATTCCTAGTGGATTAATTTCTAACAATGTCGCATCAGTTTATAAAAAGATATCGAACATCTTCTTTAAAATCTAAATATGATTAGAAAGATAATTACATCTTTCATCTAATTATGTTAAATTGGATTCAATTTATACACTTTTGAAACCTTTTCATAAATTGAAAAATCAATGTCATCTACATTGCTTGGCATTTCAATTGAGAATTTCTTAATATAATTGGGATCACTCTCTTCAATATGTATACCTCCCTTTTCGGAGGCTACAATTCCCAATCCTCCTGTGTTTCTGTCCAGGAGAATTGATAAATACAATTCTTTCCTTAAAAAGTTTCTTTCTACGACATAAACCATTTCGCACTTCTTTCCTAAACTTCCAGTTTGTTTTGTTATTAATGTGTTTCCCAACATTTTACTAGCATATTCTTTTACATCATCAGGAGTTGAGGCTATATGTATTCCCTAAATAGATATTCACTGGTACACTATTAAATCCATTCTCTTTAAAGTATCCTTTTCCTCTACCACCAGTATGACATTAAGCCTTTACAACCACATCTGTGAATGAGTTTCTTTCTGATCCCTCTTATATGATTTTTTAGGCTGACTTATAGGCTTCATCTGGGGTCTTACAAATTCTTCCAGGAGGAATTGGGAGTTGAAAAGACTTGAAAAACTCAGCTGTTTGATACTCATGGAGAGAAAGGAAATATTTAGGTATGCGATGGAATCTAAACATTAAGATTTTGATTTATATTATATAATTTCATTACCACAATCTATTAGACGTATATTCCAGTTACTCTAAATCTTAATTATTATTATCTAATCTTTACAAAATGCTGTCAAATTAAGAAAAAGACCCTCCAAATCCTGATTCACTCTCATTATTATCAAAACTTCTAACTTTTAAAACTACCTCAAATGACTATTTTCACCAATGGTTGGTACTTTTATAAGATCAAGCAAATATTATTAGAATTCATACATCTAATATTTGGGCTGATCTTCTATAATGCTACAATAGTCTTAAAAGGTAATTATAGAAGTAATGGATAGCTGAAAATAAAAATTTATATTCCTCTACCTCTATTTATTATACTATTTAGATCATCAAACTAACTGAATCTTTTACAAATTGTATGTTTCCTATCTCCAGTTCCAAACATAAATGAGCATCTTATGAATTTCTCACCACATCTTCAAATCATGTATTTTAAAAATTGATTCTTTCTTGCTATTATAGATGATTTATGTAATTTTGAGAATCATTAGCTAATTTCATTTCTACAATTAGTTAGAAGTCTATAATTCAATGAAATCCAAAAAGCAAGGGGCTATCAATTCTAATTTAGTTATTAATCAAAGTATCTTTATGTATAATGAATTAATAGTAAATCCTAATTCTCTTATATATTTTTCATGAGGAAATTGATTTTTAACAAGTCATTGGAATGCTGTTCAAAATAATATTTATTCTCTAATAGATATTGCTAATAATAAAGGAAGATTTCAGAAATCTGTTTTTTAATTTTATTGCTTATCTGCTCCTTACAATAATAGTTTAAAGTAATAAGATATATATTTACATATCAAATTTAATTTCAATATCACCATCAACAATATTCCATTATTTCTTTACCACTATTGTTAACAAAAAAAGCTCTACGAATCTAAATTATATTTTTAGAATACTGACATTAGATATTTTGCATCTTTGAGATTCTGATAGATCAATTATTGGTAATTAATTACTAATTGTAACTCAAAGCATGTTCTCAAATCTTAAATAAAATTTATAATTATTTAGAGTGTAACAACTGAAATATTTGTGAAGAGTACTCCAGAGATGTAATAATTCTAAAGATCATCTTAAATTATCATTAGAATAAATTCAATCAATTCAGCAGCTCTGAGTAGTTAATAAATTTACTAATATCTAAGGTTAACAGTGTTAATCCTCAAAATAATTGAATAATTAAAAGGGAGTGGTTGAGCTTGGATGTTGGAGCGCAAATCATAGAACTGTGATGGCATTCCTCAGATAAATAGAACATTTATTGAAGCAGGAAGTAAATAACTAAATACAAATTAAGTATTCTAAATTGGCATTTAATATTAAATATTTCTTTTGCAATTATTTAAAAATTAAATTATCTAATTTATGCTATCCACAGCTGCAGGTTTCCAATCTATGCTCAAAGAAGTATAATAAACAGTATTACATATCCCAGGGAGCTCGCCATTATCAAGGATTAGAAGAAGCAATCCTAAAAAATATTCAAGCATGCAAAGAAATTTCTAACATGACTAAAACTTCATTGGGCCCAAATGGAATGAAAAAAATGGTTGTGAATCATATCGATAAAATATTTGTCACAAGTGATGCAGCAACAATCCTCAAAGAAATGGAAATCTAACATCCTGCCGCCAAGATGATCCTTATGGCAGCCAAAATGCAAGAGACTGAATAAGGTGATGCTACAAATTTCGTTATTACTCTAGCTGGAGAGTTATTGTAATAAGCTGAAAGTTTAATTAAACTAGGATTACATCCAAGGTAATACTCATATTTTATTAATTTAGCTAAATTGTGGTTGGGTATGAGACCGCATTGAAAAAGGCATTGGACTTACTTGATGAACAAAAGGTATGGGAAATAACTGATGTTGCTGAAGAATAATAAGTGTTTTAAGCAATTAGAACCTCATTGAGTAGTAAATTATCAGAGTATTTTCTTAAATAAAACTATAGCTATTCCAATTTGATTGCTGGTCTTGTAGCCAAAGCATGTATTAGATGTTTGCCAAGAGAAAAGTCTAATTTTGATTCTGAATATGTTAGAGTTACTAAAATCTTAGGAGGATCTGTTTTGGATAGTCATGTTTTATCTGGATTAATAGTAACTAGAAATGTGGAAGGACAAATCAACAGATTGGAGAATCCTAAAATTTGTGTATTTAATGCACCATTAGATCCATAATAATCAGAAACTAAAGGAACTGTTTTAATTAAAAATGCTACCGAATTAAAGAACTATACAAAGACTGAAGAAGATCTTGCTGAAAAGATAGTCAAGAGCATTGCTGATGCAGGAGTTAACCTCATTGTTGCTGGAGGAAGTATATCAGAAATAGTATTACACTTTGTTGAAAAATATAAAATGATGATTGTGAAGGTCTAATCCAAATTTGAATTAAAACGCTTATGCAAAGCAGTTGGAGCTAGTGCTTTATCAACATTGTCTGCACCTATGCCAGACGAATTAGGAACATGTGATCGAGTCCATGTACAAGAAATTGGTAGTTAAAAAGTTACTATCTTCGAAAAGCAAAGTGACACTTGCAAATTAGCAACTATTGTTTTAAGAGGAGCAACTTAAAATCTCTTAGAAGACATTGAAAGAGCCATTGATGATGGAGTCAGTTGCTATAGATCATTAATTAAGGATTCAAGATTTGTTTATGGTGGAGGAGCTACAGAAATTGTAATATTCATATCTCTATGATTTTAGAAATTAGCATAACAATTAGAATAAGAGGCAAATAAAATTAAATCTATTGATTAATACGCTTATAGACAATATGCATAAGCTTTTGAAATTATACCCAGAATCTTAATTGATAATGCTGGTTTAGCTCAAAATGAAATGATGGCTCAATTGCACAAATTGAATTCAGAGAAACCTCATTCATTGAACATTTCTGTATATCTTCATCAATAATTTAGAATGGAACCTTAACTCCCTCAAGTGAATTAAAAGTGTTTGATCACCTTAAAACCAAATGGTGGGCTATCAAACTAGCTACAGATGCTGCCATCACTATCTTGAGAGTAGATTAAGTATTAATATTCAATATTCTTTAGATTATTATTGCCAAACCAGCTGGAGGACCAAAGATGCCAGATAGAGGACACTGGGATGATTAAGATTGAGTGTGATCAAATAATAAATCATAGCATAGATATTATCAATAATTTCTTTATTTTCTCTAGTTACAAGTTTATATTTGCTAACCTCTAAATTAGCTGAGAACTAATTGTAATTCTTTATTCATAAGTAAATTATTGATAGGTATTTTATAATATAATAAAATCATTATTTAATTAAATTGATTTCCTCAACTAATATTGCAAAGTCTTATTAGCTTTACTAAACACTTTAATTTATGAATTTGATTTATTGATTTAAAGAATTAACCTCTGTAAGGACTGCATCATCTTTTTTTAATTCTTTTATTTTAAGATTCAATTCGACAATTTTATTTAAATCTTCTTTTAATGTCTTTTTCAATTGAACATTCTCTTCGAACAAAGTCTTATAGTTTTTCAATTTCTATTTGATTTGCATCTTAAAATCTTCTTAATTAGTTTCAATCTAATTTTTTAGATGATATAGTGTTTAATACTCTGTTTTTAGTATTTAGTGATCACATTGAATTTTGATTAATTGTTCACTTTGTTATCTGAAATTTTATAATACCTTCTAAACAGCATATACTATGGAATCGCAATCTTGAGGAACATTTAATAATAATGAAAGTTCTTTAATCATTTATTTGAATTTAATATTGTTATCTGTATTTTCTGTTTGTTAATATTAAGAACACTTATTGGTTACAGAATACCCAGCATAAGTAAAGTTGCTATTGTAGCTTTCCCTTCCTTTTTATAAACTCGCTCTGCTCTCTGATAAATTTGGCATGCTCTGAGTTGGCAATTATATGTTTTTAACGTGTTGTAAATCTTACAAATTAACCTTTTTGACTTCTTGACGAGCTCTTGATTGGCAGGGTTAAGGACTACCATATCTTTTTTATACAATAGGTTCTGTTCTCAAAGATTTCGTCCATGAAATTTATGACTGCATTTGAACTGAATTTCTAATAATCTCGTTGGGATTGGTGCATTTTAAAAATATACTTACCTAATTTCCGTACTCTAAATCAATTTTGTAGATGGATTCTTTTCCCATGATCTCGTTTAATTCTAACTTTGCATATCCGATCACTTTGATGAATCCACTTTCTTCATCTTGTATTTCTATATATATTTATAACTAAGGATCTATTAATTTATTACAAATCTTCCAATATCAAATGAGGAAGTCCATGATGGAGAATATTTAATTATTTTTTAAGTGGTTACAATTCTTAAAGGCTCTCTTTTATCAGCTAAAATTAAATCTGAATATACACCACATTAGAAAGAGATCTACATTAATTATGTCTAGACAAGAGACTTGAAATGAATTTAAGAGACGCTTAATTAATACATTTAATTAAATAAAGAATCAAACAAAAGCCAATTATACTCAAGTTAATATTACTCCACTGTTAACATAATTTAAATTCAAAAGCAATTCAATCAGTATATCACTCTAAATATAATATATAATAGTATGACTATGTTGAATATGAAATATAATTTAAATAGAACTATTTTATAAAATACAGAAAGTATTGGCCAAGTAATTCTGTATTGATATATCAATAGTCTGATTGATTAATTTTATTAATTAAAATCTCTTTTATAAATTTCTAATGAGTTCAAAAACCCATCAAAGAATTCTCACTTTCATAAAAAAATACAAAGACGAGTAAATGCTTCATATTTAAGTTTAGATTGAGCCCAACTACTGGAATTGATGAATTTGCAGATTTATTAAATGAATGCTTTTCATTCAAATAAGATGCATCAAGAAGAGAAAAAGTGAATTTAATTGTTGAAAATCTTGTTCTAGATGATGAAAGCAAACTAGTGGAAGGAGGTATGAAAATCTATGAATAAAATAAGATTTATAAAAATATGTGGAGAGATTAATTGATTTCGTTGAAGGTCCAAGTGATGATCCTTTAGAAAAAAACAACCTTAAGCAACGAAGCTCCTCTGGCAGTTCGGATGAGGAAGATAATAGAGGTCATAATAGATAATAAAATAAACATAAAAGAGATAGAAGCAGAGATAGGGAAAAGAATAAAAAATCAAAAAAAAATTAAAAAAATACTAACATATTATCAGAATTATAAAAAGCAATAGGAAAGGACATGAATATTAAGGACTTACTTTCATCCCTTACAAATACTAATAACCGTAAATAATAGCATAATAATAATAATAAAAATGTTGTCTTTCTACAAAATGTTCCAAGGGAAATGAGATCCTACACTGAAATTGAAGCCCTACTATAAGGGAGAGGAGAATTAATTAAAATTTAACTATTAGGACGGTAATTTAAAGATCTATTTTTAGAGTTCCTTCTGTTCAATTTAAAAATCACAGTGATGCCTAAGCTTTGATTGATAAATTTATTGTCCATAAAGGAGTTAAAATTGAATTTACATAAAGTTTAAATAAAGTATTAAAGTAATAAAATATTAGTAGTAGTAACACTAAGATGATAACAAGAATCATAAGATTATTATATTAGACAAAGAAGGAAAAAAGGTATCTAATCAAGCGAGTTAACCAGCAGCACCTCTCTAATAAACATAATAATAATAATAATAATAACAATAACAATCATAATAACAATCATAATAATAGTAAGCTGTATAGAAATAAGACTCTAAAATGGAAGAGGAAACAGATTAAAAAAAAACCAAAGAAGAACAAGAACTAAATAATTAAATTGATTAAATTAAAGGACAAGCTAAAACATTGGTTGTAGATAAAGTTAGATTGGCTTTATTGCTAAATAAAAGGAAGGACAATTATTCTCCTTAATTAAGTGCTGAAATCGATGAATTAAAAAAGTAACCTTTATAATTAAAACTTAGAATGTTAACTTAAAAGAAGGAGGAGATTTCCAAGATGAATTCTCTGGAATAACTCAAAGCAGAATTACAATGGTTAAACGAAAATTATGATTACACTTTGTTAATTACACAGATCCCTGAATAATTATTTAAAGAGAAGACAGTTACCAAAGTACTCAATGAGGAATTCCAAGTAAGCATTCAAATAATATATTAGAAATATGGTAAAATTGACAATTTGCAAATTAAAATAAAAGATAAAGCTGCCCATCTTAAATTCTTTAGCTTTGATTCAGCAGAAAAAGTATTTAATTTTTATAATTTAGGCATATTATCAAGCAAACGAAAATTCTAATTTCAAAGTTGAGTTTTTAAATTAGGGTATTAAAAAGGTGTTAATTGCTTAAAGTTGAAATATTTTATAAATAATAGTATTTAATGTAAATAAATAATATAATCAATAAACTTTATTTTTTTCTTCTTTTGAAGGTTACAAAATATTTGAAGCCAAAATTTCACCTTTTTGAAATATTAAAAGTTATCAATAAATAAAATTAATATCATGTTTAACAAATTTTATATTGCTTTTTTCAAATAATATTATACTATTCCTGAGTTATTTAATATATATATCACTATTAGTACTAATTTAACTATAAATTTAGTTATGCTATAAAAATTTGGAAAAGAAGCTTACGATTTAAAATTTGAGAAATACTTTGATTTGGTTGATGATACGTTTGCATTAAATCCATAAACTATGGCAATTTCATAAAATGGTAAATACATCTTTTATCGGCATGGAACTTATACAATTAACAGTTAACATACTTTTATTAACTCATAAAGCAAAGTCATTTTAAGTATATCAGGTATTATTTAAGCCTGCTTCTCTTCAGACTCAAAATTTTTACTTTTTTCAGAGAGATCTAATGAAAATAAAACCTATCTTTGTCTCCTAAATTGTGAAGAAGAATAACTGGTTTGGAAGAAAGAATTTAATAGTGGTGAGTTCGAAAAAGATTCAATATTTTAAATACAATTTAGTTATTTAAATGAATTTGCGATCATAAGCACTCGTTTTTAAAGGTATTTTCAAATTTCACTTGATGGTACACATAAGGAAATGGTTTTAAAATAATATTAACCGATGAAATACTTTGATTAATTAAAATTTTTAGATGGGGAGTCCTTTATAATAGGAAAAATTGATTAAACTTAGAGGGAAAAAAAATATTCTTATTATTTTATCTACAAACAAAATCGTTTGATTTTTAGTTGGAAATCAGTTGCTTCAAAAAATTAAAGATTTGAAATCCAAAATAAATTTTTGATTGTTTTAAGAGATACTTATAGATTTTCCTTGAAATTAGCAACAACAGGAAAGCTTATAAGAAGTTTATTAATTCTTTAAGAAGAATCACTTAATTTTATATACTATAACAATGTATTTTATTAATTAGGTTTACTAAATGTATTAAAGTACGATTTAAGTTAAGGTAAGAAAATTTAAACTAATTGTTAAATGCCAAAGAAACATCAAAATGAATTGGATCATTTGAGAAAAGATTAAAATATTATTCGAGTTCATACTTTTGATGAAGGATTTGTTAGAAGGTTAGAATTTTTCAAATTAAATTAATATTATCAATGATTTTATTAATATATTTAAATAAATTTTAAGTTCTTTAGAAATAGATATTTTTATAAATGAATATCAGTTTAATTTAATTTTTTTATTATCTGCAGCTTCATAATGTTAGTATGATTTATTATTTTATAACAGTTCAATAAGTAAGGTAAGTTTTTCTTGTATCTTCTGATTCTGAGTTTAATGCATTAAGTTTTAGCATCTTTCTGATAAAAATACCCTTTCAAATTATTCAATCTCTGCTTTGAAAATATCTATTAGTTTATTATTTTTCAAAATTAATGTGACTATTTACATAACGCATTTGGCAAATTTAATTTCAATTTATTATTTTTGTTTGAAGAAAACTGAAAGATGAGAACATGACTATAATTTTTCTATAATAAACACGACTTCATCTAAATATTTAGGTAATAAGCCTATTATATTATATTGCTGTAATTTTGGAAGATATTCAGTAATTATATTTTTACTTTTTATCATTTAAATTATTATCTTTAGAATAATTGTTGTGTAATCTGGTTTTTATGAGTTTTAGTAGATCTACATCAGTTTTTTAAAGAATTCTTCATTAGCTATACAAAATTAAAACTACTTAATTAAATATAAGTAAATTTCTAAAGTTTCAAACAATTTTAAAGTTAAATCCTAATCTAAATTAAGTAAAAGTCTATCCTAAAATACTTTATCTTCAATTTTTTCTTTAGGAAAATTATTTTTTTAAATATATTTTGAAATTATTTAAATAACACTGCCTTCTAGCATATTCTAATTATCATCTACCCAAATAAGTATAACTTCTTCCCACATATTCAAAAGCTATTAATCTAATACTAGATTTTCATTTTTCATTAAATTTTTAATAATTGATATAGTTATTTTATGAATAAACCATTTTATAGTTTTTAATGATACTCTTTGAATCAGATTTGTATTACAAGCACTCATTTATTAGTTCTTTAATACATTCAACTTGTCCTTGATAAAATCAAGTGTCATACTTTTAAAACATTATGGCACCTCTTTACAAAAGATTTTGAGAGACTAAAGATAATTTACGGAATCATATAATGAGGTGATTTTTTCTAATCTTTATTGTATATGGCAACATTTGTGTATTTGAAAAGGGGTATTTTTATCTAATTTACTTAATAGACCAAAAATTATGATAATCTTATTATGAAATAGGGCGCTTGCATCTCTATTATATATTTAACATAAGCTTTCAAAAGATAGGTTTTTAATCAAAATTTAATGCTGAGTATTTACAACATTTAACAATACGAAAAGAACATCTAAATTATTGAAATTGTTACTTATAGCGCAATATTAAAGGCATTCTGGTACCTAAACTTGTAAAACCTATTGAATGATTGTAATTAAATGCTCTTTTTATTAATCTTCAATTTCCTCTTGTAAATGAGAAGAATATTTTAATTGTTTTCCAATTGAAATTAAACCATAATGAATTAGTGTGAAATCCTCACTCATTAAATTTTGAACTGCTTATTAGAATGTCAAATTGGGAGCAAAATTATGCTAAAGTAATTTCTATAGAAGGGACTAAGAAATATTTTATGGGAATAATATTTCAATTTCTTGTTATTATGACATAATTTAATATTAATTATATTTTAGCATAAGAATTATTCGAATTGAATAATAAGAAAATGACTAAATACTATCAAAGATTAAAAGCTATCTTGATATTTTTATATCATTTGTAATTTAATATTTAATATAAATGTAATAGCCAAAGGTTTAATGTGAATTTTATCATTTCTTATAATTTTAATTGTTTGAATAATTCTAAATAAAGTTAGAGATTTAGATTCATTGTCAAGAAAATATAACTGATATAATTTATTAATGAATATGAACAGATTGCATACTAGAATTTATACTATTCAAATTTATTTAGTGTTCATAATAAACATGTTATAAATATAATATTTTTCAAATCATAATGGGATGTATTTGCTCACAATAAAGAAGATTTAATTCACAAGAACAAACCTTAATACTTGAATCATTGACAGATATCAAAGATGATGATGATATAATGATTATGTAAATGAAACTAATATAGCCAAAATTTATCTATTAACAAGTACTAACTTAAATTCATTATTATATAATAGTTAAACAAAGAAAAGTCGTTAAAGATTTCATCTCGTTTTCTCGGCTCTAAGACCCCTTCTGAAGATGGGGTTCATCTGAATCCAAAAAGAAAGCTTAAAGGAATCTTAAAACAACAATAAAAATTTCAGAAAAAAAGGCCTAATTCTTTTGATTAGGCTAAAAGTGTTCGTTTTAACCTTATGCAGTAAGGTTAAGAGCTTTCGGGATAGAATTTGGTAAAATTGTCAAAATTGGTTAACTAAAGAACAATAAATAAAGAATGATATTTAATTGTTTCAATTAAAAATAAAATCGATTAATCAAAATTAAATATTCAAGGAAGTTCATTATTGATTTTTCTGTTATTAAATGATAAAAAGATGTTTAATAATAAATTTAAAAAGAAACTATATACTTATTTATCAAAATATTTTTGTTGCCCTAGTGATTAAATTATTAATAATTGATTTTCATTAATAAAATAATATTACATATGATGAATCGTTACTCCTTGTATTTTAAAGATATAAAGTTGGAAGATTCATATCAAAAATATTGGCTAGACATTAATAGAAGGCCTTTGTTGAAAAGATTAGTAATTACAACAACTTTAATTCAGATCACAGATCTGATATAAATTATAGCTACATAATAATACGAACTACTTAATTGGAATTATGTCCTTGTTCATTACTTATCTCAATTGTTTTTAAATATCATCCTTATCTTAATTTTAATTTATAAACCTAAACATGTTAGAACAGGACTTTTAGTATATAATCACTTTTTTGCCACTGTATTTGTAATTATTGAATATCAGAAAGCTACATATTCCATAAACTATTCAAAGATTGTTTAATTGGGTATAATTGGATCATAATTAATAATAATTTTATCATCTGATTTTATTTAAGCAGCTTATTAAGCAAGTGTTTTCCCTTCTGTATACATTTTTATATGGTCATATGGTGAGGAATCAATTTATTATCCTGGATTTGTTGCAATGCTGTTATCAGGATTAGTCATATTATAAGGTTTATATGATCATTAAGTAGCTTTAAGATCATAGTTTTAATTAGGTTTTATTGATAATCAATGGGAAAATATATTTACATAGTTAATTAGTGAATAATATCTAATATTTTATTTTGATAATCCTACATTTAGTTTTTAATTATCGAATTCTAAAAATTACATCTATAAAATAGATACAACGTAATAACTTAAAACATATTTAAGAGCAATAAAATTAAACAAAAAATAAAATTTTGAGTAATTTTGTTATGAATAGATTCAAAATCATACCAATTTTTCAAAGGATGATCTAAAATAGAATTTGTCAATTGTATTTTAGGGTAAAGCTTAAATTATTTAATATTCAATATTTTATAGCGCTAGACCTTTAATTCTGTTATAAATAATTTCTAAAGATAAATATAGCTATGAGGACGGAAATATAAATTAATAAAAAACTTTAAGTTTGAGATTAAAAACTACTAATTTTAAATATAAAAAGTTTATTTATTTTATTATATCAGCCCACTTAAAAAAAAGGTGTAAATGATATATCCGGCATCGGTTAAATCTTTTATCAAAAATTAGAAAAAATATGCCTTTACGCCCAATTTATAAGAATATATTCCACTCCTCATAGCATTTTATCCGGTATAAATATTTTAATTAGAATATTTGTTCTAAAAAGTATGTTTTATTTATTAAGATTATGAGATATAAATTGATAATAAAATCATTTTAATCACAAATAATAAAGAACTATTGCTAATGTTTTTTATTGAAATTATTGAAAAAGCAATATCAAAGCACTTGAATATATCAACATTAATCTTAGAAAATTCGTTAATTTGCGTCAAATTTAAATGCTATTATTCCAAAAAATCTCTTGATTCGTTGATCCATAAAATAAGCCTTTATTCAAATTTTATTAATAAGATAGAGTTTGAAGATCAATGTATAAAAACATTAAATTTTAGTTATTGGACTTTACATTCATAGCATTTCTTAATAGTTAGGAAATAAATTATAATTACTTCCATCAAGCCAAAACTAATTACCTTAAAATATATTAATTACTGATCGCTGACAAATTCTTACTCTAATTAATGATTATTTATTCTACATATCACAATAATTATTAATTCCTTGATTTAAATAGAAAAACAAAATGATAATTTAGATTAATGGCCAATTTCAAAGTAAAAATTTTGTGAATAAAGATTGACTATCAATCATAAACATATTTTTAGTCACAGTATTTGCTAACTTATAAGCAGATATTAAATTCTGTCTATTTGACTTTCATAAAAATACTTAAAATAGAAAATAATATATATTATAAATATAATGAATGAAACATATTAAAATCTGGTGTTATAGTATTTTGAAAAATTGAAAAAAGTGCTTCCCCAAAAGCTAAATTCTTATAAAGAGACAATACATAAATTCTAGGGATAGGATAAATCCTATTTTGGAGATCATATAATCGCATTCAAATAGGGAATGCAAATCAAATAAAGTAAAATAAAGGAATTGACGTTAACAACCCTAATTGTAAATTTTGATTACATTTTAGACCTTAGTATCAAAAGGTTATATTGATGGGGGCTTACAAGACAACACAGAAAACTTTTAATAATCTGATTAAATTGAAATAACAGACACTGCAGGTAAAAAAAGAGAATAACCTATTAATGTGATTGAATCACTGATACATTTAGTTCAATAATGCTTAGTAGAAAAGGATGAGATAATTTCATTAGCATTAAAATTATTGATATCGCTTGTGATGAATCCATATTGTAATATGTAATATCATGAGTTAACGAAAGTTATTAAAACAATAGTCTATATTTATGCTCAATCAAAGTCTTAAAATATTGACAGATTATGCAAAAGCATTTTCTTATAAATTATTTTGATAACATTTCAAGGAAGCAATAGCGATACCCTTGTAAAAATAACTCTAGATAATGTGATTAATAAAGTTTCTGAAATTAAATAATGTTAATATTGTGGGAAAGAAGGGAAGTTCGAATGTAGATAAAATAAAGTAACAGTGTGCTCTTATAGATGTAAGAAATATATTTAGGAGACATTGGAATTAAAATAAAAAAATTATGAAAATGCATAAAATCTCTTTGATTTACTAATTAGACTCTTATCTCCAAAATAGTAATTTTCAATAACAAAGAAATTAAATTATTTTATTAGAGGGAATCTATTTCATATGTGATAATTATGATTTCTCTGTGGAGGCATAAAATATTTACAATTTGAGTTCATATTTATTGAAGTTCTGTTTATAAAATGAATAATAGTTATATTCACTAAGCTTTAAAATATTTTAAAGATTAACATTCAGTAAACATAAAGAAATGATCAACCAAATAAATATCTTCATTAATTAGATCTACATTAGTGTCCTCACAAACAAGAATACTACTGATTAACATAAGTAAACAACATTAGAATCTCTATGGAAGATCTTTCAAAGAAAACATGCCTCACTTGAGTTTTATTTGAATTATGATTGCAGTATAAAGCATGAATTTTTAATGGAAAATATTATCAATACATTGCACAGCATTTTTTAATAAAATGAGTAATTCCGACCAGTGATCACACAAATTTATCAAGCCATTATTCTGGGCATAGAATCGACCTTTAATGAAAAGGCTATAAGTAATTCTTAATAGGAGTAATAACAGCCTTAGGATATAGATGAAACTGTATTTATAAACTAATTAGAGATGCAAAGATAATAAAAGCAAGAAATATAAAAAGGAGTAGATCTCTTTAAAAAGAATCCTGAAAAAGGAGTCTCATTTTTAATAAAAGCAAATATATTATAAGATGATCCTGCTTCGATTGCTCGATTTTTAATTGAAAATAAAAGTTTGCCCAAAGAGTCTGTAGGATAATATCTAGGTGGTCACCATCCAATCAATATATAAGTGTTAAGTGAATACACAAATTTTTTGAAATTTCATAATATTATCGGTTGAATAAGCTTTAAGATAGTACTTAGATTTGTTTACTTTACCACCAGAATCCTAATAGATTGATAGAGTAGTTTAAAAGTTTGCTGATAAATTTTATGAAGACAATTAAAGCAATGCGTATTTCCACTTTAAATCCAGCAGCAGCATTTATACTTTTACTTATCTCTTAGTCATGTTATAAACTGATTTGCACAATCCAAAAGTTGTTGAAAAAATGAAATTAACAGATTTCATTAAATTGGCCAGATAAATAAATGATGGAGAGGATTTACCATCAGAATATCTCACAGTAACTTATCACTCAATTTAAAAAAATCCCCTTGCTGTTAGAGAATCTAATACACCTATGAATTCACTCACTCCTAATTAATATTAGAAATAGATGGAGGAACTCTTAAAGAAGATTAAAGATTTAATAAAAAGATAATCTAATTCTAATTATATTTAAATTGATTAAGAAACAATTTTGTTATCAAAGGGTTTATTTGAATAATTTTCAGGAAAATTTTTAGAAATACTGTTAGTAACTTATGAAAACACACCGAATGGTGATTCTTTAATTAAAAGCATCCTTTAATTAATAAAGTTGTCTTCAAAATTATCTATGAAAATTGAAAGTTTGGTTTAAGAAGTTATAAAAGTAGGGTTGAATAGTTTAAAAAAAGGAAGTACTATGTTAATGATTAGTTTATTATCAACAATTCCAACTATTGGGAATTCATTACACGAATAAGGATGGAAATGTGTTTTAGAGGCTGTAAGTTAAATGGATGAGTTCAGATTGTTAGATTCAGATCACACAGAAAAAGTGTTTATGTGTTCAAAGGATTTAGATAATTCATCTATTGAGGAATTTATACTTTAACTATGTTAGTTATCAAAATAAGAAATCATTTAAAAACATCGTATTTACTCTTTATAAAAACTTGTTGAAGTCAGTGATTATAATATGGATAGAGTCAAAGTCATATGGAATAGGCTATGGTCAATTGTAAGTCAGCATATTCAAGAAACAGTGTCAGTCAGAGTTAAAAAGATTACTATTGTTGCTGTTGATTCATTAAAATAATTAAATATGAAATTCTTATCGAAAGAAGAATTGTATAACATAGAATTTTAAAGAGAGGTCTTAAAGCCATTTGAATTAATCTACAATAATAGTGATATTGAGGAAAAGGAATTTGTATTGTTATGCGTAAAATAAATTCTTCAAAATAGTAAGACTTACATCAAGAGCGGATATAAGGTCATTTTTAATTTAATAAATCTTGGCTTAAAAGAAGAAAATGATACACTTTCAAAGTTAGCATTTGATCTCTTAAGATTTATAGAAATATAAGAATTAATATTGATCGATTTAATTTAAACCTATTAGATTCTAGGTAAAAAGGATAATGAAAATATGGCAATTAATTCAATTGATTTTGTTAAACAATGTTAACGTTTTATGATAACACAAGAGTAATAAACCTTGCAGGTTCCCCTCTTAGGAATTCTGTCAAATTTGGCAGGGGATAAAAGAATTCAAATATAAACTTAGGCAGTTGAAACATTATTTTACATTTTAGAAGAGAAAGGTAATTTATTTAATGAGGAATATTGGATAATGATATTTTCTTCTGTTTTAAGACCCATATTTGATGAGATTTAATTTACTTTAAGTACAAATCCAGAACTCAATTAATACTGGTTTAAGGATAGTTGTCAAAAAGTATTTCAAAATATTTCAAGTTTAATCAAGAAACATTACACTAAATTAAAAGGATAATTACCAGATTTTCTAAAATTATTCTAGAATTGTATTCAGAATTAGAATGAAAAATTAGCACAACTAAGTATTTAAGCTTTCAAAACTATGATTATGGAGAAAGGGTTACAATTTGAATAGAAAGATTGGGAATTAATATTGTCATTTATTCAATAGATGCTTAAATATACGATACCAACTAAACTTAGAGATATCGACTAATCTGTGATTAAATAAGAATAATAAGCTAGTCGTAAACTATAGCGATAAAAATCACTGTAAACTGTTACAAACAATATAATTAATGAATGCTACAGTCAATGTGCTGCTTAATTACTATTAATTTAAACCAGCAGAGACATTTGCGAACTCTATCATTAAAATTGGAGTCTAAGTTAATTAGATAATCTAGAAGTCACCTTCTATGAATCATATTAATTTGCTAAGTTATTCAATCAATAGATTGAACAAAGATACAATATTTGGAAGTCAGGATTCATGTAAGATATGAATGTGCTTCCCGGTTTACTAAGACAAGAAAGGGAAGCATTTTCTTGCATGATTATGATTATCTAATTTAAAATAGAAATTTTGAAATAAGAATAATTGAAGGTACATCAACAAAACTAGGAGTAAGTTAATGAAGAATTACAAATTAAAGAACCATATGAAGTAGTTTTAAATAGGTATTTACATATATTATTGGACTCTATTAAGTAATTTAATTCTAAGCATATTTAATTTATTAATCAATAACAAGAAAGTGGAGAAGATCCTCTCTATAAGATTAGGCAGTATGAAACGGAAAGAGATATTTAAAATCTCAGAACTCTATTGGATGTTTCTATTTTACCAAGAATTTTGTTATTGAGTGATTAAGAGGTAGTTTTAATTATTAATTTAGATAAAACTAAAATTAAATGAATTTTATGAATAATTGTTGAATGCATGCAGCTTTGTCAGTGAATACTGCATATTACAAATGGGGTGTTAGGATTGTAAAAAGTGTGTTAGATGCTTAAATTAATAGAAAAATAATCTGTTTTTTCAAATAAAGAAATGCTTACTAAAATTGTTTGAGTTAAAATGATTATATATTATTATAAAAATGGATTAAATATTTATTTCTGGTATTGCAGGAGGCTCAGCAGGAATCATTACAGATTTTATCTTTTTTCCTATTGAAACAATAAAGACCAGAATCTAAGCATCCAATAATAAAGTTGATTATTTCAAAACAGCAGCCAAAGTAAATAAATACAAAGGAGTATATCCATCTTATCTATTATTTGAAGCTTTTATCATAAATCACAGTCTCCTTTCCATCAGCATTCATATTCTTCTCCACTTATGATACATCTAAAAAATATGGTTGTTCGCATATGATAGCAGGTGCATTAGGTGAGTTTGTAACAAACATCATCAGAAATCCTTTTGAAGTGGTCAAAAACCAAATGCAAGTAGGTTTAGATGCAAGTGTGAGAGACACACTGAGATCGATCTATTATGGTTAAGGATTTAGAGGTTTCTATGCCGGATTCACTACTATAATAATGAGAGAAATACCATTCAGTGCAATTCAATTTCCAATATATGAAAATATGAAGATACACTTTGGAAATGACGGATTTGTAGACCATGCATTAAATGGGGCTGTGGCAGGAGGCACAGCAGCCTTTTTAACTACACCATGCGATGTTGTGAAATCTAAATTAATGACCTAAAGGAATCAATTTTATGATTCTCTCAGAGGTTGTATTAAGTCGATTTATGAGACAGAAGGGATTCTAGGTTTCTTTAGAGCTGCCCATATTCGAACTATGTAGATCTCAACATCAGGAATTATATTTTTTAGTGCATATGAAAGATGTAAATTTTATATTTCATCATTCAATAATAGATCATGATTATAGCTTTTTATTGAGATATTCTAAAAGTGAATAAGAATTAAGGACATTTTCCAATCTATCTACAAAAGATATATGTTTCCCATGTAATATTCTGTATGTCTTATTCTCTTCAACTGTAAGTTTCTCTTTTATTACATGAAATCCTCCATTCTGTAAGATTTATGGTAAATGATACTCGCTACTCATCTTGTTCTATAGTGTATATTTTCTTGAATGCTTTCCCTTCACTTGTATTTCTAGTTTATCCCACGTTTCCTTTGAAATTGATAGAAACATTCCTTGCTCAGTATTTGTATGCACATCATAAATCTATACTCTTATGCCTATAGGTTTATCTTGTATACCCAAATAAGACATTGTGAATGGTATTTTATACATGCTGTGTTGGTTTGCTAATTTTATTCTAAAATTTACTCAAAAACATTCTGCAATTGCATTCACATGACAAATCAACTGATAAAATGGCATTCTCTTTAAATCTTTCTTGATCGTCTGCATCCAACTCTTTAGTAAAGGTCAATAATGTATAACAGTTGCATAGAATATTACAAATCAGAAGAGAATCAGCTTAATCTAGATTGCTAACATTTAATCCTAATTTCTGGCATACATTATCATACTAAATTTAAGTATGTCCCATTGCTTTAACTTTTGATTATCTTGGACCTACCATTAATTTAATACTTACCATAAGTCTCATATGTGTTGCTCAAAAATAACTCAAAACATTATTCTCTAGAATTATCTGCAATAAAAATAATTCTTTAAAAAGTATTTTTATCCCATATTTTTATTAGGCACATCTAAACTTTTGCCTAACTTTTATTTGGCATTGTTATTTAGGTACCACTCAAAATTTTATTGATTTATTGAAATTTTTGAACATTAAAAATTCTATATAAAAGCTCTTCTAAATCATTTACTAATTTCTATATAAATTAAGTCAATTTTTATTAATTTTTAACAATGTAACTTCGTATATTGTAAACTTTATGTTTTGGTTTTACAGTATCATTAGATTTTTCCAAGTTCTCTTAAATTCTAATCATTTCCTAAACTTCCTCTCTTTCGTAATCATCTTAACCATATATATCAAAGAATTAATCTAATGAACTTTAATCAAACTATAAATCTAATGCAATTGTGTTTAATATCAATCTAAATATTCCATCCTCTAAAGGATACAACTATGGAATGCATTATTCATCACACAATTATATCTTGTCTCCATCATTTAATAAACTTTATGGCTATGCATATATTGATATTTTTTGCTCTCCTTCTTCTTCTTTAATTGAAATGAATGGAATTATCAAATATTAAATAAACTACTTAAAAGTAGTAATACATTTCAGCTATTAAGTGTAAGGCAAGACATTCTTATAATCTATGAATTAAATTAAGTCCTTTATAATAGATAGTTCAACATATTCAATTTTAGCAGTTGAATGTTCTTATTTAGAATTGATTGAAATCTTAATTGACAATTCTTTATTCTTCTACACAACACCACAAGATATTTCATATAAAACATTGTCAATTAGTGCTTTTTTCACAATTGTTTAATCCGTAGTTAAATTTATATTGTATTATTTTGATTAATCCATCTCTAAATTAATGTTAAAATTTATTACAATCTAAAATTGTTAAATTCAAATCTATTGTAAAATCTGTGTCATTTATCATAGATATACTATTTATTTTCGGTTCATCGGTGTCAACTAATCCATTAATTAAGTTATGAATATCAATAGTACTTTATCTCTCTTATTTCCTAATTTATAAACTTTGAATCTTTTAAGATTGGTTTGAAGCAACACCAAAGCTCATTCTTTCTTACATTATTCCAGGCTAAAATTCAGAACTTTAGTGTTATTATGTTGAAATTTAAGAATTTTACAATTATTATTATTATTATTATTATTATTACTATTACTATTATTATTATTATTATTATTGTTATTATTGTTATTATTGTTATTATTGTTATTATAGAATTTGTTATTGTTATTATTATTATTGTAGCAATTTCATCTTTTCTTGAGCTGTCTCTTATTCCTATAATCGGAATTTTATTTTTAAAGCCTCAGCACTTAACTAAGTAATCTTATCTTTTAATTCTTCAATCTCTACCTCTCTCTCTTTCCTTTAATTTTGAATTCTTTTATTCTCCTTTGTTAGTTCATCAATTTTTTTTTCTAATTCAACTATTTTTGGTTCTTATTTTTTCTAACCTTAAGATTTCATAAATGTATCTATTTTTCTTTATATAATTTATTCAATATCATTTTAAGATTATACTGGCTAGCTTTAAACTAACTATTAAATTATTTAGGATGATACTTTTGGTGATTGTATACGAAAACTTCCTTTATGAATATTCGTCTATTATATTTTTTGCTATTAGTTTAGATCATGTCTATATGATTGTGGTTTCACAGAATCAGGACGCTTAAAAGACTTAAATCCTTAGGCTTCACTAATGGATCTCTCAATAAATCTTGGATTTTAAAAAAGGGCTGTTTTTCCACTCTTTAAGGTTTTGAGTAATTGATGAACTTAAAAACAAACTTTTGATGAGTTCAATATTTTGCCCATAGGTTTTTTCTTAAAATATGCATTTAAATCGATACCATGGGAATATAGTTATTGATGCTTTTTTTCAAATTAGAACCTCTTTCACTAAATAAAAATAACTTAGTAATTTGATGTTATGGTCCAAAATACTTACGACCAAGTTTGGCTCCATTTATAAAAAATTATTAAAAATCTAAATCTTAACAAAATCCAAGAACCTATAAATTTTGAACAGTTTTTGCATAGAAAATATACCCATTTAGAAGAAGAACAATATCTCTAGGTCTGCATGAATTTTTTATTTCCTTGAAAATCTGATCTAATTAAAAAGTAAAGCCATACATACGGTTCGTAATTCACTAAGGCCTTTTCTGTGATGGAAAGACATTTTTTGAAATCTTACAAGAAATAATAAATCCTGGATAAGTTTAGATGTGAGATCATATGTAGTTATGGGATATCTTATTCAAAGTATTTCAGGTTAAATTTTGCTACCTTCTTTGCCAAGTCTATCATATGAGCTTGGAAAAGCAGGACTGTTAAATTATTTAATGATTGCACACAATAAAAAGTAGGAACATCTTAAGACAATGAAATGGTTAGGATAATAAGATCAGGACTTTCTGGATATTCCTCAAACATTTGAGCAAACATCTAAAACAGTTCGTATAAATTGGAAGGGTCTTTATTTAAATTTTTAATGAAATCGATAGGTATTGACCTGCCCTTAGCAAAATTGTGGAGTATTTCAATGTAATAATTATTCATATTAATAAAAATATGCAATAGAATCCTTTATAGTTATTATTGAGCTTATTAGCAGCAAGAGAAGAAATTATATTTATGATAAGAATAATTGGCCATTAGATGCATGAGGATTGCAGAAATAAACTAGGAACATTACGGGAAATATCAGATGAAATCATGAGAGGGGAATAAAAAAGGGAAAATTTGGAACATTATTTGTTTTTAAACTTGACTGAGAGTAATCGTAAACTATTTCTTCCCAAGGTGATTTAGAAATATATCAAAATAACTTAATATTATTTAGTCAAAACTCAGGTATATATTTTTGAATGAAGTAATAGATATACTTTCCAAAGTAAGGATAAGTAATTTGTTAGGAAGTAATAAATTAACCAAACTTAAGGAATTCCATCTCCCAAATTCTTTAAGAATCACTTGTAACCATACTGAAGTTTATTTGTAATCTCTAAAAACAAAAGCTAAAGCACGAACTTGCTCAAATGTTCAATTATGAATTGTATAAACCTATTTAAAATCAAGAGAGGACCGTTGTAATAGAAATGAAAAGTTTTATTCTGAACCGCTTGTCCTAGGAGTAATCGGATTACGTTATTTGAATGAATTACACAAAAAATATTGTTATTCTGCATGCAGACATAGTATTCGAAATGTCTATGATGTTCTCCTTTTGGATGATAATACTAAACAATTATATCTATAAGGAGGAGGTAAGCATTAAAAATATAAATAGGATTTTCAAGCCTTATTAGTAGTATCACAAAATTAAAGGATAAATCAGTTGATAACACATAATCCGTGTATATACCAGTGGAGAGTACTGTTGAAATAATTACTTAGAGATATGAAAAATTATTAAAAGAAATTCTGGATCAAAACTATCATGTTCAAAAATCTGTAAATAGATATTATGATTAATACAAAAAATATAAAATGAAGCCTTTGTTGATAAAGGGTTATGCTACTCCGAAAAAATAGGAAACGGATTTTAAGTCATAACGAATTTAAAAGAGGTCAATCGAATCTGGTCCCATCTTAAGTGATATGGGAAGATATTCTGAACCAATCAGTAGAAACCCTTTAACATAAGACTATTTAAATTCAGTTAGATCGAAACAAGCAAAGTGTAGAACATAAAAATAAAGCGACATTATTCTAAGTGGATTTATATCACCTAAATAATAAACTATTGTCAGAAAACATAGAAGTTTAAAAAATTATGATCCCTCATTACTGAAGCCAACAATCTTATAAAATTTTTATGATTCTAATTTAAGGATCACTCATAGCATTAAAAAGGCAGGATGATTTTTCATAAATATATAAATATGTATGTCTCAAAAATTAATAAAATCAAATTTCTTTTAATAAGTTATAAATCATACGTTATAATCTACTTCTATTGTGTTTTCATATTGACATTTCAACTTGTTAATATTTCTTTTGATATATTATATAATAATTATATTGTATGGGGAAGATATGTAATTAAAAAGTATTTTTAGAACTATTTTTATAAAAATTACATTTTATATAAATATTTTTATATATTATATTAAATTTAGTTTATGATACTCTTTTATCTTATTTGTACATTTCAAAACTTAGATATAGATTGAATATTTCAGAAAATCAAATTCATCAGTTTTGAGATCTGCATTTGATAACCTAAAAAATGACATTCTCTTAAACTAGTAGATGCACTTAACATAAATATAACATGATTAATGTTTACGAATATTACTATATGAAATTATTTATGTTTAATTATCATTTTTTTCATATCGCCATCGATGACAACATTATTATAATCAATTTTTTTATTATGTAATGATTGCCATAATTTCTAATTTGAGTATGAATATAATCATTTTTTCGATATAAAAATGATTTAATGTATTTCAAGACAATCAAACATCAAAGTAATTAATCATAAATAATTAATTGCGAAAAAAAATAAAAATAATGAATCCAAGTCGCAAATAGTAGAGTCTCCAAAAATCGAAGACTTAAAATATTTAAATAGTGAAGATGCACATTCGCTCCAAGCATTAAGAGAAAACATACTCAAAAGCAATTCACCCCTCGAATTTATAAACGAAGCCTTTCTCTTTAAAAAATTTAGATTTAGCCTTACCTGACAAGTATTCATATAGATAAATTTACATAGTTCCATATCTTAGTCAAATACTTCATTTTAAGATGATAAGAGTTGCTGCTGTATTGATTGTGGCAATCTAAGCAAGAAGGTCAAAAATTTACAGAAGAAATTCACAGTGTTTAGGACAGAAATGTCAATCTTGAAAAGGCAAAGATTAGTTAAGAGATTTCAAAATGCTGTTCGTTGCATCATATTTTTGAAAGAGAAATGGAAGAAAATCAGATAATAAGAAAGAGCTAAAAGGCTATTTAGATTTAAAACCAAAGTCTTTGAGAATTAGCCTTTCTTTTAAACTTAATCACCTTCTAATTAAGCTTAATTATTATTTCTTAATTCCTAACTTCAGAGTGAAGAAAAACAAGCTATAAACACATAACTTTAATCTATTTAAGTTAAAATTTTTGATTAAAAGAACAAATAAAGATAATCAGTAAAGTTATATTTACAATAAAAACTGAATAATAAAAATGATGTGTAGGGATTGCTTCCTAAGTTAGATCATAATAGATAAAACGTATCAATATCCAGCTCAATATTCAGACCAATAAGAATACTTAAGACTTTAGGGGATGAGAAAAAATCACTTCAAAAAGAATAAAATTTATCAACTTAAAATCCTTCAGTTGCTCAATCTCCTTATCTAAGCCATTTAACCCATTTGAGCGGAAATAAATAATAGGATTCCCAATTCTAAATCATCAGATCACCCAGATAGGTTATTAAAAGTTTTGCTTCAGAAACATTTTTTCCATAAAGCACTTAGAAAAATGATTAAAGAAAATTAATTGCTCAAAAACTAAAAAGAATAGATTGATTAAATTTGATTAAAATTAATATTAAACAAGTTTATGCATTTTCTGATTACCTTCTATATCTTTATTAAGATTGATCTATAAATATTAATATAGAATAATTTACAAGTAAATTTATCTAGTACGATGACAGATCGAAATCTTAACCCAATTAAAAAACTGATTATAACATCAATGATTGGGAAGAGATAAAGGAAGATAAAATTCAAATGAAACAGGTAGAAAAAGACCCTAAAAACAGAATTATTGGAGTCTCTGATAATGATGTTGACAGTCTTAAAGGATATCTTTTATCGAATGACTATTGACTATACTTTATTTAAGGCTTAAATTTAATTGATTGACTCTGGATAAGATGGACTAACCATATACATTGTTAGAATATTCTTAAGTTTATACTTAATAATATTATATTTTATAACTAATAAATTGAAGAAATATAATATACATAATCTAGATCTAGCTTTAACTGGTCTCTACTATGTGAGTGCATTTTTAACAATGTTCTTTGTTACTTTTAACAATTAACAGAGATTCCTTATATCTGATAATGCTGAAGCCTATTTCTTTGCATTTTCAGCTGTAAACTAATTGTCATTAAAATTCAAATATATGTTTTTCTATATTTTATTACAATAAGCTGCATGGTTTGTTTAGCTTCTTCTACATGAACATAATAATTTATTAGTATTTATAGTGTTATCTACAATAATCTTGGTAATAGTCTCACATAACAATTTTGAATTGACAATTAAAAATTTTAATAGCGCTGCCAATGAAAATCTGAAAAAGAGCAGAGAGATTCTTTACTAACTCATTTATTGCCGTCTCGTATTTTAACAAGGTTCTATTAGAATAGCAAAATTAAATTGGAATTATCAGATGTTTTAATAGATGCAACTCTTTTGTTTGCTGATATAAGTGGATTCACAGCATACTCAGCAAAGTCTCAGCAGAATAAGTTGTAAAAATGCTCAGGGAATTGATGACATCATTTGATAAGGAATGTTTATAGCAGAATGTTTACAAGGTATACACTATTGGTGATTGCTACGTTGTTTTGTGAATAAATGACATGGAACAAAGACATCCTGGATAAGAAGCTAAAAATGTCCTAGAAATGGGATTAGAAATGGTAGAAATTATAAAGAGAGTTAGAAAGGAAGTCAATTTCAAAGATTTGAATATGAGAATAGGAATACACACAGTAATACATTTAATTTATTAACTTTAGGGATAATTCTATGGTGGTATTATTGGAACAGATATTATAAGATATGACATTTTTGGTATTGATGCAGTGATTGCCAATAAAATGGAATCCTAAGGAGAAGCAGGCAAGGTTATGGTAAGTGAAGATACAATAAGATTAATCAATATGCATTTTCCTGGAGAATATATTTTCACTCCAAATAAAGAAGTAGACATTCCTGTTGCTAAGTAGAAGGTTTAGGCATATTTTGCTACAAAAACATATATATTAAATCCTCAAGATAATACTTGATGACTTTATTTTTAATATTTTTCTATATTTTTGGTGTTTCTATAATAAATTTGTTGATTATCTTAGACAAATAAATACTATATCACTTTTTGGCAGTTCCATCTATTTATGCCAACATCTGTGCCATCAATTTCTTAACCTCCATTGTTATCTTCATCATTAATAATGACTATTGTCTTGTATATTCCATGGATGCTTGCATTGAAGTTGAGATATACTCGATAAACTCAAACAATTATTGACTTTGCTTAACAGACCTATTGTTAATGCGAATTATAATTACGCGTATAATTCATCTTTATTTACTTTCTATTGTCCCTTGAAAATCTACTACATAAATTTATTGATGTCTTAATCATTCAATCTTTTATTTAATCCAATAGGTTTGTTTTCTCCCTTGCAAATCAACACTTTAGAGATTCCTCTAAATAAGCAATCAATAAAAAAGAAAAATTCATCTGAAGTAATATGATTTGTCTTATCTGAACCAAAAATCACAGCGATGTCTATTCTTATATCAATAGTTAGTTACTATAAAAAATTTAACTAATTTCTCCAGTTGACAGAAGAAGCATAACTGAAAATAATTCAGTTGCATCAATTCTTCCTATTCCTCTAGAATCAAATTATTAAAAAACTGTAGCCAAAGCTTACTTTTTATTGGAGATGGAATCCATTGCTTAAGATGAATCAAAAAATAGAGGCAAAGGAGCTTAGTTCTTTTTTGTCAATTTCTGTAGGATTGATTTCAATGTCTCTTAAGTCCCTGATATTATGAACAAATTTAATTACATCCTCCACAAAGTTCTTCTAAGGCTGCCAACAAACAAGATTATTCTCTTAAATTATTAAAGTATTATTATCTAAATTATGAGAAGGAAGTAGTTTCGAATTTTTAATACATACAATAAATAAATTAATGAATTATATTAATCTAATAAGAATATAGCAAAAAGAATGATAAAAAAAATACTCATTGCCAATTCAATTTATTTTAATTCATCTCTAAATGTGTTTAAAGCAAATTCTATACTCTAAATAATGAATATTCATTAAATTATAATTTAAAATAAAATACTTCAATTGAGTGAGCATTTCAATTTTAGTGCAAACAGACTATTAAATAATGCATTATTTGATTTGATAAATAAAACTATATTATTTTCAAAAACACTTTCATAATATTATCACTATTGCGAAATTTTTGGTCCTTGATAACCATACTTAACCCAAGGTGGCACCTAAGGCTTGCTAAATGCTTCAGAATTTATAAGAATATATCCTAAAGTAGACATTACCATAGCTAATATTAAAAGCAAAAAAAGAGAAGGTAAATAGTAAACATACTTCTAATCTGGGAAATAGTAATACGAATAATGATCTTCAGGCAGAAATGGCTTATTTATCAAAATTATTTACTTTTAGTAATAACCATGAACAATAATATATATATGATCCTACTATTAAAACCAATGCTAGCAATCCTAAAACTCTCATTATATTAATTAAATAATAATGAAGATTAATAAATTCAATCTCGAAATTTATCAAATTATATTATAGTAATTAAGAAACTCAACGACCACTAGTTTTTGTAATCTAAATTGATTTCTTATTCCCAAAAATAATAAAAAATCATTTTAATTCTTCGAATGCTCGTTACAATCTTTCATGATTAATAACTATAAATTTCTGAGGTTCGTTTTATTAAACTTAAACGAAAGTTTTTTTGTTTGTATTGTGATTAGATTAATTCTCAACTTAAGGTGTATTATTTCCATTAGGCAATAATTAATTTCTTCTCTATTTTAGATAGTTAAGCAAATTATTGATATTTGTTTTGCTTATATCTCCATTACTTTCCTACATTTCTAAATAGTTTAAATTACTTATTATGCATATTTTAACATTTATTTGATAACATCCTCTTAACCTCTTTTATACTCTGAAATACAATATTAGTAACACTCTTACATAAACTCATTTAAGTCTTTTCTTGTTATCTCATATTAGGCATTTAATTAAGGGTCCATAATTTATAAGTTGTATATGTACTAATATTATTATAAACTACAAATTTAATTTTCTTAAGAAGCAATTAATAAAATAGAAATTTGAAGGGTATTAACAACTATAAAATATATGATTGTTGTTCTTGTATAAATGGCAATTAATATAATGAATTTATTATTCGAAAGAAATGAAACCTCAAAATTAATTGATTTATATTCAGTTTATTTATTAAGTGTTTCTGTTTTCAATTCTAGAAATAAGAATAACAGTATTTATTAAATAATGTTTATTTAATACTTATATTTAATTAACATTAAATAATATTCGATCATTTTCGAAGCAAATTAATTATAATTTGCTTAAATAATGCTAAATATTGTTTCTAAGTTTGTTGTTTTATTAAATTGATATCAATATTTTCTAAAATGGTATTTTCGTATTTCTATACATTATCGGAAATAGTAATTTGAGAACATCTTTGAAATTGGAAGGAGAATGAATTTTCAATAAACAGCCATATAATTTCATTCTGTTATACATTAGGATCAAGTGGTTATTTCAACAGAAAAACGCAGAAGAATTCGGATATTTAATGTTAAATGTCAATCTCAATTGGATTATTTATATAAAAACCTACTCAATTATTAAATGGATTCAATTGACTATGGAGATGCGAAATTCAAATTTTTGGGAATTAGAAAACACTTTTTTAAGGATGTTGCTTATCATATCACAGTTTTTGATGAGATAGTCATTATGGGCATAGTAGAGATTGTAAATTAAAATTAGACCGCTGATTGCTAAAATCCTAAATACAGAATAAAACTGACTCTAGATACAAAAATAAACTGGGAGATTAGTAAGAACAAGTAAACACTGGAATGCTTTGAATTTCCATACTAAAATAAGAAGAAGGTAGTCCATGCACAAGCAAAGGATTTATAAAGGTACTTAGGTTTGGTTTTATATTAGATTCAAAGAACTATTAGCTGGAAAAGTGTTATTTGAAGGCATAGGAGACTTATTTCAGCCTCTATTTTAGGTGGGCAAAGGAAGTTCAGCAAAAGTATGAATATCAACATGTGTTTTAAGGTGTACAGTGCAAGAAATGTTTTAGATAAGGAAGTGTATGCTGTTAAGGCAATTGAAAAGTCCTTTCTGAAGCTATCAGAAAATGGAAATGGAATGGTAATCAATAAGTATACTTTAGTAAGCTTTTTAATCTGAAATACAAGTCCTAAGAACTTTATCATAATATGAACATAATTTCTTGGTTCTAAGTGAAATCTATGAGGGAGACAGTACTTTTTACGTGGTCACTTCATATTTGGAAGGCTTGAGTTTGAGTGGAGAATTAGAAAAGGCAAAGGTGTTATATAATAATAATTCTATAGACACTTCCTTAGAAAAGACTACCAATATAAAGTATAAAAACTATAATGAAAAAGCTACTCACTAATTTAAAAGTACTTCATTCCCATCGAGTACATTTAATATTAATAATAGATAATTCATCGAGACTTAAAACCAGATAATTTGATGTTTGCACGAAAAAACGACTATTCTTCATTAGTTTTAGTGGATTTCGGTCTTGCAACTTCAGAACTATTAGATAAGTAATCAACTGGATCTATACAAGATATTTATTTCCGAAGTGTGGTACACCTGGTTATGTAGCTCCTGAGGTCTTAAGTACAAGAAGTGATTCAAAGTACAATTGTAAAGTTGATATATTTTCTGCTGGCTGCATTTTTTATAAATTACTCACTGGACGTAGTTTATTTCTCGGATAGAATTTTGATGAAGTCTTGAGATCAAACAGACATTGTCATATTGATTTAGACATCCCTTTAGATGGAATACACATTACAGATTAATCATTAGTATGTTATATTCAGTCTATCTTAGGATTTATTAAAAAAGATGCTGAATAAAAATGCTAAGAATAGAGTCACTGCTATTTAGGCACTGCAACATCCTTTTATAGACTCCAATAGCGAATAAAGTACATAGGCAATATAAACCACTGGGTAATAAGTGATAAAAAATGCCATTTATCAATTAAATTTGGCTGAATTAGAATCTAAATACAATAGTTAAAATGATATAGGGGAGGAACAGAATTAAAAAATTAATGATTTAAAGAGATATTCCTTTATAACTGAGGTGCAATAGTAATAGATGTCAATGTCAGCCAAAAGAATGAGTGGCTAGTTCTCAGGCACCTTCTATTAGAAGGATCCATTATCGGCTGTGCGTACATTGAAATTATACACAGAAACCTCATAGCCCATAAAAAATAGTAGTCATTATTCACAAAATTCAGCTTCTTAATTTTGATTCTTTAATCTTGTATTTTAACATAAATTATTAATCATTTATTTGACAAAGATTTTTGGGATCCTATGCTTTTCTAACTTTGCAATTCTTCCTAAGCAGCAGCCAAAGTAGTATAGTCTCCTTTAGCAGCCAAGATATATGCTGAAGCAGATGCTTATTATGAAATCCTTCTCATCATTTTTCTCATATCTTCTTTTGAGACAGGTTCCTTGTTATCAATTGATTTAAATGAGTTTGATGTTATAGGTGATACGAATTTATTGAGTGTGGCTTATGCTTTTTCTGTAGAAGTGGTTAAGTTAGGCACAATCACTAAAAATAATATTTAGGTATAAAAATACTAGATTAACTTAATTTGTTTCCTCTTTAAAACGCTTGTTGTTACTATTACTGTTTTTGCAATTCAAATTGCATTTCTTCATTGCATATTTATATTCTGTTTAATTTTTAATGAAGTGTCTCTACTTAATCTTTCAATTCCTAAATTGATTAATCCTTTAGAGCTATCTCATCCTACAGCTTTTGAATTTGATCTGTATCATCATGGATTGATGAAAACAAAGCAGTGCTACATGATAATTTTGAATCTTATAATTTGGTTTCTCCTTCTCTACAATCTTTAAGAGCTCCTAAAAGAAGATCTCTTCTCTTTTTTAAAACTGGTACTCTCTTATCTATTATCGAATTTTAGCATTCCATTTTGGAGATTAATTCCTACAAGTCATCTTAATATGTTTCTTGGATTACACCTAATTAATGGGCCATAAAGTAAATAAAATTTAATTAGAGAATAATTTTGTGAGTTCACAAATTATTTCACTTAAATTATTACATTAAACTCTTCAATATCAATAATAAAACAAACTTATTCAATGATTCTATTTAGAATAGCTTCAATAAAGAATTTTTAAATAATTTCATTATTAATCTTCATCTCTTCTTGATTAATCATAAAATATATATAACCGTAAACAACATATGAATATTGAGATTAATTAATCAAAAAAACTACAAAGTATGTATGTAAATAAAAGATAATGAAAAATTAAATTATCTTAGTAAATTTCTTCAAATCATGGAATTATTATCATATCTTATAGTTAATTTTAATATATCATTGTTGTAATTATAGATAATTACTTAAAAATCGATATTTTACTAAAGATCATTTAATAAATAAAATTGAATAAATGCATAAGTGATGAGTTTTTGTTATGGAATTGTTTTGACTTTTGTTCAAACAGTTAAAATGAAGATTTGTTTGGAAGGGAATTATAGCGAATAATTTATATTTGAAGTATTCATTAAGTATAATGGTTCTCAAAAATAAGAATTAATGTCTATGGTATTATATCATACGAATAAATAATGAGGTTTTATTTGAATGTTATTAGATTATTTTATTTTATTCATTTAATTCTTATTCAATATAATTGCATACATTATATCAGTAAATAACTAAATAGAATATTCACCATATTTTTGAATGTATCAAATGACAGAAATTTTTCATTAATTAAATTAAAAATGTAAATCCTCTCATTGCTAGCCATCCTTTGTCTTCTAACCACAATTAAGGCAGCTTGTGAACTTGTAAATGGTGCATGTCCATCAGCATGTAATTTGGTCTAAGGAGAATGTGTTTCCTTGAGCTGTTTTGATTTTACTGCTAAATTGGGGGACTCTTAAACCAACCCATTCAAAGGTACAACAGCATATGTCGATGGCACTGTCGATCTAAATATAACCATAACTTATACCGATCCTAAATTTACAGATACTACTTTAAAAGGAATTACCAAAGAAGAAAATACAGAATCATGTTTATCCTTGAAACTCTATAATTATTAAGACAGCTCGAAACTGGTAAGAACGCAATCCAGTTACAAAATCAATAACATTAATGATGGTTCAAGCACTAGAGCTTATTAATTCACAATACCAAGCAAAGATTTCGTTAAGCAACTCCAAATATCAGATAATGGAACCAGTTTTATATTCCATGGATATTATAGTTTGGATTTCAGCATAGGTTCAAGTTTGTAAAGAGTTCTTTATTTTGACTTCCTTGCAGGAATAGAAAGAACATCAACTAACAATTTAGATACTAGTTTTGGAAGTTTAAGTTCAAAAGTGTAACTTGATTGTTAAGGAAGTTGTTAAACAACAGCTACTAGTACACTTCAATTCTGTGCTGATAAGGCATGCACTTAAGTAACTGATAAAGCTGACTTATATTTGAATGATGAAATATGGTTAAAACATACTTTAACTAAATCAGGAACTGAAGTTTATTACTTAACTAATCCTGAAATCTATTTTACAGGAGATAAACTTTTCAAAAAGGCAACTATCCAATAATCAAAGCTCAACTAGTAAGGATATTCTTTGTATTTGATTAAAGTTGAGATAGCATGGAGATCTGTAACTATAGTAGCAAAAGCAACCTTATCTTCAACAGCAGGTTCAACAAGAATATTGGATGAATAATCTAGATTATTATAATAGAATTCATAATAAACTTAGGGGCTTACTTCAGAAGTAGACTGTGTGAAGGATAAGGATTCTAACGAATGCATCGATTGTGATGAATCATTACCTGTTGATAATTATAATGATCCTCAAGAAGATGGATGCCCAACAGGTAGTAACAGTTATTTGATCTTTTTAAGTATGATTTTGGTTGCTTTATTCATTTGATCAATTTCTATAAATTTTAATATTCTATTTGAATTGCTATTAAATTTGAGAACATTAAATATTATATATCATAAATAATTGATATCAGATAGATTAGTTAATTATTTTCAAGCATTTTATGATGGAATGCAACGGAGACTGTTTCTGTTAATTCCATAACCCATTCTTAGTTTAAAACTCAAGAGCACTCTAAGCCAATTCTATTGATTTCAAGAACAGAGCCTTGTTGATCTATGATATGTCTATTGCATTGCCAATAAATTCACTAACTGTAATCCTATATTGATCACTCCACAAAGCCAAAATTTAATACAGATTTGCTGCGTTCTCATTAGTAAATTTAAGATTGAGATATTCTTCCTATGAGACTTCTAGCAATTCTATCAAAGGATTCAAAAACACTCTGATTTTTTGATTGCTCACATATGATTCTAATTTAGTTTAACCTGTGATCCATGAGATAAGCAGTGTTATGATTTATTATAAGTCCTTCATTCCTTATTCGTAAAGATCCAAATAAAATTAATTCAAAGGCTTTTAACCTCTGTTTGGTCTCTCCAATTAATCTTACTAGAGGAAATCTCGAATTTACTATGAATTCCACAAGAAGAAATCTCTGTTCCTCGAATCCATTACAATAAATTAAGTTCCTAGTACACACTTATATGCCAAAAAAGAAATCCAATGGTTAGTAACTCCAAGCATGTATGTTTGGATCAATTCTTCATTCTTTGAAGGCTTGAATTCTTTAAATTAATCAAATTTTCTAAGTTTACTCAATAATATTACTTTTATAGGGCGACTCTCTCATTATATCCATTGATTACATTGCCGTATTAAAAGAATATAGTGTCATTCGTCACTAAGTATTTGACATCTTGTACTATTTCATTTTAAAATGTTGTTTTAAAAAGGGGTTTAGCATGTAAACAACTTTTCAAATAACTTCTTTCAAAATCTCCACTTTCAATGTCAGAATCTCTCCATGGCCAAGTAGTTGAATCTAATTAGTATTTGCTTCGGTATTATCTCAAGAAATCTTAAGTTCTTCTAACATAGGTCCAAAATGCTGCTATATCATAAATTAGAGGGGGGATTCTAAAAAACAATAGATTTTGCATTCTTACCTATATTTAATACTTTAAACACATTGAATCAAATTAAAGGTTGCATGGTATCCACATAAATTAGGAACATTCTATTTATGAACTAAAATATGATGAAAATGTTATTTAATGGGGATGTATTCATTTTATAATTCAACCACCCTAATTGTATTGTGAGTAATTGGTAAATTGGGTTCATTTTTAAAGTACTACTAAATCCACTAGCCTTATTTAGTTTTTTAAGAGTTTGAGTTCATGTAATTGATAAAATCATGGTGGTTTTGAATCTGTGAAACTATATTGAAAATTATTTCTTAGGCTGGATGTAGGTTTTCCATTAAATCAAATAATCATTCCAAGTTATCTATTAAAGTATTGGACATCATCAGATTTTATTAGAATATGAATAGGAATATTTATAATATTAATTTCTTTCAACAAAGAAATTGAAGAGATAGGTAAATGGTGATACGATGTTGAATATAAATGTTTGCAAATTAAATGACATATATATAATATAAATAATGATAATTTATCTAATTTTGATACAATTAACATAAGGAAATTGGAATGTTCCCATCTAATATTCTTCTTTGTGCACTTGCAGTTAGTTAAGTTAACCAAATTTATGCAGCTCAAGTCAATTTTGTTAACTTAATCTGGATTTTGAATGCACAGACTTGCTTAATTATAATTGTTCTTACTTTAATGAATAGACTGTACTATATTTGTGTTCATAATTGGATAGATGCGTTTTAAAAGATGGAAAGTGTATAGAATTGAATAATTGCACAGAACTTACAGGTTCAACAAATTAAGAATGCATTTAATAATCTAATAGATGCGGAACATCCTAAAACAATATATGTCAATTAACAGAATGCAGCAGTTATTTGAATCAGAATGACTGCAACAATTCATTATTTAACATACGCTTTGATAATATAGGATATGGGAGTGTTTGCTATTGGAATAATCAAAATTCATAATGTAATAATTTGCTATGCGAAAATGTATCTGTCGATTAGTGTTTATAATATACGAATTTATGCTAAATTGTAAATAATCTGTGCACTTGGGCTACTTGTTAGAATACAGCAGCCGAGAATTGCAATTTTGTATGGGAAGGTTCTCAAAGAAATTCTATATAGCCCTGTGTTATAATGGATGGCATTTGTCAAAATGCAAACAATGCCTAAGAGTTGAACAACATACAAGATTGCACTTAAAACACTTTATATACTTATATTTATACACCTGAAAATAATTGTTAGTAATGCCAATATTCAAATTACCTTTATATGTAAATATTACTGTTCATCATATTATATAATTGATAATAATTTATTTCATATGCATTCAGCATCTATCAAATTAAAGTATTTCTCACTTCCTTATTTACTTTCATCTATTATATGTGCATATAAGTTATCCTTTGATAAACTAAACTCCTAATCAATTGATACATCATCTAGTAACTAACTAAATTGCTTTCCAAATTGATTTCTAAAATCCACCTATCTAATTCTATTTCCAGTATATTGATATTTCATCAATTCATCCTCCAAAAATTATTTGATCCTTTTGTATTTTGACTTCAGATATGCGAATGCAATTTCCATAGTATCCTCTATCATTTTATAATTCCTCCTGACCCTATCCGGTGTAACACTTAAGATCTGAGGATTGTAATTGATTTCCAATAACCAAATATCTAAATCATTATCAAGAAGAAAATCAATGGCCAAAAACTCACAAAATCTGGAGTCTTAATAGAATGCATATTATCCACTTCTGATAGTGTGAATTATTTTGACATAAATTCTTGGATAAAGGTACTCTTAAAGCCAATTCTATTTTTTAGGTATTCTGCCCTGCTCTTTCAATAACTCCTCAATCCCCTCTAAATTCCAATCGATAAACATCTCCTCGTCCTCCTCCTAGCTTTCTCCAGAGTTACTCGAATTCTTGTGAGTTTTCTCTGTAATTGCAGTGTTGCAAATATGGGCAGGTATTGATTCTGATAATGGATTGTATTCATTGGCACATCTCTTGATCAGAGCCCTTTTATACATATACAATTGTAAAGGCTTGCTGCTTGCCAAATAAATGTACATTCTGAATTCAATCTTATGTCCCTTATATAAAAATGGACGGTTGATATATTTCTGTGCCACAATCTTCTCGGTGATATTACCACACAACTCTCCATTCTCATACACAGTAGTTATGTTTTCTATTTGTGATTAGAGTAATAATCGTATCCCCTCTCCTCTATGTTCATCAGTCTTAAGCAAGTAATCTGGACCATTATATTATCTAATGTTGCTCTTGTATTCATCTTAGAGCTTGTTCAGCTATTTAAAAAATGATTAGCATTCCGATTTAACATTCAATCTCAAAGTGTCTGGAACATATGATGCACTTTCTATACAGTATGAACTAGCATTGCGTTTTTTCATGTCATAGATATATTTTGCATAATTATATATTAAACTGTTTTTGCTTGTTAAGGTATATAATCCAGGTATATGATTGAATTTCTAAAACATACAGCCTAGTCCCTAACCAAAGTGATAATTATCCTATAATCTTGGTTTAAAAGTATAAAAGTATGATAATTGTGGAGGAATTCTATGTTAAAATTTTGTAGTTGGCTCTTTAGAAAATTAAGAAATATATTACTCTGCAATGGTTAGATGTTTTGGATTGAATCAAACATTCGGCTTTTGATTATTTCCCTTTATAGATTTCCTTTGTCCAATTCTCTCATTATATATTTATCCTAAAGAAGTATGTCAGGGTGAATTAATTTCTAAGTTAACTCTAATTCTTACTAATGTATCTGATTCTATGCAATAACTAGGTTCCTCAATCATGTTTAGATAGGATTCCTTTCATGCTGATATATAATAAATACATTGTAGGATTATTTGAATTTGCTGTAGTTAGTGTGATCCATCATGTAGGTTTACATTAATGGTACGTAGTTTGTTTTTAATTTTTTTGTAATCGTCAAATGATAATCGTGGATCTGAGCAACAATTGTATAGATGAAACAAAAAATAATACTAGCAAAGGCTATTTTGTAAATTATCATAAAAATAATTATTAATAAAATAATTCAATCACTTTTTTATTTTTGATCCTATTAAATTACAAATAAGCAAACCTCTAAAATATTCTCTAACTTAGATAGAAATCACATTATTTTTCAAATAATGATTATAATTATAGTATTTTATATTCAATATAACTCCTATCTTTTGTTTATTTGAGTGATTAGGACGATATTAAAGACTTGTAGATTTAATTAGTAAATTGAATAAATACTAATAGAGTATTATTATTTAAATTTAATAAAAGTAGTATTCATTAGCAATAAGAGAGATTAATAATGAATTTTAAAATTCTAACTTCATTTTTATTCTTAATTTATTAAAACTCTATTTATTTTTCAAGTATGGGAAATAATCATGAAAAATTCTTTTCAAAAGAAAAGCGTAAATTATTAGTTTTAGGACTCAATGGAGTTGGAAAGTCAAGTAAAGATATATGTTCCCTGTAGCTCTTATAAAAACACTCAACCAAGGAAATTATCAGGATAAAAAGGAAGATTTATAAATTGTTGACATTAAATTAAAAAACATTACCCTTTGTGTTTTTGATATGGGAGGAAGTGAAAGATAGAGAATATTTTGGAGACAAAACTTCTATGGAAGTCAAGGAGTAATTTACGTTATAGATGGCAACATTGATATCTCAAAGGCATTATTGGAATTAGAAAAAATTATAATTGACTCTGATCTTAAGGATGTAAAAACATCAAATTTATGTTATTAAGACTCCAATCGCAGTATTTGTAAACCAAAATGGAAAAGACAATCCTTTAGACAGGACAGAAGAATTTTTAAAGTATATTTATTTTATTATCCATTTAAAAGAAATAAGACAAGAAAAGTATCTGTCTTTAAAGGAAGTACATTAGTATATAAGGACATTATGAATTGCATAGAGTGGCTTGGCAAAGAAATGAAACCTATTTGAATTATTTATATTATTAATGTTTGAAGATGAAGACAATGAAAATAATGAAAATAATGTTAATGTTGAAGAGTCAAACTATAGGGACAGAGCTGAAGAAAGAAGGAAGGGGATCACGACCCAAGTTAAGAATGGAGAATTTGTAGAATTAGAAGGATTTGAGAAGGATATTAAATTAAATGGTTTAGATTATACTCTGATATAATAACCTTAATCAAACACATCAAATCAAGAGAATAATAAGTCTAGCATCATCGCTAAAATTAAGAAAGACTTAACATCAGCCAAAGAGAAAATCCCTAAAAAAGCAACTCATCCAATGGCAATCAAAATAGAAGCTTTTCTATAAAATAAGAATTAAATTGTTCCTTTAAAAAACACCATGACTTATATTTATAAATACGATATAGATCCTAACTATGGAGTTTCGATGCCTTAATTTTTTACAAAAAAATATAATAAAGATGGGGAAGATCCAATCTAAGTTATTTATGATGAAAAATCTATATAAATGATTTAAGAAAGCATTTTCAATACTAATAATCTGTCTATTAAAAGATATCAAGAAAGACATAAATTTGACTAAAAAGTTCTTATTTAAAGTGTTGATCAAGATGATGAATCTGATGACATCTTTAATGATGCAAGACCAATTAACAAACCCAGTGTTGATGTAAATAAGATGCTGAAAGTAGAAATTGAAAATGAAAATTTTGATATTACAGAATACCTATCTAAGAATTAGTTTGATTAAAAAACATATAATTAATTAAAGCAAATATAAGAATAAGACGAAAAGGAAAGAGAAGGTAAACTCAATATGTATTTGTTAGAAAAGCTACGGAGACACAAAAAAATGTTGGAGGGAGAAGCTGATTATTATTATGAATGCTACTAGCCTGTAGGATTGAGTATAGCAGAGGAAAAAGATCATTAAGCAGAAGTAGAAGTAAAGAAACAAGTAGATCCAAATTTTAAGAACTATGACTTCATAAAATAGGACCTAAAGAAAAAGAAGAAGCATAGGCAAAATTATTAAAAACAATTGGATTAAATTGAAGATGTAAATTTGATTAACTATGTAGATTATTTAAAAAAAGAATAAATGAATTATAATAATATGCTGATAATAATATTATAACCTCTCTATATATTAATTATAATAATATTTTTATTCTTCTGACATATGTTCTATATATCCAATTTTGCAGGTTTGATTATTTATTATAAAATGAGAAAATTACAGTTCTTTACTTGATTGAATTTATATGTAAAAACAGAAATTGATGATATTTTTTATTTATTATTAATTAAATGAGTCTTACCAAGCCGATAAAAGAATATAGATTGATTTAACTATAGAATAGTCTTTATAAAAAGAAATTTGAGTACAAAAATAAAGATAAATTTCTGAAGATTTTAAGAATTTCAATATCTGACGAGCATATTTTGAAAATAACCAATTTCGAGATTGACAACTTAAATACATTAGAAATACCAGCTGAATGTATGAAGCATTGTGTTATTATTAGCATCCATAACGATTCACATTACTTTATAAGCATCTAAGAATTCAAATGTGTATATGAAATTTATTAGGTATGATACCGACCAAATCGAGGAGGAGTTACTGTTCAAAATAGATTTAAAATAATGATTATTGGCAACCAAATTTTAGTTTATATCTAATAAAGCATTATTGATAAGTATTTCAAGATATAAAAATAATTTAACGATTGTATAAATAATTAATTAATAAATGAATTTGAAATCAGAATAAACTATCTAAATGAAAGGGTAAGGGTTGTATATCACAATTTTTGCATTCATCACAACATCTGCACTTCGATGTGCATTTGATTTTCCGTTTTTGGCATTCACAATACCCTTTAGAACAACTAGGAATTAAATTTGAGCATATACTCTTGTTTTCTACAATTGCATCCCAAATATTCAGATCCTGATTATTTTGAGATAGCGGATTTTGGCTATTTGTTTGAGCAATTGTAGCATTCGCATTTGAATGAGCATTCTTGATTATTGGCACTGCAAACGCAATAGTTTTAGATGCACTTAGACTTTCTACATTTACACACTATGTTTTCATCTCTGGAGAGATTAAATAATTCGTCATCGCTAGGTTTCACTAGCTTATTTACTATGACATTATTTTGGTTTAGTTCTATTGAATTTAATAGACCCAAAGTGTAGGATGAATTTACTATTTAATTCATAATTAATACCTTTATTTTCTTTAGATGTAATACGCTTACTTCTTCCAAGTATTCCATCTTATCTTATTACTAACTGATCATCATTGAACTCCAGTTTCTTAATGATCTTAATTTTTTTGATTTCTTCCTTCGCTTTCTTAGGTGAACTTTGCTTATTAATTGTAATAGGTGATTTGCTCAATTGCTATTTTTATGGAGTTTTAACTATATATAAATTTATATAGAATTACAATCTGTATCATCAAGGTTCATTATAAATTGCTAAAAATACTTATAACACAATACTTCCATTTATCCGCCAAAATCAACAATACGAATTTACAATATTAAAAATAATATATATTATAAATAATTTCATGTTTATTTAATAACTACCCTCCTGATAACCCTACCTTCTACCCAAATTGCCCATCCAATAATAATCCCATTCAAATAATTTTCTTTGTCAATTTAAAACAAGTAGAAACTCATCAACATCTTGCACTTTAGATCAAACAATAATTCATTCCTTAAAACTTATACAAACTTAATTTTAAGTCCAGTATCTCTTTTGTTATATCTATCTTATATCAAGTCTAAAGACTGGATAATTAATTTTAAAATAATAGTGAAGTTCCAAAGTGTATCCAACCATAATCTTATAGAAGCATTCTTCAGAAGGTTAATTAATTTAAGACAATCAAGAGTTAAGAAAGAGTATTACTGAGAAGGATTAAGAAATGAGGGAGAAATGATCACTACTCTTGAATAATTAATAGATTACTTGTCAAAATAATCTTAAGAAATTCAACGATTGAGATTAGAAACATAATCAAATCTTTATTCTTTGTTTTTCATAAATTCAACACAACTTCTAATCAAATAAGTGAACAAATAAAATTTTTATTAGAAGATTATAAATTATTTAGATAATTATCACTTCATCAATTCTTAATATTTCTTTTGTTAATCAAGTTTATTGTTGAAAATAATAATGAGATAATTAACAAAATAGTAGAAAGATTTACAACTGTATTTTTAAATTAATAACATCTATTGATGATAATTATTCAAAATAAATCATAATTTTTTTTGTTTTAAAAATTTTTATCCTTTATAGATATCTTATTTCTTATTTTTTCTTTTTGGGTTTTCTTCCTCTGATGATTCCATCGCATTTTCAGCTAAGGGCTCTAAAATTTTATTTTTTCCATTATTTTCAGATTATGGTTTGATTAACCCTTTTTTATTAACCTTATTTTTGTAGTTTTATTATTCATCAACTTTTATAGTGCATTTAGTTTTTCCAGTGTAATTCGAACAAAATTCAATATTGCAACTCGATAATTGTGAGCCTATCAAAAAATTCAAACATTGAAATCTATACTTCTATTTGATATTTGAATTATTAATATTTTAATGTTCTTTCAAGCATATTAAACATAGACAATTTTAGTCTTCTTCATAAAAATATATAAATAATTCTCTCTTACATTTAGTACAAAATAAATTCTCTCTTTTTTCTTAGAATACAGGTGCATTTTTTTGATTTAATGATTATAAATTTTGATTTTCTTCAAATATAAATTATTGTAGTTCTGATCTAAGGTAGTTGAGTAATGTTTGATCCAAAGAATTTTCATGTATCACTACATCAAGTATTAAATTTCTGTATGGAACTCTGCTGATAAAATTTAATTCTGTTAAGATTTTCTCTTAATCAATTATAGTTTTCAAGGAGTTTTCATCCAAAGTTGCCTAATTCCAAGAGCAACTCATACACAAACCTTCGCATTTTTGCCAACTAAAGGTGCCTGGACTAAGAACAACTAAATCTCCTTCATTTTGAACAAAATATCTAAATGGTATGTTATTAAGTAAAAAGTAGTCTGCATCTTTGAACCAAACCTTATCTTCATTAAAAATATCTATTTTCTCAATCTAAATTATCTTCTACCTTAGTTCTGCTACATTCTCTTTATCAATAGTAATCCATAAACAGGAATTTGGACCAAGATTTAAATTAACTTAAGTAAAACACATTTAGTCCTTTGATGGACTTCTCCAATTACAACGATATCTAATCTCAAACTAAGGAATATTAATGCTTGGAATTTCGTTTCTCATATAACTCAATACATCATTTTTGCCCTAAGGTCTGATGGATTTCGGCAAGAAATTCTTAATATGTTTGATTTCCTTTGCCTTTTTATGAAGATTAAAAGTTGTAAAGTAAGGAGTTCTATTTTAAGATTATTCTTCTTAGATCTTTTCTATTAACTGAGAGACTTGCATTTCCTGAATGATTTTTCTACTCCCTTCCATATTGGTTTCAACCTCTACTTTTGTGAAACCATGACTTTATTTAATTTATGGAAGAGAGAAATTCAAAGTCAGGATTTCTGTCATTTCAGAAGGAACACTGATTATGTAGACTTAAGAAGTGCGCCAAGCTAGTGAATCCAAATTCCAAATATCTAAAACTTCAGTAACAGAACAATAATGTGGTTTCTATATTAATAGAGCATTGACAATTTAGTTATATTCATACGAGATTATTTTTGTTTTGTACATGTCTACCCAGTTATCTTCAATCAAATATTATGGTAACTCTTTTTAACAATAGACCTTTTTTATAATATTTTAATACTTTGATAAATCCTCCATCTTATTTGACCTTTTCAAAAATTATTTGACCATTTTTGTAAAGCATCTATTTTTCAAAGAGTGTCAACTACAAATTGTCTAGCACGTATTTTATCATCCAAATGAATTTTTAATGTATTTATCATTTTAAAAATATTCCAAACAAAAATTATAATTCATAACTTTCCTTTTAATTTTTATCAATCTCAAAAACCATATCATTTTCAATTAAAATACACACGTATCCAATAAATGACTGCTACTACTATTCCCAAAATCAACTTCTAAGTAAGATAGGATAACATCTAATGAACTTTTAAATTACTTATTCTCATCATTTTTACAATAAAAACAATAGTAAATTTGAACAAGGGAGTAATCAACAGGTCAAAGTTTAATTATTTATAATTTGTTGAGCTTAGAAATTTTAAAGTCGAAAAGAATTGAATTAAAATTAGGGAATAAGAAATTAAAATATAATTATTAAAAATGAAGTATTTCTTATAGAAAATGCTTCTTTATTATCCTAATCAGAATATTTTGGGAAGTCAAAACAAAAGCATACATGTACCTGAGGCTGGCTTAATCCATTATACTACTCCATTTCCAGTTTATCAATTTTTCATGAAGGTTGGAATTCTAATGTTGGATTCAATGTTTGATGCTGTGATAATTTCACCTATTAGAATAATACTATCGATTTTAACAAATAACATGATTTCGATCGAATTCAGATTGGATTTAATTTAAACTGCAATGATTTGGTTGATAACATGGCTTTTTACATTCAACTATTTTGAAGTTGGATTTTGGTATCACATAATAAGGAGTTAATCTTAAATTAAGTTATATGGAATTATCTAGATTTTGGATTTGCTTGATAGATTGGCTTGTACTTAAGGGGATTACATTATAAGATAGTTGTATTGGTAAAATGTGTACAAGAATTAATCTGTTTTCAATAGATACTTGCCCTATTCATTTATTTATATCTTTGCACATGCGTGTTTGTTGGGTTTACAGTTGACAGTTTATAATGTAATATTTAGTTAGAAAGTATAACTCTTATATCTAGCCTTATTCGTTTTGAGTTTAATTAAGTTAAAGGGGTCAGTTTTCAAAAAATAGGATGAGAAGTCATGTATAACAACAGCAATAAATGATGGAAGAGAGTACTTTCAAAAAGCACTCTATATTATATTGATTTCTATGAGTGTTAAATTTACTCCAGTAGACTTTTATTACAAGATCGGGTTTTACTTTTTCATAGAATTGTTAGTCGATTCCTTTAAATACATTTCGATATTTCATTTAAATAGTGTACCAATAAATGTGCTAAACGAATAAACAAAGAGTTTGTCTAATTTTATGTATGCTGTTTCGATATAATAAGATTAAATAAAGGAGTTGTCATTAATTGATCAGAAAGACTTATGCATAGTTTTATAAAATGTATATCCATCTGATTTATTTAGGTCCCGCTTGCTTAAGCCAAAATTATAGGGAAATTCAACATTGTAATTTTCCCTTAGGTGATAATAATTCTGAAAATGTTAGCTTACAATTACCAAAAGCATAAGTCATCTTTGGATAAAGAGGATTATATTTATATTGGATTCATCATATTTATTATGTTATCCTTCACTAAAATGATCATATTTTTCTACCATAGAAACAGCTAACTCTACTTGCATATAAATAAATTAAAAGATTGAAAAATTAGATTTATAGATATATATTAATATGTGAATTCAATATTTTCTATTTCTGTCCTTATTGGTATTAATTTTAGGTGCAAGTAGTCCAGTCATTTATTTGTTTTGATTATTGTTCTTACTATAGGAGGAATTACGTTTTTTCTCTTGGGATGGCTATTAAGTTATTTTTTATTAATATTGCATGAGTAGAGGAGCTCTGATGGTTTGAAAATTACTTTGCTTAGTGGTTGTGGGTATGTCTGCTGTTTTTTGGGGAATAGCCACTCCTATGAACTTCTCCTCCTTTATAATTTCATCTTTAATCCATTCGAATTTATAATCCCATTCAAAACCTTATTTTCTAAAGGCTTCCTAAAATAGTCAGTAAAATAAATACTTTGAATAGATTTCTAATATAGTGATAATCAGGTTTGTCTTCGAATTTCAAATTTCTGCAATATTACAAATATTGAGTCAGTTCATAAGGAAAGCCTTTGCACAATTATTCAGGTGTGGTTTCTTGTTTTTTTTCCATAATTTTTTAATACTTCTCCTTTTAATTGGAGGCTTTCATATTTTACCATGGCAATTGTCCTCTCAATAAATACATGAGGACGTAGCCAAGTGATTCTAGATCATCCCTTCTAGATTATTCTAAACCCACATGTGTATTAATGGATGCATATCTGGCAGTTCCAGTTAAACTTTTCCCTTCCTTAAAAGGGATGTGTCCTTCTTTGGATATATATCTTTTGGCCAAACCAAAATCGACAATATAAAGTCTAGAACTTTTACTGCCCACTCCAACTAAGAAATTATCTGGTTTGATATCGCGATGTATAAATTATTTTGAATGCATGTACTCAATTCGTTAAACTAACTAATCTGCCAACATGAGAACTGATTTAAGTGATAGTTTCCTCTGATTTTTATTAAATAATTCTTCAAGGGAGGGTCCTAAGAGATCCATGACGATGTAATTGTAATCGCCATCCACTCCTTAATCATGAATTTTTGGAATGCCTTCCTTTGAATTATACAATAAACTTACCTTTATCGTACTAATCCTGTCCTTAAAGGTAATTGTATAATTTGGCTTCGAAGAATATTTAAGGATGTTTGTTATCACTTCTTTTCCAGTTTCATGGCATATTCAGATTTAGATAATGATTAGACCAAATATATTTCTCCAAAAGCTCCCGATCCAATTTTCTTGATTAATTTAAATTAACGTGCAATAGTATAATTAGTAAGGTCTTTTCCTAAAATAGAATCCATATAAAATTAATAATGATCTAAAGTTTAGGGATGCAGACCAAATTTCACAAATAGATGGAGAAAATGAAAGGATTTCTGGTCTCAGCCCACAACATATCTCCCATAAATGATGATGAGCCTATCAGGAAAACTTAGACTCCTTTGATTGGTCAACAAGTTCAATCAATATCTTTCAGTGATGATGAGATGGATGTTGAAGACTTTAAGCAAATAGGAGTTAAATCCACGAATTTCGATGACGAGTTTACATTAGGTAAGAAACTAGGAGAAGGCACAAATGGTGTCGTTAGAATTTGTTGGAAAAAAGACAATCCTTAATAGTAATTTGCAGTCAAAATAATACAAACACCTGATGAAGAATAATTGGATATTGTAAGACAAGCCTTCGTCAACTCTACCATCATCAAAAGCCCTTACATTGCAAAATGCTATAAATTGTATATTGACATCAATGTAATATACATGCTAATGGAGTATGTTCCATTTCCAAATTTACAAACCATATTGCAACAGAGAACATAATTAAAAGAGCAAGAGGTTTAAAGAATTGCCTGTTCTCTATTGAAAAGTGCTAGGTGTTTGCACAGCTGTGGCATTTGTCATAGAGATATTAAACCAGACAATGTGCTTGTAAATCCGAAGTACAATAGTTGTTATTTATAGCGATTACACAGTCAAATTAATAGACTTCGGAGTTTCTAGAAGATTTGTCACATTCAATAATAGTACATTTAGGTATATGAGGAATCAAATGTTAACTGTTACTGGCAACCTACATTATCGAGCACCAGAAATCATGGGTAGCCATATTTATGGTTATAATCAATAAGTTGATATATGGGCCATTGGAGTTATCATGTATTAATCGTTAACATCAGTCTTACCATTCACATCAGATAATACTGCTGATATTGTTGCTTTATTATCCAATAGGTATTCTATTTGTATATACTCCAAAGTTAATCAATCAATGAAGCATTTCAAAAACCTTAGTTTCTATCCTTGTCATCAAGTTGCAGAGACTTAATTAAAAGATTAATGATGTGGAATCCTTTAAAAAGATTAACAGCCTCTGAAGCACTCAAACATATATGGATTCCCAATATGCAAACTCCTCAAAAACCACTTTGCAAAAAAAGTTACTAAAGATGATATGGACACGAGTAAAATTAGTTAAAATAGTGATCTTCTTAATAAATCTTTAATTAATAGTGCAACCATTCTAAATTTTGAGTTACAAAATACTCTTATCAAAAGTAAGCATATTGACTCAGTCTTGGAAACGTAGGATATCACTAAATCTTAAAAAAGTCTTGGGTTCTCTATCAAAATAAAAAGAGAAAAAGAAATTCAGGATTTTAAGGCTAAATTAAAGTAATTTAAATTAGAAACTTCAACCAAGATTTACAAGAGGAATAATTCAAATCAGAATAATGCGATCTAATTGGTTGGCGCCTTGGTCGACGATAAAATGAACAACTCAATTAAATTAGATGATGAAGATGATATCTTTGGTATCAAAGTATGTGGAAGTCATCACTCGCTCACGCAAATTGATGAACCTATATAAAATGAACAATAAGCACAACATAACAAGTTGGATCCTTAATTACTTGAGAAGCTCTTAGAATTTAATTTGTGATTTAATATATAAATAATGAACTCTTCTAAAACTTCAAGAACTGTCAAAGCAATGCATTTATTCCATTTAGAGTAAAAAAATTCAAACTTACATCATTATAACCTTCCTACTTTGAGAGAGACAGCCATACCTACCATCTTGAAACCATTTAGATTGTCGCCAACCAAATAATCATTTCCAACATCTCGACAAAATTAAGATACTGGCTATCGAAAATTGTCTATTGAAAAGAAAGTACTATAACTAAGAAAAGAAATTTTAAATGCCAAAAATATAAAGTAGAAATAATTGTTTCAAAGCAATAAATTATAAATCAAGAACAGTTTCTCTTCTGTTGAGAAATTACTAGATAAATAACCTAAACCTATACAACTATTTGAAAGAAAGTCTAACTCTAAAATCAAACTCTTTGAAATTCCTATCACAATTCAAGAAAGGTAACTTTAATAATCAACTTTGTCAACTTAAATTACTAAAATTCCAATATTAAAATTATAAGAAAAATAAACTTCAACAATGGAGGATGGTATAAACGATATATAAATGCTACCACAGTATTAATCATCTATAAAGTTACCCAGTGAACCTGATTCTCCATAAATAATAAAAAAATTGCAATCTTATTAATTTACTTAAAGGAGTGTCAGTTAGGGAAATGTTGAAAAACCAAAAAAAATAGAATGGACACCGTGGCCATAAAATTTTGAAGGTTGGCATGCACCTTAAGCTGATGAAGATTTACTACTTTAATATTAATAATATTTCTGATATGAATTTAATTTTGCTAATAATTATTTATGATGTAGCACCTGCCCTACTATTCAACAGAAGTTAAAGTTAATTTTGTTATTTTGATGAAGACATCATATTTTTATTCATTATATTATGCAACATGCTTCTCTTTCCTTAGGTGGTCTAATGTCCTCTTTGTTTCTCTCACTTTTTGGTTTGATGGGCTCATCCTTAAAATCTGATTTCGTTCCAATGCCCCTTGCAGTCACATATTGTAATTTAGGATTCAACTTAAAGGGACACAACAATTGTTCCATCTAAGCCAATCTTTGTTTGAGTTTCTCTTAGAATTTCTATTGAGTCTTAAGACAATAATTTTACTTCAATAAGTCCCCCCTTTAATTCCTTTTATTGTTTGATTATGTTGATTCTGTCCTCAAAAGATAGTCTCACATCGAATCTTAGATTGATAGTGACATTATCTATATAGGGAGCATCCAAACTTTAATCCTAGTAATTTACTATCAAGTAACATTATGGTATGGTCGGAAGAGCAAAATGTCTTGGTCTAATTTGTTGATGGATATCCAGAATAGGTATTTTAATTTGAGCTAATTCTTTAAAGTCTTCACCCAAAGTTCTTGCATCTCCTAGATTTTTGTCGAGTCTCTTTCCCATCACAACAATTGTTATGGAATCAATAGTATTATCCAAAGAAATGCAGGTTGATCTATTTGAATTCTCGGGATACAGTGGTTGATAATTTTGATGAATTGTTCCAACTTTGTACTTTCAGTTTATAAAACTATAAAATAGAACTTGGGTGTTACTTTTTACATCTCACTTATCTGATTGACTTGATCTACAAAGGAAATGACTAAGGCATTTTCCTGATTATATTCAGGCTTATCTAAGAAAGATTAAATAGTTTGTAATACTTGCTTCAATGACTTTAGAAAACTTATCAAAATTAGTCAGTTCATCTTTGAAATAATCAATATTTTTTTGGAAATCCAGGATTTTCAAATGTATCATTTTTGCTTAATCCAATAGTTTCTATACAAAAGTTTCAATGGTTGCTTCTGATGCAAACTAGTTAAATGAATAAGCCTACATTCTCATCATAAACTTAATCTTATCCGATGGTATCACTAATCACCTTCCAGAGGATGTGTTCCTAGTCCTGATTGATTTCTGGGAAAAACCAAAGTTAATCATCAAATGCTGAATCTGCCTTGTATCCTTTCTGCTCAAAGAACTAAAGGATTTCCTCTTTCTTTGATTAAATAATATCCTCGGACTGCTTAATGAAGGAAGCATTCAATTAATCTGCCATTTTTAATAAAAATATATTATCGTTTTCATTTGACTCATAATAAGTTATAGTTATCTTATAAAATCATTTTTTTTTCTTGCACTTATTGCAGACATAGGTAGTTTGCTAGATATTTTTGATTCCCAAGCATTCATAATGATACCATTTTTAACAAATATCACATAGCACATACTATTAATCGGGATTCAATGGTAATTTACATAAACAATGTTTTTCCCATTTCTAAATAGGCGGGATTATTTGTTTATTTCTGTAGAATGACCTAAATTACTATTACAAATGATTACCTACAATAAAAGGTAAAATCATCCACTAACTCCTTCTTGTCAAAATCCTTGAAGTCTAAGACTTATGCTATAGATATGATTGTATCCGGTTAAATAAAATCGTATTGGTCAGATAAAAATAATTCCCTCTCTCCTATGCAGCCTATATATTTTCCAATGATCTCCTTCAAGTTGTTCTTACTGTAATACCATTAAACTCTGATAATCGGAGTGTATTATTAAAATCTCATTACACCAACAATTTCAATAGTTTTAGCAACACACTAGCCATCCTCTTTGGTGTATATAATTATATCCTAGTTTAAGCTGATATTGAGATTGTTGATTTTGAGAGTTTTGAACTCCTTGTTAGCATAGTCCAAATTTTTGGCATGATAAAAAAGGGTGGATAGAGATTTACAATTTCTCACCTATCCCACCAAATCATTAGTTTTTTTAATTGTTTTTAAGGCTTCTTAACTTTAATCATACTCTAATTTAATTGAATGAAAAATTTCATTAAGCTTTTTTTCTGTCTCCTCATCCATGTTTACCTCGCTCATTAAACAATTAAAATCCTATTAAAATTAATATACTCACAATTACTATTTTAAGTTTTATTCCAATTTCATAACTCCAGAAGACTTCCAGTATTATTTCGATCACCACTTTTAGTGCTATATTAGAATCTCATTTTTATAATGTTAATTTGTATGTAATTTAATAAAATACTAAAAAATACCAATTTCATTTTTTCTAATCTCTAACAGGCAAGAAATATGGATGATCTAAAGCTTCTTTAGGTGTAATTCTTAATGCCTATTATACTCATTAATTTTACATGATCATACAACAACATCCTGGATAATAAATCAATTGCCTCCTCTGAACACAAATGCTTATTATCTTGATTGATAAATTTGGACCATTCTCTTTTTGGATAACTAAACTTCAAATTTAATTACTTACTTTCCCAATTTATTATCAAATACTGGATCTAATTTCAATCTGTACTTCTTAACGTAAGCTAACAAATCTTCAGTGCCTAATACTTTTGCTATGACTACTAACTGGTCGTAATTGTCATTTCCTTAGAAGAATGGCTCTTTTTTAAAAATCTACAAAGTTAATCTTATCTATATTAACCATTGATGCAAGCATGGCTCCGCTACTCCAAATATCCAATGAATAATCATAGTAGACATTATCAACTAACAATTCAGGACCTTTAAAATAACGAGATGCCACTCGAACATTATAATCCTGCCCCATGTGATAGTACTCTGCTAAACCGAAATCAAGCAATTTCAATAACTTTTTTTAAGGATTCACTATTATATTCTAAGGTTTGACATCCCTATGCATAATGCCTCTGGAATGACAGAAATCTAAAGCCTTCATTAATTCATATAGATAAAATCGTATCTCTATATCAGTGAGTTTTGGAAAGATGCTTCTAAAATCAACGTGATCTATGTAATCGAAAACTAAACAAGGGGTTTTTGATGCTGGGTCTTTTACAATATCACTTAACTCAATGATGTTTGGATGTCCTTTTAATGAAAGTAGAATTTTAGTCTCTCTTTTTATTTTTCTTTTTTTCACTGGTTTCAACACCTTGATTACCACTCTCTAATTTTATGGGTATCTAATTCCTTCATAAACATCCGAATATTTGCCTCTTCCAATCTTTCTAGCTATTTCATATTGGTCATTATCCTAACATTAAGTAATGTCTTACACCCCATTCATTTTCAAAATTGTCGTAATCCCAATATTCTTTCGGCTGATTCTTGTTAAAATCTGCATAAAATTTTGGTTTTGCTTACACTATTTAACTCATATAAAATATGTTATAAATAAATTTTGGGATGAATTTTGAGCTTAGAAAACTGTTAAAAAAGAAATAATTTTTTTTAATTGTGAAGATTATCTATTTATAAGTTTAATAATGAAAACATTGCATTATTATGACCCAAGAATTCATAAATGTTTTTCAGTTTCATTCATTAATATTAATAAAATTCAAATTGAAGACAAGCATTCAATTATGTTAATTATATTTAAATCACATTCAGAATTAATCTCATCAAATTACATTTATTGCAATTTTATGACTTCAAATTTTCGATAAATTAATTAAATTGTTTTATTAACACACAAAATCATGATAATTTTTACTCATAAATATGATATAATATTTTGTTAAAATAATATCAATTTATCATTGATTGCTATTAAGAATTGTGGATAATTTTATTAATATAAAATAATATAATGATCAATGAATCCTTAATAAATCAAGAACCTCAACACCTCTATGATTATTTCCCAACTAATAACTCATGTCCATAAGCAGATATAAACTAAGATGAATCGCCAATTAGGCAGCATTATATTAGTTCTCTATGCTTCTAACTGAGAAAGTACTAAAAATAGAATAAATATTACCTAGAAAAATCAAACGACAAAAAAATCGACCAAGCCTTTTGAAAATAGAAGATAGTGGAAGAAATGTAAAACTATATTCTTGCTCACTTTTTAATAATAAAGAGAAACCTGAAAATGATACTGAGTGAAGAAGTAAAGTAAGATTTGGAATTATTAATTATATGATATATAAACTTTATATAATTAGAGTTTAAAGTTAATATTATTGAGCATTCTTTCAAATGAAAAATAGAGTATAAGAATAGGAGAAATAAATAAAATGATGATTTTGAAAATAAATGATACGATGGAAATACATCTAAACCTTCGAAGGTACACATAACATCATTATCCATTGCATTAGACACCTAATAGGATCATTGAGTAATGGAAAATAAATTTAAATAATTTTCATATAATTTATATGGAAATAAATCTTATTTGCTCTTTCTTGAAATTTATTTTTACTTTAATAAATGAAAAATAACACTAAAAATAAAATATCTGATTTTGTAGTGAAGTTTATAAAAACAGATGTGAAATAATAGGTATTACTGATAATAAATTAGATGGTGTTTATAAATGTAATATATTTATTTGCGATCATTTGATTAACATAATTTAAATTTATTTTTAAATCTATTTACTATTGAGACTATAATCTATGTATTATCAATATGGAGAATTACCTATTGCATGATTAATTGGGATTTAAACTTACTAAGTGAATAAGCAACTCTAAAAATAGTAGAACAATTTGAAATGAAATTAAGAGAGTTTGATTATATATGAATTAGTTTTTGGAATGTATTCTCTGATAAATTCAAGGACCATGAATAGTTTTCTTCTCGAAAATATAATTTATTATTTATCGTTTTTATTTTATAAATAATATATGAGTTCACTCATCATGTACGAAGATGAAGCGATTGACCATTATAATGAGTATTTGATGAGCAAAAGAAAAGAAGTAACTGAAATAAAGAATTATAAATTCAATGGGAAATTCAATTCAAAGCCAACTAAGGCATTCATAATAAAAAATAAGAAAATACATTATTTAACATAATCGCAGATATTAGCTTTGGTGGTTTTAACATTCGCAGTTGAGTATGGTATTTATACACGTATAGTGAGGGTTTGCAATTGAGATGGTTTTCATCTCTCCTTTGTTTTTGAAATTAGACACTCCAGAACTTTTAGACTCTTCAATGTAATAAATTACAACAATATTCCAGTTGGTTATTTCCTCCTGTAATTAATTTATTACTCTATCCTTTTATTCGATACTACAGCGAAAGTAAATCACATCAATTAAAAAACGCTATGATATATTTCATAATAGTTTCTATAATGGGTATAGGACTATTAGCTGACACAAAGTAAATCTTTAAGTATATTTAGATCACTATATGTGGATTCAATAAACAAAAAAACATCAGTTCTAATTATTTCAATCGTAAGTTTCACAGTCATGGATGTCGGTTTAGAGATGCTTGGAGTATGACTAACATTTGATATAAATAGTTTGCTTGTTCTGCTTTATTAGAAGATTATGTTAATCCAAAACAGACGTAAAAAGTGTAGTAATACAGAACATTTGTTGATTCATTTGGGAAATTCACTGGATTCCTAGTTTCAAGTGTTTTAGCTTTCAATTTTATTTACTTAAACTTCGACAATTTTATTGAGAACTTATCATTTGCATACTTAGTAGGATTGATAATGATATTGATTGGTTTTGGAATGGTTTTGATATCCTTTCCACGTAAAGGATTAGATTTAGTATAATAAAATCACAAAATGAGGTTTAGTATCAATTCTTTTTTGCCTGGAATAACATTTATATCGTAATTAGTTATATATATAGAGTAGATAATTGCCCAAAAATATGAAGATATTTTTGTTATCCCATTTTTTCACTTGCGGTTCCCAATTGTTTGTGTCTGTCTATGCGACCTTATGGTCAGGCATTACCATGTTGGAAGAGGGACCTCAATAGTACAATGAAGCAATAAGGAATATCGTATTTGACATAGGAATTAGCTGGGGTATTGTTTAAATGATATACAGAGGGGCTTTGGCATTGTGCATGAGTGCAATACTTCATCTATTGACAACCTTGTTCTTAAAGTAATTGGGAAATAGATACACAAGCACAATATATATGATCGTGAATGCCTTGGCTGGGGCTTCTTTATTATATACTTGGTCGGTTAATGAATTTTATTCTATTTTTATCACTCTTCCTTTTTGGGGAGTTCAAACTACTGTGTTGAGTGAATTGCCATACAAATTAGCAAATCAGTTGGAGGATGATGTATGCATAAAGATAATATTGATTAGCAAGTAAGGGATACAATAAAAGGACTCTTGCCTTAGATGCTTAATTTAACCACCTTTTTTTCTTAAGCATTTATGTTTTTCATAATTCCCCTAGGTTTTTTGTTGTTATCTAGTGTTGATGACATTTCAGTTAGTATGTTCTTGAGCGGGATATTCAGTTTAATTGGATCATTTTTAGTTTGCTTTTTATGAATAATATTCTAAATTTATATAAAATCAATTGAACACAATAATCATTTTAATATTTTGAATGACCAAAATATTAACAAAATAGCTCGTAATGCAGAAGGCGAAAACAGATGTGATGGAGAATATTAAGTCTATCAACTTATGGGGAAACGATTTAGAAGATATCTCCTTTATTTCACAATTGATTAATTTAGAGATAGCTTAGTTGGCTTCTAATAAAATAAATACCTTGAAAGATGTAGTCAAGTGCTCTTAGCTTAAAGACCTGAATTTAAGAAATAATGTTATCTCTAATATTGAAGAGTTACAATTATTAAAACTATTGCCAAATTTGAAAGCATTAAATCTTTTATATAATCCTGTTACTTAAAATCACAATTATAGATACTAAGTCTTAAAACATGCACCTTAATTAGAGATACTGGATGAGATAGCCATATCTTAATAGGAAAGACGATAAGTTTAATAAGAAGAGGAGAAAGAAAATTAAATTAAATAGAAAGTATTGAAGAACCATCAAAAAATTAAGAAAATTGAGTCTAAAATTTCCATTAAAAAATCTCAAGATAAAAAATAGAAATCTATAGTAGACAAGGATTTTGTATAAAAGTTGAGTTAGTAATAGGAAGTTAATAAAAAATTGTAAGAAATTGATCAATTTTTTAATGATCAATCACAAGAATTACAGGATTCATTTATATAGGATTCATAGGAAATAAATTTTTCAAATGAAAACAAAAATATGTAAATGCTGGTTGGAGATAGGGCTTCCTCACAAAGTTAAATAAACAATAAAATATAAGAAGAAGAAATACCAATCCAAATACAGAAAAGCGATTAAATTATAAAAGCAATGCAACCGAAATAAAATTCAAAAAAGAAATCAAGCAGTAAAAGAAAAGAAGATTAAGGTAATTCCTCATAAATTCTGTGTGCCATATTGTCATTATTAGAAGTACTAAAGAAAAAGGAGATATCTTTTCTTAGAAGAAAAGTTGAAAAAAAAATAAAGAAATATAAATCATGAATTATAATAAAATGTGCATTATAAATAAGAATTATAAATATGATCATGCTATATGTCAGTCACCTTTGATAATATATTCTATTGGATCCAAATTTATTTCATTTGATATTTATCATTATATGTCTAACTTGAAAAAGTGAAAAGGATTTATAATGATTCTAAATAATAAAGTGAATTACATCTTTAGTTGTATTTCATCTTTTCATCAAATAAAATTAAGGATTGAATTCTATAAAATTTAAAATTATTTTTATAAATATTCAAATTAAAATAATCAATAATATTAGAATAATTTTCTAAGTTGTAGAATAAAACTAAATTGATGATGATTATATTTTCTGATAAAGGGGTTCACAGAAATTATCTACTAAATGATAGCCATCTTCGCACTCTAAACATTCAATGATACTCTTACATGTTTTACAATTCTTAAAATATCAAATTTTATTACCCCTGAGCAAGTTAAACAATACATCGAATTACTATCAGCATAATCTTATTCATCGCATTCAATCAAACATTTATCCTCTTTTCTAAAACCATTACATTCATTTTCACAGTAATATCCAGAAAATCCAAATTAGCAAGTACATTATTAATTTACACAGAAACCTCTTGAATTACATTAATTTTGACAATCATTTTAATTGGCACAGATTTACTTTGAATTTTGGGGACATTTAATTTGAAAGTTGATTTCACTAAAAGTAATTGTCTCATTTTCAGGACAATGAACTTGGATATAATCATTGTCATTTTATTAAAAAATTATATGTATTTGATCATTTTTACATTTAATTCTATAACAAGATTCCTTTATTTGACTTAATCTTTCAGACAAAGTTTCAACTTTTTCTTCCTTATAAGATATTTGAAAGCATAAACTATTCTCACTAACTGTACTTTTTGTCTATGAGAAATGGTCTATTTATTCTTAAGTCTGAAATTAAAATGGGTTTTTACAATCCATTCCTTTAAAAATGCTTCTATATGAGCATTAATCACTCAATTGATCCTAGCCACATTTACCAATTCCAATATTACCAAATGAACATGTATATTCATTTTCTTGGCAGAATTCATCCACTTCTAATTCCTTGCAAGATTTAAATAAAAAGTCGCATCCTTTGGCTCTCCCATAGGTCATAAAATCCCGTTTGTACTTTAGTAATCGATAATACCTAAGATAAAATTAATTACTACCCAAAGTCTGATAATAAAGCAAATGTAAATTCTGATAGTACAGATTATCCATTCATTTATGAGCCTGTCATGAGTTCGTTAAAATAGTAGGTGCGTTCAAAATGATGGTCTGCAGAATTATCTCCTCCTTAATTCTCCATTACAGCCCCTGTAATTAAGTCACATTAAAAATATTCCTTTGATGTATTGGCTAAACGAGGAGTGGATAAAATCAAATGGTTATTTTAATCTTTTTCTGATGTTAAGTTATAAAATTGCAATGTTTAAGGATCATAATAATATTAATACAGTATTTTTATAAATCCAAGAGCATGTATTATTTCATGAATAGATGTTTAAATATTTTATTAAATAGCGAATGAATTAACATTTTTCTAATTTTTAATTAATCATTAATTACCATTTAGAGTTGTCTCAAATTCCAATTAATAACTCCAAAAATAGGCCTCAAATCATATTTTGTAATTTTGCAAGGGCCTGAGTATGCGTAATAATTGTTTGAATTATCATATTGGAATGAAACAAATATCACTAAATCTTAATTGTATTCTTTTTATTGAAATGCCAGTGGGATATCAATCCCACCACATGTTGTTTTATTTCCAAAAACAATAGTTTCTTATTAACTCCTGATCATTAAATGTCTCCCAAAAAATATCTTCGAAATCTCAAGTATTTAAGTGATATAGTCGAAGATGTCTTGGCCAACCTCTGCATTCTCTAAAAATTAAAAATATATATTTATTGGTTTCCAATTAATCTCTTCTAAACTTAAGGAGTTTAATTAACGATGTTTACTTTTATTCAATTCATTTAGTTATAATTCTAAGTCTTAACTAATTTCAATCTAATTCTATTAAGAATACGAGAGAAGGCTTTAAAACAAAATAAAAATTGCATACATTATTGATTATATTATATAAAATTTGTTTTACTATTACATGTGCAGTTATGAAGAATCATACGAAATAGATGATGATCAAATAGGATCAGGATAATTTGGAGTTGTTAAGAATGCCAAATCAAAAAAGCAAAAGAACTTGAAAATTTGTGTTAAAATACTGATAAAGTAATTGTCTTTTGGGAAACCTGAACTTGATAAACAGCAAGAGGGGGAACTTAAAATGTGCAAGGATATGATAAATAAGAAATATGAGAATTTAGTTTAAATTTATGATGTCTATGATTCTGTTGATAAGGATGATAAGGCTTATATATTTATGGAGAGGTGTGATAAAAATTTACGTTAGTTGATTGAAGAATAGAAGGAAAAAAAAGAAAAATTCTCAAAAGAAAAATTGTACTGCATAATAAAATAAATTGTGAAAGGCTATATCTTTTTAATTTATGAAAATATCATACATCGAGATCTCAAACCTGAAAACATTCTATGTAATATCAATGATAAAGATCTAGCAATCAAAGTAGTTATATTTGATTTATTTCGAGATTGCAGATTTTGGCCTCAGCAAAACTTGTATCTCTAATGAAAACATGACAAAAAGGGTTGGAACACCATACTATAGGGCTCCTGAGATCAGGGATACCGAAAATACTAATGAAAGAGTTTTTTATGACAATAGGTGTGACATATTTTCAGTAATCTTCCTTTTAATTTTATAGTTAGGAATAATAATATTTGAATTGGCCTTACTAGAAAAATAATTTAAGTAAAGGGAAAAAGCAAGTTTATAAGATTAAACTTTCTCCGAATTACATAAAGCTATATTAAAAAACGAAAATTTTAAATTAGGTAAAAAAACTTTTATATTAAATATAGACGAAGATATTATAAAATTATTAGATAAAATGATAGTATATGATCCGGATAAGAGGATAACATGGTAATAGTTAGGAGAACAATTTGAAATTTAATTACCGCCTAATATAATGATGTAACCATAATAAACATTACCCACATTTGTTTAATTTAATCCAATTTTAAATTCAAAACAGACTTCTCCAGTACTTTCTAAATTTCCTGTAAACTAATAATAACAACATTTCCAAAATGTAGCTTAAGAATAGACAAAACCCAATATCATTTAAGAGAATATGAGGTTCTAAAAGTAAAATTTATTAGAGCCCGGCAATGAAAAAGATGAGAAAGAGAAAATTAGATTTGCCACAGTAAAATAACCATAGTTCAATAATTTTTAATAATGTGGTTATCAAAATTCTAAATTTCCTAATGGATAGCCACTAGGATAAGGACTAAATGGATAACAAATATAATAAGTATTCAAAGGGTAATTTCCATAGCCAACAATCCAAAAAAATTAACTTTAAAGTCCACCTTTCTAGATCCAAGGATAACCTGTATTCATCCAAAAATAACCTGTATAAATCCAAGGATAACCTGTATAAATCCAAGGATAACCTTTATAAATTAAATTTAATGTAAAAGACGAAAAATAAGGAGAGCAAAAATAAAAACAACCATCTACATAAATCAATAATAATAATATATAATTTCCTATTTGCCCAAATTTTCAATAAAATAATATCTAAATTTAGAGGTATGCGACGACTAAGCCAATAGGAAATTGAATTAGAATATTATATTATTCAGATAATATAATTTATTTAGCTTTTTTTACAATATTATATACATTATCAAGTAAATTTAATATAATCATATTGGATAACCTTTTTAAAGTTGATCTAATCATGCAATTCATAATCCTCATCTTGAAATGTAATCTAATGATATTTTACAATATAACCTTTTCTAATTTTAAATAATTTCTCAATTAATTCAATCTTATTGGGTTTTGTAATTTTTGAAAAAAATATTACTCCCAATTAGTATCATTAAAAAATGGATGTTGTCTAATTTGTTCAAGATTTATTCTTTTTTCATAGTTTTTATTTGTCAATTTATTTATTAAACTTATTGCTTCCTATTTTAAATTATCAATTTACCTTGTGAAAATATTAAGGGTAACTAATTTGACATGTCAAAATACTCAAAATAATTTAATTGCTAGTAGTACCCTCAAATGGATGACATCCAGATAGAAGCTCATATGCTAAAATTCCAAATTAATAATAATCAGTCCATTTTCCAATTTTCCCCTCATCCAAATATTCCGGAGTCTTATAGTAAATTGATTAAAACCCATAATTTTGAAGACCTATTAATTTAATGCTTCCTTTTGATGTCAACAAAACATTATTCAAACAGAGATTATTATATATAATATTCTAGCTATGTAAATACTCTAAAGCTATTAAAATTTGACTTAGATAATATTTGGCCTAATTAATTGTAATTCTTTCTAAAGCATTCAAAATCGAGTATAAACTGCCACCATTACAATGTTCAAATGCCAAATATAAATACTTAGGAGTTTGAAAGGCATACTATAATTAAATGATGTATGGATTATCGACTGAAGTTAAAGTACGTACTTCATGTATAGCTTCTCCAAGTAGACCATTTTATATTAATAACTATTTGTTGAGACATTTCAGAGCATAAGTCGATCCATCTAATTCACAATAAGCCTTGAAAACACAGCTTATTTAATCACTCATCAAAAGAGATTTTAAAACGAAATCTTTGAATTTAGGAATCTAATGAGTTAATTTAGGCATCAAAGATGATAAATCAGAGATCTTACGTCTTATCGGTGTCTAACTGTCTCTTTTTGGAGCAATACTTGAAGGAGGAGAATCTAAGTCGATTTCTTCTAATTTAATGAATATATTGTTTAGTTACAATCCAGTAGCAACATTTTTAGTATAGGTTATACCTTTTTTAATCAGATTCGACCATCTTGTTAAATGATCAATTGTTGGTAAACCTATTATTATATCATGATGACTCTCTCCTTGCAGTTAAATGTAAAAGTATCCTTTTTTAAGTTTGAAACTTGTATAATTAGAATTGACCTGAGAAATTTAAGATAGTTTTATTGATTCTCTGATTTCAGTCTAACATTTATCCTTATACCTTATTAGATGATCACCCAAAGGGTTTATCACTAAATATCTTTGTTTAATAGTCCAAGGACTTGAACCGGGTGAAAAATAGGTTCCCTTTGCAATAAATGGATTGATTTGAGAAAACAATTAGATTTCTGTTACTAATGGCATTTTATTAATTAGGCTCAATAAAAACAACTGCATTTTCAAGGAGGCAATATTGAACACATTGTTATTTTAACGATCTTGAATCAAAAAATCAACATCTTTTTCTTGGAGCATTTGGATGGCTTAAGTGTTCTCCATTCTGCAAGCCAAATGAAGAGCACTACTCTATTAAGTGACTAAATTCGGATTGATGCTTTAATAATTTAGCAAATACCTAGTTACTAAATAATTAATTGAACATTACTTTAGAGATGCTATTATCTAATGGATATCATCAATGAAGTCCATCCATCTAAAGTTTCTTAATTGATATCTAAACAATAAGGTAAATAGACTTTCAAAATTTCCAATTTACCAAAATAACAAATCCAATGCAATAAGGTCCAGCCTTCTTTATTTGATTGATTAGCAATTTCTTTATTTAAATGTTTTTCAATATAATCTAATTTATTAGCTTTTATTCTATCTACAATTGTGTCATACAAATTTATTTATTTATTATTATGTGATTCTTCAAAAAAATATGGACTAAAATCTACTTCTGAATGTTTTATCTCCTTCAAAAGAGAAAAATTTAGATGAGGATCTAGAACTTTAATTGATAAAATATCTAGAGGTTCTATGTTTTCACAATCACAACCGTGCACTATACGAGTCTTTAATATATATAAAGAAAACCTGGAAGCCATATTTAAAAAGATATAAAGTAAACTGTTCACATTTTAGTTAAATTGTTTTACTAACTGATTAGATAAGACTATCAGTAGTTGTAAGTGTAATAAATATGCTTATTTATTCGATATGCATTTATGGTGCTAAGTATTATAATCTTAATTCCACATCCATTATTTTTTTATATAAAATAATAATAATAATTATATAATTAATTATCAATTTTATGCTTTCACAAGAACTTTAATTCGTATAGAGGACCTTTTTAACAATGCCAAAGTGGGATTGACAGCTTAAAAAAATTCTCCATCCACTTAGAAATAAGGAGAGACATTCTTTTTAAACGAGATCAAAAAAGGTCCTTCTCCCTATGCAATTCTAACTGCATTTCCATGAATGAACCTAAAATGTAAAAAATGCATAGAACCTTTCATTCGCCATTCCTATCATGGAATTAAAGCCCACAAACTCAATTTTCCCATCTCCAAAATCCTAAGGGACGAATTTATCTTAGATTTTCTAAGTACCTTCTTTCACAGCTACCTTTCCTCTGCAATTATCCCAAATGGCTCCAGCTCCACCAGAATAAGATTGTATATTTAAGCATAACAATGTAACAGGATCTCCACTTAATATAAACTTGGATTCGTTAAGAGGCTATTGATCTTCTCTTGTATTAACTCCCTTCGTCTTAAATAACACATCAGTAGAAACATTAGTCATTTATTCAATTGTTACATTTTACTCTTTTAAAATTTGCATTCCTGAGATGACTTAATTGGTAGTAGGATTCTTGAGACACATTTTTTTAATACCCTCACAAAAGTAGACACACTTATTACAACAAGCAGATTAAGTTCTTTTTTTATCAAAACCAAATCCTATACGAGCATCTACTCCAATGGAAAAATAATTTGACATCCTCTTATCTAGTTGTTTCAAGACCTCTTTGTCTTTTTAAAGAACTTCTTTTTGAAATAGATCTCCTTATTTTTTAATTCTCTTAAATGATCCAGTTTAAGCATCCACTGTAATATTGACTTCCCATAGATCGAAATCATGTATTTTTGCAGTGAGCCACTATGATATTTGCTGTTTGAAGTTTCTTAAGCAAGCCCCCAAATCTCCATCTGTATCTCCGCCCCAACCTAAAACCCTTGAAAAATCATTTCCTGTTCCAAAGGGTATTATGCCAATAGGACAATTTACAAAGTCAACATTATGTTTCTGCATTTCATCAACAACCCACATCACAGTGCCGTCACCACCACAAACAATTACTCTAACTTAAACACTTCGTTATTGGAATTCTTTAATTCTTCTTAGATTCATCTCGACTTAGTCTCTTTGATGAAGACTTGTGAAATAAACACTGATAGGTTTTTGATTAAGATTAAATTTAATTGTTTCTGCATCTAATTAAAGATACACGCCTGCCCGATTACCACCAGAAGTGGGATTTACAAAAAGAAAAAAAGCAAATTCCATCTATAAATTAATAATATGAAAATAACAATATAAAGAATATATACAATTAATGGGTAATGAACGTTAGTCTAAAGTTTAGAATAATATAAAAAGTATTGAGATTTGAAAAAAGTAAACAATAAAAGGATTTTATCGTTTAAAATATAAATTTATTTGGTTGATGGAAATTATGGACATTGATATTTAATCCCTTAAGAAATTGAGGATCTATAACGATCTCTTATTATTTAAATAGTAACTGGATAAAAATATGTTTAAATCGCTGTGAGTATTTTGTAATCCACTAAATAGAAATTGGTCTAAAATTATGGGAAGATATTTAAACACATATTCCTAAAAGTGCAAATTTTTTATTGGAAATCAAAATAGTCTCAAATTGAAGCCAATTTCAATAATAGAATCAATATAAAGACTAAAGCCCTTATGGCTTATAAATAAATACGATCCACATTACTCTAACATGACTTAAATTTAGCCTAGAATATTAAACTAGAATAATTTTTAATTAAGAAAGTGAAGTAAAGAATGACTTAAATATTTCTTTAGTTCTATTACAAGTATGTATAAATTATTTAGAATATATTTTCATTGTGTTTCATAACTATTAAATAAGAAGAATATAAATCTGTAATTATAGTAAATTAAATAGATCCGTTATTGTTTTCACTTCCTTACTAATTATTTTATTATAAGACTATAGTTTAGATCTTAAAAAATTTTTATAAATGGCAATGAAAGACCTTGGTATTTGAAGAAAAATGATGGGAATTTAGAATGGAATTCCATAATTTAGTATATTCAAATTTAGATTTATATTATAATAATCAAAGCCTTATTGGGGATAAGGATTTTATAATAGTAAAAGCAGGATATGCTCCTTTTGTAATTATTACTTTCTTTATGGGACTACTACATGGATCAACAAATCCATTTGCCATCCCTCTTTTTACAGTTCTTTATTCGCTTGTTCTTTTATCAGAATCAAACCGAGAAACCTTCATTTATCTTGATTCTTATATAGAATGATATAATTATGATAGTATCTCTTTTTGAGCTGCCAACTATAATTTAATTTCCTATATATTTTATTAGGTATCTGATTAATCGTCAACAATGGTCACTTAAATATTTTCACTCATTTAATCTGGCTTTATTTGAAATTATTTATCAGAGAAACTAATTTAACCTGGTAAGGAATGTTATGAAGGACAAGCTACAAACTTTAATTAAGTCTATGAAATCTATTTCTGAGATTATTTTTTCATCAATTCTTCAATGGATTCTTCATTCCTACTTTGCACTTTATCTTGCCTTTTTTTCTGTACTGTATTTTATTATTTCTATTTTAGAATATTATTATCCTATTAATTCAGTTAATTCTGTTTTACAATAGAGTCCTCTTAATTTATTTTCTTCAGATTATTCTATTCTTATGGAAACTGGTTAGAAATAATAGACATTTATTATGAACATAAGGATTAATCTTATTTATTGTCTTCGAATGACAAATGATCCTATTTTTTATAAGAATTAATTAATTCAATTTTAGTTTGTTAAGACTGACCTTACTGCTCTATCTTTTCTTAAATGATTAATGGTTATTTTTATGAATAAAATTATTCTTGTGATTAATATTAATTAAATGAGTGATGTTAATTTGGATAGTTTTGCTAGCTAGATTGGTGTGATTGTGATCTTTGTTATTTATTTTCTCCAGAATATCCTGATCTACGTGATTGTCTTGATTAAGCATCCTATAATTTATCAATTTATAAATCATCTAATTCACTGTGAGAAACTGGTTATTTTTTAATGTTCATTGAATCACTTCTTGATTTTTTGCCATCTTCTTGTTGTTAACTTGATCTTCTGTTATGAAGTCTATCATTTACATTCACATTGTCTACATTCACATTATCTAAACTTTAAATATCATTAAATAACATAGACTACTACTGATTATTTGCTATTTAGGATTATTCGAAATGAGGAGAATTATTATTATTATCAGCTATAATTGAATCCTCTTATTTCTTTTTTAATTCACTCTTTAATACATCACTCACCGATTTAATAAATTCTTATTAGAAGCTTTCTGACTATTAGTAAGGGTAACTCTCCGAGGAATCCATTGAAACATTTGTTTTAAATCCTGGCTTACTTGAAGATATTTAATTTTCATCCTCTAATTGTTGTTGCTATGTTTTCAGCAATTCTAGTTCTCTTTGTTATTGTTCTATTAATTATTGCATATGTTGTTAGTATTATTTGATCAACCTCATTTGAGGCTCATCATTAATCTCAAACTTATCAAAGTCAGTTTATGATTAGCTTCTTTTATGTTTGTGAAATTTCATTTAACTAGATTAATTAGATTCAGCTTAATTAAAAACAGCGGTGTTTCTCATATCTTAAGCGAAGTCTTATTGGCAAAAACTTATTTTTTTGTTGTGATCATTATCATATTATTATTTCATCTACTATTAAGTTTAATTCTATTATTAAACTTATTAAATTTATGACAATTGTTCTGTCTCTTAAATTTACTATTATTATAATTGCAACTACTTATTTTAATCTTATTATTCTCTATGTGATTATTGTGGAGTTATTTATTGAGAAGCAACTTAGTTTATGGATTTAATTGATATTCTTTAAGACGCTGGTTATGATGATTGCTTAGATCTTTTTGAATCTCTTGGTTATGAAAATTCCTTAATCTATCTTGATTCCCATAATTATTATGATTATTAAGATGTATCCAAAGGAAGCTATTCAGTTTGTTAATTCCCCTCATTTTGAAATTTATTTCTTTAGCTTTTTGATTAATTTTAATCTTCAAGTTGATGTTGCTGTTGTAATTTTTTGGAACCTTCAGAGGATTTACACTTTGATTGTTATAGATGTTTAGGACTCTTGACTTATTTGGATTGATTAGATTATCTAGATTAATCCAATAATGATTTTCTCGATTACTCAACTGATTGTTCTTTTTTGTATTGTTTAGATTTTCTAATAATTTATTCAATATGATCTTTTGATGAGGAAGGTTATTTTTCTTAAAACTAATCGCTCCTTTAACTATAATGTTCTTCACTATCCAATATTGCTTAATAAATTTGGCTTTATTAGGACTATACACTTTTATTCTAATCAAAAGGTTTTATGAATTGAGTTTGAAGCTTTTTAATTTCCTCCACATATGCTGATTGACTTAATTTACTTGAAGATTTATTATTGACTGACTCTTTCTTCCTTGAGCTTTAGATTAGATATTACTATGAATTAGAATGAGACTTTCTTGCTTTTTATTGAGGTTTATTAGATTTATTATGTTAAGATTGGTCATTTTAATTTAGATCCTTCAATTATCCTTTATAATAATTTATTAACTATATGCTGTTCCTTTCGGGAGATGAATGGTATTTACTTCCATGCAGGGCTTCTGAGATTCTCTTATAAGAATTCGTGGTAGAATTTTGAAAATACTTATAATTTGAGAGCTTGCTCTTTTGTTCAGGACTTGGAGAGGCATTAGTTTATTTTTAGATAGGTTCCTATCTTTAAAATTGGATTTCAAATAAGTCTTCAATCTCCTTAACATTGTTCAGAGTTATAGGTTGTCTAATTTAGATGGGATTTTTGTGATCACTATATGGAACTAATTTATGATAATAAAAATTAATATACACATTAAATCTTTGGGTGCAGCGCAGTTTTTAACTAATCCATTTTGAAAAATTTCAATCAATTCTCCAAATCTCCACAGTCCTTTAGCCCATTATAATTCATCCTCCTTAAATAAATAAATGCCTCTGCCATGATACTTACCATTTTCAAAGAAACCTTAATAGACTTCCCCAGATGGTTGCTGCAATCTGCCTAGGCCATTCAGGGCTCCATCTTTAAATTGTCCACATTGAAATAATCCATTTTTAGGTACAAATACTCCTAGGCCATTAGGTGCAACCTTATTTGCTGCATTCTTTCCTGTTACGCCATAGAATGTTCCCTCTAGCCAATCAATAGTTTGTAGAGCAGAACTATTGTAACATTAGACACTCTTTAAGTTTGGAATTTCGCATGATTATTCTCTCTGACTAAGACCTCGAGTTGGTTTGCCATCTTGAAATGCAATTGTAACTTCTCCTTACTTGAAATGGGCAGTCATGTTTCCATTGGGTAAACCGTTGAGCCATTTGCCATAATACTTTGCTTGTCTTGTTTAAATGAGACAATTTCCGTGTAATTTTGCAGAGTTAAATTATCCTTAGATGGTAGTTTTGGGAGGCAGGAAGAGTATTCCATTGCCATCTATTTAATCTGATTTCCATTCACCAAAATAGGCAGATCCATTCTCCCATAAATAAACTCCGATCCCTTGTTTATATCTGGATTGTAATGTTTATCCTTGGTAGATTCCATCTTTGAATTCAAGTTGGGTTATTATACTATTGCGCATTGCCGTTAATATTATAATATTAGGAGGGGAAAATAATAAATAAAAATTTAAATTCTGTAATGCCTCGCGAAATCATCACACTTCAAGTTGGATAATGCGGTAATCAAGGTGAGTGCATATTCAAATATTATTAGTTGGTATTGAGTTTTGGAAATAGTTAATCAAAGAGCATGGTATAAATAATGAGGGAATTTTGGAGGAATTTGCACTCTAAGGAGATGATAGGAAGGATGTGTTCTTCTATTAGGCAGATGATGAACATTACATACCAAGAGCATTGTTGATAGACATGGAACCTAGAGTTATCAATTATATATAGACTTCTCAATTTTCAACTCTGTTCAATCCTGAGAATATATTCATTTCAAAAGATGGAGGTGGAGCAGGCAATAATTGGGCATGCGGTTATTCATAGGGAGAGAGATACTAGGAAGAGTTGATGGAGATGATAGACAGAGAAGCCGATGGATCAGACAGTTTGGAGGGATTTCTAATGCTTCATTCAATTGCTGGTGGTACAGGTTCAGGATCAGGATCATACATATTGGAGAGATTGAATGATCGTTTTCCCAAGAAAATCATATAAACATACTCTGTGTTCCCTAATCAAAATGAGACAAGTGATGTTGTTGTTCAACCCTACAATTCTCTACTCACTCTTCGTAGATTAGCCTAGAATGCAGATGCAGTAGTTGTATTGGACAACACAGCCTTGAATAGAATAGCTGTTGACAGACTCAAAATACCCATTCCAACTGTGTCTCAGACCAATTCTCTGGTGGCTATGGTCATGGCAGCCTCTACCACTACACTTAGATATCCTGGATATATGAATAATGATTTAGTTAGCATTTTGGCTGGATTAGTTCCCACACCTCGATGTCACTTTTTGATGACTGGCTATACTCCTTTGACTATTGATAGACATGTATAATTTAACATAATAAATTTAGATTTCATCTGTAAGAAAAACTACAGTCTTGGATGTCATGAGAAGACTACTCTAGACTAAGAACATTATGGTTTCAACATCTACGAAGAATGGAAATTACATTTCGATTTTGAACATCATTCAAGGGGATGTGGATGCTACTCAGATCCATAAAAGTTTGTAAAGAATTAGGGAGCGCAAACTGGCCAGTTTCATTGAATGGGGTCCCACTTCAATTCAAGTAGCTCTTTCGAAGAAGAGTCCTTACATCGAGACTTCTCATAAGGTCAGTGGACTGATGTTGGCTAATCACACTAGTATCCATTCAGTATAATATTTATAAAACTGTTTTAGCTTTTTGATAGAATATTAAAACAATATCACAAGTTGAGAAACAGGAATGCTTTCTTAGATTAATACAAAAAAGAACCTATGTTTAAGGATTCACTCGACGAATTCGACGAATCAAGAGAGTGTTTGGAGTCCCTTATTAGTGAGTACAAGGCTGCTGAATCGAAGAACTACTTGGATTGGGGAAACGATGACAATATGAGAATCGAAGAGTAACAGTGAAAATATATGTTTTTATTAATTAAAATAAATGGGTAATTGTACTAAAATGTGTTATGTTAATGAAGGCGTACAATAGCTTACTAAAAAGGAAGAATTTGCAATAGAGACTGGAATCAAGAGTGACGATTTGATTATGCACTCAACCCAAGGGAAATCCAAGGAGAATAAGGATGATCAATATTCATAATGCTCAAATAAAAGTGCTCTTCCTTAAATAATCTCCATTGAAGACGAACTCTTGATCCAATCCACTTTGAATTCAAGTGTTCCTATGAAACTCAGAAAAATATTGATGGAGGATGATGCCTACTATGAGGGAGAGTGGATGTAAGGTAAACGTTGGGGATAGGGAGAATAGAGATGGCCAGATGGGTATGACTTATCTCAATTTGAGTTTCTAGGTCAACTTACATAGGGGAATGGAAGAATAACAAGGCGAATGGGTATGGTGTTTTGACCCATTCCGATGGAGATGTCTACAAAGGAGAATGGCTCAATGATCAAGCCCACGGAAAGGGTGTTTACATAAACTTCAACCAGGCCAAATACGAAGGCGACTGGGTCAAAGATAGACAAGAAGGATACGGAGTTGAGAGTTGGCCGGATGGGTCAATTTTTGAAGGTAGTTTATGGATACATATTCAGGATATTACAAACACGGAAAGAAGGAAGGGGTTGGGAAGCTGACTTATCCAGATGGCTCTAAGTACGAGGGCAATTTTCAGATGAACAATCTCCATGGGTAGGGAAAGTACATTTGGCCTGATGGACGAATATATGAAGGCGATTGGGTCAATAATTAGATGAATGGGAAGGGCATGATGAAGTGGGAAGATGGTATGGAATGCCAATTATCTAGGGAGATAGTATGAGGGAGAATATAGGGAAGGATAGAAACATGGGTTTGGAACGTTGATATGGGAGGATGGACACAAATATGTGGGTCAATGGGTGATGGGAAAATAGGACGGGGCTGGCGAATACTTCTTTACTAATGGTACTTCTCGTAAGGGAGTGTGGAAAGAAGGCAAACGGATCTAATGGGAATGATTATTTAATAAATACTATGTAAAATCATAATCCTAATGATGAACTCAATTTAGAGAACGACAAGTTTTCTAAATAGTTGGATCAAGATGGTAATAGGCTTTGATAATCTATCTAGAACGCATTTTGTTGTCATGCAACTTGTTTAAGTTTAATGATTACAAGAAGAGACAAGAACGTAGTTTGTTGGTGTCCACAAAGAATGTCATAAACCTGAAAGGCACATGTATCATCTTTATTAATGTTCATTCCCTAGCCATCAAGAGGAAGATTCCATACAATAAGATAAAGGCTATCACATTGTCCTCCATCGGCACAGAATTCGTGATCCACGTCCCGGACGAGTACGACTACAGATATAGCAGTTATGACAAGTAATTAATGACTTAGATCATTTATAGACGCAATAAAATCGTGTCCAAGATCTTAGAAGGCTATTGTCTATTCACTAAAGCCAAACTAGCAATGTATTATAATCAAATATATCGTGTTTAGTTATTTTAAAGAGGATGTATCATTGTACAATTACGCCACTACAAAAAGTGATAAGAAGAAACATGTCTCTAAGATCCCCTCAGAATAGCCTTAATATATGGACAATGAGATTTTTGCCTAAATCCTAGAGGGAGAGACCAAGGAAAAAGATGATGCCAGGAAGAAAACACAGACCTTATGGGCTAGAGAGAAAGGCAAGGAAGTTACATTGGATGACTTCTCAATCCTGAAAGTCTTAGGTAGAGGAGCATTTGGGCAAGTGATGTTGGTCGAGAAAAAAGACACTGGAGAATGGTTTGCTATGAAGACCATCAGAAAAGAGGATATCATAGAGAAGGATCAACTTGAACACACCAAAACAGAAAAAATGATATTGGAACATGTCAATCATCCATTTTTGGTCAATTTGGCTTATGCATTCCAAACTCCATAGAAATTGTTTTTCATTATGCAATTCATGAAAGGAGGTGAATTGTTTTAACATTTGAGAATGGCAAGAAAATTCGATGAAAAAAGAGCTAAATTTTATGTGGCTGAGTTATTGTTAGGATTAGGACATCTACATAGCAAAGACATTGTTTATCGTGATCTTAAATTGGAAAACATATTAATGGATGATGTAGGCAATGTATTCTTAACTGATTTCGGAATGGCCAAAATTGTACGTAAAAATGAATTGGCTATGACATTCTGTGGAACTCCTGAATATCTTTGTCCAGAAGTCATTCTAGGATACGGTTGCGATAAAACAGCTGATTGGTGGAGTTTAGGCATCCTTACTTATGAAATGATGTATGGTTTGCCTCCCTTTTACAACAAAAATTAAACCATTATGTTCAAATTGATTAAGGAGGCTGAACTAAGGTTCCCTGAAAGACCAGAAGTCAGTAAAGAAGCTAAAGATTTCATTTCAAGAGTAAATCTATATATACTATTAAATACAGTTACTTGTAAGAGATCGATTTGCAAGACTAGGAGCCAAGGGAGATTTCTAAGAGTTGATAGCACATCCTTGGTTCAAAGATATCAATTGGGAATAGTTGATTCAAAAAAAAGTACCCACTCCTTACAAACCAAGAGTTTAGGGAGAGTAGTGGTTGGATGGTTTCGATAAAGATTTCACTAGTGAAGGTACTATTATTAATGATATTCTAATGTAGATCCAAACAAGGTAATTGATGACGATCACTCGAAACCTTAAAAAGATTACGATTAACAATTCAAAGATTTCTGAAATATATTCACATATGGATTAAATCATTTATTAATACCCTTTTAAAACCCCTATTTAATTTATAATTATTTTGTTTGAACTGATTACTCTTAAAGCATCAAAAATATAAATAAATATAGATATAATCACAAAAAAGCTTAGATTACCTAATAGTATAATTATTGAAATATACAGTTCCAGAACTTATAGAATAATTTCCTAATTAATTCTAATCTATCAATTCCCTTCCATTTAAATACAATCTACAAGTGGTCTCTTTTGCAGCCGACAATATGATTTACTTGATTTCCTGTATCGTGGAAGTGCTTTAAGTTGAAATCTCAAAATCCTATGGCAATTTGCTACTTCGAACTCTCACCTAGATGGTTTTCTAAATTACTTTCAACATGGAAGTTTCGAAATTCAGTTCAAATTTGTTATTGCTGCAAAAGGTAGGCTCATTAATTACGAATATCGGGACTTGAAATATATGCTCTTATTTATATAGCAATTATACTATCTTAAACCAACACTTAAATGGAATTCCCAATCACTTTTAAATTGGCCTCCCCTAGAATTTAAAGAACCAAGGCTATAAAATGGCAAGACTACTTTTCATACATTCATCATCGCACAAAATTGCTTTCTTGATAATTGCCCATTCAGAACAATCTTTACGGCTATCTGGATATAATTTGTAACTCTCTACCCCAAAACTATTTTTACATTAAATCCCATTCAATTCTGGATAATTTTGTTGTATATTGATTGGTTTTTTTGATTCCTCTTCCAACGAACTTATTTGGGATGAGTGTGAAATTATTTGCATATACATGATTAACATTGCTAGGATTATTAATATCTAATAACAGAGCAATATTCTATTGTTCTATCTTCAAAACATACCTCATCTTTCTAAATCAAGGTCTAACTCTTATGAGAACAAATACCCATTTTAATTATATTAATTCATATATATATGTTATTTTCAAAAGTCTTCATCTTCTCCATCATCATCCAAATTCTCAATTACATCCTATTCATCCTCTTCTTCTTCGTCTTCACCTCCACTTAAATCGTCTAAATCATCTACTTTTCCATCCTCATCTAATTCTCCATCCTCATCCGTATGAAAGATAGTACATCCTCCACATTAATGTCCCTATATAAATTAGTTCCACTTCTTCAATTCTATTTCTGCTTATTTATTTTGAGCATCCAAAACATTGTCTAGATATACAAGATTTCTATATTTCTCCATATAAATCTAACATATATAAATATATTTAATTTACCTAATATAACTTATCCAATTCATATTCCTAAATATCATATTCTTCTTAATAAACAGGCTTGACACTAGTCATCCCCTTCAACCTTTTTTCTGCCTATTCTAGTTCCTTTGCCTTTCTCTTGATTTTTTCATCAATCTGCTTTTGATCACTCTCCAAACCACTTACATATTTAGACATATCTTGAATGTTCGAATCTTACTGTTTCAATATCTATTCAATACACATTTTAATTTAGGACTGCTCTGATTGCGAGTCTCCACCTCTAGACACATTCTATAAGAATTATAATGCTTTTTCCTAAGTATAGAATTCGAATTAATACTCTTGCAACTCTCACTTCATCCTCCTTCCCTAATTAATCATATAACCTTGTGGCTAAGTCAGTAATCTCTTATGCCAAGACCTTATGACTCTTAATATTACATAATTTAGAGGGGAGAGACTTGGATAAATCAGTTTAATATCTTTACGAATTCATGCACTTCATCCTCTTCTGCAGGCTAAGAGATCTAAGCTTTATATAAATAAGTTGAAATTTTAAAAATTTCTTGAACTGCATAAACATCTGCCATATATAATCTCTTTGCATTTATCTTGAGCCTAGCCTTACTAACAAAAAGAGTAGTAATCTGTTTTATAAATTCAACTCGATGTCGCTATTTTTTAATCTACGCTCATTACTTCCTCATCAATATTGTCCGATATGTCTGCATCAGGTTAGTACTTCAAGACTAGCCAATATAGGATATCAGCAACCAATTCAAAATTAGGCCTCCTAAAGTTTTCCATTGAAATAATTCTATGATACCCCAAAGCCCTCATTTGTTCGCAAAAGTTACGAAGTTCTCTATAAGACATTAGTATTATAAATATTTTAATTATAATATTTATAGCTTAAGAATCACTTAAAGTGAAGAGAATCATATTTATTGTATTACTTAGGTTCATTTTCTTTTTAGCCCTCCCTTTTGACTTATTTAAAGCCAATTTTAAGTTTTTACCCTTTTAATTCATCTTAATCTTTTACTTTTTTTTTACGATTTTGAAAACTGTAATTCTTCTTCTAAACCATCTAGATTTATACAAATCTCTTTTTCATCCTTCCAGTGACCTCATCCTTAATCTAAATTGCAAAAGTATTATTATAAAGCCTAATTAAACCATTAAATTTTATATTTGAATTTGATAAATATTCAAAAAGTATACTATAAAGACAAGCATCTTAGGATTTTAGGTTTTAATCCAATATATTCATAATTTCAAATTTGGTTAAGTTATCAATAATTTGATTTTGTGAATTAAAGTACCAAATATTATTCGCAAATTTTTGTTACTTTGGTTTATATTCTTTCAACTCTTAAACCTGAATTCATTTGCCATTCGATCTTCCAATTAAGCCATATTATTCTTCATAGATGAAATTGATGACTTCTAATTTAAATAATTTTATACATTTATACAACAGTTTCATAGATATAAAAGTGAATGGCATGGGTTTACTCAACTATAAAATGTATTTCATCAATAGATTAATAAACCTACCTTCACTATCTAATTTTATTATCTTATCAACTCATATATTATATATTTCAGAAACACAAAAACAATAATTTTATATAAATATTTGCTCTTAAAACCTTGACTTGTCATAGTAAAATGTTCGAGGTTATGTTTAAAATATAAATTTATCCAATTTGAATTAGAATATTATTTATTCCTGATTTTCAATCTGCTTCATTCAATGACATGTAATTATGAAATTAATTAAAATAAATACATGAGTAATAATGATGTTTTTTAGATAAAGCTAAATTGAATTTAGTAAATCATTATTCTTAGTTTCAAAAAGATCTCCCTTGATTAAAGTTATATATCAAAATGAAATTAGATGATCAACTTAATGTTATAAAATATTATTAATTATTTGATTTTAAATTGGTTCACTAGAAAGCAGATCTAATTTCTTTACTTTATTTAAGTCAATCCACTTTAAGCAAGTAAATTGAATCATTATTGTTAATAAATTAATAATAAAGAACAATGAATCTTTTATTGATTTCGATATTCATTTGATTATTAATATTATCGAATAAGATCATATTGCATGATTTATCAAATGAATAGTGGGAAGTTTTGGAATAACTAAAATTTTCCTTAATTTGATCATAATGAGACTTAGAAAGTTTTGATCTCAACTTTCTACAAATTTGGTTAACGATTAGGTCAGAAATGTTTTCGCCAGTACATTCTAATTCGGCAATATTTGTTATATTCAGATGTTGGCAATTTTAAGCACATTAAGGGAAGTGTTAAATTGGATGGTGTCTATGCATCATTTTAAATATCTAATTCAGAATATCAGATATATCTTAAAAATAATGGATTTCAAATTGTGTTATGTACAGACAATACAAATCAATACCAGTTATGGGCGAAACTCTTATCTAATTGTTGTATACTCACTACATTTAATGAGGATATGATCTTGGGAAAATTGATAGGAAATGGAAGCTTTTCAACAGTATTTATGCATGTTAATAAGGTTTATGAGGGAAGGAATAAGGAGGGCCATGTATTTGCAATTAAAGCAATACCTAAAACGAGATCCAAAGTCTCAACAATAAACAAGTAATACGAAGAGCAGTTGTTAAGTGAAATTTCAAGTTTAAGAGAGTTGGACCATGTAAACATTTTAAAGCTTCATCGAGTTTATGAGACAGCAGAAAAATTATATTTAGTTACTGAATTTATTCATGGTTATGAATTAATCTCAAAAGCTGCCAGCAAACCCATCTTTCAAGGTTCTGAGTTGAAAAGCTTCATTCACCAAATGCTCTTGGCAATTAAGGATATACATTAACACAACATTATGCATAGAGATATTAAGCCGTAGAATATCATGTTAAAAAATGGCCAGCTATCTTAGCCTTGTCTTATCGACTTTGGGCTGGCTGTAAGTACTAAGAAAAAAGGATTTCCATTTCCATCCTGTGGATCTCCTGGGTATAATTGAGTTAAATTTTCTTAGTTATTCAGCTCCAGAAATAATAAGATTTGATGAAACCAAAAAAGAATATGGTGGATAGTGTGATATATTCAGTTTTGGTATAACATTAGTTGTTATGTATTTCTATCTAATTATGTAAGGCTCTATGGATACAGCCCATTTAAGGCGTAGGATTAAAAATAAACAATAAAGAGAAATGCTGAAGCATATTTTGAATTCCCTAGTAACATTTACCCATAGGAATGTATGAAATTAAATAAAGCAATATTTAGTAGAACATTTGATTTTGTAGATGACAAAAAAGTATCCTAAAGATAGAATCACGGCTGAGTAGGCTCTAAGCCATCCCTTTTTTTAGATTAAACTTAATAAAACTATTCAACTGCCCAAGGCCATTTTATCAAAATAGTAATATGAAATGAGCAAAAACTTCAATAATATTAATGTACATGCTAGTTTAGAAATGGACAGAGAGTTCGGATTGAATTATGCCATTCAACTCTGTAGTTGTTCTCCATAAAATAACAAAAATCGAACTTGCACTTTATCAAGCAATCCAAATAAATTACAATAAATTGATGAATTTCAATTAGACTGTGTTGAAGATTCAATTGATAGTAATCACATAGATAAGCTTAAGATGGGTCAAAGGCATTTTTATAAATAAAAATCATAAATCAACAGTCAATTTTGATAAAACCTCATTATTTGTTAATTGCATAATACTATAATAACAGACATAATTAATTATATTTATAAATGAATTAACAAAGGGATCTTCTAACAATGCCTCTCGTGTTTAATGTCATCAATCTTAAAGAAAAGGATCCAACTATCTTTTCTTTAACAATTGAAGGCAAATTAACACTCTTACACAAATTAATAAATTCTGTTGATAATGTTAAACAAGTTGTTAATTCAAAAGATTAAGAAGGTAAAACTGCTTTATTTTATGCTTGGTAATGTTTATATAGATTACTAGCTATTTTAACTTCCAAAATATTGTAATGTTTCTATTGATGAAAGGAGCCGATCCATTTATCATATCGACATCTGGTTACAATGTCTTTTATATCTGTGCGTATAGAGGACACATCGAATGCCTTTAGATCATATATTAAATGCTCAGGCACAATTTGAATATGAGTTCTATGGAAGAACTTAAACATACGATGAAAAAGTATAGATTCAAAAAAACAGATTCTCATCATGGAGAATTAACATGTTCGGATAAGCATTTAAAATAAGTACAATAGAGATTTCAAGCATTTCAAACTGAGGTTCACGACCAATATTAAAAATATTTGGATTAGAATTTATTGCATTTGAATAAAGCTATCTATACAAATGATTAATACTAAAGAAATCCAATTCATTATGCAAGTCTTTCAAAATACACTAAATGTATATAATGTACCAAGTATTTAATGTTGTATGGATTGAAGATATAAGGATGGGAATTCTTTTATGAAATGTTTATGGAAGTATAACTATTGGAGTCGTCTTCAGACAAAAAAATAGACCCCAGATAATATATGCATTATAATGATTTAGCATCTAATTTTATTGAAAAGTACTTTCTTGAATAACAACAATTTAATTTCATGAAAAAAATAAAGAGTCTATAAAAAGATTTAGCGAATTAATAAGATAGTGATGGTTATGTATGAAAATTATAATTAATTAAAGACTCCTATGCATATTGCATCATTTGCTGGAGATTTTGCAGCAATTCAATTCTTATTATCAATAGGAGGAGACCCAAAAATTAAATGCAGAAAAAAGCTATTAGATGTGTTGGAGTATGCTTCGAATGATTCTGTAAGGAAATATTTGATGGATCTAAAAAATGCAGCCAAAGAAGGAGATGAAAAGAGCTTCACATTATTAGTGAATTGTGGATAGAAGGTGAATGGAAAAGCCACAATCTACGGCATAGCTCCAGTTCATAATGCAATTGAACACACTCATAAGGTCTAAAATAAGGCGATGTTGGATAAGGTACTGGAAATGGAGGCAGATGTGAATGTCATAGACACAAATGGATGGACTCCCTTGCATCATGCTGCTTTTTATGGGGAACTGGATGCCATCAACACATTATATGAAAGAGGAGCCACTTAAAACATCTTCTCAAATAAGGGATACTATCCTTTACATGCAGCAGCTATTAATAATTAAGCAAAGGCAGTTAAATTGTTGATTGAGTTGAGCAAGAAATAAAAAGATAAAAGCATAAATAAAAAGGATACAGTTTAATTTGATAGAGGAGGCCATCCTGACTGCTAGGATGATTAATTATGCACTCCGATGCATTTGGCAGCAAAAAAGGGCTTTGCAGAGGTTGTAAAAGTATTGTTTGAAAATGGAGGCAACATTTATGCATTAGACAATCGAGATTGGACTCCACTTCATTATGCCTCATTTAATATGCACAAAAATGTAGTTCATATGTTGAGTAGATACGATTCTGATGAAGATAAATATAGTTCAATGCGCACTACAAAAGGGTAAACTGCTGACCAGATAATGACTAATTCTGATGTGAAGTTTGCATTTAAAAGTAGAGCATTAATAATGATAAGGTAGCATTATGGGGAGCTGCAAGAGACGGTGATCTAGACACTGTAAGGAAGCTTGTAACATTGAAGCATGATATCAATGAATAGAGTTATGTTAACTAATTTACACCTCTGATTTTGGCAACAAGAGGAAATCATTTCCTTGTTGTAAAATATCTTCTATCTTAGAAGGTTGATACAACTCTTAAAGATAAATGTAAATGTATGATATATGTAGATGGTAACACCGCCTAGGATTATGCAGTGAAGCAGTAGAATTAAAAGCTAAGGGAGCTATTACAAGGATAATGAAATATAAATAATCTAATGTTAATTCAAATTACTATAATAAAGAATACATTTTTTATTTTTAGGAAAATTTAAATTATAATGAACATATCAATAAGTGTTGACTCTGAGAATAAAATATTTTTTATGGTGTTTTTAAGTTAAATGTGTTTAATTCAGTTAAATAAGTAGATATGCTATAATTTAATTGCTCTGAAAAGGGTGCAAATAATTTGAATATAAGGGTTGGATTGACTACTTTGGATTTGACCCTTGAATTATCTCTTAATTTCTCAGTAATCTAACTACTTATTAAGAAATAAATTTGAGACGAAAAGAAATATGGTAAAAAAATTACATGGTTTGTTTAACATTATATTATAGATATAATAATTTCTTCTGGAGTGAGATCAGCCTAGAAATTTTTTTCTTTCTAAGGGCCAAAGTGTTTGGTTTAGAAGATTAGATTTTCAGGTTGAAAGCCGCTTTGGATATTTGATTTTAGATGAAAAATTTATTTTATATATGAATATCCAAGCATTTTTGGTTCTAATAGTACTGCTAACAATTGGAGTGAAGACTTAATCTGTTTCTACTGATGAAAAGTGCACATGTTCAACTGTTAAATCGAAATTTGACTGTGTCGCGTTAGGGTGCACTTTCACTCCATCTACAACAACAACAGCTGCAACATGTACATCAACACCAACTGCTCTTGCTGTTGTAAGTGTGTATTGTGGTTCCATCTCAACACCAGTCACGAACTGTCCTAAAACTAAGGGATGCGCTTTCTACGATGGGAAATGCCAACATTTTAGTGGATGCTAAGCCTTTCTTAAAACAACAACTAAAGATTGTTAAGCAATCTCAACTTATTGTATATCCGATGGGGTTTCTTGTATTGACCCTAAACCTTGTGAAAGCTATCAAACTCAGGCAATATGCAATACTAATGTTAGTGACACCTCTACTTAACTTTGTATTTGGGATGAAACTGCCACTACAAAATGCAGGGCCCCAAAGTGTAGCGAGGCACCCCAGACACTCAAAACAGACATTGAGTGTAACCTATTTAAGATGGGATGTGTCACAATAGGATTAGGATGCGCAGATTAAAAGTCTTTATGTTCCTAATACAAATCAGATTGTTACAACATGGTAGGATCTGACGGTGTTTGTGGGTCAGCTACAGATGGAACATGTACTGTAAGAAGTTGTGATTCTGCTCCTTTGGAATATACAACAGATGATTAATGCAATTCTTATGTGTAAGGATGCATCACAAATGGATCTGGATGTTCAAGCAGTCCATTACCCTTTTGTGCAGATTATAAACTAGACGCAGTTACATGTTTGAAGAGAAAAGGAACCGATGGAAATTGTGTTGGATCATCTTAGAACGTATGCCAAGTAAGAACTTGTGAAAATGCTCCGGCAGAATTTTTCTCAGCTACTTTATGCAATTAATATTTATCAGGTTGTAAGTATAATGGAATCAACTGTGTAAATGATCTACAGAATTGCTCTGCTTATACCGGAACAAAGGATACATGTGCTAAATACATAGGTTTAACTGGATAATGTTGGGGAGCAGCTACAAATGATTCCACCTCTAATTGCAGAAATAAGATGTGTTCAGATGGAGAGACGAGTTACAATACAGACAAATTATGCTCAGATTTCTTACCAAATTGTTTTACCAATGGCTAGGGATGTACAGGAGAGAAGAAGGCCTGTTCAACATATACTGGTACTACTACCACTTGTAGTAAATGGATTGGATCTGATGGGAGGTGCGAAGGAAGTGATGCTACTACTGATAAACCATGTTAGGCTAAATTGTGTGTGAATGCCAAAGGAGACAATTATGCGACAAATGATAATTGCAAAGCTTATTAATTTGGTTGTTTGACTAATGGTAGTGGTTGTGTTCAAAGTGATACATGTTTGGCTACTCAAAAATAAGTGACATGCACTGGTACTACTGATTGTTTATGGGGTGGTGTTTGTGTTGATAATGATTGTTCTAAATACAATTCAGTCAGTATGTGTAGCAACAATCTAGCAAAAGGAAGACCTTGTATTTGGAATGGAACTGTGTGCAGAGAGAAATTGTGTAGTGAAGCTGACAAGGCTACAAATACATCAGATGAATTGTGTGGTAAGTTTATGGCTAGATGTGTTTATTCTGGGGATGGCTGCTAAGATACTAATGTTGATTGCACATACTTCAAAGGAGATAAGACTACTTGTCCTAATTTTGTAGCCAAATCATAGAAATGTTGGTCGACTAGTGAGACTAAGGCTGCTTGTTCAATTAGATTATGCACTCATAATACAACTGCCACTTCAGATTCTGATTGCTCTACTTTTCTCAATGGTTGTGTTACTAAAGGTACTGGATGTATAAGTGCTACTGAACCCTGTTCTTCCTACGTTGGATCTATTGATTAATGCAAATAATTCAAAGGTGAAAATGGAGCCAAAAAGTGCTATAAGGAGGATACTAATTAGTAATGTAGAAATGTTAAATGCATTGACAATTTAACTGCTACAACTGATGGTGAATGCGATTCCCATTTAACAGGTTGTTTGACAAAAGGAACTGGATGTGTTCCACCTGAGACTCCATGTAGTTAATATCCTGGAAATTCATCAGATGTTTGTTCCAAATTTACTGGTAATGGAATTCCATGTTGGTGGGAAAATGGTAGCAATTGTGTAGATAAAAAATGTTCTCACAAAACCACAGCCTCAGGAAATGATGATTGCTCATCTTTTCTCAAAAGTTGTGTCTACAATGGAACTGGATGTTAAGATAAAACATTAGCATGTAGCACATTTTCAGGAAATGAAACATCCTGTTCTCAATACATCGGAAATGGATAACAATGTACAAGAAGGAATTCCTGTATCGACAGTGAATGCACCGTAAAAACAGATGCCACATCCCATTAAGACTGTCTTGATTACGCTCCCAGTTGTAGATATAGTGGTGTTAGTAACTCCTGCATAAGTGTAGCAAGTGATTGTAGTTCTTATACTACCATGACTGCAGATCTGTGCAATTCGACTACTAATTCAAGTGGTGGAAAGTGCTATTTTTCAAATTCCGCTTGTGCAAACAGAACATGTGATCTATTGGCTGCAGCTAATTCTCAATCCGACTGTGATTCATATTTAGCAGGGTGTGTGTGGACAGGTACAAAATGTGCCAGCAAAGTATCTGTTTGTAGCAGTTATACAAATTTTACTTAAGGTGCTTGTTAAGTAGCAAAGGATTCATCAAATAATTTTTGCTGGAAATCTACATCAGGCACAGGTACTTGCGAAGTGAGAGCATGTTCTCAAGTTTCAAAGAGCACTGCAACAGACTGTTAAAATCATCTGAGTACATGCACTTCAAATGGTACCTCTTGTGTTAGCAAATAAGCCAATTGTACATCATACGTAACCACCTTCACTTAGACAGCATGTAAGGAAGCCAAAACTACAGGAGGTGCTTTATGTTGGATGGAAACAGCTGGTCCAGGATCTTGTATAGCTAGATCATGTGATCAGACTATTAGTAATCCTAGTGTGGCGATTTGTGCAGCTCACATTCCAAATTCATGCACATTTAATGGAACAAACTGTGTAGCCATCCAAGGTTGTACAAGTTACACTGGTCTTACTATTGCTTAATGTCAATAGATAGTTGGAACCAGTGGGTATCCTTGTCAAAAAACAAGTTCTATTTTAACTGATAGTTGCATCGAGAGATCTTGTACTGATGTCACATCACCAAAAAAACAAAGTGATTGCACAGGTTATTTATCGAAATGCACATTTGACGGTACAATCTGTAAGTTAATCTAATCTACGTGTGATTAGTATATTGATTTTACTTAAGCTGCCTGTTAAGCTACTGTTACAACAACTGGAGAGAAATGCTGGAAGTAATTTGATGAGATAGGAAAATGTGAAGTGAGAACATGTACAAATGCTCCAACTTAAACTTCTGAAACAGTTTGTAGATCCCATTTGAGTACTTGCACATTTAATGGCAGTGGGTGTGTTGATTAATAAACTACATGTTAAGGATACACAGACACGAATGCTTTGAATTGTTAAAAATTATCAGCTTTCAATGCTGGGGTTGCAACTCCATGTTGGTTGGTTTCTGGTACTGGTTCATGTATTGATAAATAATGTGTGCACAATACAACTGCAACAACCGATTAAGAGTGTGAAGCTTTCCTTTCTGGCTGTGTTACAACTGGCAAGGGATGTACAAGTAATACCACTTTATGTTCACAATTGACTGGAACTCAAGATGGATGTGCTGCATTGGTTGGCAATTTTAAACGATGTAAGGGAGCATCTGATTAATCAGGGGAATGCAGTATCAAATATTGTCAAGATAACTCAACTGCTACTAGTGATACTTAATGTACTTCATATATGGCAGGTTGTTTAACAAGAGGAAAGGGTTGCATTGCATCAACAGAGCCTTGCACTGCATACAAGGGAACTTAAACTTAATGCAATAATTTTAAGGGTGCTGGCAGAACATGCACAAATACAAGTCAAGCAACTAGTTCCACTTCCTGTATTGAGCGTAAATGTAGTGATAATACAACAGCCACTTCAGACTCGGAATGCTCTACTTTCCAAGTTGGATGTATAACGAATGGTAAGGGATGTACATCATTAACATCTTAGTGTACTTCATTTTTTGGAACCTAATCATCATGCTCATCTTTTGTTGGAAATTCTGGAAAATAGAAATGTTATGGCACATCAGTTTCAACTCCTTCAGCTTGTGCAATTAGAGTTTGTACTCATAATACAACATCAATAACTGATAGTGAATGTGAGTCATTCTTGACTGGTTGTATCACAAATGGCAAAGGATGTGTGTTACCTTAGGCCTGTTCTGCATTTTAAGGAACACGAATATCCTGTTAAACATTTTCTGCTTCTGATAAACCATGCAAAGGTGTGAGTTCAACAATTGTGGGTGCTTGCAAGGCTGCTACTTGTTAAGATGCTCCAAACAATTATGACACAGACGAATAATGCGCGAAATTCAAGACAGGTTGTGTCACAAATGGGTTTGGATGTGTCAGTTCAATAGCCTGTAAAAACATACAATCAGAAAAGTCTTGCACAGCAAATTCATCTTGTTCTTTCATTGGCTCATGTAGAAGTGTTGCATTAGCTTCTTGCACTACATTTACAGATGCCTCAACATGTGTATCTACACCAGTGAAGACTTAGATTGGAAGATGCTCTTGGGATACTACCACTAATGGATGTAGAAATTGGTAATGCAGTGATGCTCCATTGAGTGTCAATACTCATGCTGGATGTCAAGCACTCAATCTTAGCTGTACAACTAGGGGAAGTGGTTGTGTCACTAAAGCTTAATGCAGTGAATATTTGGATCAATCCATTTGTCTATCAGCCAAGTCAATTCTGGATGATACTTGTGTTTGGGACACAACTACAACTACTAATGTGTGTAGAAAAAGAAATTGTTCCGATGCTCCAAAAGCATTGAAGACTGATGAAGGATGTGCTGCATATTTACCTGGATGTTTAACTACTGGTTACGGCTGTGCTGCTCCACCCTTTGATTGCACTGCCAACATTACATAAACAAGGTGTTTAGTAGATTCTACTGGTAACCCTTGCATTTGGCTCAACACTTCAAATAAATGTTAAAATTACACTAAGTGCACTGACATCCAAAAAACCACATTCCAAGAATGCCAAGCCTTTTCATTGTTCTGCACTTCTGATGGAATTAATTGTGTGCCTTTCAGTCTTTGTGCTTATTACACAACACCCAATAGTTGTTTGTAAGGAACTGATGGTCTATGTGGTTGGTAAGCAGATACCAATAAATGTATCAAATTTAATTCATGTGAACAATTTGTCTCCACACTCACAACTTAATGTTCGACATTCAATTCCAATTGCATAAGCAATGGTAAAGCCTGCATAACAAAACTCAAATGCAGCGAATATACAGTCGAAATGGCATGCCAATCAGGAGGAACCGATGGATTTTGTAAATGGGAAAACAACAAATGCAGAATCAGACAATGTTCTGATGCCACCGAAGATACAACTGTTTTTGAATCATGTTGGAAGTTCAGTGCAGAGAAAGTATGTACTACAAATGGTTCTAAATGTATCGACATTACCAATTGCAGTACCTATGGCAAAAACTATTGCAAATTGGGAACAGATGGATATTGTACTTATGATGATACCAACTCATTGTGCAGACCTATGATATGCTCTGATAACAAAGATACAACTAGTGCAGTATGTTTAAAGAAAGTAGGTCTTAAATGCGTCTCTGATGGAACTAAATGCATCGACATTGCTAAATGTTCAGCCTATTCAGACAAAGAAGCCTGCAATGGAGGAGGCACTGATGGAGTCTGTGTTTTCTCCCCATCCCAAAATAATCCTTTAGTCGGAATCTGCAAATTAATGACTTCCTGTTAAAGTGCTGCTCAAGATCAAATTGCTTGCTCAAAAGCACCTTGCATTTTCAGTAACAACGCTTGTGGACCTTAAACTTGTGCTTCTTAATAGCAAGGTACCAAGTGTAATTCCATTCAATCATTCGATAAGAAAACCATCACTGTTTGTGTTCCTGATGGAAATGGGGGATGTTCATAAGGAGATGCCTCATCACTTTCTTCAAGTTTATGCTTTGAATTGAGTGGCAGAACATATTCTTGGAACCCATCCAAGAGTAAATGTGAAAAGTGTGCTAAGGCTAACAACAATAATTCTACAGATACTCCAGATGACGGTGATGGAGAAGAATAAACAACCCACGCGGTTTCTTTAACAACAGCATTCCTCGTCTTATTTAGCTTTATTTCAGTTTGAGATCTTTATTTTCATTGATTAAAATATTCAATATAGTTTATTTAAATTAGTATTTTTAAGTCTCTATTCAAAATTAATGGACATTGATAAATGATTTCATATTTTTATGAATTCTCTCTTATTGAGTTAAGAATTTCACATAATACAATTATATGTTATTCACTATCTGATTTTATTAATTTAAACAATTAAATTACATATGCATTATTAAATATAATCATAAACAAAATTTAATATTGAATTAAGATGTCATATATAAATAAATTGCTTGTTGCAAATAGAGGTGAAATTGCATGCAGAGTTATGAGGACAGCCAAGAAAATGGGCATCAAAACTGTGGCTGTGTATAGTGATATTGACAAAAATACTTTGTTTGTTGAAATGGCTGATGAAGCTTACAATATAGGTCCTCCTTAAGCTTGTAATTATGAGTTAATATCGCTTAGTGCAATCATATTTAAGGAGTGATAAAATCATTGACGTTGCATTAGGCACAAAGAGTCAAGCTATTCATCCAGGCTTTGGATTTCTTTCAGAAAATGCACAATTTTCCGAAGATTGTCAAAAAAATGATATTGTAATATATATCTTAAATCGTCCAAGATATTTGTTGGTCCAGGAGCTGATGCAATTAGAAAAATGGGATCCAAGAGCGAATCAAAAATTATAATGACAAATGCTTAAGTGCCAGTTGTCCCAGGATATCACGGTGAAAATCAAGATCCTAATTTGTAATCATTTGACTCTTACTAGGTTAGTCTGCTTCAAGAGGCTGAGAAAATCGGGTTCCCAGTTTTGATTAAGGCTGTTATGGGTGGAGGAGGAAAAGGAATGAGGATTGTCAGATAGAAATCTGAATTTTTAGAAGCTTTGGAAGGAGCCAAAAGAGAAGCCTTAAAGAGTTTCAAAGACGAAAGAGTGCTCGTTGAAAAATACATTGAAAAGCCTAGACACATTGAAGTTCAGATCTTTGGTGATAAACACAACAATTATGTTCATTTATTCGAGAGAGATTGCTCAATTCAAAGGAGACATTAAAAAGTCATCGAAGAAGCACCTTCTGCCTTGGAAGAGAAAATAAGATATGATATCGGTGAAGTATGTGCTATTCTATAAATTAGAAAGCCAAAGCAGCTGCCAGAGCAGTTAAATACTCAAATGCAGGAACCGTAGAGTTTATATTTGATTTGGATTCAAGTAAATTCTACTTTATGGAAATGAACACAAGATTGTAAGTTGAACATCCAATTACAGAAATGATTACTGGGGTTGATTTAGTTGAATGGTAACTTAGAGTTGCAAGTGGAGAACAACTACCATTAACTCAAGAATAAATTAAAAGAAAAGGTCATTCAATTGAAGCTCGTATCTATTCAGAGAGTCCTAACAATAATTTCTTACCAGGGAGTGGCAAACTTGATCATTATTCAGAACCAAAAGCATCTCAATCTGTTAGAATTGAAACTGGTGTAAGAGAAGGAGATACTATTTCAATCTTCTATGATCCCATGATTGCTAAGTTGGTTGTCTATGGAGAAAATAGACAATTGGCCATCTAAACACTTTTAAATGCCTTGTAAAATTATTAAGTAATCTTTAACCTAATTCTTTTAGATTCAAGGCTTACCTAATAACATTTCATTTTTAAAAACAGTTCTTTAACATCCAGAATATGTAAATTAGTAATATGATACCTCCTTCATTGCCAAAAACTAAGACACTTTATTAAAATTAAAAGACCATTACAATCCTATCGATATTGCTCTAGCAATTGCTGGTAGACATTTCCTAAATTCGGTTAATTTACCTAAATCACTCTTAAATTTCAGAAATGGTGCTCAAATTCATAATAAATTATCATTGCATATTTAAAGTGCTTCATATGCACATTAAAAGGAGATTAAGATTACTCATAACATTAATGGAAACACTCATGAATTAGAAATTAAAGGTTAAAAGATTGTAATCAATAAAGTAACTAAAAGTTAAGAACATAATAATTTATTAATTTTTGAAACCAATAAAGGAATCTTCATCAGAACTATTAGAAACGGATAGAACTTATTGATTTTTGATGCCGAAGGAGACCCTATCACTATCACTGTCTCTTCTGATGAGGTCAAGAAGGTCAAATCGGATCAACATGGACATGGCAATAATAAAGAAATTGTTGCTCCTATGCCATGCACTTTGACCAAAGTTAATGTAAAGGTTGGATAAAAAGTGAAAAGAGGTATATAGTTTATAATTATTAAAGGTGATATTTTAATTATCATGGAAGCCATGAAGATGGAACACACAATTAAAGCAGCCATAGATGGTGAAGTTAAAGAGGTCAGATACAAAGAAGGACAATTCATTGAACCAGGAGCTTTGATTGTTAAATTAGAATGAAATAGAAATTTATAAAGTCATATTGAATATTCTATTAAACAAACTATTCATTTTATATTCTTTCCAAGTTTATTAGCTTATTTATGCAATTTTAAAGGGAATTGTAAACAAGAATAGAGGTTGATTTCAGAATAATAAAAGTAATGAAAAAATCATATCTCGATTATAATTGGAAATAAATGTAATTCTGAGATATATATAGGGCTTGAATAAATGATTTTTCTAAAAGAATATAAAATAGAAATTAAATTTTTCTATCAAATAAATTAGTTCAAAGTATATATAGCAGACTTCTCCTAAAGACTTAAATAGTATTTTAGAAAAAATGTATAAAAAAACAACAGTTTATCAAAATTCAACCCAAAAAAGCAACCTATAAATTGCGCTATAAAATGCTATTCTTTAATTAGCTTGTTGGCTAGTATTAGCTATTGCATACAAAATGAATTACATAATAAATAACTAAAGTTAATTCTAATATTTTATAAAAATGAAAAATAGAGGAATCCAGTCTTAGGAAGCTATAAAATAATAATTTTATGCATAAATCCTATAATTACATTTATTTATATAAGAACTAAATTTATTATTAGTTTTTTAGGATAAAATTTGGTTGTAGAATTAATTTTTCTAATTCATTATTTTTTATAATAGAATGAAATTAATTCTCCTTTCGTTGTGCTTATTGCTGTTGACTAGCGAGTAAAATTGTAAAACCATTTAAAATATTTAGGTCATTATAGCTGTTTATCTTGTGATTCTGGTGATAAAATAAAGTGCAAGACTTGCGATGAAAAAACAAGAATTTTTAGAGACGGGAAATGCGAATGCAAAGATGGATTCGTAGAAATGTAAACTTTATAATCTTCTGAATGCCTATGTAATTTATTTTAATATTTGAAGAGTGCTCCTAAAATTGCATTAAATGCGACATTAGTCAAAGGAATCACTGTTTGAGTTGTGGAGATACTACTTAGAACTTTAGAGAATTAAAGAACGATGATTGTGTGTGTATAGCAGGTTATCATGCCGTACCTTATTAATATGCGTGTGAATCAGATGAATGGGATCAACGATTATATACTTTTAAATATAAAATTGACACTAATAAAAAATATTGGAATTAAGTCGTAAATTTCTTTGACAATACTGGAATATAGGACTAATTAATTAACCTGATAAAGAAATCATATTTATAGGATACTTAAGAGAGTTCTGTTTAAAAATATTACTTTGATTTAGAAAATAATTAAAAGAAATTTTTTTACAGAGATAAGAATCCTATCGGTGAGTACTATTAGTAATTGGATTAAAATGTATTTGCAGTTGGATATTTACAACCAAAATCTCCATAAAGTATTTTATGGGGTTATGGTTCAACTGAAGTAGGATGGGAAAGCAATGTCTATTTTACCAGCAGAACTTTAGATGTGTAATGGAATACAAGATTGTTTTAATATTTAAAGTACGGTTAATTATTTATTCAAACAATATTATCGGAATAACTTTAAATCACGAGTAGATTATTAAGTGAGGACTATTCTAAATTCAATATGATTTACTTTTTTTACATTGGTTACAAAGTGAATAGATTTTTGAACACTTATGAACTGGAACTATTGATAGATAAATTAATGAATTTAGTTAATGGGTGCAAATCCTATTGTTCAGATTGTTTATTCTATTAAAATTAATAATTTTGTTAGAGTTGTGATTTGAATAGAGAAAATAATGCCGGAAATTGTAAGTGTATATACGAAACAAATGATTAAGCAAAATGTTTTTCTCCATGCAATCTTGAGAGTTGTGTAACATGTGTGAATGGAGTGTGTGTAAAATGTCCTGATGGATAATCTCCTCCTTGCACAACCCCAATTATTTAATGTGATGATGGATTTTATTTAGATAATTCTAAATGTGTATTATGCGAAAGTCCATGTATTAAATGTTCATCTAAAACAGTATGTAATAAATGTATGGACTCATATTATTTGGATTCTACAAATACATGCTAATAATGCAAGAGTCCATGCAATTTTTGTCAAAATGACAGTAATTGTACAACTTGTGTATAAAAACATTTTTTTCTAGATCAAAAATGTCATTCATGTACAATGATAGATGGTTGTGAAGATTGTTAAGAAGAAAACAAATGTCTCACATGTATCCGAGGAAAATATAGAGATGATTAATATTAGTGCAAAAATTGTCTAAACAGTTGTGTTAGTTGTACTGGATTAAACTAATGTTTAGAATGTAAAGATGGATATTACAATACTTTAGGAGATTGCAAAGGATGTCCATCAATTTGCTCTAGATGTCTGAATAGTTCTTAATGCACTAAATGTGTATAAGGGTATTTTTTGAAATAATTAAATTGTTAACCATGTGCTGCTGGTTGTGCATCATGTTTTGATAATAAAGATAATTGTTTTTTGTGTAATAATGGATATCTATTAATGAATAATTCTTGCGTATAATGCTAAAGTCCATGCAAGTCATGCGATAAAAATATTACTAAATGTATTTCATGTGTTGATAAATATTATCTAAATTCGAATAATGAGTGTATTGCTTGTGATAAAGGATGTGTAAATTGTTATTCATAGTAGTTTTGTTTAAGTTGCTAAAAAGGATATTATTTAGAAAACAACTTTTGCTTTTAATGTCTTTCTGGATGCTAAGAGTGTCAAAATATTTAAACTTGTGATTCCTGTAAGATCGGATATTACTTTGATTCAAATACCAAGATATGCAAATCATGTCCAATCAATTGTTAACTGGACTGTTCTTTTTAAAATGATTAAATTACATGTAACACATGTTCAAAATCCTACTATAAAAACCCTACTACTCTTTAATGTGAAAATTGCGAATCTCCATGTCTCAATTGTAAATAGACTAAATCTTCATGTGATGATTGCATCAGTGGTTATTATTTGGATAATGCTTTATGTATTAAATGCAATATTGTGAATTGTAAGGAATGTTCTAGTTCCACCAAATGCAATATATGTAATGACGGTTATTTGTTAAATGATAGCAATTTATGTGTTTTATAAAATAGCACTTGTGGTTCCCATCAAATATAAGTGTAGATCAGTTAAGTTTGCTAAGAATGCTACTAGAATTGTTAATCATGCTATGGTACTGAATAAAATCAATGCAAATAATGTTACTAAGGAGATTATTTAAATGAATAGAATTAATGTAGGAACTGTAAATATCCATGTAACGAATGTACAAATGAACTTGTATGTACATCTTGTTAAAATGGTATGTATTTGGATGGCAGTAACTAATGTCATTTCTGCGATAGTAATAAATGTTAAGAATGTGATCCTACAACTCTTGTTTGTAAATAATGCTTTGATGGTTATTATCTAAAAAATTCTATATGTCAATCTTGTTAACCTAATTGTAGAAGTTGTTAGTCAGATGTTTAATGTCTTACTTGTTTTGAGGGATAATATCTTAATGAAAGTTCTACTTGCATCAAATGCATCGATGATAATTGTAGTTACTGTCCTAACTCAGGTGTTTGTCTTTAATGCAAGTCGGCTTATCTCATAGACGCAAATTAGAAGTGTTATCTGAAAGTCAGCCCAATACAGTATTGTTTTAAGAGTTTCAATGAGATTGAATGCGATGTCTGTTCTTAAGGTTCATACTTAGATACTGAAAAAAAATGTAGTTTATGTAATGACAATTGTAGAACTTGTTCAGATAATTCAACTTAATGTTTATCTTGTAATTTAAAATTTTATGTATCTCCAGAAAGAAAATGTGAAGTTTGCACAGCAGGTTGTTTAGAATGCAAAGACAAAGCAGATTTTTGTTAATCATGCGATTCTGGGTATATATTGATTTAAAGTGATTAACTTTGTTAAAAATGTGTTGAAAAATGTAAAACCTGTATAGATAAAAACGATAAATGCACGTCTTGTAAGGCTTTGTATTATTATCAAAATAATGACTGCATCTCATGTCCTAATGGATGTTTTACATGTGACTCATCCACTAAATGCACAAGTTGTATACCCAAATACTTTTAAAAAGATGTATCATGTTTATAATGTCCTTAATAATGCAAAGAATGCACTTCCTATGCTATTTGTACTGTCTGCATATAAAATTTTTATTTAGACGGATATTAGTGTAAACCATGTCCTTTTAAATGCAAAGATACTTGCTATAAAGATGGTTCCTCTCTACGTTGTGATAATTGCAATATTGGCTATTTTTCAAAGGATAATGATTGCTTGAAATGTAAAGCTCCTTGCGAAACTTGTTAATCTAAAGAAGATGAATGCACATCTTGTATCGGAGGATATTTTTTGGCAATAAATAAAGAATGCCCAAAATGTAGAACTGAACACTGTAGATTATGTTAGAGTCTCACAGGTCAATGTCTGAAGTGTGATTATGGTTATATTATGACTGATGTAGAAGTCTGTTCAATATGTACCACATGTACATGTGATGAAAATAAGTATTATAATTGGGATAACGGAGGTTGTTTTGAATGTGATAGTTCTTGTTAAAAGTGCTACATTTCCCCAACTTAATGTACAACCTGTAAAGTCAACTAATATTTGGACCCCACAGATAATACATGTAATGTTTGTGTAAATCAATGTAAGACATGCAAAAGCGCTACTTAGTGTTCTTCCTGTGAGAATGGCTATTATTTATCAAGTGATATGTAATGTTTACTCTGTTAATCACCATGTGTCAATTGTTTAGACAATTATAAATGTCTTAATTGTGTAAATGGTTATTATTTAAATGATACTACATGTGTCTAATGCAATTCAAAATGTGAACTATGTTCTTCTGAAGCTCAATGTTCAAAGTGTGTTCAAGATGGTCGAACTTATTTTGATAATATATCTAAATGTAAGAACTGCGAATCCCCGTGTTAAGAATGTTATAATGCAGGATGTGTGAAATGTCCATCCATGTATTACATATCAGAATAACAATGTATTCGATGTTCTGATAACTGCTTATAATGTTCAAGTTCTGAATGTCTATAATGTGCTAATGGCTATTATATAAATGGGTAAACTTGTGAATAATGTTCTGAGAATTGTTTATCATGTACTTCTACTGAGTGTACAAAATGCAAGGTTCAATATTTTGTAAATGGGACATCATGTGAGAAATGCATGGATAATTGTAACGTGTGTGATTCAACAACCAGTTGTATCACCTGCCAAACTGGATATTACTTTGATTAATCACTTCTGATCTGTTAAAAATGCAATGAAAACTGCCTTTCTTGCAATGCTGCTAGTTGTTTGAAATGTGTTGAAGGTTATTATTCTGCTAGTACTAATTGTATTAAATGCTAAGATAATTGTTTATCTTGTACTTCCACTAAATGTAATTAGTGTGTTGTTCCTTATTAAATTAATCAGCAATTTTGTATATTATGTAAATAAGGATGTAAAACATGTTCAGATTAAGAATGCTACATCTGCGATGACAAATACTATTTGGATTCAAAAACAAAATAATGTGTCAATTGTAATCCTAACTGCTTAAGTTGCACTATTACCGATTGTCTATCATGCAATAATGGATATTATCCAAAAGGTTAAACTTGTGTCCATTGTGATGCAAATTGTGTATCTTGCAACGAATAAGGATGTCTTGAATGCAATAGCTCTTTTTATCTTGATCAAGGGAAATGCTTCAAGTGCCAAGACAATTGTAAATAGTGCACTATCGATTCTTGTCTAGAATGTGGAACAGGATATTATCTTAATGGAACCAAATGTGAATAATGTAATGTGCCATGTATTGAATGTACAAGTTAAACGGTTTGTTTAAAATGCTCAAAAGGGTCTTATTTAGATTAGAATAAATGTGTAAATTGTGAATCAAATTGTGATTCTTGTACCTAAGAGGGATGTAGCTCATGTGTTGCTGCTTATCGATTAAATGAGAAGGACAAATCTTGTGTTTCATGCTCTGTTAAGAATTGTTCGACTTGTCCTCAAGATAAATGTTCTCTTTGCCAAACAGGGTACTGTTCTGCTGATTCTGAATGTTAAAAATGTCCTAGTTCATGTAAACTCTGTACAGAAAATGCCTACGTTAAATGCTCAGAATGTAATCAATTAAATCTTGGATGCTTAAGTGGATAGTATTTAGATAAGACAACTTCAATATGCTAATGTATAAAATATATTTATATTCTAAGTTTGCTAAATTAACAATTGTCTAGAGTGCTCCTCAGAATCTACATGTTTATCCTGCCAATACGGATATAGTTTGTCAGATGCTTAGGATTAATGCATTAAAAATGAGTCATCATTGAATACTGATGTTATTGCTGGAGTTATTGGAGGAGGTGCGATAGCCTTATTTATAGCAATTGCAGCATAAAAATTCTCTATGATTCATATTACTACCAAATTATTCAAGAGCGCCTCTATTTAGTTTGAGACAAAATTAGGTTCAACTGGAGCTGCTCCATCCAATTGGGAATAAATACCTAATATGACTTCAGATTAATTGGACAAAATATTAAAAGATTAATCTTTTTAAATGTTATGATTTATATTTAATAACTTATAATTTATATGTAGTTGATAACATCTATAATATATTTCATTCTAATTTCGCAATATCTTTTTGAGCTAATTTACTTGCCTCTATCAATATCTTCTCAATATCGTATTTCTAATTCAATGTTTCCTTTGCCTGTTTCCAGAGCCTTCCATATTTTGGCCTTCTTGAAATGCATTGTTATAGGATTTCCTTTTCTATTAGGTACAGATAGGCCCAAGCGTCTCCCAATCTTGGTTCCAAGATTAAAGCTTTTTCTAACCACCTTTTAGCCTTCTCAATTTTACCCTCATTCAAGAACACCTTTGCAGTTGAAAGATATACATAAGGGTTATCAACACACAATGTCACTGCATCTGCTGATTTCTTCTTCCTTGTAGTCTTTGGCTCCAATTCAATAGCAAGAGACCATAACTCCCCATCCAATTAACAACATTACAATGCCTTACTTAGTAAAAACTAAGCTGCCTTATGATTCTTAGCATCAATTTCTAATCTGATTGCTTAAGCCCAGAGTTGAGAACTTTTTGGGTTCTTTTCCCTTGCTCTATCAATCAAAGGCCTAGCTCTTGTGTAGAGTTGTTATTAACATTCCATTTTAATATAAGTCAACCACACATTCAATGAGTTGTTAAGAATTTTAATGGCTTCCTCAAAGATCGATCGAGCACCCTAATAATCCTTTTAATTGATTTTAGCCTATCCACATAGAATCCACAGTTTATCAGATTACGGATATTGTGTTAATATTTTCTCAGCTTACTCAATCTATTTATTCATCAAAAGCATCAACTTAAACATCTTAACCCAAGTTTTATCGCTGGGTATCAAGTTGTCTTATATGTATTAAAGATACTAGTATGCTTTCTCATAATTACCTTGTTGTTTTTCAAGTTTACTCAAAGTTAATAAAATATTTTCTGATTTAGGAGATTTCTCAAAAACTTCCAAGTAATTCTACTATAGTTCTTATTTCCTCAAAATCAGTTCAATCCAAAATTGTTCAATTTGAGGGAGATTGGTGACTGCCAATTCCAATGCTTAATCGAAGTATTGAGCATCCTCATCCTTATGTCTTCTTTCGAATTCAATGTATTCTTTCCATATTTCAAAATTGTTCTATCGTTCTGCTTCGACTGCGATTATTGCTCTGGCTGTATGCAATGAAGCTCTTTATTCAAATTAAGTGAAATCCTGTTTCCAAGAATTATCACTTTGCTTATCTTCTTCTAGAGTGATTGCTTTAACTATTGCATAACATGTATTAACGTTAGAGCATTTCTCTGCAATTTCAGCCTCTTAAAGCCAATCCTCTTTAACAATCTTCACTTAATTCTTTTTTAATATCTTAATCCCCTTAGAAAGAACAATTGCAATCGTTTATTTATTCTTGCCTGCACTCTCCTCTAACTTGGCTGCATTTATCCAAATTGTAGGTTCTTGGGGGAGATTCTATCTTGCTCTATTTAAAATGGCTTTTGCATTCTCGTAGGTTTCTAACTTGGCCAATGCCAACCAAAGGGATAAGTTTTTTGGAATGCATTCCACAGCCTTATACAATAACACTAATGCTTCTGATTCACTTGATAGACTCACGAGTTCCTTCCATATGTCAACACTATTAGGAATAAATTCTAATGCTCTCTTCAACAATTTAATCTTTGCTTCTGTCTCCTATTCTTTATTAACAGCATTCAACCAAATCTTGACACTGTGTGGTAATGTTTAAATAGCCTTATTGAGTATTAATTTAGCCTTCTCTGGAGTTTCCAATCTTGACAACTCAATCCAAATATCTTCCTGATCTTCTGCTTATTATAATCCCTATGCCAAAATGGATCTAGCGGCAGCCAGCTTCCCATCTAATTCTTCAATTCTAGCAGCTGCTATCCATCCAAATGAATTTTTAGGATCTGTCTATATAACACTCTTTAATAACAATCTGGCCTTTTTGAAATCTCCAATCTCGTTTTCACTCAGATGAGGCAATGAAGCCAAACTTGTTAAATAACCTCGTTTATCCACCACACTTTATCCAGAAACATTATCACTGATTTTATCTAGTTTCAAAGACAGCAGAGCTCCTCTTGCTTCTCCTATTTCATTTAAGTCGTGTGCTTTTGTTTATAAATTCTTCTCCGATAGTTAGGCAGACATTATCACTGAATCAGGAACAGGAGTGATCTTATCCTGTTTCTTTTTCTTAATTGAATAGTCTCCAATATCGGGAATCGATAACCATTCATCGATACCCACCTTTGCCAATTCTCTTTTTAAATCACTGAATTAATTCACTATAGATGGCTTTTCTGGCAAATTTGTCGGCATTCTCTTCTGCCTTCTTTCCTCCATCTTTCTGTCCACACTATTATATGTAAGATCAGCCTCTCTGTCTTCATCATCATAATCCCCCATATTAAACAATGGAATTGAATAGCCATTCCACTCATCATATTTTGCATCATTATAATCATTTTGATCGTCATCCTACTCAATCCCTATATCAACCTTTGCAGGTCCTATATCACTTCTTGTAATAAATCCAACTGCACCTCTTCCTCTACCTGGTACGTAGTTAGTTGGCTGATTTCCAGAATCCTTCTACCTCTAAAGCATCAAATTTTTATATATATTTTAAATAATTTCTTTTAAATTTTCTATGGTATTTCTTTTTTTTTTAATTCATTACAACATTTTTATTCATAATTTTGAATAGTATTCATTAATTTAACTTGCTATGATTTTTTCACTATCATTCTATATAGACATTGTAGTTTATAAAAATGTTTATTAAAACACCAAAAGAAAATCTATTCTATGAATTGTATTTATCAATCTATACTAGTAATATGAAAATATGATATTAATTCTTCTTTTAAAATTGTAGAATTTTATTGACTTACCATCTTCATCCAGTAGAAAAAGAGAAGATATTTTATTGAAAAAGAATCTTTATAATAATTTCAATTTAAGTACTCAAAACTTCAACATTTATATCAAAAGAATTGCTCCTTAATACCTAAGTCTGAATATTATTTATATGATTTTAATAATAATATTAACTATTAAGATATTTATATATATTTCTTTTAATTACATGCTTAACTCAGAAGTGTTGAATCCTTAGTTTGAGAGCACACATATATTTTTAGCAGATAAAATAAATGCTTTTAAGCACTTTTAATTAAATAACAAACATTTTGAAATCCTTTTTGAAATATATGAATTAATAAGCTGATATTTAACTTAATTATGAATAAAAACAATTGATTCTTTGGAAATGCATCGATACACCTCAGTCTAAATCTATACTTCGTTTTATTCCATATAAGATAAGTATTTAATAGGAAATAAATGTATTAATATTAAATTGATGTTATACAATAGAATTTAGGAGGATTGAAATGATAATAGGAATCAGTCTTCAGATATATATTATATGAAGAATATTTATTAATAAATTTTAATCAAATTCGTTAAAAAACACTACTATCTAATCTTTTTAATTAATTTTTTTATTTGTTTAATGAGAAGCGCCCACCAATTAATAACTCAATTTGAACTTAATGGTTTCACTCTGCCCTAAATGGAAAAGAATATGTGCATAACCTTTCTAAAGGATCTCCTCCAATAAAATCCTATCGATATGGAATTCATACTTACAAATACATCTCCATCTGAATCAGAAAGGAAATTACTTACATCAAAATCGAACATGCTGCAATTGCTTAATGAGGATAAAGATCCATCTGTGATCAAACCTATATTTGATTATAGTCAACTAGAGAATCTTATTCCTAAGAAAAATAGAAACAAAATCAATGAAATAAAAACAAAAGTTGAAACATTGCTTAATAGTAATAACATAGATCCACCCTTAACTATTAAAAAGAGGTATCTTACTCACTATTTATAATAGATGGTGGACGGAGGAAGAAGATCAACAACTTAAAGAATTAGTAACATAACATGGAGCAAAAAATTGGAAAAAAATAGCATCATACTTTGAAGAAAGAACAGATGTCCAATGTTTACATAGATGGCAAAAAGTGCTGAATCCAGATTTAGTTAAAGGTCCCTGGACACAAGAGGAAGATGAATTATTAGTTAAATTAGTAATAAATTATGGACCGAAAAATTGGAGTCAAATTGCAAAGCATTTACCAGGAAGAATTGGAAAACAATGTAGAGAGAGGTATTGATTTATGTTACACTTAGATTTCATAATCATCTAGATCCCAAAATTAATAAGGAAAGATGGACTGATGAAGAAGATTAAACAATTATTGAAGCTCATAAAAAATTAGGCAATAGATGGTCGTTGATTGCTGGCCTCTTAAAAGGTAGGACTGATAATTCTATTAAAAACCATTGGAATAGCACTTTAAAAAGGAGATTGAAAATGTAAAATAGATGGGAAGATCTTTAAGTTCATCCAAGATAAGATGAAACCTCAGTTAAAGGAGTTCCCAGAAGATAGGTGCAAAGAAGAATTATGTATTATAAAACACCAGAAAAACTGATCAAGAGAGATCCAGTGTCTAGATAATTGAATTTCTAAACTCCTTACTCTAATACTACTCCAAGTAAATATTTGAATCACATTTTTAGAGTCTGAATAAACACCCAAAAATCTGAGTATTGTTTATCCAAATCTATTAGTCAAGGATGCTTTAAAGATGTAAAATTCTATATAATATAAAATAGAGACTCTTGTTCAGTATTATTCAAATAATTGAGTGAATTAACCAATTTGAATCTTGATTTCAATAAATAATATAGTTACAAATGATAAATTTATAATCACAAATATTCTCCCTATTTAATTCATAAAAAGCATATAAATATATATATATATATTAATTATAAAAAATATATATCACAATTTTATTAGTATATAAAAAATAGCATTAAAACTTATAATTCAATTTGAATCTCACCCAATTTTAATTAAGGATTCATATAAATTTCTAACCAAATACCTCGTATGTTTGTAAAAAGCCATCCAAATTTTTGTTAAGCAAGTTTCATTTACAACAGGAATTTCAGAGCATTCTGGTTTAAAATCATGAATTATGAAATATATTCAATAAAATATAATATATGATTTAAAACTATGAAAAATTAGTTTAGAACAGTGTAATTATAATAGTGCTATTGGGATTAATGATAATGTGGTATTTTCCTTAAGTGTTATTTGTATTATTAAAAAAATTTGATATATAAATTAATTATTTGAATTATGTATGACAGTTTATTTGCTGCATTTTTTTCACTATTAATCTATTTCAATTATGTAAAAATAGTAATAAAATATCCATGTTTTCAAATATGCTCTCAGATTCGAATTTCTAGGATGAAGTTTTTCCATATTAGAAATTCTCGTCTTCTCAATCATTTGAAATGGAACCATTTTCAGATTTTGAATAAAATTGCCATCGTAATATTTTTGTTAATTTACTTAATAGTGTCATTCAATACTAACGAAGGGTCATAATTTTAAGATGCTGAAGATAGAGAAATGATGTTTAAAATTAAGGAAGATGACACCTCCCTCAATGCTTTGAATCAAGATCTAATGAAAAGAAAATAAAAAATTTGGAATGATGAAGAGGATTCAAGACTGAAATATTTATTTGTGGAATTATCAGGGAAATGGAATGAAATTGCAAAGCACATGCCATAAAGAAACGCGTCTTAGTGTTAGCAGAGATGGAGAAGAATCAATCCACCAAAAGATGTATTGTTATTAAATTATAATTTTTAGACAAGGCATATTTGGAAGCAGGAGGAAGATGATAAATTAAAATAGTTAGTTTAAGATATTGGGAAATAATGGATGAAAATCGCCAAATGTATTAATATTGGATAATTTTAGGTTTTGGCAACATTACAGGGAAATAAGTTAGAGATAGATACATTAATAAATTAGATAAGTCTATAAATAAGTAACCATGGACTTACGAAGAAGATATGCTTATTTTAGATTAGTATAACATTAATGGACCTAAGTGGACTAAAATTTCGAATCAACTATAAGGGAGACCGGTAATTTTAAGTTTAATATTTTTTAGGAAAATCATGTTAAGAATAGGTTTTATAGCTATATAAAACGAAACTTTTTAGGGGAATAGAATAGATACTAAATAATCTATTCTTGAATTGCTTCTCTTTTTTTCTCATTAGAAAAATGAGAGGCTCAAATATCAAATTGAGTTATATATATATATATACATCGCGTTATAATTATAAATACATAAAACGAATTTCAATTTATTGGATTTATTAAAAATTTGAATAAATGATATCACTTCAATTTCGACATTATTTATTCAGTTTTTTCAAGAATTATAATAATAATATAAATAATCACTAATATTAACAGCTATTAATAGTTTAATAATTAAAAATATTAAGAAACATAATTTATATCATAAATCATCATCATCTGGAGCTGGTTTGTTCATATTGATATCAACTTTGCCATCATCTCCCATTTTAACTTTCTTTCCATTAATAGTGACATAATCATCATTTTATTTTCTCTATCCTTTTTCAATGTCTTTACATGACTAATTAAAGATAGAATAGATAGATTACATTAGTTAATTTGTAGCAAATTTCATCTTCAATTGAATCGTTACCTTTTCTCTTCATCAAGGCTTCAGTGACTTCCTCTGACCATCCAGACATAAATGCTTCACATCCTTTTTTCATATCAGGGGGAGGATATTCATAAACACTGAAATTTTTCATTTGGCACATCTCAGATAGAGCATCAGTAATATCTGATTCCCTGGTTGATGTTTTAACTTTCTTTAATGTTTCTCGAACAATTGCTTAGCAACTATTGCAATAAAGCAAGGCTTCAACAGTTGTTGGTCTTCTGTCGTCAGTCGTTTTCTTTTTTTTAGCTGCCTCTAAGAGGAAAATCAATGTCACAAAAACGAAAAGAATTTTCATTTTAATTAATAATACGTGTACTTTAAATTATTATTCTTCTATTCAAAATTTATATAATCAAGGGATTACATAATATTAAAATATTCATAAAATAGAACAAATATAGATTGCTAATATGAATTTTAATTTAAATTTGTTAATCACATCTTTAATTTATATTATATGGCATTTATATTTTTAATTAATTTAAGGGAACTTAATTGTTATCTAAATTTATAATTTAATTATAAATATTATTAATATTCTGAGTTGATAATTATTATAATTATTTACAAACAGAAGCCTAAAGTAGTGATTTAATAAATAAGAGTATTATATAACTGATTTAAATCTATTATCATTCTTTAATCTGCTTATAATATTTGGATAATAATTTAGGAATTCGGATTAAAAATATCAATTAATTTTCTTAAATAAATGACAATATCACTCTTATTTATTATCCAGTTCTTCTTATTTAGGATTAGGATCCAGTTGTTCCCCCTGTAAAAGATAAAGTATTACCTGTTATTGAAGTGATTATTTCTTGAGGTCAAGATGACTTCCTGGTATATATTTATTAATAACTTTCTTCAATTACTCTTTTTGAGGGATTCCAATTCTTAGTTAACTCTTCTTGACATTTGTTATATTCATGATTGATTTTGATACACTTTTATTTCCAGATTTCCACTTCTTATGATAAGTATGATCTTTCTCTTAAATCACAGTAGTTCCTTATGATTTCAATTTGAACCATGGCTAATTTATTCTAATCATAACTATTATTAAGTTTTACATCTAAATCTCTAATTTACATAATGAGTTGATTGTTCTTACTGTAGGGTTTCCTATTCTATTATTTCATATTTGTTCTTCCAATTAAATTCAAAATATCTTAATTAGCTTATTGCAATTATCTTTCTAATCTCAAAATTTCATCTCCGGCCAATCTCAACTAATTCTCAAAGTCTTTCAATTAAATTGTATCCTGAGCACTGGTCTGTAATTATGATAATTATAATCTTAATTGTTAGAATTCTGCATCTTTATTTTAATTGGATTATTTTAATCTTTCATTATCACTCTAAGACTAAGCATAAGAAGTTCTAGATCAGCTAATTATCTTCTTAGTCCTGCAATCTAGCCTTCTAATTAGGTGCTTATTGCAAAGAATTCAGCCTACATAGAATTAGTATCAGTAGCATTAGCTCTATATAAGGAAATATCACCTTGCAAACTTTCTAATTAAGATTCAGAATTATTTTTCATTTGCATCATTTAACTTATAAGATATTCATTTTCTTATCGCAAAGTACGTAATTAAGATTCTAATTACTTTACTCGATTTTTATATCGGTCACCTTCACTACTACTACCTTCTTAATAACTTTGCCTTCTTTTCTTCTTTCCAAATCAGCAATTTTGCTGTATGGTCAGAACTTAAACTTAAATTGATCGATCCTCTATAGATTGACTGTCCTCTATATGTACCAGGATACCTATGGAACTTGCATGTTTTATCTTATGACTTTTTGAACAAAAAAAATCCTTTGTAGTGATAATTACCTAGGCAATGGTTTGTAACGTTTCTAAAGTCACTAACTTCATTCCTTAATGGTCTCCATTAGGTTATTATATAGTGTCATTGTAAGATCAATGTCTACTTACTGATCATCACTTTAGGAGATTTCTTTATTCATCTGATTTTTACTAGCAGATAAATTTAACCAATCATATAATTACCACAAATGTGTTTAAAAAATGAAATAAAAGTAGTTAATGAACTTAATTTTTATTTTCTAAGATTTAAGATAAGAATTTTTATTTAATCAAACTAATTTAGATAATTTCCAATATTTCCAAATACAATTCTTATCTTGTCATATAGAATTATTGTATTTAATCATACAAACTAACTAATGGAAAAAGAAAATTCCAAATCAAATTAGATTATAATTGAGGAGATTTTTGAAAATTTTACTTTATTACATTTAAGTTGATTGATAATTAAATTGAATAAGAATAATATACACTAAGATTACATTCACAATAGGCTGTTTGTAGATAAAATAAGATTGATTATTAAAGATGATTCTACCATGAATTTAATATTTATATTAATGTTTGAGGATAGATACTTAGAAACCATAAAACAACAACTACTTTAATCTAAAGTTGTGCCAGTCACAATAAATCCAAAAAACATTTTGAAGTCTCTCTTGGCATCAGAGAACAAGTTGGACGAAGAAAATCTCTATTTATCCATTTGTAAAAAGTAGGAACTTATTATAAAAAATTTGAATGAAGAAAATGCAGATGCTATTATAAGCATTTGCAAGTTCATAAGGTTAGAGATTATGAAATAAAAGGAAGGATCAAAGGAAGAAATCAAATATGGTGTTCTAAAACAAATAGAAGTAGAATGCATCAATTGGCCTTAATACAAGAGTCCTAGATGGCCTGAATATTTGGAGTATTTCAATGGTTTAACAATTCTATTGATCAACAACACCTACATGTTGATGGAACAAATTTTGATCGATTTAACAACCAAACCCTTTGTTTGCGAAGAGTTTCATCAATATATTACGGATAAATTAGAACATTGTATGGTTGTATTGTCAATGGAAATAAGTGATTTTGCAAGAGTCATAGAAAATGAAACATTCTATTGGGAATTAAAGAAATATTTTAATTCCATAATCCAAAATGTTCATCTATATATCAACAGAACATCCTTATTTTGCAATACTCAAATGGAATATTTGAATGAAACTCTAACAAAATATCACACTTTAGCAAACATTAGAACTTATCAGATATTACAAATCGAAACATCATAATACATAATAGATTAATGTCATATATCCCTAAGAGAAATGTTATTCCATCGAATTGAATTTGAGATATTTGACAGAGATCTGGTGAAACAAATAATTAGGCATTTTTATGAGTATAGTCCATTGAATCTGGGATTGTATGAGATGTCTACATTAACAAAATCCTTTTAGGATGCAATTTAAATGTATTACATATTGGACGATAAATACTTTGAAACAGCAGATCTGGATTCTAAATTATTTTCTTAAGATGAGGAATGCATCAAATACAAAATCTGGTTGGATGAAAAGCGAAAGCGATAGTCTTCATTAGCTAATTAACCAGTTCTAAAGGGATCAGTTGGTGCAGGTTTGGGTTGTTTGATTGTTGACAGTGTCGATCCTAAAATTCCATGGGATGAGAAACTCAAGAGAGCTGGCATTAGTTCAGTAGCCACAGGTTTAGTAGGAGCAGCTTTGCGTATACCCGTTGTTGGAGTGATATTGTCTTAAGCCTTACTTTTTTATGCAATCAGAATTCAAGCGAATAATAAGGTGGTGGACAAAAGTGAGAAGCTGAAAAATATTGCACATTTAGGATTTCAAAGTTCATTTGGAATAGGCACAGCTGTAGCTGGTCAAATTTTGATACCAATTCCAGTATTAGGGGCTCTTATTGGAGGAACTGTTGGAGGAGTTTTTATGGGATTGTATACTAAGTTTATTATTCCAAAGACAAAGCCATCAATAAAAGTTATGATAAATGAATTAATGGAAAGATAATATGCTGATGGTTTATTTTAATATGATGACCAAGTTCTTAAGATTATGAAGATTAATCAGTAGCATTATTTCGGTCTGAAACCAGATCATTTGAGTGAGTGCTAATGGTTCACTATTTTAATGGTCTATATGATTAATGAAATCCATTATTTGACTAATGTGCAGGGGTTGGAAAAGATCAACGAATTATAGTAGTAAATTGAGAAGAAACCAAAGGAGGAGAGCAAATTGATCAAATAGATTAAAGAAGTGGAGACTGAACTTGAATAATAGGAAATAATTAATGTCAAAATGGAACGATCAAGATACTATATATAAGAATAAGAAATTAACACATTATAAATAGTAGACAAGGTTGGTGAATTTATTAATGGTATGATTGCCAATTTTAGATTGTGATATAATTAATCAAATCAATTAACAACATGTACTTCCCCCTTCTTCTGTTCCTTTAGCTATTGACTCTATAAATGGATTCATTGATTTTGCCATAAATCTTGCTGCCAAGAAATATTTGCTATAAGTTTCTCTTACTTATTTGATGCTAAAAACATCTCTAATATAAGTCTTCATAGTTGGAAATTGGCTGAAATCAAAATCCACAAAGAATAAGGTTGAAATTTCGGCAGTAAATCTTTAAATATTATACAAAAAATTACGCTAAATCTGCTATTGTGGGTGTTCTGGATCCCATGATATATTTGTATTTGCCTCCTCCAAAAAATGCATTCACCATAAAGTGTAACAATTCATTTACTTCTCTTACTCTTTCATCATAATTTTTTGGCATTTCCTTCTTGAAGAATTTAGGACCAACGAAGAAATCCATTGCTAATAAACTTAGTTTTCTGATTTCTAAATGGTGGAAATCTAAATAGGAATCAATCTTTGCTCTTAAGGGAAAGTTTGGATATAATTCAGTTAAGTTGAATTGAATGCAAATGAATTTCATTATAGCATGACTTTCAAATAAATGAAAGTTTCCAAATGATAATGCAGGAATACTTTAATTAGGGTTGATATCAGTATATGGTTTTTTTGTGTTTTCTCCTGATTGAATATCAATAGTCTTTTCTTCAAAGGGAATGTTTCCTAACAATAAAGCTGTTTTAGCAGCTTTGGCTGGTCCTGAAAAAAAGTTAAAATACAAGATTATTCTTGTTTAATTTCTTACAGGCTATGCTTGGCTTATTGAAATAGCAAATTTCCCAATTTTTTGACTTTGTAGAAACCCAAACAATTCAGCATGAGATCTTTTCATTTCAGGTACTTCAAATAATCGTTTTATATAAAGATCAAAACCTGGGATCTTCTCAAAAGGAAAATCTGTTATGAATAATTAGGCCAAGTCATTTCCTACTTTAATATCTGCCAAAGTAGGATGTGGGGAATCATTGATAAATGTCCATTTGCCGTTGTTCATGAAAACTCTCCAGAAGAACTCCAAAGTTCCTATCACATTCTATAATTGTTAATCCTTGTCTGCAGGCATGGGAAGCTTCATCATTTGAGGTCCAAAATAACAAGAAAACACATAATTTGGGAGTGAACTCATTTCAGTATGATGAAAATCTAAATATTCATCTACTTTTGCCTAGGCTTTGAGTTAGGTTGGATACAAATTATACAAATTAAACTTCCTTGCTACATACTTCATTATTGCTCCACTTTCGAACAGTTTTATACTATCATTGGCAATAGCAGGTATAGTTTAATTTGGATTGATAGCTGAAAACCATGGTTACTCGTTTTCTCCTGATAATAAGTTAATAATCTGTTCATTGTAGTCAATTCCACTATATAATAGAACTGTCCTTGCTGATCTGGATGGAGATGATAAGGGATGGAAGTATAATGTGAACTTCCAAGATTATGACTTGTCTATTCCATTGATAATGTATTAGACTTAATCATTCGGGTTAGAAGAATTGATCATTTATAAATATTCAGCATAGGCTTCTTTCATGGCTTAGATTGAAAACATCTCCTATAAATACTCTTTAATTTTTGGGAACTAATTGAAATCCAAATCAGATATTAAAAGTTAAGACAAATCAGACGTAGCTCTAATAATATTAAAGTTATATTTACTTAACATCTGCAAGAGTGATTGATGGCTGATTAAATATGTACCTGCCAGTTAAGAAGGTGGATTCAAAGAATTTGAGAGCATCTATTACATCTTAGTGTAATTCTTGTTTATTATCAGGGACTGGTTTATTCATAAATTTTGGGAATAAGAAACATTGAGTTACATATTTTCCAATAGCTCCAAGACCAGTTTAACTCCAATCTAAATAACAGTCGATCTGTGCTTTGTTTCTCAAGTTCTAACTTTATAACAAAAGAATACTTTAGGATAATATTGATATAGTTATTTTTTAACAGCAATGTATTTCAAAATAGCATGACTCTCAAACAATTTCAGGCCACCATCAACTAAGGCTGGCAATGATTAGTTAGGATTGATATTTTAGAATTCAGCAGATTTATTTTCTCCTTTCAATATGTCCACAACTTTTCCTGAAAACACGGCTTTGCTTAGTAATAAAAAAGAGCGAACAGCTCTTGAGGGGGGTGAAAGAGGTGAAAAGTAAAGAATTAAAGACATAATAAATAATATTTTTAGATGACTGCAAGTTATATTTGTTTTATTTTGGAATTTAGAATGTTCAAAAAGATATGATAAAATAATTGTAAATTAATATATATAAATATTAATTAATATATTTTATCCATTTTTATCCATTCTATAAATCAAGAGCAATTGTTATTATGAAGTTGAAGAGATTAGAATGTAATTATGAGGACATTTTAATTGGTTCTGAGGACTTTTAAAATTGATGAATTTCTCAATTAGAATTAATCGTACGTTTGTCTTCTTTTCTAAATTCTAAATTCTGAATTCTTAATTTGATTTTTTGTTTCTTCTTCTCTGATTGTTTTTGAATAATAATTTATTAATGTTATATATAATAATGACTAAATTAAATTAAACATAATATTTTTTGAAGAGTTATTTAAGAATTATACAACAACGATTATTTTTTAAAATAAAATTGATATTGCTTCAAAGGAATCAAAAATTAGTATTCAATTTCTTTGGCTTGTTTTTAATAATTATATTTATTTTTAAAAATGAATAGAAGATTATCTTCCGAACAGGATAATTTAAGAATAAAACGAGCCTTGATGAGACAGTAAATTAATCAATCACATCGTGTTGATAGAGAATTTGAGATCGACGAAAGATTTAACTCTATTTCTATGTATATAAAACATGATGAACTTGAAATTGATGATTCTGGATATTATGATCATTAGACATGGGAACGATTAGATAGATTTGATTAAGCATTGCCGAATCAAAGGAACAATTGTTCTTGGGTTGCATATGAAGATTTTTTGTATATCTTTGGTGGTTTTACATTCAATGGGAGATTGGATGATGTTCACAGATATTCCTTCAGTTCTAATTCATGGTAGCGTCTAAATACAACAGGACAGAAACCAAGTGCCAGAGAGAATAATGGAGCAATATAATATAAAGATCACATGTATATATTCGGTGGCTGCGATGGATTATTATGGTTGAATGATTTTTATTCGCTCAATCTAAAGACTCTGCAATGGAAAAAAATTGAACCTACTGGTTAATGTCCATCTGAAAGATTTGGTATAGCTTGTGGTGCTTATTAGACTAAAATGCTCATTTTTGGAGGTTGTGATGGTAATCATTATCTAAATGATGCATATGTTTGGGATTTTGAAGAATAGGTTTGGAATAAGTTGTAATTGATAGGGGACATCCCCTCTGCTCGTTCATGTCCTTCCTATAGTACTTTCAATAATTACATATATATATTTGGAGGATTTGATGGGGTTAATAGATTAAATGACTTTTATAAAATTAATATCTTCTCAGGAAAAGTTAAAAGAATAAGTCAGCATGGTACAATTCCATGTCCAAGATATGTAATATTTAGTGATTATGTGTTAGTTCCACACATCAGAAGTTTATTAAAATAAACTATTATTATTTGGAGGATTTAATGGTTAGGCGAGATTGAATGATCTATATGAATTTGAATTTGGGAGTAAGACTTGGAAGAAATTGGAAGTTCATGAACCTCCAAAAGGCAGATCATCTATGGTTTTTTAGTTGTACAATGATTCCCTCTATGTCTTTGGTGGATATGATGGGGATGAGTTATTGAGTGACATATACAAATTAGAATTCAAGAATGCGTAGGTTCCTAGGTCCAGTTTCATACAGGATTTGAGATCCTTGATAAATAATTCTTAGATGAGTGATGTAGTATTCATTGTGGAGGATCAACAAATATACGCTAATCGTTGTATTTTAGGTGCTAGGTGTGAGCACTTCTAGACTCTATTTTTTGAAGAGTTCAGAGACAAGGATTAAATCTTCATAGAGATTACTGAGTGTACTCATTAGACTTTTATGGACATGTTATAATATATCTATACTGATTAATTGGACTCATGTTTAAACACAACCAGGTTATTGAGTTTGATCATATTGTCTGACTAATACCTGATGCAAAGGTTGAAGTATTTATGTGAAGAGTAACTAATACGAAAGATAAATTGCAATAATGTCATCGAGTTAATCTTGTTTTCCAAAAAGTAAGAAATATATAATATATATTCTAGATATAATTGTAGATTGTTAAGAATCCAAACAATGAAATAGTTAGTGGATAATATAGCAACTATAAAGAGAAGAAAGGATTTTATAAAATTGGCATAAGAGCCAGAAATACTATTAGAGATAATATAAAAAAAATGTTGATATATATTTTTATTTAATCACTATTACTTTCTCTTTAAATATTCTTAGTATATTTCTTCCATTCTATTTTGAGATGGGAAATACTGCTCATCTCGAGTGATAAAACCTGCCCAAATTCCAAGGGGCTCCTATGATTCCTGATATTCTGGAAATAATTTGAAATGCTCTTGCCATATGTTTTTTTTATTTATTTATTGCGTGGTTGCACATTAATTTAAAAGTGACTCCAGAATTCTATAATTGAATGGAGAACAGCTCGAATCAGAATTATAGAAGTCAGAACCTTTTTTAATGATGCTATATGCTCCATGGTGTGGTCATTGTAAGCATTTGATACCAGTGTTGGATTAATTGGCAGATTAAGTGGATTACAAATTTATTGCAGTTGATTGGTATTCAAGAAGATCAAACTAGTGTTGCAAATCCTGACGCAAAGAAGAGATTTGGAATTAAGGGTTATCCTACCTTATTATACGTAAAGGATAATAAGACTCATAAATTCTAAGGCCAAAGAACACCCGAATTAATAATCAAGTTCATACAAGAAGATTATGCCCAATCAAAGGAGATAAGTGATGTCCCTAAATATGAGCCTTACTAAGAGGGTTTTATTGATAAATATTTCAATAATATTTGGATATTTGTAAAGAATACTATGATTATATTATTAGATAGCAGTGATAGTGTTGTCAACCTTAACAATTGTTGTAACCTTCCTTTGTATCAATGATTACAAGGAGAATAAAAAGTTGGATTAGATGGAAAAGAAGTTGTAGGAGAAAAAGAAATGAAAATCTGAGAGCGTATAATAATGTATATTGGTATGGAATCATAATAATGTACAATTCTCTCAAATTATTTTACATGAAAAGGATACATCTATTCAAATTTTGAATATTTCCTACTCCTAATTATCTCGATTATGAATCATCTCCAAAGATCTTAAATATTTTTAGAAACTGATATAAATGCCTAGATATACTTATAAGATTTCTAGATATAAACATAGTGTTCTTAAAAGAGTTAAGGAAATACTTTTTTTTCTTAATTATATTTTTAATTATTTTTTGTAAATCTGGAATTTACTAATTTATAGACTCTGATCAATAAAAGAATCATAACTCCCTTCAATTTAAATCATGATTTTGTGGTACTAGGGTCTGTTATTTCAGTGATTTTGTTATTTAGTACTTCTTTGAGAGATTGATCGATGGGTTGAAATTACAATTTATTATTTTTGGTATTATTATTTTGGTGTCTCTGATTTGTTTTTAATACAAATATTATTGGGATTCAGACTCATTAGGGATTTCATTAAAAGTTAAAAATCACCCAAATAATTTAGAATTTATTTATGTGTGCTTATGTAATTACATTTCCTATTTGGAAAGGATAACAGTGGTCAGCATTCCGTGGTCATGTTAGATTGTCGAACGAGTAAGTGTTGATCGCAAGATTCAATGATACAGCCTATATAGAGCAGGAACTGAGATTTTTAGAATAGCATTAGAGGGTGAAATCCAAGATTGAAGGGAAGTACATTAGACCTGTGTACAACCTACTTCCAATGATAGTTCAGATAATAAGAACACCTACATTTACAGATGTGTTATTTGATAATTGCGTAGATTGGTAACTGACAGGGGGAAACTTGCAACATCTTCTTAGAATATATTTTGCTTATGACCTATACAAAGGTTAACCACCAAGAGATTGCACTCTTGAAAACATTATGCGTAATGGGGATTCCATAGTTGTATTGGACTTCGGATTGAGAAAGAGGACTGAGAATTATTGTGCCTATTGGAATCCCATGATTCTAAAGGGTAAACAATGCTTATCACAATATTAATGGTCTTTGGGTATCATGTATTTGGTGATGACCAATGGATCATTTATAATAAACGAGATTCATAAACGCATTTCAATATGGGTGAATGGGGGCAAATTGGATCTCGTTTCATTGGTAACTACTAAAAGACAATCTGTCATCTCTTTGTTATAACAACTACTAAATCCTGAAAATCCTATTCCTTGGGACTAAATACCTCATCATTCGGCTTTCAGGGATGATCCTAAATGCAAGACAATCCTTAAAATGTATGAAGTAAGATCAATGTCAGATCTCAAAATTAGATCTGCTTCTCGACTCAGTAGTAAATAATCTGGCAGGAAGACTCAAAGAACTTCAATAGTATTACATGAAAGTACTTCAAATAGCAATCAATCTACTTCAAATTAATCGCTAATCAGCAAAATTTCATCTTTGTATAAAAATAAATTTATTGAGGAGCATAAACAAAGATGTAATTCTTCGGTCAAAACTACTAAACAAATAAACAACTTCTTTTCAAATAATAAAATGAAACTTAAATTTGCTACCAAACAATCAGATCATACTGTCCAACTAAGTTGTGATCTTCGAAGTCTTAGAACTGGATCAAATCTATCCAACATTGGTCTTACATAAAGAATAGATGAGTCAGAAGACAAAAAACTCAATCGAAGATTCTCCCAATAAGAAATCGACTATGATAAAATCAGGTCCAGAGTTAGTTCTATTAGAATGGCTATCAAAGAATACAAGGCTAGAAGCTTAAGGCATCTCTCTTAAGATTCCAATATTGTCATTTAGAATTCAGATGAAGCTGTTCAACCTGATAATTATATCTAATTGATTAAAAGACCTCAAGTTGAAATTGAGATTCTTACATAAAAATATTTGAGATCTCTTGAATGCATTAATATAATCGGTCAGACTGTAGCCAAAGCAATTGAATTTTTGGATGCTCTGCAAAACTTTTGGATTATTCCTCTTTTTCTAGTTTTTAAGAGAATGCTTCAATTGAGATTAGAAGTTGAGAAATTTCTTGAAGCTCAAATCAATTCATTTAATATCGATTAATGGAAAGAAGTATGTAATTCTAGAGAATATCTCTAATTCTTGAGTCGCATCAAATCTGATAACTGTCTAGTCAAAAATGAAATGATTCTCCTTATGCAAGCCTCATAAACTAAGGCTGATCAACTTGATAAAAATAAGAGAGAAAAAGTCTTGTGGTTTCTAAATGATAATTTAGATTCTAACATTCAACCAATATGTTTGTCATATATGAGAGACTAATTACTTGTGGCTGTCAATGATAAAAGAGGATTGTCAAGAGAACCTATTGAATGGTTGAAACTTTAGCTCTCTCTAAAAGCCTCAATCGTAATTACTCAATTACCTGTACTAGTTTGCGAAAGTAGTGAATTTAGTTATGAACAATACTTAGAATGTCAAGATTCACAAAATTATACTCAAATATAAAAATATTGTGAGCAACTAAAAATCAATATTTGATTTTATTTATTTTAGGTCATATATTTTAATTTCAAATATATATAAGCTATGCAAAAATCTAATGATTGTTCATTAATTTTTATGGAAAATCTTTTTTTCTAATGTTGTTCTATTTTAATTAATAAAATAACAAGAAAAATATAAAAATTGTGAGTGTGTTTTATCAATATAATAACATTAATAAAAATAGATTTACTATCAATATATTACAATTTGTTGAAATTATTATTTCTGCAGAATTTTACTCAGATGATTGAGGATTGTTACTCTCTTTATTTATTTATATATAAATACCATTAACGAAATGTGAATTTGAAGAATCCAATTCTTTTTTTAACAAAAAATTGTCACAAAACCCTTCTCTTAAAAAGTATCCAGGCTTGCATTTAAAGCATTAATTATAATTTGAACAGCTTTCACAATTCTAAATTAGACATTAACTATACTCCAGGACATCCTATACAAAATTTAATAGAGTCTAAGCGATATGTTAAATTTGGACAATTTTCCAAACAAGATCCTTAGTATCTGTAACCATCACACTTTTATTAACAATCTAATCCAGAATAACCCTTAGCACAAATACACTAAAACATATAACAAATAATAACCTATTTATTGATACAAAATCCATTATTACCACATGCGTTAGGGCAATCATTTCTGAATAAACAAACGCTCTCTGGATTATTAGGACATTCTAAATTTCCAAAGTACCCATTTGGTAATTAAATCTAGGCTTATTAAGAGCAATCGAATTCTAAATCACCAATAACGATTTTCAAATTATTATTTACATCGCAGTAGAACTTTTAGCAAGTAAATTTTTAAAAAGATTCTATTGGTGAAATTGATCCTTTTAAGCAGATGCTATCAGAACCATAATAAGATATAATTTATGAAGATTTATTTTAAATCTAATTTTAATCGTTCTTACACAATTAATCAGTATAAATCTATTAATACATGCATTATCCACCTAATGTTTCTTACATACATATTGATTGTCCTGTCCTTTCATATGAGCAACTCTCAACATTCCTTTCATAGCAGAATTCAGTAAAATTATTGTTACAATAATTTTTAACAAATTCACAACCTTTATTCCTTCCCCATTAAGTTTAATCTGGATTATAATCTGATAAACGATAGAACCTAAATATGAATGAGTTTTACCCAGTGTCCTACAATAATTAGAATGTAAAATCTGTTATTAAAAGATTTCCAGTTAATTATGAGCCAGTCATTAACTCATTATATAGCAATAATCTTTCAAAATGATAATCACTTGTTCCTGGACCTCCGTTGTCCTCCATTTAAATACCTGTTAGATTGGAACAATTAAAGTAAAACCTAGCAAAATTAATTAATCTTGGAGTTGATAAGTATGTAACATTGTCTTATTTATAAAAATTAGGAAGTTCGTAAGTCTTGCCTGTTACTGAATCATAATATTTTGAAAAGTAATCATAAGTAATACCTAAGCCATGAATAATTTCATGGATGGCACTTTCTAAATTACTTTCATATATTATTTTATTATTTTTATCAATTTTTGTGTAGTTCATATTCCAAGACATTAAGCCCATTATTGGTCTTAAAGATTACTCATCATAAACAGTTGGACCACAGTAGGCTTTATAAAATTTATCTGAATTTTCAATGTTTACAAATATGACCTAAATTTCAATACAAGCATACTAAATCCGCATCATATGATTAATTCATTAGACTTTAACTTATTTGAAATCCATAAAACACTTTTGGATAATTTTCTTTAAAAGTAATTTTTTCATCCATTCTCCTAACTAAGAGAAATCTATAAAAAAATGTTGAAACCATTTCAAGTAATTCTGTTATATATTTGGTGTAATTTTCATTATAATTAGTGGATAAATATTCAAAATGTATTCTCAGTGGCTCCCATTCCTTCTAAATTAAATTTTGTTGAAGTTGTTCTAATTTCCTTTTTGAGTCAACAGAAAGCCTGTAAGTAAATTATTATTCCTAACAATCAAAAGAATAGAAAAGGGTTGTTAAAATTATAAAGTATTTCATTAATTTATTAGTAATTCAAATATATACATTTTTCATAAATTTCGTTGAATGTTTTTCAATTATGTTTCTGACAGATTAACAATTATTCTTTTCAAATATATAAACTATTATATTTAAAATTAATAATTTTGATTGAAAATATAATTAATGATAAATCGAAATGATAAAAAATATTTTCATCCAATTCTAGTTCAATTTTCATCCATAGAATCCCTTACTGGAAATCTACTTTCACATACACTATCCAAATCAAATGCAGGTCTTATATCCTTAGAATCAAGGCCTTTAAAATTCTAAACAAAAAGCTAATCGAAAGTAAATTTGATTTCGTCATCCAAGAACTCTAATATTTATTTATCTGTTTTAGACAAGTATGCTTTTAATTTTAAATTTTAATAGCTTTTAAAAGCCTCATTAATTTTAGTGATTTCAGATTTTTCATCATCCAATATTAATTTATATGATATTTTTTTCTCTAAATTTTGAATATTTTCTTGAAATTCCTATTCAAAAACTCCAAAAGGAATCAATGGCTTAGGAATATAATTGAATAGGTTAATTTAATCATTAGATAAAAGCAAGTATTTCAATTTATCCAACTCTTGTAACTTCTATATAATAAATGATACATCCAATTTAGACATAACCTTATCAATAGCATAATGAATTTATTTTTTCTTCTATCTATTACAACAAACTGCAAGTTGAAAAATAACTTGCTTGGACATTTTTTGATGCAACTGCTAATAGTTTAAGAACTTTTAAATATCAATGCTATTTTCAAGGCGATTCGTTTAAATGATCTATTTTTATTTCTCTTTTTGCATTCTTCCTGAAGTATTTGGCAACTCATCTTCAACAATTTCTTAACATAAATTCTATGGTATGAAAAAGTTTGTTTGTTTCTTGTTTAGAGTGCTTTTTCCTTTCTTATTTGATTCAAATCTAAAATATTCATTTGCCATTTCGATTTCTGTTAAAAACGATGTGAAAGGATTTAAAAATATTTAAGAAACTAAACTTAACATTTGAAATAGACCTCCTATACTACTAAAGGCATTTTACAATTTTTAATAGGTTCTAGTGTACTAAGTCATTCTTTAATCTATAATTATACCGTATTTAAAAATATATTGATTATTGTAGACTTCTGATGCTTCCTAAACTGTCAATTATTAAAAGGTGAAATCTTTTTCATTATGTGTAGTAAGTAATCCTCCATCTGATAAGACTTCTATTAATTTTAATTACGACAACATAGTTTTGGTGATGCTGACAGAATAAAAATAATATTTAGCACAAATTATATTTTCGAAAGAGTTCTCATACTCCTACATCTTAGTTAGACTATCAGATGTGTGTATGACCAAATAATTACCTGATAATTTTGAATTTATTTGTGCATCTGACGAACAATTCTCAAATTCAGTAGTATTTTTGCATTTTGATATAAATATATCAATATACTAAAATACATCTGATTATGGAGTTCCTTAAATTTTTATCGGTCTTTTATCCCAATCATTTCTCTTAGCACAATATAATCCAGATTTATTAAAACTTTAAAAATATTTTTGCTGGAAGTCATTCTGAAAATGTTCATCTGTACATTCTTCGACAGGGTAATAATAGCAACTATATAAGTGTATAACGATACTCTAATGTAGATATTCTCTATCCATTTGTTTCATTTAGATATCTTTATCTTTTACAGTTCATTATCGAGATATTAAAATATTAGTTTTACCCTTAAATTGCTTAAAGCTTACCATCTAATAAGGCTAATGCAATAGTATAATTATGTGGATGTAATTGATATTCCTTTATTTAACTTTAAATTTACCTCTGTATTGAATAATTGAAACTCAGAAGTGATTACATTAGGATGATTTCTAGCAAATATATCCTAAATTTATGAAATAAGCTGAATAATGCAGATTGTGATTATACAACAAGTAATAAATGCTCCTAGAGATGTAGAAAACTTTTTTTGTTTTTATATCCTTAGTTGTGGTTATAAAGCAAAATAATCCGATGTGCTAATTAATTTTTTGCCAAAAGAGTTCACTTAAGTAAAAAATTTCAATCTCAAAGACTTCATTGATTTATTATATTTATAAATCACATATCATTAGATTTTTTGAATATTGCATAATAATTTTTAAATCTTTCTTAATAGTTGGCACTAAATAAAATATTTATATTCAAATAAAGCTTATGCACAATATCGGTAATCTAAAATTCATTAAAAATAAAAATAGAAGGAAAAATCTCCTTTATTTATATGAAAACTTGATTTATAAAATAGAGTACATAGTTTCAGACTGAAACTAAATGACTTTTAGCCAGTAATTTAATAAATCAGATAAGAAATAAACATATCAGCTATTTTTATTTTAAATCTGTTAAAAATTTCTTTATAGATATTTTTACTATCTATTTAGTTTATTTACAAACATTAATTAATTAAAAAATATCAATAATTTTTAAAAAATAATTCTCTAATTATTTTTAAGGTTTACAGAAAATTTTACAACTTACTTAATCTATTCATTGATAATTTCTTAGGTAACATAATTAAATTATCGCAGTTGTAAAATATAGTTCTTAAATCGCTATGAGTTATAAAAAATTCCATATATTTTTACAGAAAATTTCCAATCAGTGTGAACAATGAATGACTGAAAATTAAATATTAACATTTAAGCAGCATTCCTACTGTTATCTGAGTAAAGACAGGCTAATTCTAAAATTGAGAATGAAGCCTTGAACAAGCCTAGATCAAGTAAATATTTTTAATACTAAATTTAAGTCAAATTATTGAGTAAAAACGATACTATATAATGTATCATCGCATCATATTGATACTATATGATATATCATTCTTCAGAAATTGAAATCTAGTAATACGTATTTAGTTTAAAAGTATTTCATTTTGTATTTATTCATATTTGTTGTAAACTCTATTATTAAAGGAAAAATAAAACTTTGAATTCCTGTTGAGGAAATATCTACTAACCATAATCCCTACAGCTATAAATTACAAAAAGAAAGTTAATTCTAACCACTAAAAAGCTTTTTTATAAAGGATTATAAAACATTTTGAAAAACAAATGCATTCAAAATATAATGATGCTAGATGAACTAACATCTTGACTTGTCCAGTAGTTTTATTAACATTTGAATAATTTAAATGTTACTGTGAAAAAGATAAAAGTATCAGGTATAAAAGTATCTGAGAAGTTTGTCACTATTTATGAATTAAATTATACTGTAGTGAGGATTTATTATATGGGCTTATATTGTCTTCAGGAATTTATGGAGCAGTCCTTATTACATAATCTATCTATTTACTTTATCATATTTTTTGATTAAAATACAAAAATGATGATTTGAAATTACTTGATAATTTATTAAAATATGCTAAATACAAAGATGGCTTCAATTTCATATAGAACTAAGATGTTGAAAATTATTTATATAAAATTTCACTAATATTTATCTAATAATGATTTAGAAAATCTCATAAATTTTTCAATTATTAATTATAAATCACTCAAAATCTGCCTTTTGGTATCCTTTAGTTATTTATTGCACACCAACTCCTACATTGGCCATTTCCATTTGCAATTTGTCTAAGCAATGGTCACTTTTAACTTCCTAAGTCAGAAATTTGATGAATATACATACTGGATTATTAACAAAATTATCTAATTAAGCAAAGTTAGTTAATTCCTCATCAACGTACATCTCACTTAAGACGTATTTTTTTTCTTATATTGTGAATTCAGTCTTTTTTAGAAAATTATCTTAAATCCAAAACTAAAATAAATCTTCATTACTTACTTGTAAACCATTCATAAACACAGGGATAATACACATCACAATAATCAGTTTAAAGGTTGCCAAATCTGAAAATGGAGATAAAATGAACTAAGAAATGCTTTCTAAAATGAAACCAATGACTAATTGCAATAGAAAAAGGAAGAATTTAGACTAAGATGAAATAAATGTATTTTTACAATAGACACTACTAGTATCCACAAAATTAATTGAATGAACCATGCTTTTAAATCAATTTTAATTATAGGCTTGATGAGATTAGTACCAGCAGGCACTTTATCTTTATTATTCATTTCATTTTTTTTAACTTGGTCATCTGGCATAATAATTAAAAAATAGTTTCCTGAACGATAATTCTAAATGATTGTTATCTTACTGCCATTTAAAAATGCTCTAATGTAAGTTCAACTAATTTTAGGATTACATAACTAAATAATACTCCAATTGTTGTATCCAATAACAATGTGGCCAAATACCTTTTAATTATAAAATCTTAGCTACCAAACACACTCATCAGAATCCCCTGACAAATGTATAGCCAATGCAACATTCAGAAAATGAGCAAAGACTTACGAACATCCTTGTTTGGATGTATCTAATCCCCACACTTTCCATTGTCTCTTCGGTTTTTCCACAATTCTTTTATCTAAACTTAAGATGTTAATTACAAATCAAAATAAAGAATGAAAACACACCCAGCAGAATTTATATTGAAAATCCTAGTGGTCCCAAAATGTCACAATCATCCGACATTTTTATTATTTATATAATTAAATAAATTTGTTAAAAATTAATATGAATCAAATTAAATGTGAGAAATGCTAAATTGTACCTGAGAAATTTGTCTGCTTGGATTGTGAACATACATTTTGCCTTTCCTGCTTAGCTAAATTGTTTAAATAAGTATTAAACCTTAATAACCAATTGATAGCATGAAAATTCAATTCAATGTATATCATGTTACGACATAACAATGTTAGATGATGAAACTATAAATGCATTAATTGAAGCGAAATTACAACAATTATAGCCTCCTGTTATAATTCCATACACTACTTCTAAAAAATAAATTAATCAAAAAGACTTAATTTAAATTAAAGGTCACCCTTTTATTGAAAAACTTAATGTTTCTATCGAGAAATGTTTGGATAATATTCGAATCATATAGTTTGATAAATAGAAGATGAGAGAAATTTCGAATAAAATTAAATCAGATCTTGAATCTGAATTTAAATCATTGCATACATATTTAGATGATAAATTAGAAGCATTTATGAATGAAATTTCGAGATTTGAAACTCTAAATTCTACTAATTTACAAAAATAAGAAGAGGGATTCTAAATTGATATCAAAGAAATGTAAATAATGAAGGATGAGATTAAGAGTTTATTGTAATCACAAACAGGAATTTAAGATGATATTGAATAATTTAAAATTATATTAAATCAGATTGATGAAATTACTATCAAAGCAAATTAATAATATTAGACTCAACTCAAACAATTTTAAGATGAAATTTATAAAATACCTCTTAAGTGGACTGATTTTTCAAGTTCTTATAAAACATTATTCAATAATTTCGATTAAACAAAACCATTATAAGCATCATCATAATAGCAAACATAGTTTATAACAGCAAATCGATTAGAAAAAATTCAATAATCTTTAGTTAAGTAAGTTTAATATTAAATTTAAGTTCAATCTCTCATACAAATGTTAAACCTATTAAGGCATCTCATTAGTCTCATTTATCTTTATGCTCTCCTCCTAGAAATAGTTTTCTTTAAGATGAACATTAAATTCAAAGGAGATCAAGCCGAATTGAGTTAATAAGCAAATTATAAAGCCCAGGTGAAATCAGAGTTAGTTCGATGAATAGAAGAAACACAAGAACGTTGGTTCCAAATCTAAATTTGACAGGAATTTCGAGTATAAAATGATATTTAAATATATATACACAGTGTATTCTAACAGTTTTAATTATAATTCTAGTAGATAAACAACTAAGTTTATAAATAAAATAACGTATTAATTTAAAAAACAATTAATAATATATCCTAGTAGTTAAGTTAGAGCTTCGATAGTGTAATAGCAAAAAGGAAGGATAATGTTGTGACTGTAAAAGTGCGAGATTTGAAAAATAAAAGTTGATTTGGCCTCACATTCGCTATAACTTTCAGCCAAAATTTAGAGATTATCAATTAAATTTGAAATTAACTTATTTGATAAAAGTTATTATCAAACTATGAATAATTTAGTTATGTCTGAGGTATTAATGAACTTAGTAGAGAAGAAGAAATGCAATAGAATTAATAGATTCTTTATCAAAAAAATTTAAAATTGAATAAGAATTTATCGAAGTTAAATGGAAATTCTAAAAATTTTTATGATTAAATAGTTGAAATTATTTTATTTGTATTTTACTTAAACTAAATAGTGAATTAAAAAATTTGATATTAAATAATAATATTTTTATTTATTATTTTCATATTTAATACAAAATTATATTATTAATGAACTTTTAATCATAATGATTTATTTGAACTATCATCGATTTATGATTGCAATTGCTCATTTTGATTGCTTGATTTATCAATGTCTTGTTCTTATTACTTTTAACAATCTGTCTAAAGATTATTTCCTTAAATTTAATTAACTTAAGGGAGAGAAATCTAATCATTTTATTTTTCAACTTCTTCTTCCATAATGAAAGTTCCATCCTTGAAATTGCCATCTTATATTTTCCCATCTATAAATTATAGATAACCCTTCCCATGAGGTTAATAGTTTTTAATCTATCCTATTTAATAAATCTCTTATTTTACCTTTATAAATGCTGTCATTTGGGAATTTAATAATAATATCTTGATTTAACACAAACTCATCTTATGAAAATTATCCTTGGTACTTACAATTATTATCTTATAAGGTAATCACTCCAAAGCCATCCTTTAAATCATCCAGCCATTCTCCTTCGTATGTATACTATTTGGCTAAAAACAAATGAAATTTATGCTTACTTTAATAGATTCCCATTCCATGTCTCTTTCCTGCCTTGTATATCCCTTTATAAATATCACCATTTGCCCACACATATTGACCTTCTCCTTAAAACAATCCTTCAGAAAATTAACCAACATAGACATCTTTGTTGGGCAATATCAGTTTTCCAGTTCCACTATAACATCCATTTTTAAACCATCCTTCATATATTTAATTTTCTTTTTACAAATTACCATAGCCATTAAATTGATTATTTCTAAAATCAAACAATATATATACTCAAAATGACCATCATATTAAAATTCATTGACAACAATCAGTATGCCATCTCCATGAAATTTATTATTTTTGAATTGACCCTTGTATTAAAATTTCTTATCCATTAACTTTTCATATCTTCCCTAACCATGTCGTAGGAAGTCTTGGATTTACCCTAAATATACTCTTTTTTAAAACAATTCAATCATTCCTCCATATTACATATTTCCAATAAAAATGTCTGCATTTTCAAATACTTTGTAGAATGGGACTGTTGAATTTTTATCAAAACATTCAGAATTAGTAATGATAGAATAATCAAATGATTTTAGCCATTTTAGTCCGTTCTCTGTTTTAGTTATCCAATGTATGATTCCTTTTCTATTATGCTTTCTTATCACTCTCATTAAATCATATAGCAGATTACGATATTCCTTAATTTTTAATTCATTAACCAAATCTTCTTTATGCTTCTTTATTTCTAATTTTTACGGGTCTTAAGATGCATTATCATCATCATCAGAGCTCTTTTTATTATAGATTCTAATATTACATCTTATGGACTTATTTCTTATTTAATTATCATACTCTTTCTGGTTCTTATTGCAGTCAATTTATTTATTCTTTCATCAAATGTTTATAAATTGATAAAAAAATAGCTAATTTCTGATAACAGTTTTATTTAATGATCATGTATTATTTTTCTGATCCAATCTTCACTTCCTTGAAATGTTATCTTCTGACTTTGAATAGGAATCAATCTCTTTAACAAATCTTATTAATTCAAATCCAATTATTTTAAACAATCTGTATTAATGGCACTGTATAGTTATTTTTCAATTAATTTAAGACTTAATTAAACATATACTTTACTTTAATAATTTCTTATGCTATTCTCTTAAGATATTTAGTTCTCCAGTGTCCACATCTATAATGATATCCGGATTCAATTGATTGAGACCTTTGATAAATTTGTTCGTAGTCCCAATCAAATACCCTTTAAGATTTTTACTCTGAAGCATATTGATATCGGTCACACTAAAATGCATAAATAATCGATAGGTCTCACTAAATATTTTAAAGGGCAATCCAAAATTACTCAAGTAGCTTGCCTTGAAATAATGAAATTGATTACCTATAGTAATGACTTTTTGGTTTACAAATTAAAATTTAACAAACCTGGAATCAGAGATAATAAACTGATTATAAATCTAGAGCAAACACTAGAAGATTAAGAGTATATAATTATTTTCATCTAATATTAAATTGCCTTCAAGATTTTAAGTATTTTATCTTTGAAAATCCAAAAGACTCCTATCAAATTAGTATCGGTGTATAAAGCTGAGATCTCAACATTCCTTAAATCAAAGGTTTATTAAATGCTGTCAAATGCATAATTTAAAATTGACATATCTTTAAAGTCTTATAATTGAAAATACGCCTCTATAGTTGGTTCCAACCTGCTCTTGATATATCCAAAGAGTGGTACGAAGGATAAAAGGCAAATGGCTTTTTAGATATGTCCTCTAGTTAATTCTGGGTTCTGCTTTTTTAACTCCTCTGTCACTTTAATCTATTTGAAGCATGTTACTCCAAACAATTATTTTGTCTGACCATTGATTTATGCATCAAAATTAAAATATAAGTAGTCTTCATTTGCATTATGAACTGCATCTGGCAAAGCACATGTCGTCACTGTGTTAACAATATTCTCAATATCATTTGTCAATGATGACAATTCAGGGTAACAGTATTCAATTTCTGACCCCCTTTTATGATGAAATCCAACTGCAAATATTGCTAATACTGGAGTTTATTCCTATTAGAGAGCATATAAATCCATTAATTTTTATTGCAATTCAACATCAAAGATTTGTTCAGGACTTTTAAAGATTTCTTATATTTATTTACTAAATCCTTATGAATCTCTATTTAGATTTACTTAAATTAAATTATTGGAGGTCATTATCTCCCAATAATTATAACACTTTTCTGAATTCAAATATTTTCTCATATACCTTTCTTTTCTTGTAAGTCTATGTTTATTTTAATCATCTGAAAGTTTTTAATTCAATTTTTTCTACAGCCACTTTTTCATTAAATTAATTAAGAATTATTATTGTCTAATTATTTTTAATTAAAACAATACTAAAAGGAATTATTGATACATTAGATATGATATCATTCCTAAATTTCTTATACTGAATTTAATGGCAATATATGTATAGCAATCCGATATGAACTAGTGTTAGCTTTGAAATCAAAAAAAGTGTTAAAAAATGCAAAAATTATAATATGATTAATTTAGAATTGTAGATCTATTTGAGCTGAAAATAAAAAGAATTTGAAACAATAGTTGGTAAATTTATTATGAGAGCATGTATAAAAATTTAATAATTTAAAAAAAATTTGTCCTTCTAATAATGATGTCACCTAAATACTTACGAAAATATCTTAGCTACAAAATTTATAAACCAATAAAAAGTAAAGGATCTTTATAAAAACAATATACAACTATTTTGATATTTGTCTTTTCCTTTGGTAAAGATTTTAAGAATCTTTAAAATTGTCGAACCAAAATGTATAAGATTCAATTAGTTTACAGGTGAAAAGCAGATATTTATATGAAATACAATCTAGGAGAAAACTTTATAATGTAAATCTTTATATTCATTTTTAAATTGTATGTTATTAACAAAAATAAAGGAAAATACTTATATTTCATAATTCACTACTTAACTTTGACACTTTATGAATAAATTTATTTGTTTATTCTTTTCGTGCTCTTTAACTCAAAATTTCATTTTTATCAGCTACCTAATTCAAAAGAAAGCCAATTAGTTTTCTTTTGAATTAATTTTCACTTTAGAATTTTTTAAATTCTTCATGTTAAATGGTTTGCTTTTCTTCATTTTGAAATTATTCAGACACAGTTCTCGCTGATCTTTGTATCTCCTAATTCATTCTTCTTATTTTTCTTTTAAATTATTTTTTTTCCTTCTTTTGTTCATCTTCTAATTCAACACAATATCCTATAATATCTTGCATTTAATGCTAAGTATCAGGATCCACACCTTTTCCATTCCACTTTTGTTTAGTCGTCAAGAATGTCTAAGAGTGCGTATGTGTATTCAAGGCAGTTTGAGGCCTTGATTCAAAATTGCTAATTTCAGGAGATTATCTATGAGACAATGGTTTATTATTAATTCCAAATTTTAATCTCCTTTTGACCTTATTTTATATTTATTGTTGTGGGGGAGTCCTATAAAATTTTCTTAGATCTGCCTTTTATGTTACATTTTAAACTTCATTTTCAAAGATTTAAGCAAATAGTTTATCTTAGATTTCTTTTTATTTTTTAAATGTAGTCATTTTTAATTTATTCTTTTTACTATACTCCGGTTCAAATTGATCAAACCTAGATTCTTTATACACTTTGACCAAATTATTTTTCTCATCCTTACTTATTATTTAATCCAATTCCTCTTAATTAATCCTCCTTTCTATCAATTCATTTAATTTGTCCTGATGTTGAGTCATGGAAACCTTCTCAACATCTACATTTAAAAGTTTACCAATATCAACCTCAGGATGTTATTTGCATAGTTCGGTCAGAAAGTAATTAATCTATTAATCATCACTCAATTCAACATGATTAAGTTCTACTAGGTTACATTTTTTTTGAGCTTGCAATTTTTAAAGGTTGGCTTTGAGATTAGCCATTTTGTATTCCTGATATAAAGAACTAGTGGAATTCTATTTCATCAATTCATCATGAATAAGAGATGCAACCTTTTATTCTGGTTTCGGTTAGACTTTATGTGATTTTTTATGATTAGAAATTTTTGGTCTTGAATAACTTTCATCTTATGAAATCTCTCTCTTTTAAAATTTACTAACTTTATTTGGTGTATCAATATTTGTTTATATGTTTAAACTAACTAAACTTTAAGCATTAACAGTATTTGTGCCATTCGACACTAGTTTATAATTTTTATACATCTCATGTCAGCAAGTTTTTTATTTATATAAAGAGTCAAGTTCTGTCTCTAATAATCTTAGTAAAACCCCACTTGTTGTCTGATTGGATGATCTTGTATTGTTTTTTTTACAAGAAATCCCGTAAAAGAAGACATTAAATTTAATTATAACGAGTTATGTAAAATATAATATTTCAATCATTGGTATTTTGCAATTCACATTTTCTCTTATTTTTCCATTTTGAAATCAGATCACTTTTATTTAAAAACTAAAATTGGTTATCCTTATAATCTAAAAATTAATTACCGATTGATCTTGTTCCAAAATTAGTTCTTATTAATAAATACATAATTATGGAGATTGCAATGGACTCAGAAGAGGAGATTTTCCTATAGACTAAGAATTATTAAAATATAAAGGAGTATGGACAATAGATGCTGATTGATTGAATTCAAATAGATTAGGAAATTAATCTTTACAACACTAATGCACATTAATCCCAACACCAATTGATTAATAAACATTGTTTGAGTCTTACTCATTAGTCTGTTCTTTTATTTTACTGTTCGATAAGCTTAATTAAGGTTATTCTAAATTTTAGAATGAGTCAGAAAATATTTAAGTTGAGATTTTATTTTACTCATTACAGCTGTTGTTAATTTCTTGCACCTTAAAGCTTCCAAGATAATTAAAATCAGATAAACTGCTCCTATTCCCTAAGCTTTATGTATCACAATTTCCTTAGGTTGAATAGCAAAATTAATTCTTGACTTATTAAAGTAAGTAGATATATTGATTTTCTTAGTTTATTGCATTCTAGTCAAGTTTTTCAGTATCAATTTTAACTTTTTTTGATTAAATAAGAATATCTTCCTTCAATTCTTATTTTTCCTCTTTATGAGGGATGGTTTTCTGAATTTTGTCTTTAGAAGTTTCCATTAAATTACTGTCTTATTTGCTTTTATGATCTGGGCTCCTTAGTGGTCTTTTTGAGATATATTACTTAACTGCAATAAGTTCATCAATATCATCATCATCTTATTCTTAATATATTCTATGAAGTAAACTTTTATATCTATTATTTTAAGATTAAAAACATACCTATTTTTCACTTAATTTTCGGTTCTACCATCTAAATATTTTGAGATCATCGACCACCTTTTGCCATTCTCAATTGCTAAAGATAATAATTAATGATCTTCTCTATCTGTCCAGCTTGACCTAATATAAATAAAATATTTATTAAACTTTTTCAAAATAGGATTTAAATAATTCATCCACCTTTCTCTGACTTGTTTTGGAGTTCTAACGTAGAGACCATTGTTGTGATTATATAATTCCAATGCTATTTCAGTCCATATATGTTTCCCTTGCTTAACACTATTAAATAATTTAATAATAACTCCTACTTCATCTATGACTTTATGATGTCGTCCTCTTCTTTTTCCCAAATTAGACTTTTGGCCATTGGGGTTATTAATGTTATCCATCTTTATTTTAAGGTTTATTCCTCTTATCCGAAAATACTTGTTAATTCTTTCCATTCTTCAGATGTGGGATTGATAGTTTTTTTATTTTTCATCTGAAAATACTTGATCATAGCCAAAATGAATGACTATTTACACTATTAGTCCCATTTTTTATTTAATTTGTGGTAATTTTGGGTTAAAAGCCTTACATAAATTTATAATTTACTTTTCTGAAATTTCATAAAAATTAGGATTGATTAGGCTTTCCTTGGTTTTAAATTGATTTCTATAATAACAAGGAATGTCTATTTCTTAGTAATTTCTCAATTTATTCAAGAAGTCATGGAAATTTTGCATTATAATTTATGTTACTAAATCTTAATAATAAATATTTAATTAGTTATTACACCAGTTAGTTGTAATTTAATTTCAATAAAAAATTCTCTACAACAATAATCACCAAGAAATATTCCCTTTTTTTATAAACAGAAAATTCAATTTAATTAAAATGATATAATAATTATTTTTCCAATCAAATCACGAATAAGTTTATAATAATAAAGTGATATCATAATTTCATTAAGATATTTAAATAGAAAAATAATGGCCAAATTTACAAAACTTTGGCTTTTTTATAGATCAAATAAAATGAGTGAAACTACAAATTTATTTCTTAAAATATCTCATAATTTGAATAACTAATTATATAATAATATTTAAAATGCAAATTAGAGTAATTGGATAGTGAATTTAAATCAACAACTACTAATCTCAAATTTTTCCCCTACTCTCATCATCTGTTTGATCATCCAATGTCATTTCTAAATTGGAGAATTAAGATTTGCATCAGCTATCAATTCAATTTCCTCATTGCAATAATTAGCAGTGTGAGTTCTTGTCTTTGGAAATCAACTTTATCTTTATTTCTCTGATTAATTAAAATCATATTTAAAGAAAGTATCTGTCTTTTTGAATGCTTCTTTTATGTCAATTCATTCATAAGATATTATTTATATAATTAAGAGACTGGACGAACATCAATTTACTTAATATTACAATAAATTAAATACCTAACTTAACCTAATAAGAAATGGTAATAGAGACTCAAGTTCAGTATCATTCTTATCTGTAGTGAAGTCTTTGATCAAAAATCCATTCTCCCGCTGAAATAGAAATGATATCTTTGAGTTCTAAGATATTATAAAATTATCATCCATCTATAATGTTCATGATTGGATCTGCATACTCTTTCAAACTTGCAGTCCACATTATTACCTCATAGTATTCGCTTAAAGTCTATATGAAGTTTCTACCCCAGGTCTAATTGTCACAAATACTTTAAACAATAAACTTTACACTATGATCTAATATATTCTGCATTATTACATCAAATGAAAATCATAACTATTATCTGGTTTATATTGACAATGGACCAATGTTTCATCTAAATATAAAACACAAATTTTTCTACACTAATATATTTATTTTTCAATTTTACATGTAATTTTGGGGAATCGATTCCTTTAATTGATACTTTTCATTGGTTTTGTGGGTTTTTTTACGAAAAAAGTAATTGCAAGAACACAACTTCTCTAAACAATTTGGTTATCTTTCTAACCGTTCTTGCCACTGCTAATATACAATGTAATTTGTATTCATTCTTTATTATTTAAATAATGAATTAAATTTACAAATTACTTCTTTAGAGATGAATTTTCATTTCAATCTTATTGTTGTCACTAATAAAAATAAGAGAATTTTACAATAAGTTAGAAAAATAACTAGATAACATTTTAGATCTAAGAGAATCAACAAAATTCTTGATCATTTCAAAAATTAACTCTATCTGTGTTTTATGTATAATTTGAATTCATGTGAAATGTTGATTCTTGAGAATGAAAAATTTGTAACTGCAAAAATAAGGATATGTTGATGAAAATTACAATAAAGTATGAAAAATGATAATTATATATAGAACTGAAAATCATGATTTATCTAGAAGATCTGCAACTGTGTACATTCTTCTAAATGTTTTTTAATTAGATTTCGGTTTTTCCTCATTTGGATCAATAACTTTGATTTAAATTTGTTTATTAAATGAAACTATTTTCTTTCCAGGATTGAATTGTGGAGAATAGTCTTCCTTTTCAATTGGTTGAAGTGAAATTTATTTACTGTGCTTAAGTCTATTGAAATTTGGTTTTTATTATTATTATTTTAAATCCTAATTATCTAACTCAAAGAAATCAAAAATATCAGCATGTTCTCTACTGTTAGAGCTTTTTCTTTTTAGAATGCTTTTTAATTAAGTCTGCTAATCTTCAATTTGATCATCTTTTCTTAATCTACTTCGATGAGTAGATTCCTATTATTTAATTAAAGGTTTGAGCACTGTATGCTTCTTGTCTTATCTAAATATTTCTCTAATGAGTTCTTTGCGCTAGATTTCCATACGTGATGTAATATGATCAGCATTGGATTCGACCTATGAGATTTTGAATAAGTTAAGCTAATCCATTCCTTTTGACGATTTGAAGATTGAGTTGGATTATTGTTTTTGAAACTAATTCTAGGATGGAGTCTAAACTATTTCAGGCAGAAAACTATTATTTCTGGAGGAAGGACGAGAAAAGTGAATCTATTTTTTATTGTCTTATCTCAGTTGTGCTTGAGAATTCATTAAATAAATTATAAAACTCACTCATCATTTCAATTAAACAACATTATGAATTTTGTAACTACTAATTTCATTAACATAACAAACTTTGAAAAATCAAGAGCCTTTATAGTAATAAATCTAAAAATGTAAAAACATTCATTTTTCTGTAAGTTCTCTATACCCTTTCCAATCATGTGGAGCCTTTCCACCGTTGGAATGAATCACATCCAAAAGAGTATTGGAAGGACCGTCCTTATGTTCAGGAATCATGTTCTTCAAACTTAAATTAAATAGAATACCAAGGTTTTTTGAAATATTAATTGAGCCTTGTCCCATGTGCCTTTGATGTAATGTTAGAACCCTTCTTTCCAGGTGTTATAGAATTCCTAAAATATAAGATCTAAAATTAGATTACTATTGTAAAAGGTTCTCTAGCATAAAGGAGTTCTTCATCAGTAAGAAATTGAGCTGCAACATTAACTTTGTCTTTTGAAACATCCTTTTGTAATTGTTCCCTTTTGAATCGACTAAGAACTCGAAATTGCTTTTATTCCTTCTGATTCATCTTGCTAGTGTCAAACTTGTCTTTCAACTCCTTTGATTTTTGAATCAAATTCTTTATTGACATATCAATAGTGTGAATTTCCACTGGTTCTACACTGCCCTTCACTGTGACAATGTCAATCATTCTTAATTATTGTTGGCATTCTTAAGTCAAATATTGTTTTAAGATCCCACTTATTAATATTATAGAACCAAACTATTTAGTCGCGGCTTCTAACCTAGATGCCATATTAACATTAGGACTCAAGTAAGAAGCATCGATTTTGAAAGATGAACCAATTGCTCCTTCAATACCCCATCCCATATGTAATCCAAATCCCATCTTCACTGAATAATCTTTCATTCTTGCATTCAAACCAGCATGCTTCTTGTACCTATCTAATTTCTTTGAAATTGATATTGAAGTAATTATCTTCAAGAAAGCCAACACTGCCATGTCTCCTTTTTGTTTGATATGATGATCTGTTTTCACTATCAACTTAGATGGATTTTGTGGGTTGGGATGATATTCCATTGGTAAATATTTCCAAACTAATAGGAATGCATCTCCAATATTCTTATTAGCAGATCCTCCATATTGATCAACTGTTGAATGCACAATCTCAGCAATTTCATTCACAAATACCATTACATCTTACTATAAGACTTCTGTTGCATCAGTGAAATTTCTAATATCACAAAAACCAAATATTGCCATTATTTTCTTACCTGGGAGCATTGGATCTACACTCCCTCCTTTCTTAATATTTTCTGCAATGATTTCAGAGCCTGCCTCCCCAAATCCTACGGCCAATAAAGCACCAACTTTCATGATCAACCTTTAAAGAATATATGTTTCCATTTGCTTCTCTATATACTTCTCCTTTATCTTCTCATGATCCTCATTCTATTCCAATTGCTACATTATCAAATCCTCCTACTCCTCTATGTTTACTGCCTCCAAAGGATTCTGAGCTATTTATTCTATCTTTTCCATCATCTTCTCTATTGGGTCTATAACCAAATCATTCACGTTTTTATTAAACAAAATGGCACTAGAGGCCAAAACTATGCATACAAATACTGTCTAAAATATTGAAAGAATGGCATTTGTTTGATTGTAGTCAACTAAATCACCTACTGAACATGTTATTAATTTATTATTTATATCCACTGCAGCATAATATTGTTTATCAGAGAATCTGTACTCATCGATATTTTGGTTTGTCGAAGAAAACCAATCAGGGTTTTGAGAATAATTGAATATTTAGAAATTTGTCTCGTTTAATTTTGGGAATTAGTCTGTTACATCATTTCTTAATACAAAAACAGCCAAAATTGGAAAAATCTCGTCCTAATGAAATTGAACATATTGCCTTGTTAGGATCTGTACAAGTTTTTGATCATTTCTAAACTAACCAATTCTAAAAATACCAGAATCATAAGAGTTTATTATTTCTTAATAAGTATCTAAAGTTAATACTGGTATACTAATTAATATTGCTAAAATAATAGTTATGACTCTTCTCATTACTAAATCAGATAATCGAGAACCAACATTGCTTTCATGAACCTTTTCGCTGAGCTATAGAGATTATTGACTCTACCTTATCTACTCATTACTACTACTTCCTTATGCATTTTGATCGGATGGTTATCCTTATTAAATAGATAAAGCAGACAATTACGAACTATTTAAATTATTTTGTTGAGAATTCTATTATTGTTATTATTATTATTATTGTTATTATTATTAAATTTAACCTAAAAATGGCTTGCAAGTCTCTTTAATTTGCTATTACAATTCACTCTATTCTTATTTATCATCAATATTTTTATATTATTGGGCACGAGATGGAGGAGGAGATGGAAGAGATTAATTCCTTTGAATATATATTTATTTTTGAGATTATGAATTGATTTTTTATTATTATTATTGCTGTCTTTAATTCTCCTCACTGATTAATCTATTTTATTTTAATATATCTTAAAGGATCTTTTTTTATTAATCCTTCTCATATTATTGTCTGGCATGTTTATATAGTTTTACCAGCCTTACTAGACGAATAATCCTAATGACTCTGGCTGCTTTTCTTGCAACCCTGGATGCCCTACCCAAAGCCTTGATTGTTGCAGCATTACCGATATCTCCTTCATCTCCATACCATAAATCTGTTATCCATCCAATATCCAAAATCATTGTTGCAGTTGATATTACATCAAGAAAAAAATAAAACTAATCTTAGCACTTAATTAATTACATTTAGAATATAATTTGGATTTGCTATTGAGGTTAGAATTATTTCTATTGTAAAAAAAGACATGCTTATTATTGTGAGAATAAAGAAGATATCATCTAAATCTTTGTTGACACTTAGGATTCTTATATCATCCCCAAAAAGTGCATAAAGTGTAACAATCGCCATTAAAATTGAGAATGCCCATCCTTCAATAAATTAAGAAACGAATTGTTAAATTGCAGATGTTTATTTTAAACTTTATTTTTTCTAAAATCTCGCTTTAATTTTGCTGTTCATTTTCCTTATTTATTTCTTCTTAGGCTCATCACTGATTTATTGATTACTCATAGGCTTTGCACTCCTACTACTCTTGGCACTCTTACCACTCTTACCACTCTTGATACTCCTTGCGCTTGATTAACTTTTATTTGATTTTTAATCATTGATTTCTCCTACGCTTGAAGGACTCCTTACTTTTCTAATTTTTCCTTCTTAAGCTTCAATTTCTTCTCTACTCAATTCTTTTTTTACATATGGTAAGGATTTTTATTTATCAGTTAGCTTTTTATAATTGTTTACTTTTATACCAAATGGCCTTGTTATTATTCTTTGTCATTTAATTTTCCTTGGCTAACTGCATTGAAATCTATGTTTTTTGCATAAAAAATAGCATTGTAATATATACTGGATGCGGTTAATTTATAACAATATTCATCATCGCAAAGCTAGGCTTTCTTTATTCATCATTTTCAGATTCTCTTGAGGGATAGTATTTCATAGATTCATCTCTCTCTGTCATCTGATTAAATTAATTATATCAATTAATAATTAATAAGCTTGAATTTTTTATCTTCATTAATACATACTAATCAAAAATTATTCAAAAATTATCCTAAAAATTGAAGTTTGTATTTTTATTAAATTAAAAATGAAATGAACATTTAGGTGTTCAACTTATTCTAATTAGGTTTAAATTTATTTATAGATATTTTTATAGAATAAAATTTAATTGAGGATAAGTTTGTAAACTCTTATTTGAATTTTAAACATAATGTTAAGGATTGTTAAATTTAAATAAATGAAGAAGTGAATAGAACTGATTTTAAGAATAAAATATATTAAGATCCCAAATAACATCAACTTCTAAATCCACCCTAAAGTCAATGCAAATTATATGTTAAAATAAAACAAATAAGCTCAAATTTATAAATTGAAAATTTACCAGTTACTTTTTTGAAAATTAGAAAATTATTATTCTAGTTATAAAAGTTTCGAAAAGTATTTGTATAATTTATAGTTAATGAAAGTTTAAATTTCATCAATTACTTAGGTTTAAGGATTGACATCAAGAAATTTATCTGCTTTTTCATATTACCAATTAACTAAAGTGTTGTTTTAAAGGATCAAATAATAAATGTGACATCAGTTTAAGAATATTAATTAATTCTATTTTAGGATTTATAATTCTTATTACTTAATTTAATTAAGAACAGAATAAGAAAGTAATATATTTTTAGAAGTTCTATAATAATTAGTTCCATTGTTGATTAAATTAAATTAATAGAAATAATTCTTGAATTAATTTAGATATAAATTCAATATTGTGTCATGCATTTTTAATACTTAGTTATTCATGAATAGTGTGATAATATTATTGATGGTAGGAGTATTGTAGAAATACATCATAGAATTGAGTCTTAAATTCTGATAAGAATTTAAGAATTTTAATTATAAACAACATTATAATTATAATGAGATTTTCAGTTTTTATACATTAAATAAGTAATAAAATATTTTCATTCTGCAAGCAATTGCTATGCTTTATTATTTTTGAGTGCTGAGATTATTTTAAAAGAGTTTTCAGCATAAAAAGTTTATATAATTTCATCGCAATATTAATATTCTTTAAGTGAAAATTTTACAATACGAGCGACCAATATTGTCCTTCGAATTAATCTCAGTAGAATCATCAGCTCTATTAAGATTAGTATGGCTAAAAAGAGATAGAATGGAAGATCAAGTTTCATTGTTATCATAATGGCCACTTCAACAATTATTATTAATAGCAAAATAAAAAAGGCAAATGCATATGTGATCTGCTGCTTTCTTGTTAGGTTTTGACATGATAAGCTAACTTAAATTGTAATATCTACTTAGTTTCTAAAACTGTGGGGTAATATAAATTGCAATAAGGGCACTACATAATTCCATTTCCTTATTTATATTCTAATTTTATGTGAGTTATTAGACATAATAAATGATATTACCTGTCCTAACAAGCACAATACTTTGCGGTAGGTGTTGATGTATGTTTGCTGCAGAAGTGGCAGAAATGGTTTGCACCGTTAACTGATGAATTTAAGATTTTATTCAGGTGAAACTAATTAGCAGTAGTCTATGGATGCAATGTTTTTCGTAAACGGTATAAATGTTCAGCGGGAACAGAAGAAGTTCCTTAAACTGTAATCAATTTTGATTCAAATGTTTCAAATTAAGGTTAGTTATGTGCTGTAGTTGTATCCATATATAAATAAATAAATTAATTTGGTCATTTTCGAGCTCCAGTGTTGTTATTCCTCATCAGAAAGAGTAACTCCTCCTTTTCCTATTTCAATCTTGCATTCTCCTTCTGCATCATTAGAATTTTTTCTTCATTCTCATTTAACACTTCTAATTTTTGAGCATAAGACTTCAATTTCTCGACCAAATTTTCTTTAAATAAATCAGTTTATTTTTAAAATTTTATGAAATTTTTTTCACTTATTTCCAACTATCTTGTCAATGTTTAGTTTTTTTCTTTCAACATTTAAATCTCTTGATTTTGAATGAGGGACTTTTCTTGTTGTTCTGCAACTAGAGATTAGAGTTGTTTAATGGTTTAATCTTGATCTTGAATTCGACTTGTATTATTGTCAACTTTAAATTTTGATAATCTTTAAGGTGATTAAGTATTAAAATATGATAAATTGGTTGATGCTGATCTATTAGTTTTATTTGATTTGTGAAATACAGCCGATTGCTCTTAAAATGATATTGCTGATTATTCTAAAGTAGGCATTCTTCTTGATGAATATCTTCTTTAATTTTAGGTGATCAACTCTTAATCTAAAATGTCAATTAATTCAGTCTTCTCATTCTCTAGAAGGGTTTCAACTGTCTGTTAATTTTGATTTTGCAATCTGGATAATGATTTCTTATGAGCAAATAGTAAGTCCTTTTATTTCAATTGATTCTCCTATTGTTTCAGATTTTGACGTTATTCTAATAATAAACTCAATTTTTATTGCATAGTCTATGGTAATTCAGAATCCCAAGTTTACATTTTATAAATAAATAATGAATTTACAACCTGTAAGTTCTGGTTCAATCAATATGTCGGGTGATAGTAATCAGAACGGTCTTGATCACTATCTCAATGAACTCAATAATTAAAACTTGATGTAAGTGAGGAGACCGAATGAAGAGTAGATTTTGGCATTTATTGATTTTGAAGGCATTAAGCCAGATCAAGTGATTTAACACAAGACTTTCCCTGATAGTCATAAAGAAAATAAGAGTAAAGGAAGTAAGTCTTCTTAATAGAATCGACGGAATAGTGTAGACATGTCTGAAGTATCACCTTTGAAACAATCTCTTAGGGATGATTTGATTCCTTTGGATAGTCCAAATATTGAATTTAAGAAATTGGGGGAACCAGAAGATCATCGAAAAAGCAAGACTGTGAATAGTCCAGCTGTTTAATCATCTAAATCTCCAAAACGAAAAAGCAAACATTTCTCAAAGATCTTTTCCAAATTAACTAATAGAATGCATTTGGCTAGGAAATTCATACAAAAGATTAAGTTATTGTCTCCATTTGCAAAGAAAATTTAGAAATCTCAATTGTAATTAATTTAGGATTTGAGTTCCGATATCGGTAATAGCAACGAGAAATATAACAATATTAGTTTCATTAAGATTAGAGATAAATCAAAATAGAAACATGCATTGAAGAGGATTGAGAGTATGAAGGCATTCATTGCACTCAAGACTTATTTTAGTGTTTGTAAAATTTAACAGATTCTTGATAAGTTAAAGAATGAAACGATAGATCCTCAAGGGAACTTTCTATTCATTTGGGAGTTATTAAAGTTTTTTGTGACTTTGGCATCACTATTCCAATTATCAATTCAAATATGTTTCAATTTGAATGTTTTGAATTGGTTTTTCATTTCTGAAAAAGAAAATTCCCAAATTATTCTGATTTTGATGTTTATATATTATTCATTTGATATCGTTTTAGGATTTAGAACAGGGTATTATGAAAATGGAGAAGTTGTAACAAAGTAATAAAGAGTTGCTAGAAGATATTTAAGGAAATACTTTTTTGTTGATTTGATATCAATAATCCCAATATTCGCAAATCTAATCTTAATTTAATCCTTTGAAACAGATAATACAGGGATAAAGATAGTGAATTGTTTATCATTTTTAAGATCAAATGCTCTTAGTAGAGTATACCATTCGTTAGAAGGGAGATTATTAAGTAATCCAAGATTCGTTATTGGATATCGTTTTTTGAGTGTGATAGGGACAGTATTTTTGTATGCCCATGTATTTGGATGTCTATGGTATGTTGTAGCACAAAACAATTAAAATAATTGGATCAATAAAGCAGGAATAGTTGAGGATTCTTGGTTCGCTCTTTATAGTTACTCGATCTATTGGTCTGTTATGACGATGACTACCGTGGGATATGGAGATTTAACACCGGCTAATCATGAAGAAGCCTTGTTTTGTGTTTGTACTATGTTTATTGCAAGTGTTGTCTTTGCATATTCAATCAATACAATAGGTATGATCATTACTGAAATGAATAAGTTTGATGAGAAAATCAATGAAAATATGGCTATTATAAATAGATACATGCAAAGAAAGAATTTCGAGTAGTCTTTGCAATTTAGAGTTAGACAATACCTATAGAATGTGTGGACTTAGGAAGAGAAGTTTCGGATTGTTGATGAAAATAAGATTATTAACTGTTTAAGTCCAACTTTAAAGGAAGAAATCTAAATTTGTTTATATGGACAATTCATTACCAACATTCACATCTTCTATAGATATTTCAGTTAAGAATGTCTTCTAGAATTGACTAAGAATGTTCAAGAATATAGAGTGGCTCCAAATTCTTATGTTGTTGAAAATGGAACTTATGATGGAATTGCATTATATTAATTAGTAAGTGGAGAGGCTGAAATGTTTGTGGATCTATAAGACAGGAAATATTACATTGGGAAGATGAAACAAGGAGACATATTCGGCCATGGTCCATTCTTTATGAACAATGTTCATCCTTACAGCATTAAAACTGATACAGCGTGCTCCTTTTCTTACTTATCTAAGCAAATGTTCTTAGACATTCTTCAATCTCACCCTGGTGATTATGTAATATTTTAAGTAATATAGTAAACCTATAGAATGATCATCGATTAATGGACATTCGAAAATTAGAAACTAGATCTAGGCGTTAAATGTTTTGGATGTGGAGAAACTAATCATGAGATAGATTAATGTCATAGATTGCATTTAATTATTAACAAATAGATCGTATTAGCAAAACATTTGTTTTCAGTGCCTAACAAAAGAATTTAATATCAACGCAATTGCAGGAGAACTACCAATGCTAAATTTGGATAGAGATTATTTGAAGATGCTGTCTCTTTATTCTAAGAAAATAATTACTCTTTTTCCTCTGAAGAAGAGGAACCTAATCCTAGTCAAATCGAAAGGACTCATTAAACCAAACAGACTCAAGAGATGAGATATTAGGAACCTACTCATAACACTCATAGATCATAATAACAATAGCATTAGCAATCAAAAAATGTGAGATTTAGGAAAAGATCAAGATCTCTGAATTCAATTAGTGTCCATTCTGATGAAGAATCTAAATTTTAGAAATCCATATCAGGATATAAATCCAATGACTCTTAAATAGATAAAATAAGTGGTATTCCAGTTAAAGTATAATAATTGCCAAGTTCGTAATTATCATAGAGTTCATTTAATGTATTTTTAAAAGAGCATCCAAAAAGAAAAATATCAAAATAATAAGACTCTGATAAATATTCTAATCATTCTATTGGATAACGATAATAGTAGTAATAGTAATAGTAGTAATAACAATAGCTATATTAATAACAATAGTATTAGCATAAATCAAGTAGTCAATCAAGTAGTGGCAACATTCCTTAGAGTAGTATTGGAATATCTCCTTTGCCTACTGGATCTCCGCCTTTGCTTTATTAAGAAGAGAAATAGACATTTTAAAAAGGGTTTGTAGATGATAGTTTATTTGTTGCACAGGAAAGAAAAAAGAAATCTTTGATCGGTACTAGTTATACGAATACAAAATCTATAAAAAATCCCCTTTAAGCTATACCTTCTGTTAGTGAAATGAATGAAACTGAGAAAAACAATAATAACTTAAAGGAAGCTTCATACACTTCTAAATAATTATCGATGTAAAGTAGATCGAGAAGTTAGAGATACACAATTTCAATCCGCACTGAAAGTTAAAAAATAAGAGAAGACACTAAACATGATACTAATTAAAAACATGAAAAACATGATTTCAAGTTAAAAACTGATACTTATAAATAATATCATGAGAGTAGTCCCTTAAATGAAGAGTAATTTCATAACACATTTGAATAAGCCTGCAATTTAAATTCCTACTACCCACAATACAATAAGGATAGAATCATAGAAAAATATAAGAAATAATAATGCCGAAAAAATATTTACTTATATTAATTCAAGTCTTGATATATATTAATTATTTATTATACTATTTTAAATTTATGAAAGAATTAAATAAATTGATTCATATGGTTTGAAACTATTATAGTATGTGATTAATAAATTATATATATGAACAAGCATTCAGGAGCCTCGACATATTAAAATAGTTAAAGACAAAAATCACATTATTCCTAATAATCAAACCTACCTGAGAAAATCAGATTGGAAAGTCATGGTTTAATAGTTGCCAAAGAAAAGGAGAAAAAAACCAAGAAAGAGGAAATTAGAAAATATTTAAAGAGCCAGAACCAAAAGTACATTAAAGATTTATATTGATTAACTCATATTTATATTTTCAAGATAGTATTAACATTTAGATATTAAAATTATGAATAGATAATAATAAGAAGCTGCAAATATCTGTAATTAATTCGATGACTTAGGTAGTGTTGAAGAGAGTAAGAGATGCTTTGAATGCAAGAGGAACAAAGACAATTAGGAGTTTGGGAATATGCTTCAGGTGTTTGGACTCATATGATGGAAATAGAAAATTGGACAAGAATGAATTAAAGGTTGGATTAGCGGAGAATGGAGTTCAACTCTCTTGGAATGAAATAGATGTAGATAATTAAATAATGTAAGATTTTATTCGCAGCCATGGACAGAGATAGAAGTGGAACAATTGATTTCGATGAATTCCTAGTTGCCATACGAGTAAGCAAGATAACTATTAATTTAGGGCTAACTCAACCCAACAAGAAAGGCTATCGTTGATTAAGCATTCAAAAGGTTTGATAAAACAGGAGATGGAAAGATAACTGTTGATGACATAAAGTATAGACTTTATTAATAATATAAAGAGGAGTATACAACACTAAGTTGCATCCAAAGGTTAAGAATGGATAAATGTCTGAAAACTAAGTTTTAGATGAATTTTTAGTGAATTTTGGAGATGTAGACAGAAATGGATAATTAACTTATCAGGAATGGCTTGATTATTATGCCGCCGTGTCAGCCTCTGTTGACAATGATGAGCACTTTGTATTGTTGATGAAAATGGCATGGAAGTTATGAATCAAATAATAAAATATCATAACAATAGATATTTTTGTAATAATTTTATTACCCTTTTGGATCAAATTTAATTCTAATATTATGGGAATTAATATATGATCAAATGACATCTTTGAATATTGGTATGAATGAAATGAATACTGAAGATCTTCCTAGTCTAATATTAATTCTATTTTCTATTTTCTTCCATTCCTTCTATTAATCACTTAAGAATGAGTTTCTTAATAGAAATTTCTATAGTTGATAATTTCATCTTTAGATGTATATAATTTAACAAATAGGATATTAATATTATCAAATTAATTTATCCAAACTTTCTTAAATACTTTCTAAATTTTCAAATAGATCCTGAATCTAAGCCTTCTAAAACTTTATACCAAATTTCTCAACTTTATTAGATTCACCAGAAGGCTTAGTTTCAAATACAAAGGTTGTAGCTGGATTTCTTGCATCATATGAATATAAATCATTAGCATCTTCAATTTTACCGTCAACATTCATAAAATTTGCTACATCTGTAATTGATACTTTATTATAGAATACTCTTTTATGGTAATCTTGATTCATCAACTTATAAACTGATTTTCCAATTAAAAGAATGTAATACATCTTAAACAGCAATAGGCTTCTCTCTTATTCTAATAGAATACTCATTTCCATATTGTATCCATTATTGTCTAAAAACTTCAATGTGATCCTAGGACTATTAAATATAGAATAGTATAATACCATTCCATTTTATGCTAGTACTTCTTCAACTTGACTCAAATTTCTTTCTGCAACAACATGCATTAACACAAATGTAAATGCATTAACAATATTAGCTAATTGCTACTCTGCAATATTCAGATTATTCTGAAATTTCTTAATCTCATCCTCTGTAAATAAATCTTTATATAATTATCCTGGTTTGCTAAAGATTCTTCCAATAACTATCTCAGTCCTTGGAATACTTAAAGAATTCAGATTGAGAATCGCATCTTATAAATTCTTATTGACCTTCATTGATAAATTATATTTATTTATAATGGAATTCTCATAATTAGAATTGACTAGATTAGTATGATTGAAATTCATTAATTTTTAAAATGTATATCCCAGTAAATGAAGTACAAAAGCATTTCAAGTCAGAAACACCAATGATGTCAAATATAACCCATAAATCAGATTAATGGAGTCCTTATCATGATAATTCAGGAACTGTATTAGGTAAGACATCGAATAAAAATGGTAAGCTATTGGAATCCCAGGAGCTGTGTTAGTAGCAGGAGACACTAGATTGAGCAATGGTTATAATATTCTTACTCGAGATGCAACTAAGTTATCATAATTGACTGATAAGTGTGTTTTAGCCACCGCAGGTTAATATGCAGATTTTATAGCCTTAAGGAAATTCTTGTAATAAAGACTCCAATTATATGAATTCTAAAATGAAGTTTAAGTATTTAACTATATAAAAGAAAGGCTTCAACACAAACTGTAGCTCATTTGCTATCTAGAGAACTTTATTCTAGAAGATTTTTCCCTTATTATACTTTCAACTTATTGGCAGGCCTTGATGAAAATAACCATGGAGTTGTCTATGGGTATGATGCCATAGGTAGTTATGATTAAATGACTTATGGTGTTTAAGGCAGTGGACAAGAATTAGTTGTTGCTGTTTTAGATAACTAACTCAAAGGTTACAATAAAATCAATAAAACTTTCCCTTAAACTCAACAAGAAATTTTAGATCTCATATTAGATTGTTTCAGTTGTGCTGCAGAAAGAGACATTCACACAGGTGACAATGTTGAAATTCTTATCATCACTCCTACTGGAACAGAGAGGATTGTTAAACCTCTCAGAAAAGATTGATTATTAATGGATATCTTTGAATATTATTTATTAATTAATATCAATATTGTTTTTTTAGCATTTTCAACTTCGTCTGTAGTCTCCATTGGTAAAACACATTGAATTCTAATTACAATAATCTATAATTAAATCTAAATATTTATCATACTTTTTCTTCCCTTTTCTCTAACTTAAAAGATGGGCTCTCATTTTTTTGAATGATTACTTCAACAATTTAAATTGTTTAGAACCTAAATATTTCTCTAACTTTTTCTTATTTATTTTTCTTCTCCTTTAAGATTCCCAATGCGATTTCAAAGCACCAAATGTATAGATAATTCTTCTTTAGATGTAGAATTGGGAACTTAATTTCAACTCTCTTTGGTATTACTTTATTACTCCTTTTATAAACAACTGGAAGTAGTCTCTTTGTAATCTTTCTAAATATTATTTTATATATACTATTATAATAACTTTGAGCCTTCTCATCCTTTTACTTTATCAAATCATAATCATATTTTAAGGATTTAAATACTTTGCTTAGTTATTGTAATCTCTTTTTATTTTAATAATTTATTAATTGTTCCATCTTCATTTTCGAAAGATCAGTAAAATACTTAATTGAATAAAAGATCATTTAAATGAACTTAATTCTCTTATACTATGAATATTTGTTCAATTTCCAGTTATTTTTGAATGATCTAAACCCTTATATTAAAAGTTCCAATTTTCTTTATTTCAACTTTGCTTGTAACATTACTTTATTTAAACCCTTCTTCTCTATTTTGCTTTCATAAGCACGTCTCCAAAATAACAAATATCGTTTTTTTCTTTTCTTCTCAATTTAGACTGTCAATATTAATTCTTTATCCTATAACTTCAATTATATTTATTTGATTTCTTCTATGTATTATTTCCAACTCTAAAAAATCTTGTACATGTAAAATCCTTTAGCTAGTTTATCTTTTTAAGAATCCAATGTTGCATCCTTCCAATAATTAAAAAATGTTTGTTTCCTCCATTTATTATGAATTGGTTAGTATTTAGAATTTCTTTTATTATTTTATTCTTTTGTGTAATTTCTCCAATTCTTAAATATTTTACAAACCTATTCCAATTGAGTTTAATATTTCTTTGAATCCAACATATGTCTTTTCCAACCTTTAAACGCTTTTTTTATTAAGACTTCATTATAATATATAGTAGAATCTTAAAGTAATTATAGGTGTAATCTGTAATTTTACAGTTCAATCACCCATTTATCAAAATATAATTACTTTTTCTTCTTTATGATTGTTTTTTCGTTATTCTTTCTCTTTTTCAAAATTTTTGATGCTTTCCTTAATTTTAGAAACCATTTCATTAATAATTTATCATTGTAACATTCAATAATGGCATTATTAACTTCTCTGTCCTTTTGTTAACCTTATGCTACACTTTTCATTTTTTCAAAATATCTCCTCAATTGGAGAATTTTGATTTAGTTAAGAATAACTTGTTTCTATTGAAAAGTAAAATGGATGAGCATACATTTTATATGATGGTTTTGAAGGCTTTGAAAACTTTTTGTTTCAATAAGGTTTGATACTCAGTGTGTCTCTATTATTTAATTGCTTTTATTGTCTAGCAAATATTTTAGGTTTTGTTACTTTCCGAAATAGTTGTTTGTATCTGAAGATAGTGGCATTAATCAAAAACTGTCTCTGGTTTATTTTTGATATATGATATTCTACCCATTTATAAAAGTATTTCCTTAACATTAAATTTATATTACTATTAAATTTATCACTTTAATAGAGTCATGGAATAAATACAATATGGGAGTGCTTCAGAATACAAGAGTCACATTTTTCAAAAAAACGTTTCTTATTATGTTGAACTCTTTATTTTCCAAAAATTAGGGTAAGAGGCAGAGTTAAATATCCTATGTGCATTTTCAAGATTACCTGTAAAAATACCTGTTAGACATTAAAACATTGTTAATATCGAATGCATATATGATTTAGAGGTGTGGATGGAATTCTTCGCGATCAAGTTAAAGTAAAAATGAATAGTATTTGCTTACTAGAGAATAGAATAATTTTAGTTGTCCAGGATGCAAATAATATGTATACTTTTCAGATTTCGGTATAGACTTTGGATTATATCATATTTTGGCAGAAAAGCAACTTTTAGAACAAAGTGGCCAAAAACTATTAGGTAATAAGATAATCTATTCACTCAACAATGGAAAAGTAATCTATTATGCACTATCCAAATAAGATAAAAAGACAAAACTTAAAATTCCTGGAACAAACCCCATATTTAGATTATAAGTATCCAAAAATAACCTCAATATGAAAAATCTTAATCCAAGACAATAAGACATTCTTGATCAAATGAATTACACTATTTCAAAAATAAAAGATTTCATATCTTTTAAAATGCATCAAGGAAAATAGAAAGGAATATAGATTAATTAAATGAAGTAAGTATTAAAAGCAAAACTTGAATAATTAAAGACTACGTTCAGAAAATCCTAAAATTTAGTTTAATTGGGTGTCAAATCTTTGGAAAGTCAATTTATTTTTGGTCTTAAGAAACTTTAAAAAGATGGAAAAAATGCAGGGAGCGTGGTATTGTTTCTTAATAACTATAGCTTATTGTATATTATCCACATTTAGGAATATGGTAGGATTATGAAATAAAGACAACTCCAGAAAAACATTTCCAATATGAATTTTAATTATATGCAAAGGAATAAGGCTCAGAAAAGGAGAACATCATCTATGTAATAGGAGGCAGAGTAAAAAATTTTGAATCAAGCAATTTATTTGTCAGAATCAGATTTCCTAAAGACCCTTTTACTCTAGAAAAATCGGTATATGTCGATTATCTACCCAATTTACCAAATGCAGCATTCAACTATTTGGGAGGATGCTACGATAAGTATGATTTTGATTAACTTTAGTAATGTCTATATCTTTTGTGGCCAAAAAAGAACTCTAGATTAATAAGGTAGGGCGAATGATACAATTTTTGATGTTGGATATACTTTTAAGAATGGGTAATGGAATAAATTGAATGAGAAAGTTGAGAAAAGATATGATGGTAGTTGTACAATAATTAATCATTAAAAATATGATAAATGTCTAATCTTATATGGAGGAATTGAATAATTACTTGATGGTAGAGTTGGATACAATGTTCAATAATAATAACATGTAGTTCAAGTATTCTAATTTAAATAAGAAAAATTCTTAGGCAAAGGATTCAAATTGAAATTTTCAGACAATCACCAGGATAATTATTAAAAATATATGTTCTCATGTCCAATATTCTCAATTCCATATGGTACTCATAGTGAACTATTGATCGCAGGAGAATTTTTGAAAACAAATTATAAAGAAGGAAGAGAAGTCTATATTTTTGATTGGCAAGAGGGCACAATTACAAAAAATTAACTACAAACATAACCTCTGGAATAAATATTACTTTCTAATATTCAAAAAAATTACAATTACTCAGCTCCTGAATTACTTTAGCCTGTCTAAGATATTGAAGGTGCTTTCTTGTTTGGCAATTATTACACAATCCATTAAGAGGAGATATAAATAGATTCTAGAACTACTTTTTAAAACTTTCAGTTATTTGAATATAAGGCAGCCAATGGATAAGGTATATAATAAATTTTAAATGTGTTAGTATCAATTAGACCATTTTTGCAAAGAGAAGTTTCAATTAAATAAGCAATTGAAGCATTGTAAAATTTACCAAATTAAGAAAACAAAAATTTATGAATTATCCATAATATAAATCAATTTAGGTAATAAATTTAGATAAGATAAATAAATTTTAAATAATCAAAAATTGTGATAATATATATCTTTTCACTCTAAGCTTAAATGCAAATGAGGATCTGATATTCCAGCCTCTATGTTTCTTTGCATTTGATCCCTGAACTTCCTTAGAGCCTCCCTTACATCTGGAATCTTCTTCTAGACAATTTAAATTAATAATGGAGACAACAATAATAGAGCTTGATCATCTAAATCCCCGTACCAACTTTAGATTTGTATTCCATTGTCAGGTTGCAATTAAAAATTTTCAGCTAAATTATCTATGATTATGGTTTTCTTAATATCTCTTCCAATCTTTTAAATATCCTTTACATATGTGTTTTTGACCAGAGTGGTATGTTATCTGTATAGTCTATGGGTGATGGATTTATCTTCATCAATAAGATCTAAAATGAAATCTGCGTAATCTTGTTGTGCAGCAGTAAAAATAACAATTTCATAAAATTTAGACATATCCTTCAGAAATTGCTGTGCAAAAGGTCTAACTAAGAACTGGCCCTCATCTACTAACTATATAAAAAATCAATGATTACTTCTTAGTAATGAACCAAAGTCTCATCTAAATCTATGACTAAAGTGTATCTATTCGTCTTAGATAAATAAGGTATCTAATAACAATCTATCACTTCTTCATAGTCAAATTAGAAATCTTATGAATCCATTGTCAATCTTAACTATTCAATGTGAGATAACTACACAATAATGTAAGAAATGATACAATTTTTTGATATTCCTGTTTAATGAATTCAGTTCCCTAATGTAAAGTGATTCTATCTAGGTTTGCTAAGGTTTTTTCCAAAGAACTTAGTTTATCATCTGTTGAATTCTCAACACTAAGAAATATTGATAAATAAATACAATAATACTAGGAGTGAATAAACGACATTGCAATTTTTACGGATCAAATTGATATCTAAAAATTGATAGTTTTTTTATGGTCTGACTTTATTTAATCTGGCTTGTATCAATGCTCTTTGAGATTGTGAGAGAGTATTAGATTGATTGATTAATTGAAGATGTAAAATCATACTATTGTGAATATAGAATAACAGGTTTTTTAAATTCTATTGATCTTCTTCAAAAGTGTCAGATAATGCTTTGTATAGAATAACTAAGATGCCTATTCTCTCTAGATGTATTTACTTAGAGAGTATTTGTTAAGTAATTTTATCTTTTTCTTCCAATATGAAGTGAGATATTCGATTAAGATAATTTTTACATTAATTGATGACTTTCTTTTTTCTACTAATAACTGCCATGATGGTAAACACAATTTCTTCTAAATTGATGAGATTTTAAATTTATTCATCTGAATCATTTATAGTAGAACTTGTTGATTCATTTTTATGAGACTTTGATTCTTCAGTCTTATATTTTTAAGTATCTTTATTTTTGCAATTTTGTTATTATTTTTATTAATCTAGTCTTTGATTTATTTATTAGTAGATTTTTTTAATCTCAAAAGGCATTTAGTAAAGAATTTGAGGCGAAATAGATCGTTATGATTTATTTATAGATGTGTTGTCTAGTTATGATTTTGGACTGGAGGTTCTTTTAAATAATTGTTCTTGAGAATTTTATCTTTTGTAAAACAACTCTTGTAAAATTGCATGTGCTTTTGGAATAGATTTTTTTTTATCATTAAATGACTTATTTATTGGGGACTTATCTGCTGATTACTCGTAATTATTTCTTGATGATCGAATATCAATAGGAGGCTTATTAGTTTTGAGTTAATTGGAAGTTTTCAGTTGCTATTGATTGCTCTGCATTAAAATTATTTTATTAAATATAGAAATTTTTAATTAAAATATTATAACATCATCAATCATCTTTTAATTTTTCACATTAAGAACCATCATTTTCGACATTTTTCATCATTTGTTCCAATAAGTATTCTTGTCTTTTCAAGACTTTGGTCACCCATCCTGGCTCATCAGGAATCACAGTTTCAATTATAAACTTAAGCCCAATTACGATGTGTTCTGCAGCAATAAGAAGTAAGAAATTTCGAAGAGCTTGCTATCATATTAATGCTATTATTACTGATGATTCATCTGTTTCATCTACTTTGCCAATCAAATTATTCAATTGATCTTAATTTGCATAGTAAATTGTCAAACAATTGATTATTGTACCTATGTATCCGACAATGAGTAATACGCTATTCCATAATCCAATTGATTTCTTAGCTTCAGCTCTGGGTCTCTTTACAAAAGTAATGAAACCATAAAGGAGACCATCTAAATTGATAATATTAAATAACAAAATAGCTATGGGTATTAATTGCGAACTGGCACTAAACATAGTAACCATGCAAAATTGGAGAATCTAAAATATTCAACAATGCCTTACAAAATAAGTAAATTGATCAACATGATTGGGAGTAGGAATCATAATCTTATTCTATTCAACTGATCTAAGGAACTTTTTATAGCCCATGCTTTTTCTGTCAAAGCTTTTGTTGGTCTGATTTTGAGTTTCATTATCTAAAATACTGGCCATCTATGAAGTGTACATTTTTCTCCATTTCCCTTCCAGAAACAATTCGAATTCTTTATTCAAGAAGTACTTCTTAATTGAGTAATGAATCAAAGGGACAATCGTAAATCTAAGATAGTGCATGACAGCCCATACAATAGTAAATGTAATAGACATGATATTTAATTCATCTGCGTCTGGATCAATGACAGACTTGTAGAATAAACGACCGAAGGAATTCAAAAAAGCAAAAGAGAACACCTTTATTATGTAGACATCTTCCAATTCATTTTGATACTAATGATTTTCATATTCAAGTGACAATCTTGCAAAATAATTAAATATTTCGTTAGTAATTTTTATTGATATACCCAAACCAATAGAACAAAGTATAGTAAATTCAGTAGTGCGTTCTTTCAATTGAATAATATAATAGTAACCAATCTACTCCCCTGCAATCAATATTACAGCCAAAAGCACCAAAGGCGTGACTGATTTATAGTATTTCCATCTGTCTCTAGTAGAATATTTAATTTCAATCTTGTGAGTGACATCTTCAATCCAAAATTGTCCTTTGAATGATGGAATTGTCTATTTTTCTTCAGTCTCAACATGCATATCAAATTGAAACATCATTTCACTTTGTTTTCTCTTCCAAAATTCAAAGAAGATAGTTGCCCAAACAGCTAATGCTATAGTGTAGATTGGAACAAATAAAGAATTAATTTCATTTGTTGCATAGACATAAACCCCAAGCATTATGCCTGGTACAGCTGGAAGGAATAGCCAAGTGGTGAAAAAACTTAAAAAAACAAAAAAGAATCCCACTTCTGCTCCAAAATATGCTTTAATAGCACTTGGTGTTCTACATTAATTTGATTTCAATGATAATGGTTCTTTGAGTAGTTCCCATTTCTCTCTTTTCCATTAATTATAGATCAGTACCTTCTCCTCATCATCATGCAATGGGAAGTGATCTAATAACAATTTATCATGAAGGAACTAATCTAAATCAAATTCGTCATACAATAAGGACAAAATAATCTATTGATCATGATAATGATGAAAATTTTCATATGTCTCTGCTTTATTTCTGTCGAATTGACAAATTATCCCTTCCTTAAAATTATAGATCATCATCTTCTCATAATCAGCAACTAGATTTTTCAATTCATTTGAGACCTTAATAATATAATAGAAACAAGATTCATCATAAGATCTTATAGGCACTGCCTTAAATTTACCTACCTTCACTTTAGTCTTAATATTGTCCAATTGCTATTTTACTAAATTTTCACTTGCATTAGTTCCGACCAGTACATATTTGTAACCACTTTTAATTAAGTTCTTCTCTGTTTTCAATAATGTTTATCTTAATTCCTTAATGGCTACTGATCTTGAAGATGCAAAGGCTGTTTAATTTCTAAAATTATATAAGTGATGATCTGCACCTATTTTAATTAAGTACCTCACAATCTTTTCATGTCCCTAAAATCAAATCAATATTATGTTTAATACTTATTCAACTGCAATATGTAGGGCTGATTACGGCTTTTCTATTGTCATTATGTTGACCAATTTCTTAACATTAAACTTTTTAATTTAATTCTCAGATTCAAAAAAGAGTTCTACCAATTTATCATGTCCATGGTAGGCAGCTGCATGAACTGCATTTCTTCCTTTATATGAAGGAGCAAATGGAGAGAATTATTATTTTAATAATGGTTTCACCAACTCCAAATCGCCTAAAACACTTGCCCAAAACAAGTAATTCAGACCAACCATTTCATACTTGCGTCTGTCTACTGTATCCTTATGTATCTCTTCCTAATTGAGTTCAAATTCGCTTTCCTCCATATTTTCATCTAAACTTTTTAACTACTGAATATGTTGCTCACTCTTGAAGTAATGAGCCAAGAATTTAACTATTAAGTATTTGACCACCTTTTTCTGAGTCTCTTGATCTTTCCCTTTCATTAATGCTACGTCAATTGGAAACTATTTTCTATCGTTCTTCTTCAGCACTATCTTAGAATTATTCTTACTTAGATTAGGATTTTTCCATAATAACAACTGGGTTAACTTAAAATCACCGTAAAAGCAAGACCAATGCAATGGATTATTTATATAGTCTTTTAAATATTCGCCTAGCGTGGCTCCCCTTTATAAAAGTAATTTAGCTATTTTGTATTTCGTTTCTGCTATCAATTACTTATCCCTGGGTTTAATAGTAGATTCATCAATGTCCTAATTGTATCCTCTTACACAAACCAACATAAGAGCTGAATTCCCTATTCAAGAGTTTAGAAAATAAGATTATACCTTAGTTATCCTTCGAATTCAGATCAAGGCAATGAAGATCGAGAAAATACTCTACAACATCGTAATGTCCTCTATAAGCAGCCTTTATAAAGTATTTATTTACATAATGTAAGGCATTTCTTCCATAATAATCAGATTTCTTACATGCATCTTAAAGGTGTTTAGAAGTTAATGAATCCTGCTGTTTTGAAGTTAAAGAGAGCAATTGTTTTTTAATAAAATCCAATTTTCCATCTTATGCTGCCTTTGATAATATTAATCATTGTTTATTACCTCAAGAAGGTTAATTTCTTCATGAACAAAAAAATGCATTTAATTTAATAATATAATCAATAACTAAGCATCTCTTATCCCCAGAATCTCATAACACAAATTTCCTTCCTCCCTTCCCTTATGTTCCAACAACTATTCTTAAATTCTCAATTATAAATTGAAAGGTTCGACATTCTAAATTTATTCTTTAACTCCTATTATTTAGAATATTTTCAATCTTAAAATTGTAAATCGTTTCAAGACTTGACCGTAGATAACTAATTAAAATCAAAAAAGTAATTATGAAGTTTATAGGAATAATTAACTTAAAGCCATTAAAATGTTAACAGAGAAAAAGCTTTGCTCTCATTAATGCATTTTCTAAAATATCAAAACAATATATTCTGTCCTTATAAAATTATAGAAATTTACATAACAGTTTATTGTTATTTGTTTCACTTCTAATACTTAAGTTAAACAATGTCAGATAGATAATTAAATTAAATCCTTATTCAAATATCTATTTTCTTATATATTATTGATTTCATCCTGAGGCTCATGTTTTAAATAAGATATTATTATAAATATTATTATTTATTAAAGTTTAATCAATTATTTTAAATTTAGATTGTCGCACTTATTTACTCTTTTAGATACATATGTGAATCTTCATATTTTAAATTGCAATATTACTTTGCTACCTACTAAAAATTGTATTAAATTTATGATTATTTAATATTTTATTCCATCAAAGACCTAAAATATAAATCATTTATTGGCAAAATCTAAGACATTTCCTTTAAGCTTTATTCTCTAGTTTCTATCGCATTAAATACTTTTATGAATAGGATTTCATATTTTTGCAAAAACTCAATAATATTTTTAATCCCATTTAACCTTATTTCAACATTGATAGACCTTAGAAATAAAGAAGAATCTCTGAGTTCTATCAATTATGATTTCTTTTTAATAGACTCCTAAAATTAGGATAAATTACTTACTAATGCTTTAATTTCTCTTGAGATTTAAAGCATATTAAATATTATATATTAAAAGTTCCGTTAATGGAATAAAATATTTCAATCAAATGTCCAATTCATAGAAGAGAATTAATAGTAACAGGATGTATTAATCCAAATTGCAATCGTTCACCTTTGATTTGTCAAATGTGTCCAGACGCTCACTCTGAGCATTATTCAAATATAGTTCAAATTTCAGAATGGCTTTAGAAAGTAGCCAAGACTATTTAAGAAGGCTCGAAAACCTTAAAATAGATAAAAGATATCAATTAAATTGATTCTGTTTTAAAGTGGTGTGAAGATAACGAGATGCATCTCAAAAAGGTTGATGAACATTGTAAAGCTTAGAAGGCTTTAATTAATGAAGATTTCAATTATCTGAAAGATCTTTTTGTAGAAAAATGCAATTAAGCATAAGCATAATTAGAATAAGATATAGAAGACTTTTATACAAAATATAAAGAATAATTTAAAATCTGTAAACTGATTATGGATGACTCATATATTTTATAGAAATAATGTAATCCTTATAGTAATGTGCACAACTTAATTTATAAATTACAGTAATCAAATTCAAAAGAAGCTTAAGAATTGATTAATTCAATTAGAAAATTAATTAACAAGCCATATGATCCAATAGAAAATATCAAGTAATGTGCAGAATCAATAACTGAAATGACATATAACCTTCCTGTGTTTGCATTTTAAGATGGTGTAGATAGCTTCGTAAATTAATTGGCTGATTAAATACACAACCATTTTAAAACAAAACTAAACATTACCTTGCCCAGAAAGATAGTGTCACCCATAAAATATTAACCCAAAAATCTTCATAAATAGTATTCTTTGCCAACTGAAAATATGACACACAATTACAACAGCAATTAAAATGTATCGAAATCACCCCGTATAAATCAAAAACTCACGTTTTCTCCTTAAAATAGCATAGCTATGCATTCAAAAACTATAGTAGGGCAATGTAGTGATTTTACATTAAAGCCTTTAAAAAAATATTAATTAGACTTTAATGTATCAGCAATTGAAGTTATTACTCCATAGATATTTGCAATGACATGTAGTAATGACCCTCATTTGAGAGTGTTTGATACAATTTAAAAGCGAATTCATACATTGTCTACTCATATAACTCCAATCATATAATTACACAAATCAATTGATTAGGTTGTTCCATTACAGTAACATAATAACTCTAAACCATCAACTTATTTGTTTACATTATCAAATGAATAGTTAGTTGTCTGGGCTTTTGATTTTACTAATTCATCAATGATTGTCCCATACATCTATCATAAATATCTATTCAACAACTAAATAACATAAACTTGCTATTTATAGGATAACTCTTGTCTTGTACTTGGAGATTAAGTTGGAACTGTGGAGGTGTATAACTTTTAGTCATCTAAATTATAATAGAATGGCATCAAGGGAAAACATTAGAAACAGATATCATCTATTTTATTATTAAAAAAACATGATAAGTTTATTTGTAGTTCTTATGATTAAACATTATCAATTTGGAAAATGTTATACAATCAGTAGTCTTTTGAAAATACTTATTGTGAATCAATCATTTAATGTGGGAACATGCTTGGATAAATTTAAATAATTAATTAGTTTTAATCAAATCCAAATTTATTGTTAGTTGGAAATCTAGAGGGTATTATTGTATAATAATTAAAGGGTCATTAAAGATTGTCAATTTGATGAATTAATGTGTCATTTTAGAATCGGACATTCAAAAAAATACTAATTCGATCTGTGATTTTATTATAGCTGAAGATGCCAATAAAGGTATTTGAATAATAATATCAAATAGAAACAATATCAGTGATAACATATTTATAGTCTAGTAAATCTCTAAGATTTTGGAGATTGTAGAACAACGATATGGGTTGGGCTTAAAATGAATAAAAGATTGAAGTTGCTTTATCATTATCTGAGAATATGATCAGATCAAAACTTCAATTAGTTTAAATGCCTTCCAGTACTTAAAACACTGTAGTTTTAATAGCTAATGAAATCAACAAAGAGTTGTTAGTTTATGAAATTATTAATAAATAGTGATTATTTAAATATCAATTATATGAATCAATATTTTTAGACTAGATAAGTAATAAATTCATCGAATTAGATTTCACCATCTCCATTTCCATCACATGTCTATAAGATTTCTTACCACAATTGATCATCTATTCCTCCCATTATTTCTTATAATTCATCCTTACTGATTTAACCATCTCCATTCTATGAAATTAAATATTCAATTATTACTATATCAAAAATTTTGAAAGTTTGCTCTAGTTTAATCTTATTCAGCATTTTCTCTTATTAACATGCTGCAGACACAAAAGCAGTAAAATCTACTGCTCCTGTTTTGTTGATATCAACTTTCTCAAATACTTCTTCAACCATCTATTATGCTTTCAGTGGATCATATTGTTGGCTGTATACTAATCTATTTATAATTATATACCAGCTAACAGCTCTTCTTTACTCAATAATCCATCTCCATTTTTATCAATAGACTTAAATAGTGTTATTAACTCCTCCTTTTCTTAGTTTGTCATTACTTAGGTAGTAATGAATTACATTAAAGCTGTTCTTACTTTATTTTTACTCTTTATATATTTGTTATAATACGTAAAAAGATTATAAATTTTTAAGTTATCGAGCATCAATTTTGGCCACATGAACATTATTTTAAATCCATGGATCTTCATATGCCTATTTTGCTGTAATTCTCTTACTGGGTTCCTTTTCCAACATTTTCTTAATTAAACTAATTGCCTAATCTGAAATTCCATTCCAATTTTCAGCTAAACGGATTAATATTTTATTTAAATTACTTGGAAAACTGTAATTGCCAATATCAATTTTTAATAAAATCTCATCAGATTATCCATCAAATGGTAATTAACCACTCAACATCTAATATAATATGACACCGCATGACCAAACATCACATTTTTCATTATATTTCTTTTTCAAAACCTCAGGGGCTATATAATAAGGCTGAATTATTAAATATAGAAATTTACAGTTCCTAATTTCTTTGTCAAAAATTAATTCTCTTATATTCGTCTTGATGTTCCAAAATCTATAATTTTTAAATTTGAGTCTTATTTCATAGATTCTAATAAAATATTTTCAGGTTTCAGATCTCGATGAACTATCTTTCTCTCATGGCAATACATCACTGCAGAAAGAATCTATTTTAGAAATTCAGCTGCAATTTTCTCAGTAAATGTCTTATACTCAGAAATTCTTTACAATAACTCACCACCTTCTAAATATCTAAAAATATATGCATTATAATACTCGGTAATTAAGTAGAAACTATTTTTATCTTGGAACAATTCGTATAATTTGACAATATTTGGATGATCTAATTATTTTAGTATTGTGACTTCATTTAATAAGTTTTCTTCGTCCTCTTTTACAATTTTGTCTTTCTTTATTTGCTTCATAGCTCTTCTTTATCCTGTTTGCTTATGAATTACTAATCGAACTTCTCCATAAGCGCCTACATTATAATTCGACCATTTACCTTTTCCAAGAGATTTTTCAACTCTATAATAACTTGTAACTTAGCCTTATTTTAGTGTTGCAAAATTGTCTGGACCTACTTCAAAGGTTTCTTGCTTTTTTGTGGTAGGTTGTTTTGAAATTTCTTATTTGTCTTGTCTTGCCTTGGATCGGCAAAGGCCCATTAAATAAAATAATTATTTTAATTAATCAAAGAATCAGGATTATTCAAAAGGATGATGATTTATGACAAAATATCATAATTTTATTTTTCATTTTATTAAATGTATTATCAAAAATTGAAAGAGTTAATTAAAATTATTATTATATTTTTTTAATTAATGCTTTATGGCAATTGACATAAGAAAAGTATGTAATAATCTTGATGCTTTAAAGGAATCTTAGTTTTTTAAATAATAATTTAATTATTAAAAAATTATTGTTGAACTCTAATCTTCGTGATTATGTTCAAATAAATAATGTATTAAAGTGAATATTATAGGGATTTCGTATTCTTTAAGATCTGAAAACAGCAATTTGATTATTCTCAATGAAAAGATATGTGAATATTTTATTAATCAACAGTATTCACATTATATAAAATACATTGAGATGTATTCAAATAGTCTTTAGATTATTCTTGTTCTGAGTATTAAATAAAAGATATAAGTATTTTAGATACAAATCAAATGATTGTTTAATTAATAAATATTATTTATTTTGGAATGTGGTATAAAAACTTTTCAAAACAAAGTTGGAATCTTCGTGTTTGGAGGTACATTTAAGTTCTTATCATAATTAGAAAGGCTAACATATTGTTCAATTAGGATGATATTGGTATGTTCAAAACAAAAGGAGTTTTGAGATGGAAGGACACTGTATTTAGAATGGCAAGAAGTGAAGCTTGTGTAATTAAACTTATTATATAACATTTAGCTTAGAGGATTCAACTTTTTTTTCTTTGCTGGTATGATTGGATCATTCATTTGGGTTAAATCAAACTATTATGATCCAAAATATGTTGCACCCAAAAAGGTGGAAAGCGAAAAGGAATTGGAAAGATTAGATGCTGAAGCTGATAAAATATTGTTCAAAAATAGATTAGAGGCCTATTCAAGACCACATAGAAGTTTGGAAGATCTGATTGCATTCTTATCAGGGTATGAGGGTTGAATTAAGCTAATAATAGTTCAAAGACCTTTGATTAGTTTGACTGATTTCATCAGTTATGAAGAGAGCAATGAATAACAGTATGGATCAATAAAATGGTTTGGATTCTTGGATGGATGACTAAGATTAAAGAATGCTTAAATATTACCAAAGAAGTATTGGACGTACCCCAAAATTTGATTGATTTTGCAATACGATCACATAAGCATATATAAAATATCTATAGATTGATAATTATAAAATGGAATTAATTTTCTTATGAGGTAATGATTGAGAATCAGAGTTATTAATATTGAAAATCTCGATAATTTTTAACATTTTTATTATTTAAAATTCAAATAAGATGGACCTTTTTGATTAGTTTTAGAGATTCAAGACTACCTTGAAGACTCAAATTGAGCATCGACCTCATTCTCAACAAAGGAACACTGTGCTAAAAACCAAATTTAATTAATCAACACTTTAGACATAATAATAATAATAAGTATAAGATGTGCAAAGGAAAAAAACATTGTAACATCATAGAAGTTCTACTCTATTTAGTGCTGCTAAAGAGAATTAGGATAAAGTGTAAAAGCAACAGTAACAATAACAAAGATTTACAATGGTGCACAAATAGTTGCCTGAAGTATTACCGATGTAATAGATATAACAGATGTCCGATATTTTAATTGATTGTAGTGAGGGTTAAATAAACTCGTTATCAACCTAATATGTCGAAGAGTTAGTTAAATTATCAAGCATTATTATGTATAAAGTGAAAAATTCAAAATTCTACTCATGATAATTACACTCTCTTTTATTATTATATTTAAAATTCACTTAATCTTTGAGCCTCATGCAGATTAATTTCATAATTCATACACCCTTCGCATTTGCAATCCACTCCACATTTTTTGCCTGCATTATAACATTCGCAGTATTTTTTTAAGCATTTACTTTTTTTGCAAAAGCATTTAACTTCATCATTCAGATTTCTGTTTATTTGACTTCTTGTCTATTCAATTAATTCTTTATTCTATTCATTATTACAGCAATCCAAACATTCACAAGTCTCTCCACAAAATTTACCTTATTGGAAACATTAGCAATAAAATTTCAGACATTATGTCTTCTTACAAATACACCCTTATTTAGACAGTGGTATTAACGACAATCGATCAGGGATGATTTCACATTATTTCTCCAAAGTCAATTTGTTAATCAAATCTTCAATTGCATTTTGATTATTTGATTCATCTTGCCATTCAAACACAATTTCTAATTCATTTTCTTTTGATTTTCTATTTGATATATTGGATGGTCTGAAAGAGGAGTTTCTTTGTTCAAGACTTTGCTTTTCACTCTTCTCACTTTTTTCGCTCTTCTCACTTTTTTCCAAACTGAATTTTTATTATTATTCAAATGTTTAACTAAATGTTAAACTATTTTTAGGTTATTAATCATTGATGTTATATCCAGAAAATCGATTAAATAAATTAAAATTAGATCCTCTTGATTAAAACGATTAGATAGATTACTTTTATAACATTTGGTCTTCCACACTCATCAATGATCTAGATTAAAATCTAATAAATACTTTTTTTCAACAAACTCTTCATCCTATTGCTTTTATTAACTTTCTCTATCCATTAAGTATTACATCCTTGGTGCTTATGAATTCCTTTAAAATGATTATCTCCCAAAACCACTTTCAGCCAAATTCCATTCGTTAAAGTTATCATCTAGTTCGTTCCCTCCTCTGACAAAGCATATATTATTTTATTTCTTATCACTTCCTCTCTCCTATGTCATTATAATATATTATAATGAAAAATAAAAATATTATACAAAATATAGAATCTAATTATAATTACCTCTTATCTCATCGAAATCAATATATTTTATAAACCTTCCAAATTTAATTTAGAATATTATTACCATCAAATGTATAGATTATATAAATAATTAAAATTTTTAATGAATACTAGAGCTTAAAAGAAACAGAGTTTACCTTCACAAATTCCTACAGGTATGAAACATAAGATAGTTTAATGGATATAATAAGCTATTTTATCTATATTTTAAATTATTTATTTATTATTTAGAATCAAAAACTAAGTAAGAAGAGCTAATTGGGGAACCAGTCATTTCAAAAGTAAATATTGATAATGATGAATCTAATAACAAGATTACAAGTCTGAATTTTAGATTCAACCCAGGCATTAAAAAACTATAAATAACTAAAACATATCCTAATGAGAAAAGTGGTAATTGCATTATAAATGTCAGGTTTTAAGGCTCAAAAAGCTAGGAATAAGCCTATTGTTTTGAATTTATTAAATTGTATTAAATAAGGTTATGATGGTAAACTCTATGATGTCATGGATGTAAATACTTATATTTAATTGGTGAGTGACAAATAATAATCTCAAAACATTCCTAAATCTTTAAAGTGTAAATGTAACAAATCTATGTGTTTAAAACAATATTGTGATTGCTTTGCAAATGGTAATATGTGTACTACTCAATGTTAATGCCAGGGGTGTCATAATACTGAAGATTATAAAGAGGAAAGAGGTGAAGCCATAAATAAATTGAAATTGCAAAATTAATCAATTGAGGTATTTAATTAATAATATTGATAAGAAAGAAGTACCTGTTGGAATTAGTTGCAAATGCAAAAAATCGAAATGCTTAAAACGTTATTGCGATTGTTTTCAGAACAATTAGAAATGCCATGAAAGTTGCCAATGTTCTAATTGCTCAAATTAACAGGAAAAAGTAGAGTAGGGAGATCAACGATTAATGATGAATTCTATTTCATAATTTGATGAAAACAGCAAATTGCCAAAGTCACCAATAGTGTATAACAGACAAGGGTTTTTCAGAAGAAATGATAGTATGAACTATTCGAATTCTTTTGGATACTCCAGAAGTATATAAAATAATTAATTAATTAGGAATGCTCGTACAACATGATGGACCATACTTTTTAAAGTAAGACTCGTAAGGTTTTAATTGAATAACATAATAACTGTAATTATAATTCAATTTTGTAAATTGTATCACGGAAGACTCTTTCTAATGTTCTCGAGGGTTTATGTAATATGATTGACAGAGGTAGTGAGCTATAGGATTATTGAGTTAATAATACTTGCTCAGCAGTGCTTTTGATGCCGTTTATCTGAGCCTCCAATTAATTGAGTTTTTCTGGGACTGCTTTGAGAGTGACGGCATTTCTTTAAATAGCAGCAAAATCATCTTCAATTTATTGCATTTGAGGTACTTAACATTGACCCATTGTATAAAAATAAAATTTAATTATTAATAAATAAATTAATTAATTTAAGGATGTCAATGAGTGATTAGAGTAAGACAGAAAATCGGATATTTGTAACAGGATATTCAACAAAAGATAAAAATGAGGAAGATATCAAAACTCTTTTTTCCAAATATGGAGAGATTAGTGAATTTTCTTGGAAGGGTCGTTTTTGTTTCATTGTATTTTAGCATATATTATATTAGGCTTATTCAAAAGCTGAAGAAGCTACAGAGGCAGTGAATGAAATGAATCAAAAAGACTAAGATGGGAACACTTTCGTTGTTGAGATAGCCAGAGCCAAGAAAAAGGACGGTGAATGCTATCAATGCGGCAGAATAGGACATTTGTAATTAATATGATGATATGAATTAGTGCTCGTAATTGTAGATAAAAAAGAAGATCATCAAGCTCAAGTTCAAGGTATTTATTTAATACTAATTAGACGTCACAAAAGAAAGAGTAAGAAATATAAAAAGAGAAGTCCCTCCAGCTCTTCAAGTTCATCATCTTCTTCATCTTCAAGAGACAGGAAGAAGAAATAAAAAACTAAAAAAAGAAAATAATCCTCATCTTCAAGTGATTGATTTAAAAGAATTTGGATATATATCAATGATTAAAAATTATCGTGTTTTTGTTGTGAATAAATCTAATCATTTTTTCAATGCTTATTCGTTGTCTCTTAAAATTTAAAAGGCAGTCTTTAACGAATTCAATTGTCCTTCTCTCTTACTAGCATTGGATCTGAAATTTGAATCATATAAATCTTTTTGAACTCTTGTCGTTTCTAATAATTATTAAGTATTTTCCTAATTCAAAGTCAACTGTTTATTTCTTCTCTATACAATATTCTATATGTCAATAAGTGATTTAAGCATACCAAATCATTTTATCTATTCTTCAAAGAGCTGCTAGTCTTCTGATTGTCCTATCCTAATTTCTCTCTTAAAATTGACACTTCATTAATTAATGAGTTAAAGTTTTGTTCTGCAGCTGTTTGATTTTCTTCTCTGAATTGTTAACCATCCTTAATTGATGCAATTATTTATTCAATTAATTCAATAGCTTTTCTAGCTGTTACTTCATCAAATCTTAATTACCCAATACATTTACTTCACAGATAAATCTAATAATAAGGCAAGAGGATGTTTATGTCCTAATTCTTGTTTTACTTATTTTATTATTTCTTATTTTTCAGTTTCTTCAAGGAATGAACCTGAATTTGAAAGAACAGCCTTAACCAATTTATCATGAATTTCTTCTAGAGCTCCTAAAATCTTTTAAGCAGCAGTCTAATTAGTTTATACAGACTAGATCTCCTTAGCTCTATTATCGCGGATTTACTCTTCTCTTTAATTTATTGCTTCTAATTGTTTCTTAATGGAAACACTAGTAGATGTAAGTGTTGAAATTGATTATGTAATTTCTCCTATTTTTCGATTTGTTGTTTAAACTTCATTTTATAATGATGCTAAATTTGCCTCTAATTATTCTATGCTCTATTAAAATGCAGCCATTCTTGAAGCATATTCCAAATTTGCAGAATTAATTTATCCAGTTAAATCATCGATCATTTTTTATAACAACTCAAAAACACGATCTAATTATCCGCCTGCCAAACTTAATTCCAACATATCAACTAATTGTGAATTATATTCGCTTTATTCTAATTTTTTTCTTAATTGCTAAAGAGCAGGACTTTCAGTAGCAATTGCCATTGTTACTAATAACAACACTAATAGAGACTTGTGTGACATTTAATCCGTTTTTATATTTATTATTAATAATCATTATTGTGGTTTTCTTTAGGGAATCTATGCAGGGGATTATTTTATATGTTATTAAGGCGAAGCATACTATGTTATATAATATAATTTCTTACTGATTCCTTTCTAATACATGGTGTTGGATGAATGGCTTCCAATGTTAATTCACCATTTTGTCTTAATAACAATGCTCTGTCTTATTCACTTAATTTTTAAAGTTTTGGATTAGCTTTCAAGTTTCCTTAAATTTATTTAAATATCTCAATTAAATTATCTTTTTTATATTGAATAGTTGCCTTTCTTATTGGTGATCCCTAGATGTCTTTACTTCCTCTATTATTGAATATATTTTTATAAATACTTATGTTTAGCTGGTTAAATTTATTCTGAAGTTTTTCTTGAAGTTGACTTTTTTTCAACATACTAATAATTAAATAAATTAAAATACTGGACTCTATTGCACCTTTGGAGGCTTCTCGACATTTTTTACATTTTGCTCCTACTTTTCTAATGATTATTTTTCAACATAAATCTCTTTGGGTCCTGATGATGGAGTCTTTGTTTTTTTATCTTAATGCTCGACTTACTCGCTTCCCTTTCGTTCTTAACCTGATTATTTTCTGGGATTTGGTTATTGCTATTGAACTGGAGGATAATATGGTTTGGCAGTCTTTTCTTATTATGTCTATGCTGCAACATCATCCGAAGCCTTTCTTATATATAAATTTTAGAACATTTAGTTATCTAAATTACTAAGACACTATTACTGTATTGATATAAGTATTGTGCTTGATTGTTGAATCCCAAACTCTTTGTCAGTGATTGATACACATTTTCTGGTTCCACATATGCCTTTAATGGATCTTTTGGATCATTCACTGCTTAATCTAAAAACTTCAAGCCAATTTCATCATCCTTAAATGTCACTCTACAACATCCGCCTTCAAATGATATCTCACACTCAACGTTCTTCAGATATTTTTCAATCAGGTAAGCTTTGAAATCTGCATTTGTTTAGCTGATTTCATTTATTATAATATTCTTTGTGTGTGGAGGTATCAATAGAGTCACATATCCTTCATGCAATTTGCAATTTTTGCATTGCTTCAAAGCCTATCATAGATATATATTATCTTACTCCTAAAATTTCTTCTATGGAATGCTTTGCTAGCGAGTATTCTTTTTGAAGTGCCACTATTGGTAGATTCAAATTTGGGTCCAAGTTTTTTAGAAGGTATTTATTTTTCTCTAGGTGTTCTCTTGTGAACATGCCATCTAATTGTTTTATTAAATCAGTCATTAAAAATTTAATGAATAAATAAAATATAAAAAATACTACGTAATGGCCTTCTTAAACTTACACTTTAAGAATATAATATAAATTCAATCTTTAATCATTTTCTTATTTCTAAAAAAAAAAGAAACTTTTAAGAAAGACAAAAGATTGTTAAGAATTTATTATTAAATTAATATATTTTAATTAATAATTTATTTTATAAATCCTAGTGTCTATATAAAATATTAATATGCTTATCAAATTTCCCTTGTCATGAAATTTTCTATTTGTTTATCTAAAATTGACAAAATATTTATGAATTTCATTTCTAAACAAACATTAGATTGGAAGTTTGATAATACAAACTTTATTTTAGTTTAAATTATGAAATTATCTATTCTATAGATGCAAAAGATAATTAAGAATAATCAATTAGAAATTGAAATCTAAAGGGAAAAATAAAAACTATATAGGCTTAAAAGAAGTCTCCAATTTATCATAATTTAGAAATAAAATTCTTTCAATTTATCAAATTTATATACTGTAAGAGATTATCAATGAAGATTTATAGATCTCAAACATAATATTTCCTAGTAGAAATTTTTGATTTTATTATTTGTTTAATGTATAAAACTAAATTATTAACTTATATCTTTTGTACTGTCTTTATTTTTAATGCATTCTATATTTAATCTAAAATTGGTATTAGATATGAAAGACAGTTAATGTCTTGATATAATCTAATTTTACAATTTACAACCTTTGATTATATATTACCTTAAAACAAAATTACTAAGAAGGAGTTACTTATATAACAAAATAAAATAAAGGGTTCAAGCTATTTTGGATTGTTTTTAATTCCGATTTACCTAAATAGATTAATTTTTAAATGCATTTCCTATTAACTGCAATCTCTTTAATAATTATGAGCAGATTACATAAGGTTATTATAATAAAGACCTTTAAATAAGCTTAAGATCATATATAAATTCCTTTGATAATAGAAAAAATGAGACTTCATTTATAATTTGTACTTATAATAATTATTAATAAAATGTATAACTATAATGAATTAGATTAATTGGTCATTAAGGGGAGTACAAGATTTCAAGAAGTAAATTTTAATTAGCCGAGACTCTTTTAGCCAAAGCTGAATATTATCAAGTTAAAAGGATTTCAATAATTAGTAGATTTAATTAAGCAATAAGAATCGTTTTCGAAACATAATTAGATTCCATAAATTAATACTTAGAAAAATCTGCCATCAATTTTGGCTTATCCTCCTAAAGCAGAATTAATTACTACTTCAAAAAAAGAAATATCAATAAGAAAATATAGTGAAACAAGAGTTTATGGCAGAAAAAGTTTTACTGAAACTGCTGAGCCTCATTCTCTTGAGCCAAGAAGAATCAATACAATAAGAAACAAATTCGCAATTAAAAAGGCTTTTCCAAATAAATAAGAAGAATAAAACATGTTTGAAAATCCTTCCGATTTTGCTACAATCCTAAGCTTCTCAAATTTATTAATGATAATTCCTTAAGAGAAGATAGTCTACAAGGCATTTATAACAAAAGGAAATAATGGATAACTTGTTAGACAATTAATAAAGTCTCGATCTTGGTGGATTTTACTTGATACACCTTAAACTGATGTGAATCTTTATTGGACATAACTCAGAAAACAGGGATTTTATAAGGATCTGATAACCCTTACCGGAAATCAGTCGACATTCACAAAAGGCTAGAAAAAATAAGTTTATGATAAGTTAAAGCTGAAGTTGGATGAAGAAAAGTATACAAATTTCGTTTCGAGTAATATTTTAAGAGTACATAATCACTTAGAAGGCAATTTCTAGATCTCAAATAAGAAAGCATTATATTATAATATGAAATCCTATTATGAATCAATAGGACAAGATCCATTTCAGTTCATACCATTGACATTTCATATTTAAGATGGTATTAAGGATCCTGTGTATTAGTAATTTGAAGAATATGCAAGAAAGAACAATATAAATGTATGGATAATAAAACCAGGGGAATAATCGAACAGAGGTAATGGAATAGAGGTAGCCAACTCTATATCTTAAGTCAAAAGACTTGTGTCTTATAAGGAATTGCATTCAAATGGTGTAAAAAAGACTTTTATTGTCCAATAATATATAAATAAGCCATTATTATACAACAAAAGGAAGTTCGATATAAGATGTTTTATGTTGATAACCTGTATAAATCATCAATTCAAGGCTTACTGGTATTAGGAAGGGTATATAAGAACGAGTTGCAAGGAGTTCAATTTGGATGACACAGACTGTAAATATACTCATTTGACTAATGATGCTGTTTAGAAGTACAGCAAAAACTATGGAAAATACGAAACAGGAAATAAAGTAAATGATTAATTTAATTTAAGGTCTCTTTTAATGATTTTTCTAAGTATGTTTAGGAAATCTATAATTTAAATTTTAATAACACGATAGAACAATTAAAGAGTTTATGCTCTGACATCGTCAAAGCTTCTTATTAACATCTAGATCCAAATCGCCATTTCTATACTTTTGAGTTATTTGGACTGGATTTTATGATAGACAGTGATTTCAAACCTTGGCTCATTGAAGTGAATACAAATCCATGTCTTGAAACTTGTTGTCCTCTATTGTCTAGATTGATAAATCATTTAGTCGAAAATACTATTAGAATTGCAATAGATCCAATGTATCCTGCTCCTACCAAGAAAAAACCACTGCCTGAATTCAAAAACAATTTTGAACTTATTTTCTATACTTCTCTCAAAGAATAATGTGGGAAACTACCAGAAATTTAATAAGATGATGACGATCTTGATGTAGATGATGATAATTGAATTAATATATATATTTATTTGTCATTCTAATTCCATACTCATTTTACTTAATTAATATTGTAATTATAGGTCTTGATTAACAATATCACTATCTGTTCTCAAATATAAAGATGCTTTCTTTGATAATGATTATTGATCTTATTGATCATCAAGTAGATCATGAAAAGGAAGTTAGACATCTTGAAATATATTGGATCCTTGTTGATTAATATCTGTCGCATAGAGATGTTTCTGTTCTAGACTCATTTATTGTGCAAATTACAAGAAATCGCCATTAGAATTTAGAGAATCTATGCAATTTATAATATTTTCATATACCAGCTTTCCCAAGTCCATTATATGAGGTTTGCATATAATGGTTATGTTATTATAAGTTATTTATTGAGTTTTCTTGCTCAAACTAGCTCTGTATAGTATCTAGTTTTTTATCTTCCTTTTATATTTATTCTATTAAATAATCTTTTCCTGTGAAATCACACTTTGAGTATTGTTATTGAGGAGTAATCTCCTTACCATCCGAATCGGATTCCTTAGTTTAAATATTATAGTGCTTCTTTATATGAGAGTAAAATCGATTCTTAACCGAGTTTTCCTTTATTATTTGATGAAAAGATTACAGGTCTTCCTATTAAGTTCTTTGATATTTCACTCCATCTTGGACCCAAACTTATATACAATTTATAGATTTCCTCATCTTCCCTCTCATCAAATGGATCATGATTAATAGTTTTATCTAACTTATTGATAAATCTTTCTCTTATCTATTTCCCACTTCTCCCAGTCATCTCGTTTTCAATTCTTTTCCAATTTTTTCCAAACTTTTAAATCAAACGTAACACCTGTCTATCTTCTTCTTCTGTCCATTGCTTTCTCATTTTAATCTTATAATAATCTCTATTATACTCTATTTGGATTTATTCTTTTCCATCTTTATGAACACTGCGATTAATTTCTTCCAGGTATTGCTTAGGCTACTTGTGTCCAATTTCCATTAAATTTTTCATAACAGTCTTACAACATCTGATCTTCTTCAGGTGTCCATATTTTTACAATTCTCTTCTTAATCATTGGTTCTGAGTCTGATGCATCCGAGTCATAGTAATCAGAACTATATTTCCGAATGCTTTTTTTGGATATCTAGCTCTGTTAGCTATTGGCTCTATATTCACATTAAATATATATAAATACCTAGCTCTTGTGCTTTGACTCATTTAAAATATAATATAAGTGAAAAATTAAAAATGTTATTTGATAAAAAAACTAATATTCAATAGAGGTTAAAAATTATTTATTAGTTATATGACTTTTTTAATTGTCATCAAACATTATATATTAATTCTTATAAATTACAATTTATTCAGATTAAATTGTCAAATGAATTTACTTTGAAAAAGATGTTTCCTGCTTTGAGTAATGGATTAAAGTGATGGTAGAGTTTTTTAAATAGGAGTAATATTTGCTTTAACTCTTGTAGTTATATGATACTGATTTACAAAATAATTTTTCTGTGTAGGAAGATATTACTTTAGTACAACTGGTTTGGGAGTTATTCTCTTTCTGAAATCTAGCTTTAGATCAACCAAGGGAGGTTCTACTAAAACTGGAGTTTGATTGTATTGAAACTGATTCTCCATTTGGGTTGACAAACTTGATATATGATATTTTTTGCTTTATAATTATTTTATTTTATGCATTCTAATTAAAGATTGCTGCTTGATTTAATTTCTTGTGTTGTATTTCATTATTCTCAATTCCGAATTGATTTGATGCTGGGGTCTTACTTAAAATGTATTCGACCGTTTCTCAAACTCACTTTATTGGCCACAATTAGAACAAAGACAACTCTTCCTTCTGACTGTATTGATCACTCTTTGCACTCTTGCTTCAATTTATTAGTCCTCACCAAATATTTGTCTACTGTACGACATTATCCTTTGAATTTTCCCTTATTTCAAGATATCTATTTTACTTAAAAGACTGATTGATCTCTAATCTCTTAAATAAATTAGTTGGTTTACCTTTGATCATTGAAATATGAATTTCTTTTGTGTGATGAGTGTTTTGGATATAAATTTGTTTCGGTTTCTTGAACATACCTAAGCTCATTATAGAATTAGAGAAATCTATTGATATTTTTTCCTTCTCATAACCTGCAGGTTTTTTTTGTTTTAAAATCAAATCAAGCAGTGAATCCTTAATTCACAATTTTATTGTACTTTTTAATATGAATCATCCTGAGAATTGCTTGAATCCATTAATTAATAAAATTTTCAATTTGTTATTTACATTTATATGAGTGATATATTTAATTTTCTTACTGAGTCAGTTTTAAAAAAAAGATTTTAGATTTATTTATTGTTGTTTGCCCTTAGAAAGGTTCTTTAAGTTGAAATTAATAAAATGAAATAAGAATTATTAATTAATGATATAATTTATATAGGTTCTATTTATTATTGTATGGTATTATATCATTTATTTTGGGTATCTAAATTTTTGTAGACATTGTTAAATCTCCAATTATGATAATAATGAGCAGGAGAATAGTCCGAATAAACATGATTGGGATCCTTCTTAGAATAAATGATAGAAGGAACGAATTCCTTTCCGACTTCAGTTCTGTCTTTGAGTAAAAGGTGAACACCATCATACATAGATAAGAATCTCAAATAAATATAATAAGTACTTAGTGAATCGACTTGCAAAAACAAAAGATTAATCTTTGAATTCATAAATCCAATGGTCTAAATAAATTTGAATTATTTACTTAAGGTATTATTATCTCCTTAAACTGAATGAACATCATGTCCAAAGCCTCTCACTTATGGACATACCTTTAACATTGGTAGAGTATTGGTTCCTAAGTGCACCCATCTTGAAAATTCAGGGAATGCAAAATGAGCTCTGCCTGTATACAGACCAGCTTTGACTGGCCAGAAGGCAAGAGAGTCAGCCTTATTAAATTAAATATTGTCATTTAAGAATTTGAGAGCAAATTTCCAATCCCATTATCCTGAAGGTAATTTAACAAGATTATCACTAAAAATAGATCTCCATTTAACACACTATATAGAAATAATTAAATAATTTAACCTCTATGTTTTCTTTGAGAAATGCCTCAATTTATGATTTGGTCATTTCTTTAGTATTAATTTCTGACAATTTCTTAATGAAGCCTCTGAATTCTGTAAATGCCTCATGATATCTTTAATCCATAGGTGAGTAGTCAATACAAAAAACACCTGTTGTTCTTTCAGGATGATAAGATCCAGCAGCTAAAGCAACCTTTGCACCAAATCCATGTCCAGCCAAAGTTGCCATGGTGATTTTGTTATAATACATGTATCTAACAACATCATTGGCCAGATCTTCAACATCGAATGAGTAATGTTTATCTGATGTACCAAAATTTCTTGGACTCAAAATATGCACATTTCTATAATCAAGAATCTATCAAATTCACACACTTTTCTACCTTATTGGCTGGGTCACTGAAGAATGGGATCCAATTTTCAACAGGATCACAGGCTTCAGGGAAGAAGAGCATATTTGGTAAATCATTATATCTGCCTTTGAGAGTGACTCCTCTTAAGACTACATTCTAGGAAACATTCTAGTGTTCACTAACTCCTTTGTGGAATTGGAGTGTACTGAATTTCCAAAGTTATCGAAATCTGTACATAGATATTTTAATTAATTAATTTAATCATATACTATCATAGCCACCATGTCTAAATCTCTGAACCTGAGTTTACAACCTATCTACACCAAAATGAAAGATTGCTCTTGCCTAAGGAATAAGAGTTTTGATTAAATGAATATGAGGGATGGCTTCCTCTCCCTCTATTTGCAATTTCTTACGATTGTATAGGAATCGGCCCCCAAAATACAAACAAATAATAAAAATGAACTTAAGAAACCAATGTGAACCTACATTATTGATATGATATCGATACTTGCATTTCTGCAGCCAACATGATGACGAATTTTGAATTGATCTATGCATTCATTATCTGGCAAGACTGTGAATGTGGCATCATCATCTCCACATTCAATAAAAAAATGAGCTTGTCTAGGTTGCATAACCCCAGTTGGTTATTTTGGATCCATACATAAGTCTCCCTAGGTGTACTTTACAACTATGCCTTTATTTATATCTCTTTAATCCAAATGTTCAAACGTTTAAGTTTCTACCAATCCAGCTACATCACAATTCTCTGTTATTTATCCCATTACTGCCAATGCTTCAATAGCTCCCACCTATCTATCATGACATCTAATTGGTTTAAAATCACAGAAATTGAAAATGTAAACCATACTAAACATCCCCATCCCACTTGTTTCGTCTTTCAATTGCCATCCTCCATCTTTATCTAAAGACTTCAAATTATAAGTGTATCCTGAATCATCTGTCCAAGTGCATAACTAAGATGAACCAACTCCCAACAAAAGTAACAGCATAATTAATGTCAAATTAGGACACATATGTTAATTTATTTTATTATATATATTATTTATCAATATATCAATAAGCTCTAATTGATTGTTATTGCATCTTAGCCTTTAAATCTTAGTTTTCACTTTCCAATTCTTGAATGTGTTTGTCAAAGTTATCCAAATCATCATTCAATTATCCAATTATATCATCTTGTTCCTTCAATTTATTTTCAGCTACTTAGTACTTGTATTTCAAGGCTTCAATCTGAGTTGCTAACATAGCTATCTTACCCTCATTATCATACTAAAAACATTAACTTCTTTATTACCTTAATCTATTCCAATTATTCAATTTATTATTATAATTATCCAATCTTCTCCTTCAATTATTAGTTTTCATGATCTCTCTATTGCAATTCATTCTCTAATTGTTATTGATTTATCAATTGTTCATTTACTAAATTCAATTAGTTTTAAAGGTCGTTCACACTAAATGTAAAATAAAAATTACCTAGCCTTGGCTTAGTTCAATTCATCTGACTTGGCTGTCAAAGTTTAATGAAGAGTAGAGTTTTCTTTCTCTAAATTTTGCACCTTCTCTTCAGCCTAATTTAAGGCATTATCCAAACTTTAAAGTTCCTGTTATAAATGTTCATAATCTTATAACTTTTCTTCTAATTCCTTTATTGTGTTTTAAGCTCCATTGTATTTTAACTTAGCTCTCTCTATTTCAGGTCCAAGTAATGCAACTTTATTTTACAATCCATAAACTTCATTATTCAATTTATTTATTTCATCATCCTTCTTCATTAAATCCAATTAATCTTGGTCTGCTTTCTTCTTCATTTCTGAAATTTATTCTGATAATCTTGTATTTTCTGGATCCAATGGCTCAAGTTATGCAACAACATTTGATAACTATTTAAATACATATTTAATTATACATCTGTATTTTAATTAGTTAATTCATCTATTTTTTCTTATTTATTTTTATTTAAATGTTTTTATCTCTCAATTTCTGCAGCCAACATTGCTATTCTCATATCTAGATTCTCCTTTTCCTTTGTCACTTTATCCAATTATAAAGTGGTCTTATCTAAATCTTCCTTTGTCAATCTCAAGTCTTAAGCTCTAAAATGGTTACAAATATTGATACTTTTCAGCATAATTTGTTTACAATTTTTAATAGTCCTTTTCCATTACTTCATATGCCTCTATTTTTCCTTCTAGCTCTTTTACCTTAGTCTAAGCCTCTCCTAACTTTTTGGCTAATTGTTTGTTTTCACCTTACAATTTATTGACTAATTGTTATAAATCATTAACTTAAGTTTATAATGGTTCAATTTAAGCTACCAATTATTCTAATTCTGCAATTCTCTATTTCAAATCTGCTATTTAATGCTATAAATCTTCTTCCATTATTTACTTCTCCAAAGTTATTGCTTTCAATTATTTTGTTAATTTATTGAAATTATCTGTTAATTCATCATTTATTAATCTCATCTAAATGGCTTCAGCTTTATAAACTTACAATGTCTTAACCTCATTATCTTTTTATAAATATTTAGCCTTCCATTACTCTAATTCTTCCTTCAATTAGGTAATCTCGTTTTTCAAAGACTCATTTTCTTATCTTACTTGATTAAGTTTAGTATCCAAAGTAAGGTTGAAACCTACTGCTTCTTTTAATTCCTATTCTAATATTCTGTCTTTAATTATTTTTCCTTCCAATTCCTTAATATACTTCTCTTGTTATTCAATTTTATTTTTCAATTGATCTAATTCCTTAGTAGCTTTCTTTAATTCATCAGCTGTCTTCTAATGCTATTATTATTCATTGAAAAATGCTTATTCCAATTTTGCAGATTAGAGTCTCTAATCATTCAATTATTAGACTACCAAAGAATAATTAGATTCCAATTATTATAAATTTGATTTTACTTGGAATAAGGTTCTGATTTATAATTCTTGTTAACTCAATTACTCATTTTAAAGATTGATTTAGTCATTATAATCTAAGTTCTATTTTGCCAATTTGTCTACTTGATTTTGTAACCTATTAGCCTTTTATTCTAATTAAGGAATCAATTCTTATAAGTGACTCAACTCATTAACCTTTTATTCTAAAGCCTTATTCTTCCTCTTAAGCTCTTCAATCTCTTTTATTAGGTTTTGTTTCTCTTATCTCAATCTCTCTACTTCATTCTTATAGATTTAGGATTATTGATCTGTTCTTAATAACTTCTTCTCTAAATCAGAAACTTGTTACATATATGTTGGCAATTTGATATTGAGTTCAGTGATTTCTTTACTCTTTAATGTGTTTTCTGCTTTTAACTTTTCAATTATTGCCTCGTATTGTTTATTTTAATCCTCAAACAAATGTGTTTCTTGAATCTTAATTTATAATGATCTGATCTCACTTTGTAATTTGCTTATTTAATCTTAATAATTTGTATTTAAGTCAGCCAATTAATTCTTTTAGATTGTAACATCATTCAATTTTCTTTCAAGACCCTTCAAATCAGCCAATTAGCGATCATTTTCTAAATACTTCTCCTTGTACTAATCAGCTAATTTCTAAAGAGCTTTGATTTCCTCTTATTTGCGGAGAATTTCTTCTCTCAATTCTTAAAGTTACAAATGATGATCATTTTTAAGAGTATTTATTTAGTCTTATAAGCTTTGAACAGTTTTCTTAAGATTGAGTAATTCAGATTCCAATTCTTTGATTCTGTCTTATAATTTTGCATTTAACACTATCTAGTTATCTAATTCTTGTTGTTTGTTCTACAATTAATTATTGAGAGTATCAATTTACTATTCAGCTTTTGCCAATTTCAATCTCAAATCTTCAATTTACTAAGATTTTTAATTTAAAAGAGTGTTATTTCTTTATAATTCAATATTAATTTAATTATCTCTTAAATTATTAACATTCTTCTATTATTGGATGTTCTATAATTATTATTATATTTATTAATTTCTTGAACTTAAATCAGAATTAATTTTAAGTGTCTATTCATACTTTTATTGTAAAACTTTCAATTAGCTTTGTAATTCAGCTAACCCATCAACTTATGATTATAATTATTGATTTTCAGCCTCTAATTAAGCTAATTATAAATTAAGTTGATCATTCATTGATTTATATGTTTCACATTATTAGAAAATCTTTAAATACTCTGTCTCTTTAGATATCAATTCTTTCAATCTTTATTCCAATTCAAAGTTTTTAACAGTCAAATCTTTAATTTACTTTCTCAATTCAGCAAGGTCTCTATCCTTCATATCTAATTAAGACTTAGCTCTATTTAATTCTAATTCAATTATTCTCAATTATTATAATTTTTCTTATAAATTCTACAATTCCTTTTCAACATTAGCTAATTGTTCACTCTTTAATTTGAGTTCTTTGTCTAATGATGACAATTCTGATAACAAACTTTACTTTTCAATTTATAATTCATTTATTTCCAAGACTTATTATCTTAAAGTGTTATTATCGTTTTCAACAAACTTTAATTTATTATTTAGTTTATCATAAGCTTACTGTTTATTTTCAAGTGTTCTGTTCAATTGATCAATTTAATAATTCAAAACACCATTTTACTTTTGCAAATCTGTATTGTAACTTCTGATCTGTTCCAATTGCTTTTTCAACTTCTCATTCTCTAGCAGTTATTTGGCTTATTCATCATTTTTTCTTTTTAATTCATCAATGACTCTTTATTTCTCTTAAATTTGTTGTTTCAAGCCTTGTAATTCTTTAATATGATCTTCAGCTTATTAGAGACTAATTTATTATTATTTATTACTTGGTCTTTAACCTTTCTATTTCTTATTGTTTTGATGCCAATTATTGATTCAATCTTTCGATTTCTTTTACCAATAACTTATTATTGTTATCTTAATCAGTTACTTGAACCTGGAGATCAAATACTTATAATTCTAAAGTCAAAGCCTTCTTTCTCCATTAATCTAGATCATTTAATATTTAATTAATTTAATCTCTCAACTTCTTATTCTCATCTTCTAACAAATCCATAGTAGATAATTGACCTCTCTTAACAGAATCCAAGTTCAATTGATTCATTCTTTCCAACAATTCTCTTAATTCCTATAATAATCTGTTTCTATCTTCCTCGGACAACTTGAATTTATCTTTCCACATAGCCAATTCATTTTCTAGATTCTTGATCTTGCTTTATAGTTCAAAGTTTTCAATTTCTTATTTTCTGGCATCTATCAAAAGTTCTTCCAATCCTTATAGTTTTCCTCTTAACTGAAAATTCAAATATATATTACCTCTAAGTTTTCATCTTGTTTTTTCTTGAGCAATTCTTGGAGTGCATCATGTTCATGTTAATTTAATTCAAGTTAATAAATTTTATTATCTCTCTAAGCAATTGCTAAGTCTTTCTGTTCATTTTCATTGATAAGTTGTTTAATTAATGCTAACAACTTTCCGTTTTCATCTGACAGTATCTTTAATCTCATCTCATACATTCCAGTCTATAATGTTTATTTTCATTAAATACTAGTTCTTCCAATCCTGTGCCACCGCTTGTAATTTAAAGAGCAAAGAATCTTGCCTTCCATTACTCCACTTCTATTTACAGTTAACTAACCTTATCCAAGTCAGACCCATCTCCATCTTACTTAATGATAATGGCTAACAATTATCTCGATATTCATTACTTTATTGGGGTCTAACGAGTGTGGGCACTATCCTTGATGTTATCATTGGCTATATGGATCCGTTAGGCATTTAGAAATACTCCAACTGATTTACCACGGCTGATTGTGTCATGGCAACAGGAGGCTAATGGATTAAGATCATTGATTACTGAATTAATTACTCTTACACTCGACCCTGCACTAGATCTCTTCATCTTGTCATTAGGAATGATGATGTGACTCTCAGAATTGACTCTCGATTGTTAATTTCCTTGTTAAGGTGATAAAAATCTGCCTCGATTTGGGGTTTATTATTCACTCATTTAGATTAAATTAATATCTTTGCAATAATTTTTATATCAATATATATATATACATATATAAATAATTAATTAGTACTTTAGGTTGCTTCTTGATTGATTGCTCTATCAAATTCCTTTGTTGGGGATCATGTAAAATTTCTAATTAAACTCATTCATTAAATATAAGGATTTATTTTATTTTCTAATATTTAAAGTCACTGAGACTTGTTAAATTTTATTTAGTAAATAAAAATTATGTCTGAAGAAAATATTAGTTAAAGAAATTAGTTTGAGCTTGTCAAGCATGCCAATGCAGTGAAAAGATTTGAGAATCTCGAGAAGCTTAAGTTAATTGATCGTTTAGAAACATTAGAGAAAATTAAAAAATCTAATGATAGATTAGAAATTAAGAAATTTATGTTTCAATTACAACAAAGAATGTTTGATGCACCTGATTAGTTTTCAATTATTAAATTTTCAATAGGTCTAAAGCTAATTTTAGAGAATATGCCTAAAGAAGTGTAGAGAAATTAAAGCGTGATTCGAAACTTTCTCGCTCTCCTGATTCACGCCAGACTACAGCAGCCGAGAAATAAACAGAAATAAAAGAAATTGAGGTTAAACCATTTAAAGTGTGATAGTTTTAATTAGTTATATATGATTGCAATTATCCATACAAATATTAATTAGTCTAATATTCATCTAACTGGATTAAATGATGATCAATTTTTATTATTCAAAAATTATAGAATAATTTTCATATGATTATATGAATGATCAAAAATAATATTTAAACTCTTCGTATTTTTATTCAGATATCAATTCTATTATTTAGGTCTTTAAAGTAATAATATTTATCTGGCCATATAAAATCATTTCAATAAAATGAAATTAATCATTTTGTAGATAGTTTTGAATATCTTTCTATGATTGATCATGTAAAATAATACAAAGATTATATGCAATAATTATTCAGCTTTAAGTCATCATAAATATGATCTTAAGAATATTTTTTTTTTCAAAACATTTACTTTTCTATTAATACTATTTTTAGGACTCAAAGCAACATCAAAATGAACACTTTTTACTGATTTTTAAACGTCTGATACTTATTGAAAATATTATGATTTATTATTGATAAGTTCTTTTTTCTTCAAAATGCTACGAATTCCTTAGCTTTAAAAAGAAGTAGATAACTTTGTAGTTAATGATCTTGTTTTTTTGGAAGGTTTTTGTTTGCTTTTACTCTTCAGGTAATAGGAAGTCAAATTTTCTTTTGAAATACTCAAAATATCAACATGAGGTGAATAAGATTTAGACTTTCGTTTATTTTTTGTGATTAGACGATCATATTGTTCCATGACCAAAAATAATGCAAAGTCATCTTCTTCTTGAAGAGGCAGAATTTGTTCCAAAGGAATAGGTTTTTTGAGATCTGCGACGAAAATTTGAAAATTGGTGTTTCTTTGTTCCATTTTTAGCTTCATTTCTTAAATTGGGTCTTAAGGAGTTTTGCAACAGCAAGGTTATGAACCCATATGTTCTATAAATTCTCTTTTATTTTTAATTAGGTTCTTAAAACCTTCTAATTAAAAATAAAGATTGTCAAGAATCATTCAGAATTTCTCATTTTTCTCAAATTGGCATAAGAAGCATAATAAGAATGATTATATGAAGCATTACAATATTTCAAATAAACTTGTCACTTTACTGATTAGATTTGTCTTATGAATAAAATTGTGTTATCAGTATTTCAAATTTAACCCAAAATATGAATGCATAGTTTTGATTATTCAACAAGTATGCTGTTAGAAATTGCAAAAGCAAATCTGTGAACAAGCTATTGAGATATTGCTTTGATTTTCTTTAGAAAAATTAATAAATATTTTTTGTTTAATAAATTTACTACTTGTTTGTAGTAATTATTATAACAAATAAAATTAATTTAATATAGATATAGAGTAATTACATTATTCTTTAATTTGTAATAGATTTTTGATATCGTGCTTCCTATTATTATTGTGTCTAGTATTTTAAATTTATTTAGCAATTGCAATTTACAAAGTTGGTTATTAAATGAATATTTGAGATAATGATTGAATAAGAATAATTATTTGTGATTAGAATGAAATTACATTTCATATACACATAAAACAAGTAGTATAATAACAAATCAAATATATGAAACTATCTTATATCCAGTTTACTTTGGTAATAGCTTATACTTTTATAACAATTTTTCTGAAAACCTAACTCTTTTTTATTATGAAGAATTTCTTTTTTCCTAATCCTAAATCACTTCTTTATTTTTTAGAATGCTCTTAGGTGGTATTTCAGGGAGAATGTTGTGAATAAATACACTTTTTGATCGATTTTTAATTCCATCAGTTTTGTTATTTGCATTTAAATCAGTTATTTCATCTAGCTCTCTTTGAGAATGATTTTTTGTTTCTTGCTTGTAGATCGACTCAACTATACTGATATTTGTTTCTACATCGTAATTCTATTTATCTTCATCTTAAGGGAGTTATAATTTAAGTTCATTTATAGTTTCAGTTATCACTGCACACTACTATTGATAAGTCTTCTTAGAACTCTTATTCTTAAAGCATTCTCTCTTAATTGTACGTTCTCTTAAATCTGTTATTGATGAATCACAATTTGATATATTTTTTGCACATATCTATTACATTTGCCCCATTTAAGTAATTATATTTATATAAATAAAGAAATTAATAAAAAGAAAAGAAAATCTTTAATTCTTACCTCCTCTATGATTAATAAAATTTTATATAAAATAAACTCTTATTCAAATATTAACATTCAGATTTTAGTATTACATTATAAAATGAAAGGTAAGAAGGAAACTTTATTATTTTTAAATCTTTTCTATAATTGAGATTCCTGAGTATAAGATCGTTTTTTCAATATACTGGTAGGCTTATATGTTGCGTGTGATTGTTTCGATCCATTGTTAATAAGTTAATTGGCACTTAAGGATCTGTTATATAGTAATTTTCTCCTTTTGAAGTGCTTTGCGTTCTTAATAGATTCTTTATTCATTTATTATTTATTATCAGCCGAGATCGAACGACTTCTAATATTAGAAGAGCAATGAAAGCTTGTGCTTATTGATTTTCTAATAATTAACTATTCATATGTTGCCATAATTTCAAGTAATGAAGCATCATCATCTTGATTGATCTGAACAGCTTAATTAAAAAGTGGTTATTTAAAAAAAGTCACATGCATTTCATTATCATTTATAGTATCTTATTACCCATTAGAATAAGATTGAGGGCAGCAAAAACAACTAGGATATGTTCCCATTTTATATAACTTAATTAATTTAAAGAATATTCATATTAACTCATTTTATATGAGACCAAAAAAGAAGAATATTCTTGAACTTTTTATATAATTATTAGAATTCAAGAATACTTTTCTATTCAAATCATCTTCTTAGTCATTTGATTAAAGTCTACTCTTAAGATACATGATAATTTTTAATTTAATCAAATTTTGTTACACAAAATGTCATTTGTTTTTACAAAATGAAAATTTGAATAATTTTATGCTTCCTGCATCTAATTAACTTTAATATTGCATTATTCGAATTAATTTATGAGCAGCACTTAATGGATATCTATCAAATCAAAAGAAAACTCAGCGACTATTATCCTTAATAAATTTAAAATTTTATTATTTTATAAGAATTTTCTTTATCTACAAATAGTATATTGATGGAGAGAATATTTTAAGTCTTTTAATAGTAAACCTAAAAGAACTGTTTAGATTAAATCTTCCCTTGATATTATTTAAGCTAGAAAATACTATGAAAATTTAAATTTCTTTAAAGTTTTGATTAATACAATCTAGTTTTTATTAACTCTTTTTTATTTATTCCATAATCTTAATCAAATTGTACTGATAATAGTAAACTATTTATCCATAAGGTTTATTATCTATTTTTGTTTGCTTTAACATTTTCATAACATTATTGATTACTAAGCTAAACATAAGCCCCTTAATAGGGTTTTAGTTTTTGTTAATAATCAAAGAAGGAGTTAAATGGGGCACAGCATCATGAGTAATAAGCTTTTAATATGAATAATAATAATAATAATTTAATATGCAAGGATTGAACAATTAAAACTACAACCCAGTAGTGAGACCAAAAACCTTGATTTGCTATATTTGTGGAAGAGAGTATGATACATTACTAAATTAGATATGGAACAAAAAGTTTAGAGATTCATCTTAAAACTTGTCAGGAGAAGTTTCTTATGGAGGAAGCAAAAGTATTAATTTGTATATTTCTTCATTAGAAGCCAAAGAATTAGAGGAGACCCTTGCCATAACCTCCGAAAGCAATGGGTGGAAGTGGAAATTATGATACTGAATCGTATAATGAGCAAGCATTTAGTGCTTATAAAGAATAGAGTCTGGAGAAATGCGCATATTGTGGAAGAACGTAATAGGAGTTGCATTATCAATAGATTCAATAGAGAAAGTTATCCTATCCATTTAAAAATTTGTAAGGCAGATAAACCCTTTAAACCACTTCCTGGATTTGTTTAGAATCCAAAAGAAGTCCAGTAATAAATGAATAGGGATAATGGAGGAGGTTAATAAGGAAAATCAAATTCTAATGGTTATTAGGGAGAATATAAGGCTCCCGTTCGACCAAAGACTTTGGTCTGCTACATATGCGGGAGAGAATATGGCACTAAATCTTTGGGAATCCATATACCTTAATGCAAAGAAATGTTTATAGTGTAGGAAATGAAGAAACCAAAAGCAGAGAGAAGGAACCCTCCTACTACTCCAAGAGGCCTTTGGGATTTATTAAATAAAGAGGACATTACCATGGAAGATATTATTGCATATAATAACGGAGTAATTTATACAATTTGATAATGCATAGGCATTTAATAAATACAACAAGGAGGCCTTAGTTGCTTGTAAGAATTGTGGTAGAACATTTAAACCAGAAGCTTTGGAACATCATATCAAGGCTTGTACTGCTGATAACCCTTTCAAAGCTCTAGATGCTGTTGAGGAGGGAGGTACAGTTGAATTAGTGCCTTGCAAGAAATGTGGAAGGAAATTCTTGCCATCTAGAGTTGAAAAACACGAAAGCAATTGTAAAGATATAAAGGGAGCTTCATAAACATAAGCAAATGGATTTTAGAAATAACAGTAGCAATAATAAGAATAAAAATAATAATAATAGGAATAAAAATATGAAACTCCGCAGTAAAATCAAAAATAATAATAATAATAATAATAATAATAATAATAATAAAAGTAAGTTTAAAAATAATAAAGTTTCTCAAAAACATCAGTTAATTTTAATGATAAGAGTTTGAAATGTAAATATTATATACATTATTTTTAGGTTATAAATGTTTTTAAGACTGTAATAATGTATAAGATTTGAAATAGCATGTTTAGAATTGTAAAAATTAAGGAACAAAACCTTAAATCTATGATGATTTAATATAAATACCAAATCCATCTTAAGCACTTCAAACAATTTATATGAGCTCAGTATTTGAGAATTTCTAAAAAAATGATAATAGCAGTTAGAAGGTGAATGAATAACCAAAATAATTGTCCAAATAATAATCATAACATTAAGAAAAATAATCAGTGTAAAATTAAAATAATTATTCCGATGAAGATCAATAGAATTAAGAAGATGAAATTGATTTAATTGCATGTGAAAAATGCGACAGAAGGTTTGCATAAGATAGAATAAAAAAACATATGAAAGTTTGCAAAGGCAAGAAGTATTTTGAAAAAAAAGAACATGTAGTTGAAGTTCAAAAGGCTCCTAAAACTGGATGGAGGAAATATCACGAAGAATTCATAAATACTGTAAAGTATAATAGACAAGTGAAAAAAATATAAGAGGAAGGAGGTGATATCAAATAATTGGGACCTCCTCCAGTATCTTCAAATAGCAATTACGTTTAATGTCCTTATTGTCAAAGAAAATTTGATCCAAGTAAGGCTGAAAAACATATATCTATTTGTTAAAACGTAGTCAATAAACCAAAAACAATTCAAGAAAAGAAATAAAATTAATAGATACCCATTCCATAATAATAATAATAGAAACCAAATCAATAAAACTATTCATAGTAACAAAAAGTTTAACAAACTAATTAACCATAGTAAAATTCATCTAACCCAACATATGGAAGAGTATTTTAATTGAATGATGAAAATCCCTAATAAAAATCATAATAGTAACAATAATAATCAAATAACTAACAATTGAAATCCTCTTCAACAAGATAATCGATTTCTTCTTAAAAAACTCCATAGCCTTCTTCAAAAGCGGTAGGTCAATAATAGCAATTATTATCTCCACCCCAACCTGGCAATTAATTTAGAATAAGATCACCATAAACAACATAAAAAACCTAATAAGTAAAATAATCACAAAATCCTACTAAAATTGATAACAATATATTCAGACCTCCAACTTCTGGAAGAACTTAAGAGTTAACAAAGCCTAATTCCCAATTGCATTTAAAACCATTAAGTTAAAATTAGAATATGTTTAGAAAATTTTGAATTTATAGTAATTTTAATAACCTATTTTTAATTTTAACATTTATAATTTCTAGACTTCAAATCAAATTAAATATTGAATTCCAATTATTAGATTCAGATATTTTAGAAAATTTGAAGATAATGAGGAAAACAATAATTGAAATAATAAATAAGAGCTTAATTAATAATTCATTATTTTGTATTGTATGAGCCACAGTGATTGCATTTTAGATAGTAGTTAGAAGAGATATCATTCGAAATTTCTCTACAATCCAAGCATTTAATCTAAACCTTTTACTTCTAAACTTGAGGAGATAATAATTTTTTTGAGTCTTCAGCTAATTTATCATATTATTCAATCTCATTTAGAGTCATTTTCTTTTAATATATCTAATATTTACAAATATAGGAAAGCTACAAATTGGGCAATTTCTTTAATTGGATTAAATTAGTTAATTGAAGCATTTTGAATGAATGAAGTGAACACAATTAGGTAATTACATTATATAACTTGTAGAAGCCTTTAGATTTTACAAACAAATAGGGCAATCGTTTTCGGCGGCTTGATTTAAACATTTATGTGAATTTTATATTGATTTACTTAAACAGATGCCGCATGTATTACAATGAAAATTGTTTTCTTTAACTCCCTAGTTTAGTATATGATAATTACTCTCCTGCACATATTACATTAATCACAATGATAAATGTCTTTATTAGGATCGTCATCATATAATTTACAAATGGAACAAAAATATTTAGCAAATTTTATTCCGCATTATATACACTTATTGGTTGGGGGTTGTTCACATAAGCATTTTCGACATCTTATTACGGTAACATTATATCGATCCATGATTTCTGTTTTGCATCTATCAGAAGTTGATCCTTTCTAATCAGAGTCATGACAAAGCCTGCAAGGGTAAAACTTACCACAACAAGGAGCCTTCTTATCACAATTTCTTTAATAATGCTGGCAATTAGGTACTGGAGTTATTATCTTTTTTAAACAATTTACTAAAAACATAATTTTTCAAATGACACATCATTAACTTATAATCTTTATATTCATTTATACTGAGGTTTAAATAATTTAGAAATTTATGTAATAGTATAATAATTGAAGATAGCGTTTATTCATTCTAGAATACATATAGATAACTAGGCTACTAGATGAGCAGAATATTTAATAGAAAACTCTTGCATAGGTGACAGAGAAATCATTATGTTAAAATCAATATTCCACATCATAATCCTCTTCATTCCAGAAGCAAATGGATGTATTTGGAGAGTATGAGGTAATTGTGTACCAGCTCAGATAATTTGTTAATTATTTACATCAAGCATAATATGTATATCCTACAGTAATGAGTGTATAGATATGAGAGATAATGATACTATTATCTGATATATCTTTGGGGATGTTAAACTTATTTCAGGATTGTATATTAAAATTAGTTATTGTTTTAACTCTGATAAACTTAAGATCAAAGAAGATGGCTATTCAATAGATTTTGAATTTGTTAGAAAATAATAATAATAAAACTATTTAAATTACTTTATTAGTATTGATTAAGTATCTTTTTGTCTTCCATTGTTTTGGCTATTTAGAAGAAAAACTATATTTTATTGTCGCTTTTCTGATAAATTATTATATGTTGAGAGAAAATTATTAATTAAAATATTTATAGATTTATCTTGGTTTCTGTTGAGGAAATCAGAATGGTTTTTGCTCATTAGTATTTGAATTTAGTTTAACTCAATACCTCGGTATTGTAAATTTTAGAGACAATTAGAATCATATACTCACTCATAGAATTTCAAATTCGAAATGCTTCCTTATCTTAGTAGAAATGATAGCAGACTAATTAACAATAGTAATTAATATCTTTAAATATATATGAAAGAATGAAGAACATTGTCTTTGCTATACATGCTTTTGCTGTATTCAGACATACATTAAGAATGGTTATAGATGGAGGGTTTGAATACAGATTTGTAGGGGTTACTAAGATTCTTTAGGAACTCAATCAGATTGTGTACAGATAAAATGTAGCTGAAGATGTTTCTTTTAAAAAAAATTTCTTTTTCCGAAAGAACCAGGCTAATGTCAAATGCATTAACAGTCCTATATAGGTTGAAAGAGAAAATTTTGAGATAGTTCCTTTAGAGGTTATCTATAATTAAATTCCTATATAAAATACAATTCTGGATATCCCGAAGAATTTATTTGATTAGAACATACAAAAATCAACTTAGAATGAATGACTGATACTTGTATGATATTAAAACTAATAATGTTGACAGAGTTTTGATTTAGATTTCTAAAAATAAAAGATGAGTAAAAATATTGGGGAAGGAAGAAAGGAAAATGCAGTTCAATAATCTGGATTTGCATAAATTTAAATGTGAATTGATAGTTATTTAAGAATGATAACTACTAAGGATAATAAATAATAATGACTATAAAAGGTTATTTTGGAATCATTTATTATAATATTACATAAAAAATTGCGTAATAATTTAGAATTAAATCCAACTTACATAAAATGACATTATTTTTAAAATAAAACATCTTTTCTTCTTAAAACGCTGAACAATTACCATAGACTGTCCAAGTCATTTAATTAAACCAGTACATATGCTTTTAGATTATACTTCCTAAGAGGTAGGCTTATCTAATTAATCTAATCTTAGGCTGTGATAATAGAAAGCTCTCCATATCCTAATAGAAAGAATTTCTCAATTTTGCTAGAATTGACCCATATGGCCATTCCTTCATGATATATAATTCAATTGAACTTAAAAACAAGGTAAATTAATGGTAACTAACTCTTCCTTGGATTACACCACATTACGCAATCAAAAGCAACCCTATTGAGCCTTTAATATAAGATAAAGTAATAGTACTCTTAGTAAATAATTAATTAATTGAATGAATGAAATATATAATCAAATTACTGTATTATTAATGGACCTTATGGAACTTTTGATTGTGCTTCAAAAGGAGTAAAGTATCGATGTTATCTTTTCAGGAAATCTAAATGGTGACGAAATATGGAGTTCCTGAGTTAAAGTTGGTTTATAGTAATCCAGTTAAGGAAGAAAAAGACATCTTCTTTGCAAAGAGCAAAGGAGTTTAAATCACAAGTGCAGATAGTATTGAAGAACTATTAAAGATCCAAAAGATAGCGCCATAGATGAAAATACTTTGGAGAATATCCATTGTTGAGGAGAACCCTGGATAAATGGCTACTCTTTTTTCCGGTAAATTTGGAGATGATGTTCCAAATTTAGACGCTGCTCATAAAAGATTTAAGTAAATTCAACAAATGGGAATTCAATTACATGGTATTCATTTTCATTGTGGAAGTGCTGTCTAAGGATCATCCTCATTTGGGAAAGTATTGAATTTTATTATCCCTAGACTATAGATTTAGCCTAAGATTGTATGAGAATCGGAAGATAATACGGACATAAGATGGAGTTGTTAGATATAGGCGGGGATTTCCAACGGGAAACATTCATGAAAATGCTATTAAAGCATTAAAAAGAACAGAAAATGATCCTTTAGGATATGAAGTAATTGCTGAACCAGGAAGACACTTTAGTGCTAACTCATGTTCACTTTTATTTCGAATTTTGACTAAAAGAATAAAGCATGGGAGATTATGTTATCATGTTAATGAATCTTTGTACCATTCTTTCAACAGTATCCTTATGGATGGAATATCATTTGAAAATTTGAATGATCAATTTTATAGTGTTCTTAATTCTGATGAATCCTAAAATTCTTAAATTTCAGACTAATCTAATGTCTCAATCTTTGGTATGACATGTGATGGAGCTGATGTTATCGCTAACAATATTACTGTTCCTACTGACATGAATGTAGGAGATTGGTTATGCATGCAAGGTATGGGAAGCTATACTATTGGACCTAAATCTACATTCAATGGGATGAAATCAACTACCAAAGTTTATTAATGGAGTGGCTAACTTGAATAACAAAGTTAATCATAACCTTAAATAGCTATAAGTTAATTTTTTTGATTTATTATTTTTATAAATATGATATATCTATACATTTCATTTAAATGAATTTGATAAGAATATTATGAATCTTCTGAAATCTCAAATCTATGGTTTAAACTTAAATTATATCCTAAAAAGCAAATAAATGATACAATATTTATATTTAATAGAAATAGAAATAATAATATTCTGTTTTACATTAATTTACAAATAAACAAACTAAACATATAATCTATTCAAAAAATAATAAGTAGTTTTTGATTGAAATTATAATATGGTAATTTCAGTAAGTTTTATTCATTTCTTCATTAGAACTTCCATCGCCCTTTGAATCTCTAAATTAGTATCCAATTTTGGAGCAATGTATTTCTATTTGTAATTTTCACCAGGTTTTCTTTCAAATTTAGTCTCAGTAAATTTTGGCCTCAATTCATTTTCACTTTAGACTATATCTTATTAATATATTGTACTTTATTTTGTTCTTTTATACAAATCATTTATCTATTTTTGCTGAGTTGCTTATCCAACATTATTCGTTTATTACACAGCATGATTTGTTTATTATGCAATATTATTTGTTTTTTATTGCAATTTTGATTTTTTGAATTCCAAGAAATCTTAATATTCGTTGTCATCAATTACTTTTTGTAACTTCTTTGCTGCCTCTTTAAATCGAATAAATTCTTAGAATTCTTAGTCAATTTATTAATCATCACTTTTTTATAAATTTGGCTTCTTTTCTTCCTTTTGATCATTCTATTAGGGCAAAGGAGGCCTGGAAGGTCTTTATTGTTAATAAAGTTTGTTATCTTAAGATTATTTTGGGTAATTCTACTATTAATAATAATCATGTTCATCTTAAATCGGCTATTAATAAAGAAATTGATTTGGTTATTAAAACCCTTATTGCTGTTAAGGGTAATATTGATTTGGAGATTGATTATAATACTATTCTTAAACTGGATATTGAGACATGTTTTAATGTGATGGTGGGATGAAATTGTATTCTTTAAATGAATTTCTCCTTCTCTAATCATTAGATTATTCCAAATATGGGTTTGGTATAATTTCTTCATGTGATCTCTTCCTTTAATATTGAGGAGAAGGAGTTACTTATTAATAATGATTTGGTTAATGATGAGCATTTGGTTAATGATAAAAATGAGGATTATATTATTGTTCGGATGGAGGATAGTGTGGTGCTGATGGAGGGTAGTTGTCGTAATAATTGTGAATTTGCATTTTAGGATTTTATAACATCTTAATTGCAAGGTTAGCATTATCAATTTAATATTGATGCTTTTATAGTCTATCTTGGTAATTAACTTATGGTTAGTAAGGTATGGGAACATTATTTTAATAATAGTATTCCAATGGGTTATGATCATTGTATTGCTTTTATTAACCCCTGTCTAATTGTGCATAGCTCGAAAATGCATTATACTTTCTAAATATCGTTTAATTCATCTTTTGGAGGTTATTATTCCTATTCCTATTCTTCTTCTTCTTCCTCACTCTATCCTCCTCTTATTCACTTTCCAACTCTTAACTGTCTTCTTCACTCATTTATAATTCAAAATTGATTAAATTAATAATTAAATGGAAAGTCATGAAAATTACAGAAGTTACCACTCTGATAACTCTAGTTTTTTTGAACCTAAGTATTTCTTAATGTTCATGATATTGTTGTTCGTCCCTTATTTTCTTTGGAAAAATAGCAATACTAAATAAGAGCCAATAAAAGTAATACTTTGATGTATTAATATAGGATAAAGTTTGGAAAAAGTTTGCATTTTCCTATTAAGATATGATGAATACATTTGATCAAACTGATAGGGAACTTCTAAAAAATACTTTTCATAATACAATCTTTAATACAAAACCATCTCTTGTTACCAAAGATGTGAGAAAACTCAATAAAAAAAAACTCAGCGTGTAATTTGATTTAAATAAGAATGTAACGCATTTGTTTCAATATAATGGTTGTTGAGAAAAGCTTAACTGATTGAGAATTTTATTAATTAAACACACACTTAATTTATACAATTATTTCATTATTAGAATGTTTCTAAAATAATTAAAATTTAATTAAAGCCCTAATTAGAATTAGTATTACGTATATATTTTGTTATTCAATTTCATTTCAGCATATTAATTTCAATAGGATAAAAATGTCCAAAGAAGTTGTAATCGTAGAACATAATCCAAAATAAATTAAGTCCTCATTTCAAAGGTGGCTGGTCCTATTCTCTTATTCAATTATTGCGTATTACAATTTATTAGAGATTTAGAATGGCTAATGTGATGTAATTGGTAAGTTACAGTCCGATTTGGGAGTAGGCAGCAATATATTATGGTATTCCACCATAAGACTTGCAATGGATAGGGAATATGTATTATATCACATTTTTTGTTTTGGCTCCTTTTTGCATAAAACCATTATTGGTAAGACTGGATATAAGTTTGCATTTGATTGGAGTCATAAGTGCTATAGGGTAATAGAGTTGAATGATAAATTGAAGGGCATGGATAATATGGATAGGAGGATAATCATATTTAATGACTCTGATAGGTTTGTTTATAATTGGAATTAGCGATGCTATGATTTTAATAGTTCCAGTTTGTAATTAAATTGTTCATTATGAAGTCCTCTCTGAAAAATGGTTCTCCGTCTTTGAGAGACTGTTAGCAACTAGTCTAGGCAGTTTCTTTTAGTATGTTGGAATGGCATTTGCATATGGATTTTCATCTTTTTATTTTAATGTAACAGACGAATAGAGTGTGGTGAACTCAAAAATAAATGAAATGAATCTGATGATCGCAATTTTTAATACAGTTGGAGCAGTTTTTCTTTTGATGTTTTTGAGGAATAGACCTCCTCAACCAGCTTCAAATTCAGATGTAACCCATATTTCTGTAAATAAAGAATATAGTCAAAGACACAATTTGGAAATCCACAGTGAAAATGATAACAAAAGAAGAATCAGTAATTGATCTAATGGCTCTTGGAATCTGTAAATTTATTACATAATAAAGTCATTGGATTGGGCTGGGTGTATACGACAATCATATCTTTAGAGATGTATCCTTTTGGTTATACTCAAGTATTTCAGTAATTAGTAAACTTTAGGCTGAAGTTGCAATAAATGGAACTGTTTATTAGATTTCCGGAGTGGCAGTTGGTTTGTGGGCTTCTATAAAATTGGATTCATAAGCTAAATAGGGAATACAACCTGATTATGATAGATACATCAAGATCTTCACTACCATAGGAATGATCACTCTGATTTTAGAAGCATTTATCATAGAATATTTAGGATTCTGGATGTTGCTCTTCGTTAATTTTGCAATGGGTGTGGGTCTCAATTCGTTTTATCCTATCGCTATATAGGCTTACGTTGAAAAATTGTACCCTGCTACAGAATTAGTATTGGTTACTGGTTTGTTATGTTTGGCTAATGTATACATATTTAAATTAAAGTGAAAGATGGTAGGATTTGTGTTAAATTACTTAATCGTGTTACCTGAATTCGAATAGTTTGGATTATGGATTGGATGTTTGACCATTACTCCAGGGTATCTATATATCTTGTTAAATTATAAAACAAAATATCGAAGATTTGAATAGGAAATTTGATGTTATTAATTATATATTTATAAATACAATAATTGGTGTTCTTATGAACAATAGGGCCATGTAACTTTTAGGAATGAGCTTAAACGTTCTAATCTCTGTTCTTCTTGCTCTCATAGAGTGTTTCATCAATGAACTCTCAGATTCAATAATAATGGACATTGTATTCATTTTATGTGGCACTTTTTTCTCTTGGATTTATATTACTCAACAATTAGGATGGAATAAGGGTAAACTTCAATATTACCTTTAGGAGATATATCACCATTTTTTTATTGGGCTTTGGCTATTAAAAGAATAACTCTGGTTGGGATAAACAGTAGTGAATTCATTTATTTCTTGTTTGGCTTTTTAAATGGAATATACTCAAATAAATTAGTCGTTAAGGATTAAAAGATGTATTATAAGTAGGTTAGAAATGCTATTTAAGTTATTTTGATATCAGTTTTAATAGTTTACAACTTTCTAACAAATCCTTGCAATCATCAAATAATTTTCATCATCTCCAATATAATTTTATTAGTTCTCTTGGGATTATATGATAATTACGAATCTTAATTTATTGGTTCCAAATAGGAGGGTTTCAATACAAATTAAAGAAACTCTTAAGTAGAATTGAAAAAGTGTTAGACAATATAATAACCTCAATCAACCAAATCAATTTGGGAACAATTTAATTGCCTAACAGATGATTGGATTTGTAAAATTGACATCAACAAATTTAAATTTAATCGAACTTTGGAAACAAAAGAACAATCTCTCGTTTTATAAAATTTTTTATAAGAAAACAAATCTAATTTGAGTTAATTTTTTAGCAATCTGATAATTGTTAGATAATCCTAGAATGCCTCCATTATTTCATAATTTGAATTATAAGAAAATAATACATTTTTATAATGGTTAGAGAAAAATTATTTATAAGAAACTCCTCAAAATTTTATAAAATAGAAATTATTTAGTGATAGGTAGAATATAAACTAGTAGGCTGAGGATGATTAAAAATCTATGCTATCTCATGATAGGAGATACATAAATCAAAATGATCTATCTCAAGACCTCTCTGGATTGTAACCCTTGCCTCTTAATGTGGATATCTAAACCTCTAATAATAAAACATTCTTGTAATGCTATCTTTGCCTTAACTAAATTGTTTATAATTTGAGTTTATCAATATTTCTAGTTGACGATGATAAAACTAATCAATCAAAGCAATAGTCCATCATTATTTAAATGAAAAATGTTGACAAGCTAATTAAAAGTGAAATTCTAGATCAATAAAGATCTATATTTTATAAACATATTGGTCGATTGGCTACTCATTCAGGAGAAATACTAAAATCAGTTAATGTCCTGAAAAAGTCTCTATAATAATAATTAAAGTATATATATCATTATTTAATTTAAAGAGAATTCGATTATTCTTTGTCCTTTAATGACACCATTTTCAAAAAATCAGAAAGATATATCGGAGGCATTAGTAATCCCTATTAAGCAGTTCTCAATCATACTCCGGAAAGCAATACAAATTAAAAACTCACTTCCACTCACAGTAATCCTCATGAGAGTTAGATTTTGAACTTGTAATAATTATAAATTGCATATTACTAACAATCTTAGGAAATACTTAAATAAATAGAAAAATTAAATTTCGATCTAATAATGATGAAACAAAACAATTTTAATTTCTTTGTATTATTTAGTCATGCTTAATTAGATATTGAATAAATTAATATATCAAGTAGTTTTAATATTGTCAAAGATATTTTTTAATAAAATCCTATCTTAAACCAGCACAACATCATAATTACTTAAGAGATAAATCATTAAACTTAAGTAATCATTAAATCTGATAAAATGAAAATTAAATAAATTTTAATCAATATCATTAAGAATTCAATAGAAAACTTTGAACTCAATAAATAAGAGATTCAAAACGAAAAAAATGAAAATCTATAAACTCAACAACGGCAGATGAGCTCAAAATAAGATCTAAAACAATAAAATATGATCGTTTTTAAAGCACACAGTGATTAAGATAAGATTATTATCGAAATTTCAGATAATGGTGGAGGTATAAATGAAGAAATGCTTAAAAATAGATTGAATGATTGCAGATTTGGTTTAGAAGCTACTTAAAAACTATTAAGATTTTTGGCATATGATACTCAAAAACCGATGGAAATTATTAATTATGTAAAAGGCACTACTGGGGTTTAAGGCACTGTTATTAAATTTGCCCTACCAATTTCACGAGATAATTTTTAAATACACGAAGAAAATAAGCAACACGAATCACTAATTATTAACAAACGAACAGATAAAACTTGATCATATTATTCTTTATTATTTTGATAATTCCTTTTATATATAAAAATTCAAAACTCCTATTTCTTTATATATCAATTTTCCAATCAAGTTTATTTTTCTTATTACAAGAATTCATTTATTATATATTTACAAATTCATCAAAATCAATAATACATATCAATTTTATTTATTGTATCCATCGAAATTTTGCAAAGACAATTTTGTTTTTTTTCCTTAACAAAATAAAAATCAAAAATATAGATTATAATATTAATTAATTAAATCAAAAGCAAAATTTGCTCTCTCAAATTGTTTCAATATTGGAGGGTTTGCAAATTTTAAGATGGTCGCTTTTCTATTCTAATTTTTGAAACCTCCAAATATTTTGGTAAAGAGAACTTTTTTCTTAATGAATTAAATTGCTTCTTATCTTGTCCTTGTAAAAGATTACACATTTCTTTAGCGCATGTTCTGATGTCAATTTCATTTAAGCCAGTTATTGAAACCATCTAGTCTTGACTCCAAGAAGGGTGAATTCTTCTGATTTTATGAACCAAATAAATAGCTGCGCTTGCTAACACATTATTTGAATATTGAATCATAGAATATTCTAATAAGGAGAGTTCTATTAGATATCTAAAGGAATTAAAATGATATTTACCTACTAAGCATTAAGTTTTTCAAATCTAATTTAGCTGTTTCCTAATATACATTTAATAGTCTGTAGGGACTCGTGGTTAATAAATCAAAGGAAAGTATTGAAATAATTTTCCCCTCTGCTTCCAATATTTCCTCTTTTGGATATGCGTTATCACATACATATACTAAATCCCTTACATGAGGAACAGAGTATACTTCTTCATATTTGGATGCTATAAATAAAGCTGCAACTCCATAAAGCTAAAATTTAGATTTCGGTATCTGATGCAACTCAAGTACTCTCAAATTTAGGTAATAAATACCTATCAACTATCGATATTGTCAAAAACAAGGTTTCTGGGTCTAATTTGAATTTATGATGTACATCTACTAACCAATCTAGTAGAATACTGCGCATTTTCTCTGTAATTTCTGTTTAAAATTGGAAAGCGGTCATTTTGAAAATAGATTTACACTAAATTAAGAAGATTAATTACACTTCTATCTTTCATATATGTAACAATTTCATTTTTATAGGCATTTACCATTTGTGGATTTTCAATTTTTGAGGGTAATTAAATTGTTTTATTACTTAAAATTGAAGTGATTCCACTAGTGATACTCAGATTTCTTCCGTTTCTTAAAGGCATAGGCATATTTGAGTCTGTTTTTACTCTTTAAAACCCTTCTCTTGTTCTATAGCTCTATTCATCATTTGATTTCAATTGTGGTTTTTGAGGAGGTATCATAGAATGAAATGAATTTGATGTCTTCTCTCTTATGGCTAAGGATGACTACACTCTTTAATGTTTAGGCGCACAATAAAAATTTTCATTTTAGTAGTCTGCAACACAAAATAGTCTTGGAATTTATTGTGCTTTCATTTTGAATATAAATTATTTAACGGAATATATACTATTTAATTTAAAGAATAATATTCATTTATTTTTAAATGAATTTTATTATTTTTAAAGATATATCTTTTAAATAGGAATATAATTCTTTGTTTTAAATATTTGTAATTTGATATTAAGCCATAGCTAAATCTCAAACTGAAATAATATTCGAAATTAGTATGATAATCAAGGTTTATTGTGATTTAATATTACAATTGTTCAACTATTTAAAAACATATCTTAAATTGCCTCATTTTTTAACTGAAAATTGTTAGTGATATATACAACGTCTTGATATCTTGAAGATAACTTGAATTAGATGAGAATAAGTACACCATAACTTTAGGTTTATTTTGGTTTGCTCAATAGTTTAAGAAAAGATCTTTTTTTCATTTTTGAGAATCCAAAAATTAGTCACATAATTTTAATAAAACACTAAAGCAACAGTGAGTGAGAATATATTTATGGAGTTTCTAATAAAAAAGTGTTTAAAATTATTGAGGTTTGATTTCTAGATTAGTTTTTAATAGTGGATATAAGGTTGTAGTTAAAGTGAGAAAGATATTGAGATTAAATTGTTAGTTGTTTACCGGGTGAGTTTCCTCAATAAAAATGTTAATTAATTATGTAATAAAGCGAATAGGAACAATAAAAGGAGTAAGTAATTGCTCAAAATGAGATTCCTGATTTAATTATCAATCCTTATGAAGTGGTGAACAATTCCAAGAAGTAAATTGACTACGATAAGTTGATCCAATCCTTCGGTTGCTAGAGAATCGACCAAGCTCACATTGATCGAATATAAGCCTTAACTTAAAAACCTGTTCATCATTACTTAAGACGTGGCATTTTCTTTTCACATCGAGACTTAACCCAGGTATTGGATGCCTATGAAGCTGGCAAAGGATTCTATCTGTACACAGGCAGAGGACCATCTGGAGACTCAATGCACGTGGGCCATTTGATGCCATTCATATTTACTAAATATTTGTAGGAAGCTTTCGATGTGCCAGTAGTGATTGAATTGTCAGATGATGAGAAGTTTTTCCATAAGAGCGAAACAACATTGGAGGAATATCAACGATATGGATATGAAAATGCTAAAGACATTATAGCATGTGGATTCGATGTTAACAAAACATTCATTTTCTTAAGTTCCTAATATGCAGGTCACATGTATCACAACATTTGTAAATTCCAACATGCCATAACCTATTCATAATTGAGAGGAATATTTGGTTTGAATGAATCCGATAATTGTGGAAAAGTAGCCTACCCAGCAGTTTAAGCAGCTCCATCCTTGTCCTCCTCATTTAAACACATCTTTGGAAAGGATGAAGTGATGTGTTTAGTCCCACAAGGCATAGACCAAGACCCTTACTTCAGAATGACAAGAGATGTGTGTTATAAACTAAAGGTTCCTAAAACTGGATGCATCCACTCCCAATTTCTGCCAGGACTTCATGGATTCGGTACCAAAATGGGAACTACAGATCCAACATCAGCTATATTTTTAACAGATACTCCTAAGGAGATTGAAGAGAAAGTGAATTATTAATTAATTGATTTAGATCAAAAAACATGCTATGTCAGGTGGTGGTATGACCAAAAAGGAACATCAAGAGAAAGGTGCTGATCTTACTGTTGATGTCCCATATCATTATTTGAGATTCTTCCTTGAAGATGATGCTCGTCTTGAAGAAATCAGAGTCCAATATGGAAAGGGAGTCATGATGACTAGTGAAGTCAAGAAGGAATTGATTACAGTGATTACTAAGATAGTAACAGAACATCAATAGAGAAGAGCTCTTGTCACAGACGAGATTGTGTAAAAATTCATGGAATTGAGACCCTTAAGTAACTATCCACCTAAAAAGAATAATTGAGATATAATAAAATAAAAAAATAATTATTAAAATGCTCACTGGCAAAGAAGAATTAGATAAAATGAACACCAAAGTAACATACTCATTTATTATTTCTAAGAGTGGTAAAGGGAATGCTGAAAGTGAAGAATTGCCTTAATATCTAAGATCTTCATATTCCCAAACTTATTAATAATTGGAACCAACTAAAATTCTCAAGGGGAAAAAAGTAAATCTCATCACTAATTAGGTGTTTCCATAATTTGCTTACGGGAATTCTCATGAGGCTCCTACCTATTTTAAATTGTCGAACTCTTTGGTTTGTCGAGAAAGTTATGACAATCCTTATATCAAGACTAAAGTGCCTCCATTAAGCAAGTTAGACTCTCTCAAGGGAAGCACTCTCAATAATTATGAATTTTATAATATTTCTGATTAGAGATTCACGAATCGAAAACCTACAGGTTACATTACTAATAAAATAACAGAGTATAAAATTAATCTCAACATTAAGTACGATTACAAATTAGGTTAAAATTGTATAAAAACCATTCAATGATGACAATGGCTAAATCTTTACTTTTGAAAGTGCTTACAAATCCATCTAAGATAAATTATTCAATAGAAAAAGAGGTATCCTTTAATCTTTTAAAATAAGAGCTTTTCACAGATTTTGTTGAGAAAAATGATTTACTTAATGTCTATGGACCATTAAATATGAGAACCAGACCAAAAGAATTCAGAGAAGTCAAAAATTATGCTTTGGATTCTGAATAACTCAAATTATTGAAGGAACAGAGGTCCAGGCAACAAATCACTCCCACCAATAGAAGTGGGTTCACTGATCTCATTAAAACTGTTAGATTGCCCACCATTTCTAAAATGCAAGGATTGGATACAGATAAATATTATAACAAAGATTAAAATTATCTCAATTAATTATCTAATTCAATTATCGTCGAGAAAATCGATCAGAATATCAAACATAAAAATAAAACTCTCTAAAGTTTCAATAAAAATAAACGGTTTATCAAACACAACACAGAAGACACTGAAAATATGTAAGGAATTATTGACATATTTGAGAAGCATTTAGAATTTGAAAAATAATATAATGGGTGAAATATAATTAAAATTATACATTTAATTCAAAATTGATCAGTGTAATAACTTAATTGCTCCTTTAATCTCTATATCTTACAGTCCTTTTTATTTAATGCTTCCTCAACTATAGATTCAAATTTCGTAATATCAGCGAAATGTTACTATTTCAAATTCTAAAGCTTCTCTTCATAATGTTGTTTTAGCTGTTGATTTTAAAGCTTTAGTTATTCAATCTTATCATAAGCTGATTTCTTTTCCTCCTCTAAATTTATTAACAGGGTCTCAATTTAAACTAATTTATTGCTAAATTCCTCTGATTATTGAAGTGATTTATAATTTTCTTCCTGCAAAAAGTGAAGTTGCTCAATCAATTCATTTTAATTTTCTTGAGCTTCTTACCTTTAACATTATGCTAATTGTAACTATAGATCCTTTTTATCCTGCAAAATCTTATCTATGAACGCTACATATTCCTATAATATAGTTTGGAATTCATTTTTTTGTTTCAATAGATCAGCCTCTAATTTAGACTTCCTAAATAAATTTGTACAATATACATTTCCAATTTCATTTAGATTATTGTTTCCTTCAGTTTACGATTTTCTAGAGTCAAGTTATTCTCTTCGGTTAAATATGGTTATGCTCTTTTCGTTTGCATCTATGGTACTTCTACGGAGGTTTCTAAATTTTCGTCTGTGGGATGAGATTCCCATAATTTTTGGGTTAACTCTTAGTAAAATTTTTGGTCATTTGAAAATTAACCTTTGGAAATCAACGGATGAACATCTGGAGTCTTATTCTTTTTCAATTAGGAATACATTTATTTATTTCAGTTAAAAAAAATTATGTATAATAACATCATTTTCTTCTCTACACATTTTTAAGAATTATATAGATCCACTATTTTTTCTAATCTAGCTCTGCGTTATGAATTTTATAATACTTATCTGTAATCCACATTGAAATCTTTTAAGTATTTACAAAATTAATATGTTTCAATTCCGTCCTTTTACTATTTTATAATACTCATTATAGTAGCTAAATATTCAGGATTCTTTTTTCCAATCTGTATAGCGAGATTCGAATTCAGAATTAGATTCAAAACACCATGTCTCTGATATCTTTCGATTTATTATAAAAGTCGACCACCAAAGATCTAGGCTTATAATTCTGTTAAGTTATTTTTATTTGCTAAACGATAAACATCTGATTTTTTGTAGGAAAGACAATCTTTTAGAAGATTTAAAGATTTAACATCATTCAACAATTTAAATAAATGTGGCAAGTACCTTTCTTAATAGTGAGTCTTTTTCATAAACTCTATTATAATAATAGGAAACAAATCTTTGAATATTTGTTAATCTTAATATTGGAAACTTAAAATTTCATTTATCATTTTTATTGGATTATCTTTGATTTTTTTATTTAAGTGACCACTCAATTTAAGTTTAAGTTTTTCATTCTTGGTTACAGCATATGAGTGGAGGGGACGAGCAAATGCATTCTCCTCATTTAAAAAGGAATCAACTTCCTATTCACATATAAACCTCAAGTATAGAAGACCATTTTCTGGAAAGGAAAATTCACAGACTTATCTTACATAATCAGAAAAGGTACTCAATTTTTATCTAGAGTTAACAGTTAATGTTAATTTGTTTAAACTTAAAAAAATCTGAGACACTTTATTAGCTTAAAAGAGCGAATGCTGATTAGTTTCTAATGATAGCCTTTAAATAATTTCATCAATTAATTTTTCAACCTCTTATGCTGTACAAATCTATTCTAAATTAATTAAAAATTATTAAATAAAATGTAAGGATATTTTTTAAGGTCTCAAACTTAGTTGTTTAAACAAAAATTCTTTAATTTTGATTTCTAATACTGGATAAACATCAACAGGTAAAAATTGGTAATTTTATATTAATGATATAATAGTGTGTTCATCCATTACGTTGAGGGTATCGGTTAAGAATTATCTCATTTTAATGAGAATAGGGTGTGATTCTAAATATGGGTTAAAATATTAATATTTCATCTTAAGTAACATAATGTAAAATGTGGTTACTTACTAGAAATCGTAATAGAATGAATTAGCGTCATAATGAGAAATACAGAATTCAATTAAACTGGAATTTAGATATTTCTTTTTTTAGGATTTCATCATTTCACATCTTATTATAAGAATCACTTCCATTGAGGAAAGAGGTTCAGCCTATAATCGATCTTCCACCAGTTATTGAATTTAAGGCAATTACATGTTTAAAACTTAGGAATCATACCAAATATTAATGTAATGTCTAATACTGAAATCAGTGCAGTTTTGTAATATCTTATTTAGATTGTTTGCTAACATTTTATCATCCAAATTTTGAAGTAATGATGATTGACCTTTGACCTAATATTTAGATTTGAAGCAAAGCAATTCAAGTAAATCAATGGGAGTAAGTTGTTCAATTTAGTTATTTAATAGTATTGCTATATCACCCATTCCTTTGCGAAATATAGGTTCATTTTCATAATATTTTACAGAATTCAAGAAATGAGCAATGATGCGAATTGTCAGTAATGAATGTTATAAGCTAAATATATATTTATTCTTGTTAAATATATCTATCAAGGTTTTAGGATCTACATGTTCACTAATGAGTGTCATCAATTCTTATTCATTTTATACAACTTTGACTTCCTCTTTTGGAGAATCGATAATATCTATGTCATCATCTGATTCATTCTCAAATCCATCACGAGTAGAGAAATTTATAAAACTAGTTTGAGTAGAAAATCTCTATTTCAATAATGTTCTTAAAATTATCATAAATATTTTTAATATTTATTTTTCATTTTGTAACAATTGTATTATTTCTAACAAACTCTAAAACTGATTCCACAGTTCTACTATCTCCTTTCCAAGGAATAGCCTTTCTCTATTTATCGGCAGCTCTAAACAACACAACATCTGGATAGGAATGAGGTTGATAAACGTCAGAAATTTCATTGTCAGGAGCATTTATTTGAGCTACGACGATGTTAGGATTATCTCTCAATTCATAAGCAATTTGATCATAGAGTGGTTTAAATTGTTTGCAATGTCCACACCATGTAGCATAGAATTCAAGTAAAACATCCTTCTTGCTTTTGATAACTTCTTCCTCATAATTCAATGCTACAACTTTCTAAGTGAATAATATATATAATATGATACCCTAACATAAGTGTTCTCTTAAGTGTAATCAGGGACTGGTTCAGATTTGATGAATTTCTCAATTTTGCCTTATCTGAAATCAAAAATGAAGTTCTTGATTCCTTTGACAGTAAAGTCGGGTCCATTGTATTTGTATTTTAATCCTTAATTCCAAGCTATGATCTTGGGGAACACATTGTCATCTGCTCCAAGTTAATTCAATTAATCGAAAAATTTTTCATCGGTGATTTTTGCGAATGAAAATTGATATGTCTTCTTAAACAATTAGGCTGTTTCAAGGAATGCTTTTTCAGCTTTGATGGATTACTCATCTAAACTGCTGAATAAAATAAAGGCAGGAGTAGCTCCAGAATAAACGAGTTTTTCTGATTACTCATTTAATTATGGTACATCAGGCAATTAATTTTGTAATAAAAATCTTTCAATATTTTGTTTTGTGAATGCTTGATTGAATTGCTTTTTCTCTGAGATTTCTTTTGAATAATAATACAATCTTCCTGGTTTACCAATGGGGAAAAGATATGAGAAGGCAAATGCGGCATCTGAATTTGTCTTACTCATCTCGAAGAAGGTCCAATAATTAGGATCGTTGATATTGTTTTCTGATCCTTAATAGAAGAGTACAACATCATTGTCATTCAAAAATTGATTGAATTGATCTTATGTCAAGATCTCGGTGGGATTTGGCCCATTGACCAACTAAAATAATATAGATTATATTTATATACCTATAACATCCATTAAAGTATGGAATCAGCACTTCTTTACCCAGTAAATTGAAAAGGCTTACCATCAATGAAAAAGATGAAAGTGGGGAAAGATGAGATTTTGAATTTTTCAAGAGCATATCTATCTGGGTCTCTCTGTGAATCGTAAGCAGCACAAGCAATAGAGTGCTTAGATGCCTTATCGGTAAGTTGTTGATATTCAGGAGCAAATTATTTGCATGGAGCACACCAAGATGCATAAAATTCAATTAAAATCAAAGGATGGCCTGATATCAAAGTGTCAATGTTAGTGGGCAAAGCAGTTATTGGCTATACCACTGGCTAGGGTGGCTCAACAGTTTATGGATTCTCCTCTTATGCTGGTGCTTCTGTCGGGTCTTATGCTAAGATTAAAGCAATGAAACAGAATATTAGGCTTAATTTCATTATTAATTATTAATTCATGAACACAGTTGGAGATTAAAAATACAAAACTATTTCAATCAAAGCTTCTCTATATAGAGTAAGGGAAGGAAAGAATATAAAGAGAATAAAAGGAATTTATGGAAAGAAAATTACATTAAAAAATATCTTTGTTTATTTCACCAAGAAAGAAATATAATAAAATACAATATTTAAAAAAATATACGCTTATAAATTAATAAACTATTGTGACCAAGAATATGAAATATAATTTCTACAACAATTCTAATAAAGGTTTTCTAATATTATTTTTCTCATATTCATTAACATGTTGGAGTGACAATTCCGTAATTCAAAGTGCTATTTCTGATTTAGTGATAAGATGACATAAAAACCAGGCAGTTCTAAGTAACAATAATCATAAAAGTTAATAATCTTTACCATATACAAGCAGGCATATTGATGTTTAATTCAAGTATGAGTTTATTTGTACTGATTAATTGGATGGGATACAGCTCGAAAATAAAGTAGATCAATTTAATCTTTTGAAAAAATAAAGTTAGAAAAATTATGGAATTTGAAAAACTAATTTATCGCTACAAAATATCCACAATAATGTTCGACACGGCAGAGTATTAATTACTTATAAACATGTATCTAAATCTAAAATGATATGACTTTCTAGGAATTAGATAAGATGTGTAAATCTATGAAAACTAAGTTAAATTAAAAAGAGAGTCTAGATTCATTTGGATATCTAAATTTTATAGGAGAATTCTATCTTATCACTTGATAATTAATATTTTTTCAGTATATACTCTTGTTATCTAATTATTTCTTGATACCCATATTCTTATCTGAACTTTTCTGAAGGATAGAGTAACAAGATTTCAATGAGAAAAATATGAAATAGAAGGCAAACAGAAGAAAATAATAAAAACAAATCTATTCACTTGATATTCGATTTATATATTTATTATATTATATTAACTATTTTTGAAAATAATGGTATATCATTCATATTATTATCTCTTAGAATAGCAAACTCAGTGGGAAGATTAAAAAGCCTCCAGTTATTGAGGAAATATAAAGTAATATTATCAATTTAAATTTAGTTAAGCCCAGAACCGAAGAATAGATATAATCAGTTGCAAAAAATGTAAGGAATGGAGATGTGTCTAATCCGGAAGTTGTCCTCATTGGGGAAGCTGAATTATAAAGAATGAAGGTATTACTTGTATTTTATATATTTTCAGAATAATGCTATCATAACGACCAAAGAAGAATAATTATACTAAAAAAAATTGCTTGAGGAATAAAAAGAGAAGTAGATGGCTGCAGCAAAGGCTAAAAAGCAGAAAATGTTACAAATGGAGGAAGAAAAGAAAAGATAAGTGCCTCTTTCAACTCAGTAGGAGGAAGATAAGGTGGTCAAAGATTCACTTCTTGCAAGGGTAGAATATGGTTTTTATTCTTTGATAGGCAGCAGAGATCATGAATGAATAGATGGATGATGTTAAGGAAATGAACAAAATGGTTATGTATGCAAAATGTGTAACTGTTCGAGACAAGCAATTATACGAGAAGAAAGAACTTCATGAATAATATAAAGTATAAGAGAAACGTAAGGATTTGATGATGGAAATTGAAAGACTCAAATCTATTAAATATCATGAAGAAAAAGATAAATAAAGAAAAGTTGAATAAAAACATGGTCATGATATTATAATTGAATAAATAAAGGAGAGAGAACTTATTCGTTTGAAAGATAAAGAAGAATAAGAAAGAGAAGGTTAAGTCATGCTTAAATAAATCAAATAATTGCAAGTCGAAGAATAATAGAAAGCTATGCAGAAGAAGGTTACTTAATAAAAGGTTTAAGAAGAGATCTTAGAGGCTAATGATAGAGCTATTTTGGTTAAAGAGAAGAGAAAGTTGGAGGAAAGAGAGGAAGAAGAAATGATCGTTAAATACAATTTGTAAAAGGCATAGAAAGAAGCAGAATTGTTGGAAGAGTAAAGAAGAATCAAGGAAGAAAAAGAAAGAGAAGTTTAGAGATTAAGAGAAATGCAAGAAAAAGCATAAGACAGATAAGCTGAATTAGATGCTTTAAGAGCCAAAAGAGCAATGGAATAAAATGAAAGATAAGCCAGAGAAAAGGAAAGAAAGGAAGCAGAGTGGAAAATGAAATTGAATCATGAGGTCCATGAAGCAAGAAAATTATAACAATATGAAAAACAAGAAAGATTAGAAGAATAGGTACATAACTTTATTAACTTTTATTTAGGCTAGATTAGAAAGAGACGAATTTTAGAGAGTCATATAGAAACAAAAATAAGAGAGAGAAAATGAATTAAAATTACATCATGAAAAAGAAGCATTAGTAAAGAAACATGCAGATGAACTCAGGAAGTAGATATCTCTCAATGAGGAAAAAAGAAAATAAGAAGAAAGAGACAAGTATTATGTTATAACCTAATTTTAATTTTAGATTGGAAGAAGGTAAAAAAATTAGAGATAAAATGTTAAATGAGAAGAAATTATTGGAAAATATCAAAGAAACTAAATTAAAGACATTAAATGATAACGCTATCCCAGATAAATATAAAGCAGAATTATCGAGGAAAAAAATTAATATATAAATTTGAACAAAATTCATTATTCATCAATTTAATTGGGTTCTTACTTCGTAAATTTCTTCAGCTCATCCACAACTATATCAATTAGTTCTTTTCAAGTCTAATTTTTTATGATTGTGTATAATAACAGTTCTATAATCAATATCTCCATATTTTTCAGTAGAAATTATTATTCCTTCTCTCTTCATCAAATCCTTATTATTCTTATCTCAATTTTAATTCTACTTCTTAATTTTCTTTTCCCTTCTGGATAGATATAAACACTTGTTGAGTATTAGTAGTTTCTGCAAATAATTGTTTTTTATTAATTTTCTTTTTTTCTATCCTTATAAGCTCTTTTAATTGAGACTGCACAAAGAGAAATTAATTTTGGAATGCTCACTTAAATATTATTATCATCTTTCTTGAATAAAAATTCTCTTATACTTAAGACTATATATTAAATATTTGTTTAATCTATTTTGGTGATCCAAGTAGCTGTTCACTAATCAATTTAGCCTTTATGACATTATTAATTCTATAGCAAATTACTAATATAAATTTGCTTAATAGTCCATTAAATGTGATTTATAAAATGTATTTCCTTGAATCATTTGAAAAATAAATTCATTTTCAGCTCCTCTAATACTTTGAGTAATTGTTTAAGGTAACAGAATTAATTTTATTATTTCATAATATAAATTATTTTATTTTACTTAATCAATTTATTAAAAATTCGCTTAAGTTTTTTCTTGCAGATTAATAGTTTTGGGCATTCATTTCTAGAAATTTATGATTCTCCATAGCTCAAATTGCTTTCAAAAGCCTTTTTCGCGTGATTTTTATAATCTTTGTCTATCTTAGAACAACAATATTATTATTTTCAATATATTTTTAAACAAAGAATACCCTTTGAATATAAATATGATCTATTTAATTTACCTTAGGTTTGCATTAAAGACTTAGCCCAATTCAAACAATTTATCTTGGTATATCTACATATGATCATCATATGATTTGGCAGTTCTAGTCCAATAATTTAGATGTTTAAGAAATATTTGTATCCAAGAATTTCAGGATTTTCTTAAGTTCATTCCAAACTCTAAACAATGGCTTACATTCTTTTTTTAAATTTTTCCTTTTATTTATTTATTTAATCCTTTATAATTTTGTGGATCAATTTATTTTTCTCTTTTAGGAGCTATTCTATATAAATAAATTTATATATGTTTTTGAAGCTAAAAATTTATTGTATCTTTCAGATTTGTTAAAGTGATCTATATAAATAGAATATTTTTTTAATTTTCTTTGTTAAATATTAAGTTTATGAACAAACTGAATAAAAAGCAGCACGTTCAAAATTTTGCTTCTGAAATATATAGTAACGAGATTTTAATGCTTTTTATTATTGCTAATACGTATGTAACTATGTAATCAATACATGAGGAAAGTAGGCTATTTTCAATTTACATAAATTTAATAGAATTCGATATATTAGATGATCTTACTATATATTTTGTAAATTGCATTTCCAAAGTTGATGGATTGTTTTTTCTCTTCACTCAAAGAGAACAATCAAACTATCCACGTTTTAATTACATATTGAAAAATTAATCTGGGGCTAGTGAAAATTTATTCAATTTAATGGAAATGAAAAAGGTCAATAAACTATGGTTATGTTATTAATGGATGGGTTTCTCCTAAGTGGATTTGATACCTATCATAGAAAATATAAATAATGTTCATAGCATTATAAAAGAGAATTTGATGAGATTGAAGAATATTAATTAGTCAGAAAATCCTGAAACTCTGGCATAAGAAGTCTCAATAATTATCTCAAATATCTAAAGAGTACTCAAATGAAATCTTTAATATTTATATTATTTTCATTTCATTTGTTTTAACTTTTCCTCAATCATCGTTTATATTGATAAGGCTTAAAACTGTAAATTGGATTCTAAGGTTTGGATCAACTCTTTATTGTTTATTGTCTTGCTAAAATTAATCAAATTATTATTACTTTAATTGTTATTTAATCTATGATGGCAGCTCATTCTTAATAAACATCAATTATTGTGTACTTGATTGTACCAGTTCATCTTTAAGAGAAGATAAAGTCTGAGCTATTTATTTTTGGGCCTTCTCTAAAATGTTCTTTGAATCACCCTAAGCCTTTTTTTGGAGTGAAAATAATTTTTATTTGATCTCCGCTTATTACTTGATAAGGACTATCAACACTGGGAAAGTATGCTTGTAAAAGCGATTCAAAATTCTGACTGAGTTTGTTGGCATTTCTTAACCATTTAATATTTTTTGTATGATTTTCTATAAATCCTATACTTTTGATAGATCAACTAAGAAGTCATTTGTAGGAATATCATTTTGAGGTTGATACAAAGAAATATAGAATCTGGCTATTGACAATCGAAGTTCTCTCTCCAAATTAATAAACCTAATGATATTAACTTTTCAAATTACTCATTGTAATCTTCTAAGTACTTTATTTATAATGATTAATTTTCCAACTTATTTCTGTAATTTAAATGAGCTTCATTATAATTCTATTGGACATTCACAATTTCTTTGTACACATTGAATACACTTTAAACTTGTTGGATATCATTTTTTAATTCATTAAACTCATTATTAAACTAATAGAATAAAATTTTTTATTTACCGTTAAAAACAAAGTCTCTAATAGTAATTATTTTTGACTTTTATATATTCCAATATAATTATCATATTTTTAATTGGAATTGCTAAATTCTCTAATAAAATAACTTTGGAAATGAGTTTCTTAAATCGAAAAAGTTGAAGCGGATTTTAATTTATTTTGTATCTACTAGCAAAAATATTCGACATTGCTCTATTATTTCTGTCTCTCATTAAATATGGTACATTGAACAAAATAGTATATTAATTTAATATAAGAGTTTGAAATCCAATTTTCAAATTAATGAAATGATTCAAATGGTACATAATTCTTCATTTTGAATGATGTCAATAAATTCTTCTTAGATTCTCTCACATTTTCTAAATAAAATATTAAAGCTTATTAATTCTTTCTCTCAACTTAATCTAAATTACCTCCAAATTCAAGGAAGGATTTTGCAAAGGTCATTCCTAATGTTTCAAATTACACTCCCTTTATATCCAATCTTGTTAAGGATTCAATAGCCTACTCCACTTATCCTAATTCGCATAATAAGATGATTTGTCTGAACAAGAAATCAAAATTATATGGAGAGTTTTTTAATCCTAAATCTATTAATTCTAAGCTTCTTAAAATCTTTTCAAAATCATTTACATCAAACAGAATATCAATGGCAATCATCAAATATTCATCTTATAATAACCTATCACCTTTTTCAACCTTTTCTGGAACTGGATGAGAATTATACAACTTAACTAATTCATCAAGATATTTTATTGGTTCCTCTGAGATGTAAATTTCAAGCTTCTTCAAATTGATATGAGCTATTGTTTCTGCCTCTTTAGACTTAGATTAAGTCTTTACTTTTTGAATAGTGTTGTATATTTCCTTGTGTAGTTGTAGTTTTGGAATTGCCCTAAATAATTCAGTGCAAAATGTATATTTATCTCCTTATTATTAAAATAATAATTCAACTAGCTTTAAAATCTCTTCAGTTTTTGGATTTTATGATAAGTTAATTATTTTTAATGAAATTAGTATAAGTTGTTTTAATGCTAAACTATTTGTAGTTGTTTTTAATAATAATTAACAACTATTGTAAATATGACTCAATAGTTTATCCTTTGGAACTATTTAGAAGGGTTTCTCTATTTATTCAATTTCTAATTAGAATGGCTCAGTGTAAAAGGCTAATACTAGTTATTCTTAGCATTCAAAATTTATAAGAATTTAATCTGTGGCCAAAGAATTATAGACTTAATAATGGTATTTAAGAGTTTATTCGTAAGTAAAATCTAAATTTCATTTATAATTTATATACCTGTAGGATTATTTTAGTAAATCCATAATGAAATTGCTGCATTTTATTAATATTCAACAAAAAGAGGACCATGATTGTCCAATATTTATTACACTTTATCCACATTTTTGTTTTTGTTATTCTAGTAGAATTTCAATTAAAATTTAATCAATTAAGCTCCTAATTCTTCATTAGTACAAAGCTTCAAATTGCTAAATCATTTACAATTTTTTTACTTCTCTAGTTTGATGTTTTTTGCCACCTTATCAACAAACATCTCGACAATTTTCCCTCCCATATCTTCCTTTTAACTCAATTATACAATATACTCCATCATGTATTCTTAATTTTTTTCTCCTTCTGCCCTGAAAATCTTAATGGCATATGTTGATGCCTCTTAAAATCGATGGGCTTATATCAATTGAGAATAAAATTCCTTTGTTTACTCTAAATTTTATGGTTTGAATTTCTCAAAATAATTATTCATCATATTTAGATCCTTACATAGATTAGAATACAATTAGAGGACTTCTAATTCAGCTTAATTTAAATTGTCATTCAATATTTTTGTAGCATCACCCAATGCTCCAATCTACACCAATATTGATCCTTTTAGCAATTGCAATTATTTTTTTTCAGTCTGATTAAACTTGGTCTTTTTCAATTATCTATCTATTTCAATCAATGCACTCTAACTTTCTCCTCTCTTCATTTATCCAATTATATTTTCAAAAAGTGTCTAAAAAGGTGATTATTGGGGCATCATTAATAAAAAATTAATTTTTATTTAAATTTCTTGTGTTATTTTTAGAAAATGGATCGTCTCGTTTTATGATATAAGAAAAAACTTAATAGATGCAAATTTCAATTAAATCCTAAAGTCCCCTCTTCTTCTGCAAAAGCTTAATCTATATTTTTATTCTTAACAGGTATGATTAATCAAACATACTTTTTCACTGATGGATTTATATTATTTAGTTTAATTTTTTCATAAATTATGGATTAATAATAACAGGACTAAGTTTAATATACAACTTATGAGAATTTGCAAGATTAAGAGATTTAAAAAAACGATCTAAGTGATTGGAAATAGCAGTTTTTATTTATCGACAGCTTAAGAGCTTAGAACAAATTTCACAATGATTAATTTAAAATTTAGGAATGGTGGGATTAACTTTAACCCTTAACTGATAGTATAAGAAGCAATGTGTCCAAAAATGCTTTGATGCTGATTAAAGAAACAAGTATTAATAGTTAAAATATAAAGTCTAACAAAATAATGTTTACGATGAAAAAATTCTTCATAAATTATTTGAAAAATGTGAAAGTGATTTTAAGTTTTTAAAAAATGAAGCTTTGCAAACACTTGAAATTCTATCGCATAAGCCATACTCTGATTAACTCATCTAGATCTTGTGTAATATCACATTATAGTCCAATTATGTAAAATACACAATTTACAATAGAAATTACAAACACATTCTTACCCTACCTTGGTGAAAATAGTGTTAGCCTCCGATTTTAATTGCGATTGGGACAATATTATCAAAGTTACCGTATAAGTTTACAATGGCAAAAGTGTTGAATGTAAAAAAGCTAGTGACTAACTATACTTGGCGCTTTAAAAGCAGAGACCAGAAGTATTAGAAAAGGAAGAATAACTAAAATTGATAGGAGAGAGAATAAATAAGAAAGGGCCACAACAAGGGTTTAAAGATTTCTTATCAAAATAAAAGAAATGATTCTGAATTTATTTATTTAAATAAGTAAATGCTGATCTAAGAAAGTTAAATAATAATTAATATATAATGTAAATAGATCTTATAAATTATTGTTTAATAATTTATCATATTGATCACTAAGAATATAACTAATAAGGATAAAAATACTTGTAGAATATTCATAAAATGTTCAGGCTTAGTTGCCATGTTATAATAAGAAATTATAATCAAACCTATAAATTTAAAAAATTCAAATTTCTACATTATTCTGTTCTGTATATTTAATTCAATTTTCATAGTGAAACCTATTGATTTATTTATATTTCATTTTATCTACATGTAGAAAAGAACAATTATTTTTGGATGGAAATCTGTTTAGTTTCTAAATTTTGTTGGATTTTATTTTTATTATTAAAAAATAACCTCCTTTTTTTATTGCAAGAATTATAATAATAATTTGAGTAAGGCCTCGATTAAAATTAATATACTTGAATAATTTTGAACTTAAGAATTAGTTGGTTTTAAAAGTATTCTGCCAAATTTTGATTATTATTTGAACCATCTTTTTGCTTAAATGTAAGTTGAAATGTTTCCAAATCTAATAATGAATGTAGAGTCGTCGATGATTAATAATAATAATATTAAATTTAGCTATCCCAAAAATTTACATGATGGACTAGATTTAAGTCATCCTAGTGAAAGAGCATTTCGAAAACGATTGTACAGAGATTAGGTTTTTGGTCAATAACCAAGAGGTTTTACCGAAAATAAGTATCAAATTAATAGAAGATTATTCTGAGGAATTTTCATCAGCTCTATATAAACATCTATTGAATCACGTTTAGAAGGAGTGTCGTTTTCTATACTTTGTAAGTTAATGATATACTATTAATTTTCATAGAACGAGCCTTTGGAATGCAAGAAACAAAAAAGGTTCAATTTGATCTCTCAATTAGGAGTAGATGTTATACTAAAAATATTAAACTTAAATTATATACCAATAATTCGAACTAATTATTCTCGTTATATCCTTGAAGACGTAATTTTTACCACTTAGCCTTTTCAAAAGGGTAAAAGATCGGTAATAGAAAAACTGAATTAAAGTTGGGAAACATAATGCAGATTGAAATCTAAAATCACAAAAGAATTCCTTTAAATCATAGAAGAATTCAAATTTTACTACCGTATAGATATATTAATCACTTCAAATTTCAAGCCAATAAAATAGGAAAAGTATTCGGACTATGATGTACTTTATGTACCAACTGAAGAGTTAATATTTTTAAAAACCAATAAAAAATAATAGTTATCGCTCTTATTTCAGAATTTAGAGCAAATAATTAAACATGATTAGTTAATTTGAATTGATATATTATATTAAGGCAACATATCTAAAATATGTATCTAAAATATTTTCAATATAAACTTAATAATTAAATAAAAACTTATTTGCAAATGGCTTAATAAACTCCAAAACATAATAATTCTAACAAGATTAATTCCAATTTACAATTATCTTCTAATTAAAAACAATTTGTAAATGCATCGTAAACCATCGATAATGATGTGATTTCTAGTAAAAAGAAGGTAAAATAAAATACTGAAATTTAGGAAGTTTATGACAGATTGATGAGTTCTTAAACAAATAGAGACAATCAAACAGAAGTATCCTAATACTTTGATCATTTAGGAGGTAAATTTGATTGAATATAAAACAAAAAGGCAAATGTCTATGTGCATTATGTAACTGTGGCAAACACAAATGTAATGGCAAAAATTGCTTACACAAACCCTAATTACATGGAAATTACACTATTTATTAAAAGGAATATCAGAAGAAGACTCCAGAAACTGGGTCTCGATATAATCAGAATATATTCACCCAACCTAAGGCAGAAGGAGATCTAGGGAATGTGACAACATATAAAGTATTTGTCTACATTCTACTTAATTAGCATGATTTTCCAGGATATGAGAGCAAAGCTGAACTACACAAGAATTCATAGAAACCTACAGTAAGTGGAGTCCCTTTTTCTGGATTGTCAACCTACAACAATATGTACTTGAATTGGGGAATGGGTGATACACCTCAACTACTACCTTAAAATAATCCTACTATTATAAAGGAAATGCCTTTTATGGGAAGGAGCATCTACAAAGACAGTTATTAAGGAGTGTAAGCTCCTCCAGCATAGAGTTGTAAAAACATGAACAAAGCCATGAAGTATATTGTTTAACTATGTAGATCCCCATTATCTCCCCCAGATTTGCAATTTTCTGCTGAATCTATAGCTAAATCTTCGTATAAACCCTTTAGAACCGATAGAGTACCCACAGCTAAGAGCTAATAAAATGTACTCCTTCATTTTTAATAATATAGGCAAACTTAAATCCTTCTTATAATGGCTAATACAATAGTGAATATCGTAAAGAATTTGATCCAAAAAATTTGAATCAATGTCCAGCAAAGGAAGTTTTGGAGGAAGTTGCTCGTAATACATAATTTTGAAGATTAAAATGATTATGATTAAAGATAAAAAATAAAACTAAAATTTTGACATATTATTATTATTATCAAAGAATATAACAACTTTCAATGAGCGGAAGAGATTTTCATTTTTATAGAAGGAGAGATAAATATCCTAGACAAGACTCTTTTGTTGAGCAATAATCAACTCCTAATTTTGTTGAAGATGGTTCTTTTGTGGGAACCATAGAAAGAAAAATTCAACATTAAAATCAAACAATAAATAATCTAATTAAAGCATTTGAAGATTCAAGATTTGAATAATAAAGATAGATCTAATATTTAGAAAGATTAAAGCAAGCCGAAGAACAAAAATACAGTATCTAAATTTTAGAAGAACTCAAAACTTTGAAATAGAAGATCAAAAAGATTGAACAAAGTCCACCAGTTCTGTAATCTACCCCTTAAATGTATTAATAACCCTTTTTCCCTCCCTTGCCAGGATAATTTTAATAGGGATTTCCACCATAATAATATAATTATGCTTAGGTTCCATATTCATAGAATCCATTTCATTAACAGAGTTAACCCATTCAACCTTAATAATATTTAAATCATCAACAATAACTTAAGCCAAAAAGACCAAAAGAAATGGACACTTTGCATAAGTTTCTGTTGAAAATGTTACATGAGAAAGAACAGCAAAAGAATAAGGATAATAAGCCCAAAGATAATTCAGATATTCGTTATGTGACCGATATTGAGTCCTCCTAAAATTACTCCTCTAATAGACAGAATCAATAAACACCTTTATTAAAATCAAGATCATAGAGAAGATCTTAAAAACTAAAACAAAATGGTATTCGAAAAGGCCATTCAGAAAATTCTTAATATATAATTCGAAAATAATCCTAATTATCATAACAATAATCATTAGGAGTAGGTTCGTAAAAGCCGTCTTCAAAAAAGTTAGTATTAACTCAGCTAAGATTGAAATAACTCATGAGAAAATTTAAAGGAGCAGTTAGATATTTTTGGATAGCTTTGACTTATTTAAAATTTTGTAAAAAGATTTGGAATTAAAAGTTGGTCTCCTTTAAGCAATATTCTCAGGATCAGATAGGATCTTATGATCCATAGTTTGTAAAAATATTAATATAACCATATATAGAACTACCTGTCAGTCATTTCATAGTTTTATAGAGAATGCACACTCAAGAAACAATTGGATAAATCATGGGTCTTTACTTAAACCATAGATATTCAGGCAAGATGTCAGACTATGCTCAACGCATTGGAGATATTTTTTAGATACTTGATAGTTTAACCTCTGGACTTTACTAAGGAACACATTGAATTCATGAGAAAATTTTCACTTCCAAAAGGATATCTGTTAATTGGACACAGTAAATATGTTACTAGCAGAATGAATTTAAGACCAAATAATACTTTAAAGTAAAATTGTAATTAAAATTTAAGTATTGAAACACCTGAGCAATCATAGATGTTACTGATGGAATACTCTTTCATTTAAATTTTATTACCTTAAATAGTTGAAGCTGATTTTTGGAAAAAGTTGGTAAATTACAAGGAAGCGTTAAAAGTGTTTGTCTCCGTACTCCATTATTTATTTATTGATAGATTTTACAACTTACCGCTTAGTAAATAACAACTACCTTTTAATGTACATTTATAAAATACTATTTAAGAAAGATTACGTTCCTATCTTCGACTTTTCAAGAAATCCAGTTGAAGGATTCTACTAATTAATTGATTCAAATAATCCTTAATATGTTGAATCTAAAGAAGAAGTGATTTTAGGATTGTACTCTAAGGCTTAATTGCACCCTTTAATTTTGCATGTAGGATTTAAGAAGGTCTAAGAAAATTTTAAATAATATTGTGATTTAATTTATTCTTTAATAAAATGAATACTTAAGAAAATTAAATTCACATATTTTACAATGCATTATTTTTGGTAATTATAAGTATCCTTTCTATAAACAAAATGATTAGGCCTGAGGATTTGAAGACTTCTTCTTAGAAGATATTGTTTAACAATATGGGATGTGTTTTATAAATAAGTGCTTAACTACTTAATTTTAACTATTATTATATGTTTAATGGAAAATAAAAAACTTTCTTTTTAAATATCAATAGGTTGTGATTGACAAGAATCATAGTTCAATGTTTCTTTTTAATTCACTATAGAATATATTGGTGCCTGTATGAGATTCTGAAATTTATTGGATATTTTTTTTTTCTTATAAGTTAAAGACACATGCGGAATTCAGTTATACTTCGATTATATCTATTAATAATTGTAGATATTCGATGAATGGAGCCTCAATACTTGGTTTCTAAGATTTCACATCCATTTTGAATTCCTATATCAGGACTCGTTTTCGTATTTAAAAGTAGTTAGAATTCCACCATATTTCTTGTTTCGAATTTAAGGTTTTTATGGCTAAGTATGATTCGATTAGGATCTACTTAAATAAAGATCTTACCTTGACTACGCAAAGTTCGAGCATAGGAAAAGCGACATTCAAAAAATTTTGTTGAAATGGTATATAATAAGAATTGATCAGAATCCTTAAGTACTTATGAAGGGTATTGTGTGCAATACTTCTATCACTTTCGAAAAGTAGTTTCTGTTTGATTATAGTCATCTATGAATCTATTATTAGGAAGAGATTCAAGACAGAGTTCCTTAATTAGATTGAAATAGATTCTAGATTCTTTCTGGTATCCTCCTCGTCGAGAATTTTCATAATTTCTTATGAGTTGTAAATTTTGATTTTTATTTTCTTACCAGTAGAGCACAATTCTCCCATTATGTTAAATAATATAAATTATTTTATTAAAATTAATCTGTTTCTAAATCATATAACGTAAGAAACGAAACTCAATCCCCTTAATTAAGAGCCTGACTAATAAAGAAATTTAAAAATCAAAAAATTTCATTTTAAGTAAATGTTATTTTAGTTTAAAGTAAATTATGAGTAATAAAAGATATGTCTTATAAATCTTATTTTACATTTATACTCAATCAATAAATCAATACAAATTTAATTTGGTAACAATAATTACTTTACAAGTTTAATCCAACCCGCACAAACAAGCCAGTCCTAAAATTTCTAAAATTTCATTTACCCAATTTGTCAGAATTCCAATCCAAAGATGAAATCGGCTGTTAACATATCTCTTATTTGTTGAGTAATTCTAATTTTCCTATAACTCCCTTAGGTTTTCCTTCAGCATCTTAGATCTATCTTTATGATGGATACGAATATTTATAAATATTTAAAGCACCATCTCCTCCCTGGGTTGCAAATACATCTCTGTTCTAAGGTAAATGTTTGACTCCCCAAATAGTGGACTTTTATCCTTCATGTGTTAGTGATGCATACCCATTATTGAAAGTTCTCAAATCAAAAACATTAATTTTGCCTAAATTTAATCTATAATTACTTTCTAAGGTAGTGGCTATTAACTTATTCATTTAGATATCCTTTCTATCAAATTCAATCCCGCAGATTCCATTTTTTACATTAGTATCCCAAATCAACTGATTTTATTTTAGATCAAATAGCTTAATATCTCCATTATCATAACCACAGGCAATAACACGTTCATCATTATATGAATTACCAAATGCAACACTCCAAGCATCAGGTATAACATCTTTTCCTATGGGCTCTAATGATACAACTGGGGCTGCTTATCTTGGATCCCATACTCTTACACATCCATCTCTGGAACCAGTTACAATTTCAGGAGCTCCAATATTGAAACAAGTATCAATCGAATTAATTATTTGATCGTGTGCCTTAACTTCAAATGTGGTCTAATATGTAATTAAACTCTACTTTTCTAGTTTCTAGATCTATAACTTTCAGTTTTCCATCAAAATCACCAAATGCAAATAAATTATCCAAAAATTATCCACATTTTATTCCTTTAGGTTATTCAATCTAATGATATATGTATTTATAACTGATGCTAAGGTTTGAAGTTCTGTTTTATTCAACTACAATATTTCAATAATTCCGTTTGCTTTAGGTGGCTGACCACATAATACAAATTTTGCAGTTCCTGGAATCCATCTTGTGACAAAAGGAGTGAAGTTTAGTGATTTATTGAGATGCTCAATAATTTAAGGGGCATTTGTTGTGTCCATTATTTATTTATTAATTATTTAATTATCATTTTAATATATGCAAAATTAATTATAAAATTTTGTATTTTCATTGTAATTCCCTTAATCTCTTAATCGTTGTTGAATGCAATGAACTATCAAGGTACTTGTTTATATGATTTAATAATCGTATTTTTTTAACATAACCACAACTCTCTGATGACTCCATTGAAACTGATGTTGATACTTCTGTGGGTTCCCACACTTATTTTACATATTCTAATCCATTTTTATCGCCTTCGCTTAATAATTCTTAAAATATTTATTCATCAAAATGTTTAGATGCAAGTTTCAAGCATACAGCTTCAGAATTCATTAATTATTTATCAATTAATATAAATTTTTATTTACTATCAGTTCTAATTATAAGTTATCAAAATTCTACTTCCATACGGCCTGATTTCTGCGAATCAATATCAATTCCAATGTGTGCAATTATTTGTAATAATATTTACTTAACAAACTTGCAATTTATTTGACTTTTTAACTTTAATTCCGCATCTCATCAAATTACTAGATAATTTTATAGTTATGGTAGAATAGTTATAAATGAATTTACTTTCTATATAAAAGTAATGACAACAAATTAAAGAATTACATTAAATAAAAATAAAAATCAATTCCTCATTATTCATTTATTCTATTTTTTTAAATATGTAATGAATTGTCTATTATTTTTTTTTGGTTTTTAAAAGCTAAAGAAGCTTTTTGATTTTCTTTCTCTAACAGTCTAATCTGTTATGATTTCATTCATCTCAGTACTAATTTATGTACAAAGTCTAGTTGATAAATTTAATAAAATTCCTTGCGTGTCAACTAATTTGCACTCTAATTCGCTTAGTTTATTTTTTAAAAAGAGGATTTATTCAGATTTCTTAATTAATTCCTAGTCTTAATTCTAAATAATTTAAACTTGCTCTTCGTAAAGTGCAGTATAGGTTAAATTTGATTTGTTCATTAAAGGAGTATGAATCATTGATTAAGAAATGAAATTACTTAAATAAATTTAACAAATAAATTGTAAATAATTTCAATTGTAATTCAATATTCAAATTAAGTTATTCTTAACAATCCTTCACTTGTAAATAAAGAACTCTAGAATGAATAAATTCAAAATTCAAGAATAGTAATTTGTAATTTATACAATATAAATTATAAATAATTAATACAAAAATGTGTGACACAAAATGTGAATGCATACCTTTGTAATTAATCAAATCTCTTTAAAAGAAACAGAAGATTTCTGATATTGACTTACAAGGCTGCAATGTAGAGCATTTAACATAATTGAACCAAATCAAACAAGAAGTAGAGAAATTATATTTAGCATCAAATCGAATTTAAAATTTAGAATATATGCCATTAAATCTACTCTATTTGGACATATCCAATAATAGTATTGCTAATGTAGACTATCTATAGCAATTATAAAAATTAAGAGTGCTGAGGTGTGGAAATAATTTAATAGAGCAATTTGAAATTCATTTACCATAACTTGAGATTTTGGATATATCGAATAATTATTTAGATAAATTGCCAAACAAAATACCGAATTTGCTTTCTCTGAACATCTACGCTAATTCATTTAAGAATTATGAGAATGATGCTAAATTGAAATACAAAAAATTATAAATATTGGATGGTTGCATTATTTAGCAATCATTGGAAACAGAATACATAATAAAACTGCAGGAACAGCAATTAGCTTAGAAATTTTAAATGAACATAGATTATTTGAATAAGTGGAGACAAGAGGTTTTCAAATAATTGGTTTAAAATAAATAATACAAATTACTTACTTATGATCATTTCAAAACCATTTAGCAATTAGTTTTAAAGAACTTTGGACAAATGAAATATCTTTAGATGATTGAAAAGAGAACCAGATAATTGTAGTAATTATAAAAAAAGTTGTTTAAGTGTTCAAGTAAATTAAAGAGACAATAACAATAAAAGCAACATGAATAATAATTTTTGATTTATTCCCTTAAACATCTGTTAGAAGAGGAAACTTAAGATGAAAAACTAGATGTTTTAATAAAAAAATGTTCAGAATAAATAACTAAAATGAAATAACAAAATTTATCAATCCAAATATAGATGTAGGGAATATAATAAGAAAATGAACATTTAAAGGCACAAGTTGATCACTTTAAATCAATGTATAATTAAATAAGTAAGTTTATTGACTCAATATCTTTTAGAGCAGATTAATCTAAAGAATGAAGATTCTAGTAATTAAGATAAGAGCAAAGGTTTTGTGAATTTGTATTCGTAGATTAAGAATTTAGAGGAAGAAAAATTGAAATTGCAATTTGAATTAAATAGTTGCTAAGAAAGATAGAATGTTGAAATATTGCATATTAAAGCATAATTGGAATAACAAATAGCTTTATTAGGACAAGAGAATTAGTTTCATAAACAAAAGTTTAATCTATAATAAGAGGAGATTAAAATAAAAATGGATTAAATTTAATAGCAATATGAAAAACAATTATCATTATAAAATGTAGAGCATTAAACACAATGTGATAAAATAAGAAGTGACTATTAGTAAATAATAGATAATTATGTACTTAAGGATTAATAAAAAAACTCTGATATTTTGAAGTTAAGAGATTTGTAAAATGATTTAGAATTATAAATAAGATAAATTAGATAGGAAGGAGATTTTAGTTAAAGAGAATATTCAAATTAAATTAAAGAATTGCAATTATAAATTAGATAATAGAAAGAGAAAATAATAGACCAAGAGAATTTAATATTACAACTCAAATAGGAAATGTAGAAGTAATAAGAGATTGTTGAAAAGTAATTAGAATAAGCTAATCTTGAACAACAAGAAATCTAAAATTAATTATAAAAAACTATATTTGATTAAAGCAATGAAATCTAGGAGTAGAAAGCTTCTAAAAATAAACTCTCAAAGTAAAATATGGATTTGCTAAAAATGATAGAGATGAAGGATGGGGTAATTAGATCATTAACACTTGAGTCAACAAAAAAAATGGAGAATAAGTAACTTTAAGCTACAGGAGAGCAGAAATATCAAACCCTTCCTGATTAAAAATTCAGCACTCTATTCAATTAAAGTGAATAAAAAGTATTATCAGCTTAAAGTGAATTAGAAAGAAAAGCCTTATAAATATTATAAGATGATGATTATTGAATTATCGTTAATTTTATAAATAACAACTTTTTATCACAACTCTGGATAGTAGAATACAGAACCACAGGAAACCAATGGCTAAGCAGAAAACTAAGAGTAATTCTCTTTTTCCTCTATCTCCTCATCTTCTCCGTTCAATTTGCAATTACAAGTTCGAATTTATAATTACTCATCAAAACAAACTTTTAGTTATCCTAAAAAGAATTTCCCTGTCACTTCTACGGAGAATTAAATTATTAAATACAATGTTTGAAACAAGAGAAAGTAATCTTAGCACTTGAACCTAATACTGCTGCAAAGGCATTTCTTATATCAGATTCAACTAATGGTCTACTATCATCAGGATAAATTTCAGATTTAGCCAAAATCGAATAATAGTTGTATTTTTATGCTAATCCTGCTGCTGTCTAAAAGAAATAATTCTATGAGACTTCCCCTGGGTAGCAGGTACCATGTTTTTCCCATTCATATCTTCATATAACCTCTATATATATACCCTCTAAAAGCTTCGGTGTCTGAATATAAGCCATTCCAAACCAAATTCAATACATCTTTAGTATTTTATTATATTTTAGATGAATCATATGGATCTGTTCTACAATATTGGATTGATCCACAAGATGAGGTTAGTTAAGTATTAGGCCATAAACCATGTATATTCCAGCGTTGTCCATCATATTTTCCCATATATGGACAGCTAGGTTCAACATTGCATACAGATCCAACCCATTCTTATGCTAGGATGTACATATAGGTTGTAGCTTCTAATGAGTATGAAGCATTAATCAAAATACAAAGAACTACAAAAACTTGTATATTTCTTGCTTTCATTACGTATTTGATCAAATATTGTTTAAATATTTATAATTTATTCGTGTAGAATAATTGTTGTTATTATTATATTTTAGATATGTAGTATTTGAAATTAGAACCAATATCTAAGTATTTTATTTGTATACCATTAATAACACTAGTTGTACTTATTATTGGTTAAACTATTATTGAAATTATTATTACAATTCTATGACAATAACTAATCATATACATTAAAAACCTTATATAGATTAAAATGTCTAACAAATTTTGTTAAATATGTTTTTCACCTAATAAAGTGTCTAGTACATAGTATTTTGAAAGATCTTTTTCTTCTTGATATCTACTGCTCTTTTTGAACTACTAAAGAAGAGAATATGAAGGATTTGATTTATTTTGAAAATGAATGGGATTGAAGAGTTTTCATGATTTTAAGGCAGAAAGTTGCGTGAAATGAAAAAATGAGATTATTTTATATACAAATATGATGACGGTATCGTTAATTTTTATTGACTTTATAGTAATTTAATTTTGATTAAATATAAATCAATATAGAATCGAATATATTATTAATTTTATAACAATGACGTAAAAGTTTATATTTTAATGACTTCAAATCTAGTAATTTAAATGCTATGATCAAATTGTTTGACATTAATAATAAATCATGTCCAAAACAATATTAGCATTAGGAACTATAGCTTTGATTGGAGCTCTATTAATGGCCAACTAACCTTAATCTGTTGATTATGTTTCTAAGTTTGAAGCATTCAAGTAGAGATTCGGAAAAAGATATGGATCAACAGAGGAAGCATACAGATTGGCTGTCTACACCCAGAACTTATTATTTGCTGAAGCTCACAATCTATAGAAAGGAAAGAGAGTATTTGGAGAAACTATCTTTTTCGATTTGACTCAAGAAGAATTTGCATAAATATATCTCACAGCCCAGGCAACTGAAGAAGACTTGAATGTGACAAGAGTCTCTGCTAGATCAAACAACCTCCAAGCTTCAGTAGATTGGACTACTTAAGGTGCTGTGACTCCAATCAAAGATCAAGGATAATGTGGTTCTTGCTGGACTTTCAGTACAACAGGTGTTTTGGAGAGTTTCTTCTATCTCACAACAGGAGAATTGCCAGATCTATCAGAATAACAATTATTGGACTGCTCAACAGTTATCGATTTCAACAAGGGTTGCGATGGAGGTTTACCAGCTAGAGCTTTGAACTACGTTAAAAGAAATGGTATTACTACTGGTGCAGCTTATCCATATGTAATTAATATTTTTAATTTAGACTGCCGTTCAAGGAACATGCAAAATTAAGGGAGGTGCCTATCACATTAAAGGATCTTAAGTTTTGGCCAAGGATGAGGAAACTTTGGTTGCCTACTTAAACAAGGGACCAGTCTCAGTCGGAGTAGATGCCACTAACTGGTAATACTATAGTCCAAAGGATGAAAAAGTGTTCAGTGATTGTGATACTAAAATGAATCACGTAGTATTGGCTGTAGGATATGACGATAAGGCATTCAAACTCAAGAACTCTTGGTCAACTAGTTGGGGAGTCAAGGGATATATCTTTTTGGCCAGAGGAAAAAACACTTGTGGTATCTATGATACAAACGTTGTTCCAATTTGATTAATCACATTATATTTTATAAGGGCATTATTAAATTATTAATTATTACATTTCATTCTGTAAATGAATAATTCAACTATATTGTTGAAGGAATCTCGAGAGTATCTATTAATTCATGATAGATAAGGATAATAATGATATCTCTTATAACTTCATTCATATATTATTTAATAGCATAAAAATGAAGTAAAATTAGACAGTTTCTTAAGTTCTAAAATAATATCTATGAATAGAGTAATTCAGATTAAAAATTAAGTTTTGAGGAAGTATTCAATTAATTTATAATAATAATTTATAATATAATTTGATGAGTGGATCCCCTTAAGTTAGGAAATTAAACTTCGGCCCTTTAGTAAAGATAAAGAAATAAATAAACTTACCTAAAATAAGAAAGTAAGAAGAATCGTTTTAGGCTGCTTTAAATATTTCTGATTATGATCCATAATCTGCTAGAGACAGATCGTTTAATAATAGATCATTTAGGAAATTAGTTCACACAACCAATATAAATTTATCAACAGATAAAAAAATATCAGAGGAATATGCAGTCTATGGATTATCAAAATTAAAAATTGAAAGAAAAGAGCAACCTTTTTAAAGTGAACGAACAATCAAGCATCTATATTATACGCAATAGGATGAAAATACTAATAGGGATTGGTTTGAGATTTGTTTAAGGTAACCACCACCTCATGCACAGGCATAATTTTATAAATAATCGGAGAAGTATATTTTAAATTGACCCTTAGATAATACGAATGGTGTGATGTTTAAATTTTAGATTACAACGAAGAGTCAGAGAAATTTTTAATTCAATAATATCCTAAAGGTCCCAAGAAACAAGTAGATCGATTGCAAATTAAATTCAATAACTAAAATCAATAGTTTTTCGAAAGCATGATTTAATAAGAGTAACGAATTCTATAGTATATAGGTAACTGTAGCTTCATGAGAAGTAAACTGAACTAGCCTATGTTAATAAAGTCATGGCTGTGGATTCTAAATTAGTTAATTCCATTTCTGATAAACTAAAATAGAAACTCTTGATAAGATTCTAAAAGTACAAAAACTAAAATTTAGTTACGAACCTAATTGCTTAAGTGGAGGATATGTATCACTAAAACATGAAGAAATGTGTGTATTTGAAGGATTTGACTAAATATAAATAAAAGTTTGCTCCGATTCCCAGAATGAAGATATTTTATACTTCATAGTAACAACTAAAGAAGAGTCTCATGTTTGTGAATAAGGCTGTGATAGATTGTTGGTTACAGATGATTCGATTTATGAATAATTTCTAAGTGAATTTGTTTGAATTTGACAAAGTGCATTTGCCTGTCTCTTGGGAAAAGTTTGAATAGCTTATTGATGCCAATATGAATAAAATTGAATAGCAATTGAAAAAATAGAGGTTCTTTATTTATGCTCAAATCCAAGAGAACTTATAGAACACGTTTAATTTCTTTAACATTACGATGCCTGAATATGTGGCAAGTGATCTCAAAAGCGTAGTCTAAAGATTTGATTTACATTATACTGAATATCTCTATAAGTTATTAAGGGATGAATAATAGAAGATAATCAGATTTTATTAAAAGTTTCAATTGGTTCAATAGAATATCAGATTGGTTGCAACTTCCTTGTTTCAATTAAGAATTGTTGGGATGAATAAATCCAAGTTGGAAAAGTACGAATAAACCAGGAATTCTATCAATGATGATTTGGAATTGATAACCTTGGATACTTCCTTGAGTCAAGTGATCAATATAGCAACCTATCCAAATAGAAGTTTATTCAATATCATTTCTTAATTGTATAAAATTGAAAGCGAAATAGTTCCATTGTTGAAGATTCCTTAACAATACTCAATCGAAAGAGAAAACTTGGCTTTTTTTGAAGTCTTAAAGTAAGAAACCGCAGATCTCATTGAGAAAGAATACTCTAAATGTTAATAGTTTTGCAAGAAGTTTCTGCCTTATCAATACTTATTGATACCTATGAAAACCAAAGCCATTAATAAAATCTTTGGGATCGAAGGGAAGGAGAAACCTACCCTACATTAGATTAGACTCTCTGTCATTCGAGAAGCCTTGGACAATCTGAGCAAAGCTTAAAGAGAAATAAACTATAACTTTATTGACACTTAGGTCATTGGACTATTTACTTTGAATTCTAAGGAAATAAAACAAATCTTAATATAGAGAGCACAAGAAAACTATTAATTGATTGTGTAAAAATTAATCGAAATAATTAAGCACAATGTAACCAATATAAAAACACACTATTAAGAAATGTATGCTAAAACTTCAACAGTTCCTTAAACAGAAGAAGATCTGATTGAATTGAAGTTATTTCTTGATGAAATTAAGATATAATTCTCGAAATAATTTTTAGAAATTTCATAAATGTAATAATCATCTGTAATTCCTTATTAGTAAGAAGTTTATCAATTACTTGGATGAGATCTTTTAGGAGTATGACTTGATGCTAATGAAAGAGTATTACTACCTATTGCAATGGCCAAAAGAGATTAAAAGAAGCATTAAGACTAACAGTAGACAGATAGAATCGATTGAGAGACAATTCTTCTAAAAGTTAGAACACGATAAAGTTGAATTCACAGAGAAGTTATTTTAGATGAAAGAATAATTCACAAAGATTAAAGGGTTCAATTAATTTGGAATTGTGAAGCAATAAGCAAATGAAATGAAGATATTGGCAGATTGGATATTTTAGGGATAAGAATAAATAAACTCATTTAACCAAAGGGAGACTATGTTTTAGATCCCATTATCATAATATAGAGAATTCCATTAACTAGTTACAGAATTCAAACCTTTCTAGTATTTGTGGGAATTGGCAAATGAATATGAATTTTAAAAGGAATCATGGCTCTATGGTTCATTTAAAAATTTGAATCACCAATAAATCCTATAAAAATTGACATATTATGTAAATGAAACAATGGTTTTATCCAATACATTTAAAGAAATTACTGATGAAAATGGATAATCAGTAACAAGAGGGTTTAGAAGAGCTTTAGATGCATTCAAAGATAATTTATGGGTTGTAGAAACTCTTGCAATAGAGGCATTTACAAAGAAGCCAGTGTTGTGGAGAGAACTCTTTAAAGAGTGCAGGATTTAGAATTTCGACCCAAAGGAAGATTTCTCCTTGTAATCACTAATCTAAAGAGGAATTCTTAATGTTAAGGAATAGGTTGTACAATTATCTTAAAAAGTGGAGAAGGGTTGGAATATAGAAAAAAGATTGAATGAAATGTATGATAAATTAGTAATCATTGAGATAGAACTGTAAGAATTCAGAGAAACATTCATCTAGAAAAATTATGAAGAAGTTCAAACATTATTGGATGAGTAATTGAATGTATTATCAATGTTAAAGAGTTAACAACATATAAAAATGGTATTAGGGAAAGCAAATTAATTGGAATATAAGATAGTATTGATTCAGGATACATTGGAATTGGGAATGAAATGCTAAAAACATTGGATGTATTTGGATCCAATATTTGCAAGTGAAGATATAAAGAGGAAATTAGTGGAAGAGACTGAATACTTTAAATTGGTTGATTAATCCTATAGATAATAGATGGCTATTTTAAATAAAAATAAGATATTATGGGATTCGATTGATAATGAAAAGATAAAGCAAGAGTTTCAGAATAATGTGCAATTATTGGATTCTATTCAAAAATCATTGTCAAAATATCTAGAATAAAAAAGGACCTTATTTCCTAGGTTCTATTTTGTTTCAGATGAAGAACTCATAGAAATATTGGCTTTGGTGAAGGACCCAAATTTACTGCAGAAACATATCTTCAAATGTTTTGAAGGGATGCATGAATTAAAATTCGAAGGGAATCATTCATTATTAGGGATGATGTCTTCCTAATAGGAACTAGTAATTTTTGACAAGAAGATAGAATTGTTGAAAGGAGAGAAGTAAGGAAATGTTGAGTAATGGTTGTGTGAGTTGTAAAGAATAATGGTTCAAACATTAAGAACTCAATTGAATAAGACATTGCAAGACTTAAACTCTTAGAAATAGGATTATATTAGTAAATGGCCAACATAATGCATTCTATTAGCTGATCATATCAAATGGACTAGAAATACTGAATCAGCAATAAGGGAATTGTAAAAAATGAATTTGCATATCCATTTGGAAATCCTAACGAAACAATTGTAGGAGACAGTTTAATTGGTCAGGAATGAGGAGAGAATGGTAATGAAAACAACATTGGAAGCTATGGTAGTAATGGAAGTTCATTGTAAAGATATTGTGCAATAATTAATACATTAAGATGTCAAAAGTATTTATGATTTTGCTTGGGTTTCTTAATTGAGATATTATTTTGAAGATGAGGGAGTAAATGTGAGGATGGTAAATGCATAAATTCAATATGGGTTCGAATATTTAGGTAAGGTCACAAGATTAGTAATAACATCTTTAACTGATCGATGCTAAAGAACATTATTGAGTGCCATGCATTTAAATTATGGAGGTGCTCCTGAAGGTCCAGCTGGAACCGGCAAATCTGAAACAGTGAAAGATTTAGCAAAGGCAGTTGCTATGCCTTGTATTGTATTCAATTGTTCAGATGGTCTCAATTACATAGCAATGGGTAAATTAATAGTATTATAAATTAAGGTAAATTTTTCAAAGGGTTATCTTCTTCTGGAGCTTGGTGTTGTTTCGATGAATTTAATAGAATAGATCCTGAGGTCTTGTCAGTGGTTGCTTAATAGATTTTTACCATATAGAAGGCAATCAAAGAAAAAAAAAATAGATTTACATTTGAAGGTGAAGAAATTAATTTAATTCCTACTTGTGCTATTAACGTAACTATGAATCCAGGATATGCTGGTCGATCTGAATTACCTGATAATTTAAAAATTCTATTCCGTCCATGTGCCATGATGGTACCTGACTATGCAATGATCGCAGAAATTTATTTATATAGTATTGGTTTTGAGAAGGCTAGAGAGTTAAGTCCAAAGATTGTGACATGTTTAAAATTGTGCAATGAATAACTGTCTCCTTAAGAACATTATGATTTCGGAATGAGAGTACTTAAGGCAGTCTTAAGCACAGCCAAATAGTTAAGTACTGGATCCGAAGAAGTCATATGCTTAACAGCCTTGATTAATGTTAACAAACCTAAGTTCACTTAGAGTGATGTCCAACTATTCTTGGCTATAACTCAAGACTTGTTTCCAAGTATTAACCCATTAAATTAAACATCTCAAATATTGGTTGATTACTGTTGTGAGAACAATTACTAACCTGACATAGATTTTCAAGAGAAATGCTAATAATTGCATAATACAATATCAGTTAGGAACGGTGTGATGTGTATCGGGAAAACATTCTCCGGAAAGACAGCAGCAATCTCAACTCTAGGAAAATCTTTGGGTGCTCAAACACTTAAATTGAATCCGAAAGCAGTAACTACTGATTAATTGTATGGGAAGCTTGATCCAGATACCAAATAATGGTCTGATGGAATATTACCTATATTAATAAGGGAAAACTTAAATAAACCAACAAAGATCTGGATTTGGTTTGATGGACCTGTAGATTCATTGTGGATAGAAAATTTGAATACTGTTTTGGATGACAATAAAAAGTTGTGTTTGACATCAGGAGAGATCTTAAAGATACCACAGACCATGTGTATGTTATTTGAAGTTGAAGATTTATCTGCTGCATCTCCAGCTACAATATCAAGATGTGGTATGGTATACTTCTTATAGATTGATTGGTAATAGATTGATTAATGTAAGGTACCTGCAAGTGCAAAGCATTTAGTTACCAGGAGGTTTGGAAAAATAGTATTTTATAAGAAGAATGAGATTGTAAGTATTTGTACTATATAATATAGTTTGATAGATCATTCCTATGCATGGGTGAAGGAGTATGTATAATTTCCTGTGTATGATACTATAAATTTAATGGTTTAGAGTTTTATTTCATTATTGGTTTAGTTATTGAAATCTCTTTCTGAGAATCAATAGAACAGTAATAATTGGGATAGTTGCTTGATATTCGCTTTAGTTTGGTCTATTGGAGGATGTTTAGAGGAGAAAGGAAGATCTTTGTTCAATGACTTTTTACACAAGTTATTTAGAACTAATAAAAGTGGATTGAAAACTAATTTTGGAGATGATTTGGAGTTGAAATTAAATTTTCCAGAGAAAATAGAGTTCTTTTCTTGTGTGTTTTAGGATGGACTATGGATCAAATGGACAGATGTATTTATATGATTTAATAGAGCAGTAGTTAACTGAAAAATTTGAAGTGTAGCCAGGGATGTAATTTCATGAGATTATTATACCTACTGCTGAATTGATGAGAAATGATTATTTTTGTAAAATGGGATTGCACTTCCTCTTTTGTGGTCCAACAAGTACTGGAAAGTCATTGTCTATGAATAAATTCTCAAAGTTTCAGATTACTTGTTCAGGACAAACCACAAGCAATAGTTTACAACGATTGATTGAAACTAAAATAAATAAAAGAAGAAGAAAAGGATATTATGGAGCTGAAGAAGGACATATAATGATATTTGTAGATGATCTAAATATGCCATTTAGAGAACCTTAAGGTGCATAGCCAGCAATTGAATTGTTGAGATAATGGATGGATTAAGGGGGTTGGTATGATTTAGAAAATAAGGAATTCAAATACATGTGTGACATCACTTTTCTGAGTGCTATGCAACCAGCCAGTGGAGGAAGGGATTAAGTGAGCAAACGATATCTCAGATATTTTAATCTATTGTACATAGGAGGATTCGACAATTAAAGCATCTCAAATATATTGTAAGTTTTTGTTGAGTGGGTGTTCCAAAAGATATAACCCTCATAAGATATACTAAAGATGAAGAATGATATAGTATTTCATACAATCTAAGTTTATGACAAGATTTAATTGAGTTTGTTGCCCACTCCTGCTAAGAGTCTATACATTTATAATTTAAGGGATTTGATTAAAGTATTCGAGGGAATGAGCAAAGTGGCCAGAATTAACAATCAATATAACCTAGTTAAATTGTGGACTCATGAATGTCTGAGAGTGTTCAGTGATAGATTGATAGATAGTTATGATTTGAAGATCTTTGAAAATGTACTCAAGGAATCTACCACTTAAATCGGTTATCAAATTTAAGATTATAAAAATCTAATTTATGTATCTTTCTTACATAATGCTTATGATGATGCAGGTAATGTTGTAAATGTTAAGATAAAATTGCAACAAGTTCTTGAAGAGTACAACTAAATGAATCAATAACATGCATTGAGTCTCATCTTATTTAACAATGCTGTGTTGCACATCTCCAGAATAGCTAGAATATTGTTAGCCATTCAAGGACATGCTCTATTGGTTGGCATGGGTGGAACTGGAAGAAGTATTCTCTATTATTATTAATAAGCCTCTCTATCCAAATTAGCCAATTATATCATTTTCGGTGAACATGTCCAAACAGTCGATCCAAGATAATGGGATGATTAGCTATTAGGTATTTTGAAACACATAGGTTTGGACGATCACAAGTCTACCATCATATTCAATGATTCCCAATTTTAGACTGAATCCATGTTGGAAGATGTGTGTAACATTATGAGTCATGGAGAAGTACCACATCTATTCCCTCCTGAAGAGAGAATTAAAATCCAAGAAGAAATGACTTATCCAAAATTTGTTCTGAATTGCAAATTAAATACTCATGTCATCCTATGCATGCAACCAGTAGGTACACAATTTAGAAAACGGTTAAGGATGTTCCCTACTATCATCAATTGTTCTACCATTGATTGGTTTATGAGTTGGCCAGATGAGGCATTAGAATCTACGGCCAGCTAATTCCTCCCTTAAAATCTAGTCAAAATAGCTGTAGATATTCATCACAAAGTCTTAGAAATCAAAGAGAGATTCACCTAAGAACTTAGAAGACACTTTTATGTAACACCCACACAATATTTGTAATTACTGGCAACCTTCAAAAAGATTCACACTGAAAAAAATGAAAATTCAAGAATTTCTATTGACAAATTTGAAACTGGAGTTGAAAAAATCATTTAAACTGAAAAAGAAGTAGATAAGATAAGAAAAGTACTATTTGAATTACAACCGAAATTGGAAAAAGCTACAGTTGAAAATCTTGAATTACTAAAAAACATTTAAAAGAAATAATAAGAAGCAGATTAAACTAGATTGATTTGTGAATTTGATGAATAATAATGCAGCCTGAAAAGAGAGGAAGCTAATTAATTAAAAGACATATGTTAAAAGTAACTAGACAATGTACTTCCTTTGTTATCCAAAGCAACAGAGGCTCTTGAGAAAATCACAAAAGATGATATGATATTATTAAAGTCATTTCAAAAGCCTCCACCCTCTGCTGCAGTTGTTATGCAAGGATTGTGTTATGCATTCCAAGAAGATGAAAAAGTAAAAGGGAAAAATAATGGCAAAGAACCACCACAAATGGAAGACTTTTGGGAGTATTCCAAAAAATATGTTTTAAATGAAAAACTAATTAAGAGAATTAAAAAAATGAAAATTGAAGAAATTAGAGCTATTCATCCAACCAAAATCCAAAAATTATCAGTTTTCATTTAAAATCCTTTATTTGAAAGAGAAAAAGTATTTAATGCTTCAATGGCTGCAGGCAACCTTGCTGATTGGATTAGAGCAGTCTATTCTACTTATGAAGCTGTTGAAATTATTGAACCAAAGAAAGCATAATTAGTCGAAGCTGAGAAAAATCTTAAGTTGGCAGAAGAATAAGTTGAAATCAAAAGGTAAGCATTAGCCGAAGCTATGCTTGTTTTGAGTGTATTATCAGTTGAGTACTAAAAGGCTAGAAAAGAAAAAGAAGAAATTGAAAAGAAAGTTTCACAAATTTAGGCTCAATTAAATAGAGCTGAAAAGTTAACCAATGGATTAGGTGAAGAAAAACAAAGATGGAAAAGAAAAGTAATTGCCTATAAATCAGAATAATCAAATGCTGATGGGGATTGTTTAATCAGTGCTGCCATCATATCCTATTTAGGTGTGTTCCCAATCTAGTATAGAGAATAGTGTCTACAATTTTGGAAATTAAAATTAAAGCAAAATTAAGTCAACTTCTCTGATGATTACTCATTGTAAGCTCAATTATGCGATCCAATTCAAATAAATAAGTGGATTCAATAAAAATTACCAAATGATTCCTTCTCTATTGATAATGCTATCATATTAAAATAATCAACTAGATGGCCACTCATGATTGACCCTTAATTGTAAGCTAATGAGTGGATCAAAAACATGGAAGATATTAAAGTACTATTAATACTTAATTCTACATAACCACCTTAATAAGTCTAATTATAATTAGAACATGCCATCTAAATTGGCTATCCTGTCCTACTTGAAAATCTAGGATAAAGTATTGACCCTCTGTATGAACCTATTCTATAATAAAAAATAATTAGGAAGCAAAATAAATGCTCTATCAAATTCGGTGAAAAATTAATTGAATATTCTAATGATTTTAGATTTTACATGACCACTAAACTTAATAATCCTCATTTCCAACCTTAAGTATGTGTAATGGTGAATATGTTGATGTTTCAAGTAACATAAGAGGGATTGGTAGATTAACTTTTAAATATTGTTGTTAAAATAGATGAACCATAGAAAGAAGAATAGCGTATTAAAAATATTTAATCTAATTTTATAAATAAGAATAAGCTCATTTAAACTGAAACCCTAATTTTAAAATTACTTTCTGAATCAAAGGGAGAACTGTTAGAAAATGAAGATCTTATTTAAACACTCCAAAAATCTAAAGATGAGAGTCTATCAATTGAAGAAAAATTAAAGGGCTTAGAGTATGATAGAGTAAATTTCAATTAAATAAGATAATTTTATAAACCCGCTGCAGAAAAAGTAGCAAGTCTATATTTTATTTTGAATGATCTTGCTGTCATAGAACATACATATCTTTGGTCTCTTGATTTCTATTTCTCACTCTACACAAAATCGATAAAAGAGGCACAATATGAAAAGTCTAAGAGAAATTAAAACATTATTGAAAAGTTTATATTAACTCTTTATACATAAATTAATAGATCTTTGCTAGAGAAGGACAAATTAATATTTAGATTTTTATTGTGCGTGAAAATGATGAATGTTCCAACCGATCTTATAAGAGCCACTGTTATGGGTTGCACTCTTACATCAACTGATATTTAAATTCCCAAAGGATTTCCATGGTTAACTAGTAAAATGTGGTTAGAACTTGTCGATTTAACAATATAATTTCCATAAATATTTGAGACTATTTGTTCTGAATTTGTTGAGTAAAAGACTTTTTGGGATAGCTTCTATTAAAGTCAAACTTGTTATAAAATGCAATATAAAGAGTTAGACTAATACTAGGTAAATATGCTCATCAAGATCATTAAACCTGAGTAGTTTATATAGGCTACAAATGAGATGATACGAAAATAAATAGGAAGTGCATTTTTAGAGAATATTCCAACTACTTTTGAACAATTCTATTTAAAATCTGATAACAAAATACCATTATTGTGCTTGATTACTCCAGGAGCAGATCCTAGGTAGGAAATCATCAAATTGGCTTCGAAGTATGAATTTGAAGATAAATTCAATTAAATTTCATTAGGTTAAGGGTAGAGTCAATTAGCTATAAAAATGATACTCAGTGCAATGTCTTAAGGTTCATGGGTTTTACTGCAAAACTGTCATTTAGCATCTTCTTTTATGCCAGATTTAGAATAGTTATTTGAGACGCAATATAAGAAAGAAATAAATGCTGATTTTAGATTATGGCTAACTTCCTAGCCAACTTCAATATTACCTCATAATGTTATATTAAAATGTATAAATGAATAATAATTTAGCTTTAAAAATCACTTATGAATTACCAAGAGGATTGAAAAATAATATGTTAAGATCTTACTAAACACTGGAAGCTGATAAATTCGAATAATGCAAAAAGTTAAAAGAATGGAAAAATCTATTTTTTTCACTTTCGCTTTTACACGCTTGTTTATTGGAAAGAAAGAAGTATGGTCCATTGGGATGGAATATTGGATACAATTTTTCATAACATGATTTGGAAATATCAAAAGAACAAATATTATTCTTTTTAGATCAATATTCTGAAATCCCTTGGGATGCTCTCCATTATCTAATAGCAGAAAACAATTATGGAGGTAGAGTAACAGACCCAATGGATAGAAAACTCTTGAAAATCTATGTAGAGGACTTGGTGAATCAAAAGACAATTTCTCAAGATTATATTTTCTATGACATTTATTAAACACCACCTTAGATGAATCTAAAAGGTTATATCGATCACATATCATAATTGCCTTTGAATGACCCTCCTTAATTATTTGGTTTGCACGCAAATGCAGAGATATATTCAGCAATATTGGAAACTGAGAATTTGAGTTCAGTGATACTTTAATTATTACCTAGAACTTAAGGAGATTCAGCTCAAAAACATACAGATAGTTTAGTATGTAAAAAAAGCTAAGAAATTCTTAAAAATTTACCATCTTAATTCAATATTGATGAAGTACAATAACTATTTCCATTAACTTTGGATAATCCTTTGAATGCTGTCATCTAATAAGAAATTACTAAATATAATAGACTCCTAGCAAAGATATAAGATTCTTTAAGTGTACTTGTTTAAGGTTTAGATGGATTCATTAACATTTCTGATCAATCTCTAGAGATATATAATTCTGTTTTTGATAATAAGATCCCTGAATAATGGTTAGCTTTATCTTATTTAACAACAAAATCCTTGGGTTCTTGGGTGACAGATCTAAAACAGAGAATTGAATTTCTAAATAAATGGATTACAAAAGGATAACCTAGAGTATTTTGGTTAGGTGGACTATTCTTTATATAAGGTTTCTTAACAGCAATCTTATAATAATACTCAAGAAAATCTAAAATTCCAATTGATTAATTGAGATTTGACTTTAAATTTCATCAGGATGAACCATCTGTAAGTGGAAATGAAGTATATGCAAATGGAATTTCTATTGATGGAGCATCTTTTGATTTCCAAGAATCAACCTTAACTGAACCTTCAAGCAGCATTTTATTTTATCCATGTCCTATCATATAATTTTGTCCTACCTAAGAAATTGTCAAAACTTACAAGTATTATTCATGTCCACTCTACAACACTTCCCAAAGAAAAGGAGTGTTAACCTCAAATGGACTATCAGTCAATTTTATCTGTAAAATTAAAGTACCAATAAATAACAATAAAGAACATTGGTCTAAGAGAGGAGTAGCATTGATTATTCAAGCTAATTGAAGACTATAATTAATTATTCAAAATAATTAACCTAATTTAAGACTATAATCAATTATTATTCTTTGTTATAATATTGTTAGATTCTTTGGTTTAATTATTTCTTTAAAATTTACATAATAAGACACAGAAATTGAATAAAACAAAGCAATATTAAATATTCATAAATTTAATATAAAACTCACGGTTAACCAGATTATTTCCTAAGATTCACACAGGTTTATCCATCGCAAAATGGCACACTTTTTGTTAATTTGCACCCACATAATTCTAATGAATCTGTTTCTTATTCTAATGTAAATCTATATGGCTTAAATGATGTTCCTTAATGAGAGCCATCACATAAAGGCTGAATTAATTATTGTTATATACTTATTTCTAACTTAATCCACATGCGCACCATCTATATGTCTTATTGGAAACTTTAGGATCCTCTATTTTTATTGGGCCAAGAACAGGGGATGTTGGAATTGGGGTAAATTATTCCGTTTCAGCTTTCTTATTTTGTTTATTCAATCTAATCACTTTTGCTGTCTCCTCTAAATCTTTTAATTGGACAGTGAAACACCTCTTCATTAACATTCTTATCATTTTTCTGATTTATATTAATTTAATTCTTTAAAATATATTAAAAAATATTCCCATAATGTTCGATATCATATAAATCATACACATTTTTTTCATAATAACTTTATGTTTCTAAATGAATTTTTAACAAAATTGAATATATTGATTGATATTCCCTATTAAAATCGTTTTGCATATCTCATTTGAGCTTACCCATTTGCTTACACAATTGGGACATATAAATACTTATATTTACTGCTATTAAAAAGCTCATTACGAGTCATGTTATTCAATATGCATGTTATCTAATTTATAGAATAATCGATTTACTTCAACAAGCAATTCAAAGTTTAAAATAAAAGATAACCCTGTATTGATTAAAAATATCACTGATTGGAATCTACTATATTAATCAATCAAGAAAAATATATTCGGAATTACAATAGCCAAAGAATTAATTTAGTCATAGTAATGCAAAAAAGTAAATAAAAGATGAAAGTCAATCAAGATTGTAAATGAAAGAACAAATAGAAAATAAAAAAAATGGTTAGTTGAATTAATGCATTTACCAAAAAATTTAGAATGGAAGTGATAATCTTTAACCTAAATCTAAACTCAAATAAATTACACACATATTGCAACTTGAACAATGATAAGTTCTTGGTAGTTTATATGAAAGACATGTAAAGCAAATTCTATTCCAATCTATTCTGTGCAATAATTTAAACCTATTTGTCTCAAATAAAAAGTAAACAATATGAATTATCGTAAATCCGTTATACCATAGTGGATCATTAATTTCCAAAAGAGAATTTATTTCTTGCTTGAATTAATTGATTTTATTAGCAAATTTAAAATAGTAAGAAGGTTTTGTATGCATTTGATCTATTAAGTCTTCAACTGGCTTATAATTCAACTATAAAAAGTCTTTTAGAGTAATTCCTTCTAAAAACGATGGAGTCATGTCATTTTGATATAGATTAAATTTCAATCGGCTATCTTTTTGAAATTTCTTCAAGAATTACTATTTTTCATTTAATCCCTCTTCTTCTTAATTATTATTAATATCTTCATTCTCTTCTTCCTCCTCTTCATTCCCATTCTCTTCCTACATTTATCCAGCATTCATAACCCCAGCTAAAGGCATATATTCGTCTGCTTAGAATCGTTGGTATCTTAAAGTTTCTTTCTATTATATCGGCTTTATTTCTATTTATTTCTATTCTTCCTCCTTTATAACAACATTAACCTCAGATGCTTCCCTGTTTTAGCTGCTTAGCTCTGGCATTCTTTTTTAGATGAGTTTAGTTCCTTAATTCTAATTATCCGTAGTTTTCAGCATAAACCACACCACATAAAATATCAAATATAACATTCCAATTATAAAACCAATATCAAACATTAACCCTAAAAATCCATCATTCAAAGTCTAAAATAATTAAATGAATAATGTACTTTCTAAACTTCACTAATAATAAATAAAATTAGTTCAAAAAATATGAATAATACCAAACTCACTATCAAAATATACTTTTGATAGGTTTAAATAAATATTATTATTTTTTAATAGTTTTGACTAGACTCCAGCATTTTTTATATTTTAGCATACTTTATTAATTGTTTAATTCTTTCATTTGATTTTACTACATCTAAATCAATTGCATATTCGATTAGCTTTGGATTTTCTCTTAATAAAAATTTGATACTATCAATAGCGCAACTATTGATTGCTTTCGTTAATGGAGTTTATCCTTATTTATCAAACAGATTATATTCTAATTAAAAAGCATGATAAAATTAAAGCATAAAAACATCATTTTCAATGGCTGAATAATGAACAAAGGAATTTCCTGATGAATCTTATATATTTTAAAACTATCCTTTAGTTAGAAGATAAAATATTAAGGCGTATTTTTTATTCTTTATTGCGTATGTCAAAGGAGACATATTTGATAAATTTCTGTTATCTATAGAGCAACCTTAGTCAATTAAATATTTTGCGATATCAATATAACCAAAATTACAAGCAATTGCCAATGCATTTTGTTTTGTTTAAGTCATTAAATCCAGATTAGCTCCTCTTTATTTCATCAATTTTAAACCATCTAGCTATCCTTAAGTTGCTAAATAATGAACAATGGCAAATCCTTATTGACTAAAGGAATTGTAATCTATGATGCCCTCATAACTGTAGACTATATCAAAATTTCCTTAGACTATTGTTTCCCATAAATCTAATACAAATTCTTTTTCCTTTGGATTTTCAACTTCTGGGTTATTATTTTTGTCCTTTTCAACTTAAACTTCTTCCTTCTAATCTTATTGATTAATCTCAGATGTTTCATTTTATTCTTCTGATTATTTTTCATTATTGATTTTAATAAAATCATCAGCCATTTATTATATAATGAATATTAATAATTTTAGAATGCCACATAGAAAATAATGATTATTATCTATAATGAATTAATATTTTGAAAAATTAATCAAAAATTGATAAGAGTGCATATATAAATAGTTTTTAATGAAAAGACACAATCTTTTTATACATAATTGAAATTTGATAAATATACCCTTTTTTTTGAAGGGATGTTAAACAAAAAAATATTTTGGATTATTTTTTAATACTTTAGTTTCTAAACCACTATTATGTTTAAATTTATTTTAATAAATATTATGAAATTGGAGAAATAATATATATAAAAATGAGCATAAAAATTTGGCAAGTATTTTATAAATTTAAATAAAATCTAACTAATTATCCTGAATCTAGAAATTAGATTGCTTTCTAAAAGTAATTGTTAGAGTTTGTCTTAGATGTTTTTTTCTTCATATTTGAATTAATTATTATGTTAATATTTTGGCACTATGTTTACTTATTTTCTAAAGGATGTTCCATGTATATTTTATCAATCTATGACATTTAATTTTGAAGTGAAATGTCATTTGATGCAATCAGAATAGTCATTTTGATTTCTTCCTAATTGTTATACTTCCTTCACTGTTCTTATATTTATGCAATACCTTCTAAGTTAAGACTTGATTGACACAGTCATTTTACTCGAATTCTTCAGTTTGTATGTTTATCATACATCGTTGATGCAAATCACTATATTTAAATTTATTCAATTATATATTATCTTAATCATATAAATTTGATCCCACATTATTTGTTTGTGTGTTCAATAAAAGTACTAGCGAGTTCTTTCGAAATCTGAGTTATTCCAAAGTATTTGGCAAAGTTCTACTCAATCTAATGTAAACTTAATTGTTGTCTGTTTACAAAATATGAAATTATATATCTTTCAAAAATTTTGTTTTTCGATTTGACTTCTTATTCATATTTAACTTGTATTTAAGCATTAAATTTCTATCCATTGTAATTAGTTAAGCATATTGATATAGATTTGGTTTGCATTACGTCTTAATATAAACTGTAAGATTTAAGACCATCTGCAATCCAACCTATAGGGAATGATTGAGATTATTAAATGTAATGGATAATCATATCTGAATTTATACCCAACATTTTCAACCACCATTTATTTACTATTCGATTGCATCCAATTACAATTTAATTATGATCAACAATAAATTCAATAATTTCTTGTGGTAACTCTAATTATTTTGGTGAAAATATATTTTTTTAATTCTCAAAACATACTTAAAAGTTTGAAACTTACTCTAAAAATAAATAAAAAGGAAAATTTATTTTTAATTCAAATATTTTATATTATTGAAAAGGCAGGCCGTGAACGATAAGTTCATTTTTTTAGTTTTACATTGCTATTATTTTGAAATATTAAGAAAAAATGTCTCTTAGCAAATACCCAAATGTCTGTCTAGATTTTTCGTTTGTATTCGAAACTTCCTGTTACTATTTTTCTTATTCAGCCAAAGGCCTTATTAATTCACAAATATATTTGGCTTCGTTTTTAAGCTTATTGGGACATTTCAACTCTTTGTGAATAGCCTTCCTATGTTTTTTTGAATTCACTCTCTTAATTTACTTGTTAAGGAGGTTGTTGAATTGAGACAAATCCATGGAAGGATCGATGGGATAATTCATTAAAATTTTTAATTATCATCATCAAAAGCAAAAGGCAATGATTTTTATACCAGAAAAATTGATAATATTGCATCATTTTTAGAAATAAGATTCAGGATTTTATAATTCAGGTAAAAAAGATTAAAAAATTTTTAAATAAATCGTATGAATGAAGCCTTTAATTAATTAAATTTGGATTATAATTATATGAGCAATTAGTTATTAAAAAATATTAATCATCATATTTAATGATCTTAATTATTAGGAACCAAGTATTCTTGGGATTAATGCATAAGCATAATTAAATTTGAAAAGTTTGACTATCTAATTTAATTGATAACAATTAATAAAATATATATGATCAAACTAATATTGTGATGATTGAAAAATAAAAAACATCATCGCCTATGATTTTTGAAATTTAAAGAAAAATGATCTTTAAAAAATAAAGTTGGATGCTATTTATGTTACTAATTTCATGTGAACTTAGTTCAAATCATAATCCTCAATTCCTTTATTGATTCCCAATCAAAATAAAAGATTAATGGAGAAAAAAGACTATGTATTTTCATAACAACCTTCTTCTAGCTTTGACATTATGAAATCTATTTCTATATTTAATCTTATTTTTCTATCCTAATGAGATTCCAATCATATTATCATCATTATAATTTTCTTAAGCTACTCTATTTTGCTAAGAAAAGGTCTAATATAAATCAGATATCCTTACTTCACTTTGGATAGGTAATTTTCATATAATGATTGTATCACTCTAGATTCTTAATAATTAATAATTCATCATCAATTTAAGCAGCTAAGCTTGATAATTGTTCCAGTCATAATAATTTGTTATCTTCTAACTATATTATTAGCAAAGCTATCAAAATTTTAAGGAAAACAAGAATAATCAAGATAGCTCTACAAATATTCAGTCATAAAATTTATTAAGAAGAGGATATGTATAGAAATATTTCATTTAAACAATACTTTTTGGATAAAAAAGAACTTATATCTATAATTTTTAGAGATTTATTATTCTGATATGACTTTTCAATTTTTAAAAAGAAAATAAGTAATTATATTCTCACGTCAGTGAACCATTTTACATTACAAATACAATTTTTTTGATCCTCTTCCATAGAAGTTTAGCAAAATTAGAAAATTGATTTCGATAAATTATTTCTAAACTTTATATGAGATACTAGTGTAATAATAATATGTAACAATCTAATAAAAAAATATATTAGTGACAAGAATAATATTGTAATATTGTTAAAGATGGATTTAAAAATATAATCCAGATTTAAGTGATTCTTTTGTATCATTAAAACTTGATCTCCTTTTCTAATTTAATCATAAATTGTAAATAGATAGAAAAAAATAAATTGCTAAATCTTGTTAATATTTTTCATCATATGATTGTGAATTTAAATATATAAATTAATGAAATTTAATAAATGATTTTATATTATTAAATATAATTTTGATAATGATATCATTCATAATAATGTATTTATATTTAAGTTCAGATATAACTAATTAATTTTTTCATATTTCTTATATATCTATAATTTTTTTGAAAAAAAAATCTAAATAGGAAATATGATTGATGAGTATATTCAAGATGAGCAGATCATAAGCAACTGAAATATATTTATAAGTAAAATCTATTGAAATTCAAACATATTAAGTTAATTTGAATTCTTCAGTATAGGATTATTTCGAATATTTGTAATATCAAATGTTGCGTATTTCTAAATGTGAATCTGGTTAAAATTATGAAAAATAGAATACATTGGTATGATTTAGTTTAATTGAATACATTTAAGAGAAAATTTAGTAAAAGCATATAGTATTCTAACTAACATTTTATATTAAATATTGTAATTTTTATAATTATTAATTATGTATTAATAGGATTTAGATTAGTCAAGAAATTTTTTATCAAATTCTGTTTTAACATAATTTTATAAATTTCTATTGTAACTTTTATCTATTTATCGCTTAATTATTGACATTTTTATTCGATTGAATTGAAGCGAAAAGTTAAGATTAAATTAACATTTTGCAGAATTGGCAAAATCAATAATCAATTATTAAACACATAAAATAATTTTGATTGTCCTAAACTTATATGCTTTTTATAAGGTTTTCCATTTTGAATTTTAAATGTATTTCTTTAGAATTTTGGTATGTGAGACACATGATTGTGTTATTTAATAAAATATAGACTTTAGTAATATATATAATTTATAATGCATATATTGATTTCATGATCTCGATCTCAAATAAGGAATAGAATTTGGCAAATCATCTGAACAGTCAACATCTACAATTGAGTGAGATCTCTTATAATCAGGTTCTGAAACTTAAAGGTTCAAACTCAGCTTTTAATTAAAGATTTAGTCTAGTTTGGTTTGATCCTTATTCAAAGTGTAGAACAATTCAATAATATCTTCATCTAAGATTTCAATTATGTTTTTATCTATTTAGCTTAATTCCTTTTTCTTTTTTAATTTTGCAAAAGATATAAATGCCTCTTGCAGCTTTAGGAGATCTGACTTTTCATCTTGCAATATAAATTAATATGCTTTTTTTGATTCAATTTCTTTAACTTTCTTTTCTGCATCATTTCCAAATAGAGCAGAAGGAATCACAGGTTTTGGTAAATAATTGAATAATTGCAATTAATCTTCATTCAATAAAACCAATTTCAATTTGTCTATCTCATAAATTTTAGATATTATATAAGCAACATCTAATTTCGACATAAATTTATCAGTTGCATACTATATTTACATTTATTCTTTTTTCTTACATCCAAAACTCATAACAATCATATCTCTTAAGGTTAAATTTAGTGATTATTTTTTAGACTTTAAAAATTAACTCATAGTTTTCGAGTCTTAAATTTTATCAAAATTCTTCGACTTAAGAGATTTTCCTAAAGATTTTGAAAACGAAGATTTTTTCATGTCAAAGTCTATTACTCGTTGAGATGATTATTATTTAGGTGATTAAATAACATAATTCTCTTGGACATTTTGATCATCATCAAAAAAATCATTTGCATCCTCGAATCTGAATAATTTGTTTGCCATCTGAAGATTCATAAATTTCTAAATCAATGGTCTTAAAATAGAACAAATAGATAAAAACAAAACCTGATAGAGTCCTCCTATTGTACTTAAGATGGCTTATACTTTAGCATAGGATCTAGAATATTCAGCCTATCTTTGATCCAAAGTGATGTAATGAAGAACTATAAATTGATCGTTGTATTCCTCTTGCGACTCACGATTAGTATACTAAATCAAACTTGAAGTCTCAGTCTTATCATCAGTAATTAGTCCATTATCGGTTATGACATTAGTGACTTTTAAATTTTAAATTATGGTTTTTGAATTTGCTATTGACATTGTTGTATATTAAAGTGAGATATATTCTGAAAACGGATAACCAGGCTGCTTCATTTGCACCAGGTTATCTGACAAGTGGACCACATAGTAACCTGTTTTCAATTCTTTTTAGATGTTTTCGATAGGTGCACATTAGTTATAAGTAGTAGAGTTCTTGCACTCCTAAATCATAATTGTGATATATTAATAAGATTTGCCAGCAATTTAACCTTGCAGAATCTAGTGAATATCTATAATAAGTTACTGGAGGAGATTTTTGCCATTATTCATAGTTTAAACATTGGGTATAACCTAAATTGATGGATGAAAAATATTGTTTTTAAATATTTGTAACAAAGTGTTTATCACTGCATGCTTCTGTTGGATATTCTGTACAACTTTGATACTAAAATCATAAGATACTTCTGCTAAATTTTAGTTTTTCCTGTTGTTTCATCAATCACTCTTAATCTCACACAGTTTCTCACTGTAAGAGTAAAATGTGTATTTAAAGTTGAAAGAGCATTCAAACTAAGATTTGCAACTGAAATTGCCATCGTAAAGTTATTCATCAATAAAGGAACAGGCTTCAATAATTAAATAGTCTTACAGCAGTGTCTGCCATTTAATACTCTGAAAATACAACAACCGGGCTTTTTCGATCATATAATTATTTGATTTAATAAATTAAATAAAGTACACAGATTGTGGTGATGGCTGATGAACAAAAGAAGCCAGTTGATGTAGTGAATTTATTTTTTTTTAAAATCCTTAATACCGGAGGTTGTCCAAACATATCTAATCCACTCAAAAATCCCTATACACTATTTTTTAACATATGTGAGTTCTTTTTTTGGTACTTTAACATAATTTCTCTATTTTATATTCTGAAAAAGCAATTATTTATTTTAACTTAAATTCCTTTGATAATGGATTTTACAAAGACTAAAACCAAAGATGTAGCTGATCCTAATCAAAATGAAGATGACTCATATGTTAAAGAGATGAAATGTAAAACTAAAACATACTCATTAAAGCTAGATTGTTGATTAAAAAACATAAGGGAACTTTAGGTGAAGAAAATCTTGGAAACTTCTATATCGAAGATGAATAAGATACTGATAGATAAATAAGGTTTAGAATTGAGTATTCAGTTAATTTTTGGGTAAACAAACAATCTTATCAAAATTAGAGTGCATTACTTTTAGCAGCAGTTCTATCAAGATCTATTTATCCATTTAGTGTTAGATTCGTCAAAAATAGGTTGAAGCTTTAGGGGTTTCTCAATATTCATATGGTTTAACTCCAACTTTATTTTTAGGCTATATTACCTTTTATTTTTATATCAAATGGACTTGTCTTAGGAGTATATGAAGGTCTATGGGCTAAATATTGGTTCGATAAAGAAGTTGAGTTTAAGAAAAAATAATACACAAGATTATGATAGTGACTAATCATTGCTTTATGTTTTCTTTAAAATTTAAACTTTTGAACATTGTAATAATTAAAGAAACAGTCTAATTAATTTTAATAATGCAAACACTTCTATTATTGTTTTTGTATTTATGTATAATACAATCTATTCAGAAAAATTATGACAATTTTTTTTCTATTTAAGAAAGTCTACGGTTTATCAATGAATATCTTTATATCCTTATTTAGATTGAGTTTTATTGAATGATTCAACACAAAATAAAAGTCTTTATTGGGCATTAATTTAATATATAAATAAATTCTGTATAATCAAGAAATAGTAGAGTAGAGTGAAATTTCACTCTTAGGCTGTTCTTGATTCATTATTTGAGAAATAGGGAAATAATATGTAATTGAACTATATCTCAAACATGAAATGAAATCAATAATATCAACCATTATATTTTAATCTGAATTTTCGTATTCCTTTATTAATTTTCAGATTTTTAAATTCTCTTATTTAGATTTATTATCATTTAATTTTTATCTGGTATATAGTAAGCTTAATATGTTTATAATTTTCGTAAATTTAGTAAGCTGGTGTGATTTTTTTTATAAATTCGTGAGACAGATGTATAAAAATTATCTGTTTAGACCCTAACTTAGGGGTGGAATTTGAAGAACGCTTAAATTAATCGAATGGCTTTGTTGTAGAGGTTAATACGTTTATTAAATCATTATTCTTCACCATGATCATTTTCTTTGATATTATAATATTAGATATCATTTCTTAAAGTAATTATAATTAAGTACACTTAATGTACAGGTCTCATTTATTTCAGACTAGAGTTATAATTAAATATTAATATTAATATTTTAGCATGAATCTATCTCTATCTAAAGAGAAAAAATAAGCTATTCTATTATTTAATTTATAGTATTAGGAAAGAGTCAAGGGTGATGGATTAATTGATTTGAATTTAAATTGTTACTAAATGGAAACAGCCGTTTATACTTATATTATATTTTGCTTAAATAATAAGAACTTTATTGATGATCATATTAGCATTAATTTAAATACTTTTCATTTCAATTTGTTAAGTAGATATGTGTGTATCTTCCTGATACCTATATAAATTTTTAATTCATTTTGAGTTACTAAATGATCCAATTATAGTTTTTTTAACATATAATTTTTCTTTGCTATAGAACTTATCCAACTCACACTAAATCATGAAATTAAAATGTATAATTTTTTTAAACTTAATATAATTAGTTTATAAATATAGTATTTAGTTATGACTAAAAAAAAAGTATATATAGGTACTTATTAATAATAAATATGGATAAAAAATAATTTATAAATATGATATAAATGAGTTAATTCTTGAGAAATTATTGGATTAACATATGAACACTCAAAGTATTTATTAAAAATATAAAGTTAAGTATAATAAAAGAGGCGAATATAATATCCTCTCTGAAAATAAATAAATAAAATTAATTGATTCATTTTTTAAATATGTTTGTTGAATTATAGAGTTAGGATTGACACTCTTATTGTTTAATGTTTGATACAAATAAACCATCTTATTATTTAAATTGATCAAGAAAGTCAGAATTATTTAATTAAAGTGAATTAAATAGATTTAGGTTTGGTTGTTAGTTCGATTAAAATGGCAACATAAATTAGGCTGAAAATTACAATTATGGATTTTATTGAAGATTAATTGATTAAAATGATTAGTCTTATTGATAAATTTCTTATTATTGTTGTTGTTGTTGTTGTTGTTGTTGTTATTATTATTATTATTATTGTTATTCTTTATCTTGGAGTTTATCATTCTTTTTTTAAGTTTTAGTATCATTGCTTTAATAAGGAGGAGATAATTAAATGATTGAATCTACCAATGCATTATAATCAAGTTGGAGATCATGTTTACCATCCTTTGGCATTCTCATGAGTTTACAGAATAGTTTATTAATAATCCTTGGTGCAGTTCTTAATGCTCCATTCATATAGGTTTATCTCCAATTTTCTATAAACTTTTTAAAACTACGCATATTGAATGTATTTACTCATCATTGCAATATGACTGAATATGTTAGGTAATTAGTAAAATGTCTTAATCATTTGATTCATTAAAAAAACATTTAATCGTGTAGCCACAGCATACTAAAAAGAGCAAAAGCTTTTTATATCCTTCTAGGTTGTAGATCTAAGAATTAAAATAGATTTACTTCAGAATTACATAAAAAGTCTTACTTAAAATATTATATGAAATTTTAAATGAGAGGGTCATCGTCAAATCTCCACTTCTATGATTCAATAATATGGAGAAAGAATATAACCTCGAGTTCATTGAACATGAACTTTTTTGTTACTCCTCTAAGCATTTTGAATAAGGGTTAAGCTGTGGCAGCTTAAGAAGCACTTTCTAAGGAAGCAAAACGACTTAGCATTTAATTAATAAGAAATGAGTAGCATTAATCTGTATATGCAATACACTTAGCATCATATTCTTTTTGTAATACAAATTTGTTCTTTTTTTATTCATTTTTTGAATTAGATTGCTAGATATCCTTGAATGATTAATTAGTTTATTCTTGAGTTACTAAAATTCGTTTATTAAGAGGTTCTTCAAATTATTGAGTGCCATTGTCTAAACAGATTCTTGGTGTTTCTTTGACTATGTAGGTAGGGTATTTTTTATTCATATAAATTGTATTTATAAGTATATTATAAAGTTTAAGTTAAAGTAAATCATTTTTATTAAATATTATTTGGTTCTAAGAAATGATCAGAATGATGATTTAATAGCACTGAATTTGGTGGATCTAAAATCTAATTCTTTCTGAAAGTAAAATTGATAACTTTAAACATTATTAATACTTTTTCTATTAATTGTTAGAATCAAAACATAAAAATTTTATTTTAGAATATTAAAATAATAATCTTGTTAATAAGTATTCCTCATAATCACTCTTGATATCCAGACATTGATTATAAGTACTATGATATTGAATCAAATTCTTATGCCATCTATATAATAAAATTATGTTATACTTGATTAAATAGTTGATTTAATTCATCAAATGACTTCATTATATCATTTACGAAGATTTCATCATTAAATTATTATATTTCTGGATTTTGATTTATAGCTTAAGTTTCTTGAACTTTAGCAGGTTCTTTTTGAAGATCTTGTTCTCTAAATTCAACCTTATTTCCTGCTTGTGCTGTTTCTGTAATTTATTAGTTTTATTAAATTAAAGAAACTGATTGTTATTGTTACATTTATTTTGGTAGGCTCCCTTATTTAGCTTGTACATTCTTTTTTTGTGTCTTACAACCGCAGATACCCATTGATTTTATTTAATTTAAATAATGCTATCTTTATTAGATAGTTTAAGAAGGAGAAATAAATAGTTATCTCAGTCCTATTTAATTTATATATATATATTTGATTATCATTACTATTATTCCCTTAATTCTTTTACCATTTCTTCGATATCTTTATCCAACTTTTTATATTAAACAAATTTTACTTCATTTATGGATTACATTAATTCATCGAAAACAGTCTACACCTATTGTTCCAAAGGGTCTAATTCTGGGTCATCTTTTTTAATCTATGGAATTTAATCAAACAACTACTAGATTATCATTATTTATATCAAGAAGATTCTAGCTTTGAGACTTTTAAATTGTAGACTCTTTAGTTTTTGGTTCTTCTATTGTCTATTGCTTCTACGAATTGTTTCCCATTCTTTTTATGAATAAATATATAATAATTATTATTATCCAATTTTTTGTTTAAGTGAATCAGCATAAGTAATCTATTACTTAAATATTGATAGATTATAGATTCACAGATCCTCATCACTACTACCCTTGTCTTCCTCTTACATTGATGATTAATTGCTACTCATTTACTCTTACCTAGCAATTCTCTATAAAAAATTTAAAATTTATTGCATCCCCCATGGATGTCTTTGGAATTAATGCCTTTATTAAAGGAATTAAGCCCTAATGTCTTCAGAAACTTACTGTTATTAAGAGGATTGCCTTTTCACATCCTTTTGCTAATAAACATATAGTTAGTTTTAGGTCGGATGAAACTTGAAACAGGATATCTCTTTTTATTATTCTGATACCTATATTATAATATTTGTTTACTTAAAATATTTCAATAGGTTAACTTGATTTCTGAATGTGCCAAACTAACAACTACCCTGAACTATTCGCAGCAGCTATTAAATTACTATTCATGCATCCAAAGTCTAATTGAGTACTAAGAGTAGTTATACTAGAAGTAGGTTGGAATACTTTAATCAACAGTAGTTCTGATATTGAATATAAATGCAATTATGTTATAGTGTCACTTACGAATAATAATACAAAGTTAAAGTCTTTATCTACAATTGAATTCTGATTGTTTTTGATAGTTGAAGTTTAGGATATTTATTTTTTAGAATATAATTGATACAAACTGATTTTATTTTGACTTGTTAATAGCAAAAGTTCCTTTTATTGATGAATATGTAAATTCAGCAGTTTTTCTTCAATTTTTAATCCTCCCTTCCTCTCACTTTCATTCCATTCATAAAGCCATCCATCTTTTGATATAGTATAGATGTCATATTCATTTTTCTACTTTTTCTTCTGTTAATCACATAAAACAAAGTTGAACGCTTGAACTACGGCATTGTGTCCTTCAAGTTTATATTTTTTTTCTGTTTAGATATTATACACAAAAACTGTAAAATCTTCAGAGGATGTTCCTAAGTATTTGTTGCAAGGTGAGAATACTATTGATGTAATGACACTAGTTTGGCCCGTTGGTATTTTTCTTGGCTTTTTCTAATATTCTTTGATTTAGTTATCAAATTAATATAAATAAATTGAGAGACCATGCACTAATGCTTTATATTGACCATTAGATGAAAAGAGGCAAAAACTAATATTTTTCTTTTGTTTGATGATGTTGAGTTGAAAATTGCAGGAGTGCTTTTAGATGATTTTGTAATCTTGTTCTAATTTATTATGGAAATGGCAATCCAAAATTTGTTTGGCTTATTATTGTTGTATTATGGTCACCAATCTATTGGGTTCAATTAATCCAATTTATTTATAGCACAACTACATTACTTCATCTATCAATTCTTGTTCTTATTTCACTTTAAGTTCTGGCAGATAAATCATGGAAGCATATTGATACTTTTAATCTTCATCTAAATATAGACATATTGAAATGTACCTTAACAAAATTTTGTCATTTGATTTCTCAATAATTAGACTGCTTCTTAAACATTGTGCAATTTAAGTAATTTAATATATTGTTATTCTAATACTTTCAAAATGCATTATTATTTTGTGTTTTCATCTACATATTGATTCAGAATCTATTCTAATTATTTTATGTCATAATTTTTTATAGATTGAGTTATTAATTCTAAACTGTAAGGATCAAGTTGAATTTATGATTATTCTTAGAGTTTCTAAAAAGTTTGATCATATTTATATTATCTTAAAAATTAGAGAATTACTTTTATTTTTTCTTCCTTAATGTTCATTTAATATTTGATTAAAAAAAATTTCTTTTTTTAATTGACCATAAATAATGGATATCGTTGGAGTAAATCATAATCGTTATCATAGAACGTGTTGCCATAAGTTTTGAAAGACGAAGCTACTGAAGATAAGGGAGAGATGGCCAGATTGGTAAATTATTGATTATTAACATTCAAAAGTAAAGCTTTGTAGGAGCAATTGCAGTTGCAGATCTAGTAAAAACAACTCTTGGACCAAAAGGAATGGTTAGATTTATGAATTAATTTTATAGGATAAAATATTGAAACCAACTGGACCAGGCTAAGAAATGACTCATATCACTGTAACCAATGATGGTGCTACAATTCTGAGGTCAATGTATGTGGAGAATCCCGCAGCCAAGATTCTTATAGAAATCAGCAAGACCTAGGATGAGGAAGTAGGAGATGGGACTACAACAGTTGCAGTATTGGCAGGCGAATTATTGCGGGAAGGAGAGAAATTAATCTAAAAAAGAATTCATCCATAACATGTTATTGCTGGTTGGAGAATTGCTAGGGATGTGGCCTTAAAGAGACTTAGAGATATTTGTAAGGAATTGTATTATGTTGATTAGCTAGTGAAAATGATATCAATTCTTAAGAATTTCATGATGATTTGGTTAAGATTGCCAGAACTACATTGAGTTCAAAGTTAATCACTACAGATAGAGATTACTTTGCAGATTTATGTGTGAAAGCAGTACTTAGATTAAAGGGATCATCCAATTTGGACTATATTCAAATAATCAAACTTCCAGGAGGAACAATAAGAGACTCTTATTTGGATGATGGATTCATTTTGAAGAAATAGATAACCATTGGATGCAAGAGAAGAATTGAAAATGCTAAGATTTTGGTGGCTAATACTGCTATGGATTATGATAAAATTAAAATTTATGGCACAAAAGTTAAAGTCAATTCAATGGATAAAGTTGCAGAAATAGAGGCTGCTGAAAAGGAAAAGATGAAACATAAAGTTGATAAGATTCTTAAATATTAACCAACAGTATTTGTCAATAGATAATTGATTTACAATTATCCAGAATAACTATTGGCAGATTCTGGAATCACTGTTATAGAACATGCTGATTTCGAAGGAATGGAAAGAGTTGCTGCAGCCACAGGAGCTGAAATCTTATCAACATTTGATGCTCCAGAAAGATCAGCATAAGTCTTAGGTCACTGTGATTTAATTGAAGAAATTATGATTGGAGAAGAAAAAGTAAACTATTAAATAATTCTTATTAGATGATTAAATTTTCAGGATGCAAGAAAAATGAAGCATGCACCATTGTGTTAAGAGGAGCTAGTACACATATTTTGGATGAAGTGGATAGATCAATCCATGATGCTTTATGTGTTTTAATTACTACAGTCAAAAACAGAAGAGTTGTTTGGGGAGGTGGTAATTCAGAAATGCAAATGGCAGCTGCTTGTGAAGAGGAAGCCAAAAAAGTATAAGGAAAATAAGCATTTGCAATTGAAGCTTTTGCTAGAGCTTTGAGATAGATTCCAACTATTATTTGCGATAATGGAGGTATTTATTCTTATGGAATTTATTCAAGGTTATGACTCTGCTGAATTAATCTAAAATTTCAAAGTTGAATTATAAAAAGGCAATTAAATTTGTGGTTTAAATATGACTGACGGAACAATTGGAAACATGAGTGAATTAGGTGTTAAAGAATGTTTGAGGGTTAAAGAACAAGCATTAATGGCTGCCAGTGAAGCAGCTGAATTAATTATGAGAGTTGATGATATTGTTAAATGTGCACCAAGAAAGAGAGAAAGAGCATGAAGTTAATTATAATAATACAAAAATTAAAACATATATCATTATTCATTTTCTTATATTAAATTTTGCTCTCCACATTCCTCACTATATTATTATTATTATTAAGTAGTATGATAATGTATTATATGTTCTTGAGGTTTAGGTTAAAAGGAGTTCTCATCAGTTTCAATTATTTACCCAATGTATGGATGATATGCTTTTATTGATAATATGCAAATGACACAGAATAAGTAGATACACAATGGTAAAATTAAATAGATTAAAAGAAGATATCCAATCCAGTATCCTTTGTTAGTCTCTACTTCAATATTAATATTTGGAAAATGCTCAATATCTGTCTAAAAAAAGAGAAACGGATCATCATCAACAGTCTTTTTTATATTTCCACTCAATTCATAATAATATTAAGTATTATTCTCGAATGGCCAATTTACTTAAAACTAAAACAATGTACTATCATAATATAAGCAGCTCTAATCGTTATTCTCTTCTTAGAAATAGCATTCTAGAAAAGTTTCTTATTCATCATTTTTCAAAATAATTTTTGCATTCATTAACCTTAGATTTTTGATATTTTTATGATAATTTTATGGTGATACTGTAATTAAAGCACAAGTGTTATTAATTGTCGATTAAACTTCAACTTGCATTCTAATTTAATTATTAGGCTTAAACTTTATCTTAGTTAATGTATCTTAGTCAGGCAGAGATGAAAAGGTATCATCAATTTAAGTAATTGCTTCAAATTCTAGAGTTTTATAATCTTCTGACAAATGGTAATATTATTATATTTGATATTAAATCTTGATCATAAATTCCAAATTATTTAAAATTTAATAATGGTTTGCTAAAATAAGACTTCCATGTATCTAACTATTATTAGAATCTAACTCTGATATGGTCAAAGTTAAAAGAGTATTATTTAAATATAATTTAAACCAATGAAAAAAAGAATAAAAATCTTAAGATTTCTTCAAGGTTGCTTAAAAATACAAGGTGCCATTTTTAATCTCCTATTGTAAACTTAAGTGAAAATCATAATAAAATGTATCCTAATTATTAATATGAGGAAGTTATCCTGCCAAATGAACCTAATCAACTGTATGAGTTCGAACTTTTACTATATAAAAAAATATTAAATTTATCGAAGCATTAGAATTCAACCAAACTTCAAGGTAATTCTTACAAGTTAAAAAATGATATTGCTATATTTAAACGAAAGGCTAACCATTTACGATTTTGCTCAAATTATACATTTTATTATCTAAAAAGATGTATAATTGATCTTAATTAAGGGGTCTATTAAAAATGAAGGTATAACTATAAGTGTTGTCTTCATCTAAAGGTAATTGATTATTCATGTCTAAGCAAATCCCTTTGGCTTGCTGTAGTCTTAATTATTATTATCCATCTACATCCACTTACTCTTTAGTTTCACAATCAATCCATTTCAAAAATTAGAATTATAAATTTTCTAATGGAAAGACGAGATCTAGTATGCCTTCAGCAACAAATTAAATGCAGAAAAATAATAATGCTATTTATCCTAGCATTTATAAAAATAAATTTTTTTATTTCTATCTATTTTAATATAGATATAATCTAACTGTTGAGAACATAATTAAATTACGACAGACATACTTTTCAGTATGTTACAAATACGATAAATTAATAATAGTATAATCAAGTTTTTAGAGCATTCTATTCATAATTGTAGATCTCTCTGAGCAAGCTATTGTACAAAGATATTTTTATAGTAGAAGTGGATATCAGAAAGCAAATTATAGGCATACCTAAGGACAAAAATATAAGAATTGCTACAAAAAAAAAGTTGTAATCTTGTTCTTGAAATACAGGGCCACCTCTTAAATCAACATCAACCAATACAAATTGAAAATTTGGATAATTGTTATCAGTTCTCTAGATAATTGCTGTCAGATTACAAATATATCCAACATCATCCTTAAAATCGAAATTGACAATAAATGAACATTTACTATAACTATAACTTAAGCAGTTATTATTATTATTATATAATTCGCACTTGAATATTTCTCCTTAACTATTTTTTATTGTAAGAACTGCTTCCTCAAATTCTTTTACGCAAAATTAAGATTAATTAAGATTTAATTTTATTTCTATTGAATTTTACAATTGATTAATCTGAAGTTCATAATTTAGATTGATTTGATGCTACATACCAAATTGTTTTTCTTGTATATAACTAGCTATAGAGAACTTGCTGTCAGAAATTTATTAAATTGTGTAAAATACCATTTATTAATCAGGTATTTCGAAACACGGTGTATAAAAATTAAATGTGTATTATGATAATATAAGATTACTTAAGTTTTTCATCTAGCTATAACTTTCTGTTCTAGCGATATCTATATTACATTCAAATACAATTGTTTCTCCAACTTCTGTATTATAACAATTCATTTTATCGTAAAAATTGTAAGCATCGAAATATAAACATGAACTGATTAACTCAAGACCTTAAAAAGATAATACTCCTTCATAATATAAAGTAGAATTAATTATTTCCTAATTCTTTGTTTATAAATTATATTGAGTAATTTAGTATTCTTCTTTAATACCTAAATATTTTTATTATAATAATTATTATTATTCTCTTAAAACTTAGTTATAGTCATCAGCACTTTAGGTTTATGAATTTAAAATCAAATAGTTTATTAAACCTAAATCCTTGGATTTTGATAGCAGCTAAAACTCAATACTATTATAGCTGCATAATCGCTTATGTCTTATAAGTACAAACTTATCAGCGGCAGTTTCTTAAGTGACAGTATAGCTCTCTCCGTCAATATTTATTATCAACAAATCATCATTTTATATTGTTCTGTCGAACGTAAAATAATAAAAACTCATGGGTTCATTTAGACTAAATTAAAATGGTTCATATAAGCAAAGTTGTTTGTTATACGTAATAGGAATCCGAACAGGTTAATCAAATTATGGTTGAATAATAAGACTTGTATTTTAACAATCGACCCATTGTTATTGAAAAATCTAGAAACTATTTTAAGGAAATAAAATTGTATTCTTTGTGTTGACAAGTTGACAATCAAGGACTATAAATATAAAAATTAAATTAAACATTAAATTTATTAATAATGAAAATTGATTAGCAAAAACTAAATATTTTTTATGATGACATGTGTGGAATTTGTGATAAGTTTATAAAATTCATAATCTATTTGATAAATCCTAACATTCTTGAATTTTATTCCTTACAGAATGCAATTTAAGATGAAAAATTAAGATAAGAATATGGATTAGATCTAACATCAATTGCAGTGATAACATAAAATAAGAAATTAATAAAGTCAAAAGCCATTTTTTATTTACTAAAGTAGACAAAATTAAAATATTTTATTAAATTGATTGAATTTATTATACCATTGTGTTTGTCAGATTGGATCTACGATTTTGTTGCATAACACAGAAATAAAATATGTAAATTAAAAAAAAGATGAATGATTATGAGATAATATTGATATCATATTTCTAGTTCCATTTTCACTTTTTCTAATCATTTAAGAAAATATTAAATCAATTACTAAAATTTTATTAAGCTACACCAAACCTTTTATTATATCTTATTTATTAATTACAATATATATCTATTTTTCTTAGGTTTAAACTTATTTCAAATTAGCAATCTTCATAACTTAGCCTCTTTATTGAAAATTAATTTTTAATATTAACATAGAATTTAATAAAATTGTGATTACAATATATTTTTAATACTAAAATATGAAAGGACACATGTAGTCTTGCTTCAGATTTAAAATAAAGGTGAGCTTTTTATATATAAATATCCAAATTTAAAATTAATTTATAATAATAAATAAATTTATGAGTTTAAAGCCTTAAATTAATTATAAAATGAAATTTCTATAAATTATTTTCATCATTTAAAAATTTTGATCATTTACAGATGGGAACAGAAGAATAAGATGATAAGGTAGAATTAGTAGTAATCTGAGAAAACTGCTTCCATTAGTGATGCAATTTTATTGATGATGGCTTTGCTTGTTCTTAACCAGATTATTATAGATCTATTCAACAGAATTTAGAAGACAAGTCCAATAAAAAAATTTATCAATCCCCCTATGATAACAACAACTATTGGAATCCTAGCGGGTATTGTAATGAACGAAATCGAAGCAGATAATGCAATGAATTAAATTAGAAGAGGATTTAGTCAACTCTTTTTGATCGTTCTACTCCCTCCAATACTATTCGAAAGGTATTTTTGATTATTCTATATTCATAAGCGCTGTCAATATGGAAACTGTAATAATATTGTATTTATTCTCTAGTAACCATTTTTTTAGCATTTTGGCACTATTCACTTATATGCAATATTTGGTACTCTTATAGCAATTTTAATAACGACAGGAATGATTTATTTAGGAGGACTAACTGGATTTGTAACTGCTTTTCCTTTAAATCTTGCATTTGTATATGGTTCATTAATTTCTGCAACTGATCCAGTTAGTGTGATCGGTGCATTGAAATCAATGGAAATTGAAAAGATGTTAGGCATATTAATATTTGGAGAAAGTATTTTAAATGATGCTGTTTCATTAACAAGTTATGAGTAATTTCAGTTAGTTGATTAATTTAAGGGCTGCTTTGGATTTTTATAATGATTCCGACTAGGGAGTAGGTTGGGTCATTTTAGGGTTTTTTCTTGAATTCATACTATCAATAATAATTGGATTCGTTATTGGTTGTTTAAGTGCTTATGTAATTGAATTAAAATATTACTAGATACTAAAAAAAAGAAATGAAGATTCATAAGATTCAATAGCGGAATTAGAGAACATTATTATGTTTATAGTTCCTTGGGTTTCTTATTTGATTGCTGAGGCTTTGGAATTTTCTGGAATTGTCAGCATAATTTTCTGTGGAATTTCAATGGCTAGATATGCTATTCCAAATTTAAGTAAATCTGGAAGAAAAGTATAATTAATTCATATTTTAATTAGAGCATTAGTAAAATATATCATAGTATGTCCTCTATTTTTGAAAATCTAACTTTTTTATTTATTGGAATTGGGTTAATAGGTTTTGATCTATATTGGAATGAAATGGGAGCGGGTTTATTCTTAATTACATTCTTTGCAATCTTATTTGCTAGATTAGCAAATATTGTATCAATGAGCTTTATTGCGAATTGGTTCAGATCAACAAATAAAATCAATAAAAGCTAGCAAGTATTTTTATGGTTTAGTGGATTTCGAGGAGCTATGGCATATGCATTATCTTTAGAAAGTTGCTTATAATTTGAATATTATGGAAACATTATGTTAACGATGACAATTTTAATTGCAATAATTAATATTTACTTCTAAGGAGCTTTCATCATACCTTTAATTGAAATTTTGAATCTTAAGTTACCATAAGATTCAAATGAAGAAGAAAAACCTTAGGTTGGATGTTTAGCAAGATGTAAATATGCAATCGGTTAGTTTGATCAAAGGTTTATCTCCTCAAATTTAATAAAATCGTATTTATTTACTCCTATATTTTAGGGATGAAAAAAAAGATATTGAATTGTAAGATGTAGAAAAACAATGATGATGTAATTATTATATATTTATAATATATTGTATTGAATAACTATTCTAGAAACAAAATTTATTATAGTATTTCAAATTGATTTTCTCATGAAAAAACATATTTTTAATTAATCTTAGGGTGGAATGTGCATTATTCTCTTTCTTTTTATATTGCTTCCTCTTCTAGTTATCTCTTATTAGTGTTGTTTTATTAAGTTATTTTAAATGGTTCTGGCTTAGTTTTTTCTAAATGATTTTTAAAGTCGTATTTTAATTCATAATGAAATAGTTCTTTTTCTCTTTCTTATTGTTAATAAGCTTTTTTTTTCAGGTTTTCTTTGTTTTAGAAGAAGCTGTCAACTCCTTTAACCTTTTAGCTCAATGGTTCTTCATCTTTCTAAAATTATTTTGTAATTGGCTTAAATGTACATTCCTTCAACTCTTCATATTACATTTGCCTAAGAATTAACAATGTTGCAGTACCTTTTTAAGTCTTGGACTTTTCTTTCTTTAAGTTCTTTTTCTATTTCCATATTTTATCTAATTAATTTTTTATCATATTTGGATTTCACATGTTAATACTATTGAGATTTTTTAGTTTAGGGATAATAACTAAATGATTATTTGGATTCTTATTCCTACAGAATTTAAATATAAAATTACTTCTTTTAATCTATTTAATTTCTCTTATCTTTCTGGATTGTATGCGAGATCATCAAGCGATCTTTTTTGGGCAATAATCGAAGAAATGTGATTTATTTAGGGTTTAAAAGTGTATTGTTGATAATATGCTTATTAAATTTATTCTTTTAGTATTTGATTTTTCTCATAATCTCTAACTCCAAGTCGATTAATTTTATCCGACATATTTTCTTAAAGCCTTTCTTCATTGCTTTCCATCATAAGTTCACTTGTTTTATTAATTTAAGGCTTAAAAGTAACATCAGAATTTTTGATAAATTCTTAGATGAGCTTTTCTTTTTTTTCTCTCATAAAATCAGCCATCAGATATTAGGTTTGATAGATCTAGTTAATTTATTATACTGGTTTAGTGGTGGGATTGATCTAAGGATTGAATGTACATTCATCTTTTTCTTAGATTTCATTCTTTTAATTCATTTTTTTCTACAATTTCAGTGCTGCATCTTCCATTAATCTTTCAACAACAGACTTTGATGTTTATTTTTATTCAGCTATGAAAGCAGATCTTTGTGAAATCTTAGGTTGATATGTAACATCAGATTGTTACTAAAGTTCTTATTGTTTTTAAAGTAATTCTTCTTATTTTTTTTTCATAACTTCATCTATTCTTTCATACAGGGGTTTCGTAAATTATTTTTCTCCTTTCAAAACTGTGCCAATCTAACTAATCTCGGGCTTAAAAGAGAACTATTCAGAATTAATATGATCAAATTTTAATTATTCTTTTCTCTTTTTTTATTCAATTCCATCTTAATATAATCTTTCAACTACTGGCTAATCTGTGTTTCTTCTTGATGCAATATCACTTATTATTGGTTTAAAAGTACAATGCTATTCTACCAATTCATCGATATATTTTCGTTTCTCGTTTTCCCTCTACTCTGCCTAATTTCGTTTATCTTCCAATAACCTTTACCAAACCTCTTCTTTTGAATATTATAATGGTTTTTTTTATTATTATCTTGGCATGTCATAAGATTTTGGTTGGCAACAAGGTCTTTTAATTTTTGGACTGTAAGTTGAATTGAATTCTTCCATCAATTTATTCAAATATGTTTTCTATTATTCTACTTCTTCGCATTCTTCTTCATGAGGTTCGGAAATGTACTGTTCTCTATGATCAGACTAGCTTCTTTGGATTCTCATCATATATTCGTGATTGAATTCTTTATTTTTTTCTAACTATTATTAGAGTTTTTGTGCTGTAAATTCAAGTGTTTAACTTTAAAATTTAGACTCTTTTTTGCTGCTACTAAGAATCAAATCATCCCAATATTGTGGGGATTATTACTCAATCATCATAACGAATTTTGAATTAAATTAATAAATAATACAACTAAATTTGAACATAAAGATGATAATTACAAATAAAGGAAAATTTAATCAATAATATTCAAAAATTGAGATGAGAATTTATATTTAATCCCTTTACACATCTTTGTTAATATCCACATTTGCAGCATAATATTATAATTTTTTAACGAATCTTGATTTAGTAGTAGTTCTAAAATTATTGAACCTTTTCTAATGAGGCGAAGTTTTAGTTATTAAACTTAAATACTATATCAGTCAAGAATCTTAAAATCATAATGAAACATTCTAATGCACTAAAATAAATAAACCTTCTATGTTATGATTATTATTTATTATAATATTAATGATTCACGGTCCCAATTCCCAATTTTCAGGAGCATATACTATTGGTAAACGATACGAATGTATGATCTTTCTATATTTCTTAGCTGCCATTTACTAAACTAATCCAAATCCAGGGTAATGTATGCTATTGACATAGTCCAAATCACTACTCTATTAATCCAATTGATAAACCCATAGGGTTCAAATTTTCAAAATCGAATAGAAAACCCTTATATTAACCTAGTATAGCACCAGATCCTGGAGCATATGATCTAAAATTTTAGGTCTTTAAAAATATAACTTAATTAGACAATCTCCTAAACTTCACCCTCAGCCGTATTTACAACTGCCAAAGATCACTAGGAACGAGTATTTGAAATTGGTCCTGGATCTTATAATTGGACTGATTAAAAAAAGGCTCCAGCATTTACCTTTCAAAGCAAATTCGATTCTATTGGTAATCAGATATTACAAAATCCTGGTCCAGGAACTTATGAAATTAAACATTACCATACTCATTAGCCTTAAAATAAGGGTTTATCAACGAGCTAGAGGGCTAATCATTTAACATCAAGTACTCCAGGACCAGGATCATACGATGTCGAAATACCTAAATACTCAACTAATATTAAGTATAATCAATATCTAACAGATTTCCAAAATCATAGAGAAGCTTAGAATAAAGTGAATTTGGACCTGGCCCAGGAGCTTTTGATTTGAGTATACCAAAACAATAAGGAATAACTTTTGGAGTTAAAGGGAATCAACAAACTGAAAAATAAAGTGTTCCTGGCCCTGGTAGTTACAAATTAAAATCATTTGTTGGATATGATGAAAGAGATTTAAAATAAAATAAAGTAAAAGGAGCCAAGTATAGATAATTTACTCAAAACTAGAATTGGTACTTCAAAAAGAAGTAGCTAAAATTTTCTCAAGCTTGGACCATCACCTCTAGATTACGATGTGTCCAAATACAAATATCCTACCAGACATGCTAGGTAAAAGCATATAAAATAATATTAGTTTTGGAAGTGCAGTTAGATCATCAATAGTTCCAAATGAGAAAACCCCTGGCCCTGGTTAGTATATGGTTGATTCCAAACTTAGAAGAAATGGACCTGTCATACCAAAAGCATCAAAAGATTTCAACTCTTTAGATAATAATCCTGTATTTTGTAAATTTACACCCTTTAGGGTCCTGGGAAGTACAATCCTAACATATCAATGTCGACGAATAAAGGACCAAGCTATCATATTGCTGGCAAATACGAAAAACCATAAGAAGACAGTTTGGTTGGACCTGGAAGATATAATATTTAAAGGAACATCAATGATGGACCTAAATACACATTTCCAACCTTAGAAAAGAGCATGGACAATAAATCATTAGATATAAATTAGTAAAATCCTTAAGTTTATCTAATTAGATCGCACTGCTATGAAATCTAATAAACCATTGGATATATACCTCCGTACAACTTACAGAATTGAATAAAATCAAAACGGATTATATTTAATATATAATTATGAAAATTATTGTCTTGATATTCTTGTTAGGGGCCTTTGCTTCAAACATCAGACATAAAAAGGAGAGGTTTTTTATTATTCTTATTATTTAGACACAGTGATTCTTAGACATTATCACATCAACAATCAAACACTAAAGGTAATTGAACACCAAATAAATATTTTAGAATTATTGTAAGTCACTGATATAGATAACTAATCCGAGACTTTAGTTGAGGAAACTCTCAATGAATAATAAAATCTAGAAGAACCAAAACCAATTTATAATAATGATGGCAGATCACCTGATATGGGTTTGAGCGAAGTAGACAATAATGATGCTTCAGAGGCCCCTATGATGGCAGATAATGTATATGATTAATCAGCACAAGAAGAAGTGATTAAAGGATTATCACTTATATAAGTTGGAGAAATTGATGCATTAGCTGATATTGATACTAGCATGCCATTGTTAGATGAAGATTTTAAATATGATGAATAAGCCCTTTAGGAAACTCCTTTAAATGTTGATATCGTTGAGGAAGTACCTTAATAATAAGAATAAGAAGTCAATGAAATCGAAGATTAATTGCAATAAGAAATTGAAATCGAAGATTAGCAAGATCAATTAATAAATGAAGTTTAATTGCTTTAGATTGGAGGATTCTATTATTGATTTATTCAAAATCATATATAATATTAATTTAATTATTCATGAATAAATTCAATATTTCAGCTACATCAATAAATTTTAGAAAGTAGAAAACTACAAACAATTAAACCAGAATCGATTCATCTACATCCGTCAATCAAAACAACCCTACAATATAAAGAAAGGATGATAAAAACTTGCAATCAAACACAGAAAGAACAAAGATTAACTCCATAAGCAGAGAGAAAATAAAAGGAAACAAAAAGTAATAATAACTAAATTTTATTTTAGTTTAGCTCTTATATTAAATCTAAAGTAAATAATTCTAGTGTTGATAAAATTTTTAATAACTAAAGAGCATTATCATCAATATCTCGTTAATCAAATTGCAGTCCAACCTCAAAGAGAACAGCCTCAAAAAATAAGCTCTCTGCCACTCCTTAAAGAGATAAGTCAAAATAAACAACTGTATCAGAATAAAAAAAGCAGTTATTATCTTAAACATCAAGATAACAATAATAACAATAGTAATAATAGTAATAATAATAATAATAATAATAATAACAATAATAACAATAGCCATAATAATAACAATAGTAATAACAATAGCTATAATAATAACAATAGTAATAATAATAACAATAGCAATAATAATCTAAAAAAACAGATAGATAACATACTCCAAAATCAACAAGCAAATAAATGTTTACATCTCCAAATGTAAAACCTCTTTCTGGCAATGCAATAAATAAAATGAAACCAACCTTTGAGAAAGGAAAGTCCTTACCTTTCAAAAAAGAGAGTGCACCTGTAAAATTAATTTCTCAAAATACTAATTTGGGATACACTGCTTAGAAGTCAAGTAGAAAACCAAATAAAAATTTGAGTTAAAATAAGGAAACACCTATTCATTATGAAGAATTCACATTACAAGCATCATAAGCTAAGAACGTTTAAACTGAGGGATTATCTGTAATTTTTAGGTTTATTAATTTAGTGTTTAGTTGAGTCAATATTTTTAGGGTCAAAATATTATTAGTCCTCATTAATCCATTTTCATTATGAATAAATAAAACAAAAACAGTCCCCTTATAACTATTTTTTTGATTTACACTACTCAACAGAAGTTCTAAAGGACTATTTTAAAGAATTATTTCAAGAGCACTTTTTATAAAATTATAATTGTTTGTAATATTGCAAGAAATATACCTAAAATATTCAAAAGAATAAAAAGTATGAATTTTTACCTGGTTAATCCCAAGAGATTAAAACATTAGTTTTTGATTTAGATGAAACTTTAATCCATTGCAATGATAATAATAATGACCCTACTGACCATGTTGTATAGATATAATTGCCAAATGAAGGGACAGTAGAAGTACTTAATGTTAATAAAACTTAGGCAAGAATTAACATAAGACCCTATTGTTAATAAATGTTAAAACTATTGTCCAGCCATTTTGAATTGATGTTATTTACAGCCTCCTATTAATATTATGCAGACAAAGTACTTGAATTGATAGACCCTGATAGAACGTTATTTCAATATAGGTTTTATAGGGACAGCTGTATAGAGGTTGAAGAGGGCCTATTTGTTAAAGATTTGAGGATAATAGGGAATAGAAAATTAGAAGTAAGATTAGTGCAATATCTAGAATATTTTGCTAGTTGATAACGCATCTTATTCTTATTGTTTTTAAATAGATAATGGAGTACCTATAATTCCATTTTATGATAATAAATATGATAAGGAATTGTTATTTTTGACCGACTATTTAATCAACCTGAAGAAATCTGATTAGTCAATTAAGTAAAACAGAATGCACTTCCGAACTTATTTTTATTAGATTTGCCCCAATGGAGATGAATGCTTGAAAGAGTTATTTCAAGCGCATGATATTGTTTAGGATTGATATATTATATAAAGTATTTAAAGAAGAAAAACTTATTTGTTAGATATTGATTATGAATCTGTAATATATATAATAAATAAATTAACTGTAAATCAAATGAATTACGAAGCATTACTTGAGGAACTGGGATTGGATGGTACTCCATAAAAATAAACAAGCAAATCACCGTAGAATTAAACAAGAGCTACGGATAACACTTACCTTACCAAAACACCTGAAACTACAAAACAAAAAAAAATAAAATTAATATTAAATGTAAATTTGAGTTCCAATCAAGTGGAATAGTTAATGATATATTAAGATGATGATCCAAAATTGAAAGTATCAGAATTTTGTCATTTGCACTAATTAGACAAGAATGCATAAAATGTACTAATAAAACAAATCAACAGCAATACAAATAGTGAAAATTATCAAAGTTAACAAAAATTACAATAGTAAAATTATTATTCTAGAAATTTACAATCATATTCAACAAAAGAGTCAGAATAACCTGGTGAGAGACTCTATCAATTGGCTTAAAAGAAGAAAGAATAAAGAGAAAATTAAATAAAATAGTATTAAACAGAAAAATAGGAATAGGAGTAACAGCAATTATAATAAACCCCTAAACTAAGCAATCAAACAAAAATTTATTTGGTATTTAGTAATTCATTGACTTATTTAAGGAATAAGCTGGGTATCGTAAAAATGGATATATGAGAGAGAAGGGTACTCTGAAAGATAAACAAATTCAATAGGTCTTTTTGGATGAGCAAGGGAAGGAGTATAATTTTGTACCTCAGATAAATGAATTGTAAGATATTTATATTATCAATTAGATCGAAACAAATGAGTCATTATATTAGAGAGAAACAACATTATGAGAACGTATTTGATGAATTGTACGAACAAGCAAGAAACAGAATGTACTCACAACCAGAATACGATATTCCTGAATGTACTTTCAAACCTTCAGTGAACTAGAATATTAAGATTGATGAAGATTTTTTAACTAGGATGGAAAAGAAGTAGGAAGAATAGAAAGAAAGAAGGGAATTAATTAAAATGAAGTATGAAAACGTTGACGTAAAGACTCGGCAATTATTATATCGACCTAAAATATGTAGAAGTCCTTATGCTTAAACATCATCAGAAAAACGTATATGAATAGATTAAATCATAAGCCGTTCATGAGAAGCTTTATTTATAGTCCAAGTTAAAGTCAGAAAAATTGTAGTTAATGTCTGAATAAAAAATCATGGAAGAAAAGGAATCTTAAAATGTGAGATTGAAAAACGAATTGTCAGAGGATATCGTATTTCTCTAAAGGAAGAAGGTCCTCAAACAATTATTTGCTGAAATGGATTCAAATCAGGATGGCTAAATATAATGTTCTTATGAAGAAATAAATAATCTACCTCCCAATATTATATAAACTCTTTGGCCTGTATTAAAATTATTATAGGAACGAAAACGATGCTTAGATTTTGATGACTTTTTTGAAAATGTTTATGAATTTTGTATCAATCTTCCCTAAATCTAAAAGGATATCATTTTCAAAAAGTCAAAGAATAACTATCTCACTATGAAAGATTAAGATTACACTTTCACTCCAAAGACTAATAAGAAGTCTAAATCAATGAAGACTGTGCATTATCCTAGTTGTAAATGTGAAATTTGCTCAAAAATTGCTATTATATAAAGGCAATTAAATGATTAATGAATAATATATATTACACGATTAAAATAATATCTTATAATTAAATAATTGTTCGTAAATGCATATTTAAAGATAAAGAATACATCAAATAAATAAAATATTAATATAATTATATGTCTGCTAACTGTATTGAAGAAAAAAAATTTGCTTTGATCAATGAAGAATTAACAATTGACAATATGGACTAATCTACAACAAATTAATCAAAATAAAGCAATGCTACACTCTCCATGGCCTTTCCGAATGCTGATAGCAATTACAGGTACAAGCCAATAAAAACCCAAAGTATTTTTAAACGTTATAATAGGAAGTCTGTTGACACTGACTCCATAGATCAGTTAAAGAAGAAGTTCAAGATCTCTGATTGAACAAACTTACGTAATTGAAGAGGAAGTATTTAGAATATTTAAATAATAGCCATAAATTTAAGGATAGAATGAAGTATTCCTCATTTATTGGTATGATTAAAATATTGATCATAAATATGAGATGATTATTCAAACACATAATAACATTACTGTAGGTGATCTAATTCAACTTTTTATCTAACAATTCAATGACCAAAATTAATATTTACAGACTCCGTTTTCCTCTGATGTTCATAATACCAATATTTATGAATTATACATACCAAAAAAGAAAAAAGGTACTCCAAATGAAGATTTTCCAGGTATTGTATTTTAAGTTATTTTTAGCTTTTGCCAATTAAACTATGCTTAATTAAACCAATTTAAAAGAATTTTCCTTAAAGATAACAACCAAACAAATAACAAATTATTCGTCACCACTTTTAAATTCCTAGAATTCATCAGCAGCCAAATCTAATACTAAATAGAGATAAAGCTTAACAAATTCTAGTTAAAAAAAGAAGAAAAACTTTTTTTAGAAATTATTTTTCTGTTGCAATCACCAGGCAGAAGAATTTTGAACTTAATAACTTAAACTTGTTTAATGCATTTACATAACAAATAATATTTAAAATCTAATATTATATATATAATATATATGATTAGTTCTGATATTCTAATTAATACAACTTCTTATATTTATATTTATTTTGAGAGCAAGTATGTAGATATAAAAACTGAATGAGATGATTCTTTTTAAATTCAAAAAACTATGATTTTCTGATTTATTTGTTTTTCTTGTTGATATTAATTGAATTCCTTTGTAAATTCGATAATGAATGTCTAATATTAAAAACAAACTTGAAATATTAATAAACTTAAAGGACTAATTTAAATATAGCAAAATAAATTTACATGTGATAAAATAAAAATTAGCCTTCTTATATATATATGTTCTTTATTTTCTTTGAATAATATTAAACAAAAGTCCATTTTTAGCATTTTTAAGCAATCTTCAGTGCAAAATATTTTTACCATAAAAATTAAAATAACTTATATAAAATCATATACTTTTCTACTTTTTTTGATATTTAGTGATTGCTGTCGAATTAATTACAGCTGTTTGATTTCAAAATATAAGTATGTCAGGGATGCTCTTTTTTTATAAATAGTCATACTTTTTATTACAGAAGTTGGATTAAAAGAGAAACTACAATCGGATTTGGTATTCTACTCATAATGTAAATGAAAATAATGTTTCAGAAATGAATTCTCAATATTGATAATAATTATAATATTTAAAATTATACTAAAGAATATATGAGTCGTGTGCTTAGATATTAAAAAAAGAAGAAGGATGATGGTAGATACTTAATTAATTGAATAGGACCCTTAGTGAAAATAAACTTCGCAAAATTTCCGAATTTACCAAAAATAAGGGAAGAAGAAGATAAATTATAAGGTTTTATTAATTCTTTTGAATCTGATAGCTAGTAACTTTTAATCATCAAAATAGGTTGTCATTATAGGAGAGATCATGTTAATTGAGAACAATGACTGCATCTTTTTCTAGAGGGTTAAAAACTACTTCAAGTTCAAGGGACAGAAAGGAATAAAAAAAGGTTGATGAGAATTATACAATTTATGGATTGTCAAAGATAAAAACAGCGAGAAGTCCACTATAAACATAAAGATAAACTCCAAATCCATATGAAACTGAATAAAAATTAGAGCGATCAAATGAAGAGTGGTTTTAATAGTCTCTGATTTCAGAAGCACCTTAAGCAAAAGTGTTGTTTTTTAATTAAAGAAAAAAGTATGCTGAAATACATATGTAGATCTTTCTTGTGGGAAGATGCAAAAGTCATAAATTATAATCAGGATACTTAAAAATTTCTAGTATAAAAATATCCCGATGGATCAACGAAATCAGTTGATAGACTATCAATCAAATTTATTAATTAAGATGAAGATTTATTCAGAGCAGCAACAGTAAGAAGGTTTTTATTTAATTTTATAAATTTATAGTTAGAATATTAGATAACATCAAAAGGAAGAAATGAAAAAACTTAGGGAGATTTATGCAATAAGTGATAATGAAGTCAATAAAGCCCCTTAATCTTTAATTAATTCACTTTTTAGTAGATTTTAAAATACAAAAAAGTAGAATCTAGTTGAATCTCTACTTGAAGAGGTTAATTAAAACTATTTACTCTTTTAAAAAAAATGCTCATTTATTGGAGACACTGTTATTTATAAATAGATTGCTAGAGTTGAACAGAGATATCAATTTTTTCCTACTTTATAAAGCAATCTAGAGAAAGAAGCTGTTCTAATAAGGAAGGATGGTTATAAAGCTATGAAGTAATTGCTTTTTAGATTAAATTAAATCAATATTGAAATAATTCATGAGAGGGATTTTAAGTTTCCAATAATACTCAATAAATTTGATGCTGTTCTTGAAATGGAAGGAAAAGAGATTAAGAAAGAGGTTAGAAGGGAAAAGTTCTATATTTAATCAGATCTGTAAGATATATTAGGTCAAAATTATAAATTTGTAGAATCAAATCGAAAACGCTATTATGATTGTGGGTTGTCAAGAATATTAACTAGAGTTGATCTGATGTATTAATAAATTATAAAAGAAAAGGTTCTACATTAGTTTAATTACACTAAAGAATTTTATGAAAGTTTTATACTAAATTCTCAATTTCACAAGCCTTTAAAATAAAAGCCATTGCTTTAATTGCATGTACAATGTATAGTGCAAGTGCCTGTAAAAAAATCAATGAGAAAATTAATAAAAGATTCGATAAAAGGAGATGAGGAGATAATTTATATTGAGCCAAATATGTAATCCATCTTAACAGCCTTCATGAAGCCATTTGATTATCTTTATCAATTAATAATCGAAGGTTGTTGTATTTAAAGTGAAATCATGACCCTATTATTATTGGAGAAAAAGAAGATATCAACTGTGATGGACTTTGGTTAACTAAACTCTATAAAAGAATAAACAATTAATTTGATTTCAAATGAGTATAAATCTTGTGATGATATTGCTAAATACTATACTAAGTACTCTCGTTACCTAAAAGCTTTCCGCTCAAAAGATTTATACGACATCTTTGGTCTGGATCCAAAGGAAGCAGCCATTCTAAGTTAGATGAATTTCTCATCGATAGAGAGTTACTTATATGAGTTAAAAGAGTCCAAATTAGACATACTTTAATTCCATTAAAATTAGAAAAGATTTGGTTTGTTTTCTTTGAATATCTATGAGCTTAAACACACTCTGGTTGAACGAATTAATGATTAACAGATATAGATTTTTAATGTAAGATCATGTATTTTATTAAAATAGAAAATATAAGAGATTCTGAAACATAACATCTAATAGATTAAATAATAATTTTAAGTAATGAGGGAAAAGAGTCAATAGATTCCACAAACAGAATAGGAACTGATGGAATTAAAATTGTTCTTAGGTGAAATTAAAGTAGATTTTTCAAGAATGCAATTTGAAGTTCAATTTGTGTAAATATCTTATAAATATTTTTATAGCGAATAATACATAAATTTATTTGAAGAGTTTTATATACCTTTTGACTTTTAGTTAGTAATCGATTATTATGAATTAATCTATTTACCAAAAGATATTTCTGACATAATTGAGGCTAATAAAGCAGTTCTGAAATAGCAAGAAGATATCTTTTTGAGAAGATTACATAATGACAAATAAGAATTCATTGCCAAGATTTTGTAAATGCAAACTACATTTACAAAGATTAAATCTTATTGTTAGTATGAAAAGTTAAAGGAAAATATTATTGAGATTAAAAAGTTCTAAGAATAAATTGAGAATTCCAAAGAAGTAATATCTGAATTCAATCTAAGAGAGCTTACATTTCAAATAGGTGTAACAGTTTACAGAGAATTTGAAAATTTACTCCATGAGTTCTAACCTTATTATTAATTTTGGGATTTAGCAGTATAATTATTATATGTTATAATTAGTAAAGATTTGATATTTAAAAAGAGTAATGGTTATCTATGTCAATTAAATAATTAGATCATCTAGATATGTAACTATTGATGTAACAATTCAATAATGAAGCTATTTCAATTTTTAATTACTTTAGTGATATTCTAGATGACAATGCACAGAGTTTGGTAAGAAATTTAAGAAGGTAATTGGATTAATTCAAGGATAACATTTGGATAGTTGAATCACTGGCTATTGAAGCATATAAAAGAAAACCCATTTTCTGGAAAGATCTTTTTAGAGAATGTTAATTTCCTTAGTTGGAAAATAAAGAGGAAATCACCATATCGAATTTACTTAAAAAGGGTATACTAAATTATAAAGATGTTGTATTGAAGTTGTCTTCTTAGGCTGAGAAGAGTTGGAGTGTTGAGAAGAGATTAAATGAGATGTTCGATAAATTGTCAATAATAGAGTTGGAATTATAAGTGTATAAGGATACATTTATTTTTAAAAACTATGAGGATGTAATGGCTTAATTAGATGAACAATTAAATGTTTTGAATATTCTTAAGGCTCAACCTCATGCTAAGTTTGTTATTATCAAGGCTGCTTAATTGGAAAATAAAATATTACTCATTCAAGACACCCTTGATTAGGTTATGAAATGTTAGAAGCATTGGATTTACTTAGATCCAATATTTGCAAGTGACGATATTAAATTAAAGTTAAAATAAGAGACTTTAGATTTTAAGAAAATAGATCAGTCATATAAAAATTATATGATCATTTTGAATAAGAATAAATTGCTTTGGGACTAGATTGAAAATGACAAAATGAAATAAGACTTTGCATACAATGTATAAATGTTGGATCAAATATAAAAAAGTTTAACAAAGTACTTAGAATCCAAGAGAATATTATTTCCTCGTTTTTATTTTGTATCCGATGAGGAATTAGTTGAAATTTTAGCTTAAACTAAAAATCCATAGCAAGTATAGAAACATATATTCAAATGTTTTGAAAATATATCAGAATTGAAAATAGTAGATAATGAGGTCATCACAGCATTTTATTCAAGTCATCAAGAGAAGATATTATTAGATGATGTAATCAATTTGAAAAAGGGAAATAAGATAGAAAATGTAGAGAGTTGGCTATCTGAATTTCAAACAAGAATGCAGAAAACAGTGAAGAAATCTAGTTGCAATGCTTTGAAAGATTTGAATTCGACTAAGTTGGAGATTATTAATAAATGGCCTGGTTAAAGTGTACTATTAAGTAACCAAATAAAATGGACAAGGAACACAGAGGCTTCAATTAGATAACAATAGAAATTGAATTTAAAATTGTTACTTTAGTTACTAAACAAGGAATTATAGACAACAGTAGATTTAGTGAGAAATGAGACCAGATTGATTTAGAAAACAACTTTAGAAGCTATGGTAATTCAAGAAGTCCATAATAAAGATGTTGCTTAGTTACTGTTAAACTAATAGATAGAGGTCATCAACTCATTTTTATGGATATCTTAATTAAGATATTATTTTAATGACGAGAATTCAATTTAGGTTAAAATGGTTAATTCATCTTTTGAGGTATTTCATATAATAATATTGATTAGTATGGATATGAATATTTGGGAAAGATCTAGAGATTAGTCATTACAGCATTGACTGATAGATGTTAAAGGACATTGATGGAAGCATATAAAATGAATTATGGAGGTGCTCCTGAAGGTCCAGCAGGAACAGGTAAAACTGAAACTGTAAAGGATTTAGCAAAAGCAATGGCAAGACCATGCATTGTTTTTAATTGTTCAGATGGATTGAATTATATAGCAATGGGTAAATTCTTTAAAGGATTGGTGACATCAGGATCTTGGTGTTGTTTCGATGAATTTAATAGAATTGATCCTGAAGTTCTATCTGTTGTCGCATAATAGATATTTACAATTCAGAAGGCAATCAAACTAAGACAGGAAGCATTTATATTTGAAGGGGAAGAAATCAATCTAGTACCTACTTGTGCAATAAATGTGACTATGAATCCTGGGTATGCTGGGAGATCAGAACTACCTGATAATCTGAAAATACTGTTCAGACCATGTGCTATGATGGTTGCTGATTATGAAATGATTGGAGAGATATGTTTATATAGTATTGGATTTGAAAGGGCTAGAGAATTGAGTAAGTAAATAGTTACATGTTTGAAGTTGTGCAATGAGCAATTGTCATCTCAGGAACATTATGATTTCGGAATGAGAACACTGAAGGCAGTATTAAATTCGATTAAAAATACTAGGAATGGAACAGAACAAGAGAAGTGTCTAACTGCTTTGATTATTGTTAATCAACCTAAATTGGTGAAGAATGATATTGAATTATTCAAAGCGATCACTTAGGATTCATTCCCAAATGTTTAAGAATAGGAAATGGATAAATTAACTAATTTTAAATAGTAAACTGAAAATATGAAATTGATATACTATGAAACTTTGGCAATCAAATGTGAATAGATACACAACAGTATTGAAGTGAGAAATGGAGTAATGTTGGTTGGTCAAACATTCTCTGGGAAATCAACATCCTTATAGATATTGTCTCATTTATTGAAAGCTACAATTTTAAAGTTAAATCCAAAAGCCATAAATTCAGATCAATTATATGGTAAGTTGGATCCAGATACAAAGTAATGGTCAGATGGAGTAGCTCCAATATTGATGAGAGAGAATATTCAAAGAGAGAAATATGTTTGGATCGTTTTTGATGGACCAGTGGATTCTATATGGATTGAGAATCTTAATACTGTTTTGGATGACAATAAAAAATTATGTTTAACATCAGGAGAGATTCTGAAAATTCCAGAGAGAATGTGTATGATTTTTGAAGTTGAGAATCTGTCTGCTGCATCTCCAGCCACTGTCTCGAGATTGGGTATGATCTACTACAGTATCTTTGATTGGAGATATCTTATAGATAATATAAGATTGCCTAATCATTTTGATCACAAATACTTCATTAAAAGAATCAAATAGTATTATTAATTTATATTCATTATAGTCTCATAGAACATTCATTGGCATGGATGCAAAAATATGCATAATTCCCTGTTTATGATCAATAAAACATACTAGTCAGTTCATTCTTGAAATTGTTCTAGAAACTGATGTCTTTGTTAGATTAGAATGAAAGTGATACATTTGTATTTGATAACACAATAATCTTTTCAATTACTTGGTCATTGGGAGCTGCAATTAATGAATAAAATAGAAATCCCTTTAACACATTCTTGCATAAATTACTAAAACATTAGTCCACAGGTTTAGATTTAGAAATCAATAGAAAATTGTAATTTCCAATCAATGAAAGAATCGATTATTTTTTATTTGGATTTATCAATCAAAAATGGGTTGAATGGATTGATGTATAATATATGATTAACATATGTAGATCTCTGAATAATTACAAATAACTCTGAGCACTGATTTTCATCAGATAGTTGTACCAACAAGTGAATCAAATAGAAATGACTTCTTTTGTAAATTGGGATTGCACTTGTTGTATTGTGGACCCACAGGCACTGGTAAATCTTTGTCGATGACAAAGTTTTCATAATTCTTAATAGCATGCAGTGGTTAAACAACTGGAAACAGTTTGCAGAGGTTGATAGAAACCAAGATCAATAAAAGGAGAAGAAAAGGATGTTATGGAGCTGAAGAAGGACAGATCACAATATTTGTGGATGAATTGAATATGCCTTTTAGAGAACCATAAGGATCATAACCAGCTATTGAATTATTAAGATAATGGATGGATCAAGGTGGTTGGTATGATTTGGATAATAAGGAATTCAAATACATGTGTGACATAACTTTCTTATGTGCTATGCAACCAGCAAGTGGTGGTCGAAATTAAATTACTATGAGATATCTGCGACATTTCAATTTATTATATATTGGTGGATTCGATAATGCCAGTGTCACCAATATATTATAAGTATTTGTCGATTGGGTGATGATCAAGTTTTGTGCTACAGAGGAAATCAAATCATTTTAAACAACAATTAGTTCAGAACTCATTGAACTTGTATTAGTAGATATAAGAGAGTTTATTGCCAACTCCTTAGAAATGTCATTATATCTATAATTTAAGAGATGTATTCAGGATTTTTGAGGGTATGAGTAAGGCTTCGAAATTGTAAAGTAAATCTCAATTGATGAAACTCTGGGTTCATGAATGCACAAGAATCTTTGGTGATCGTTTGGTAGATTTCAATGATATCAAGATATTTTAGAATATCATAAAGGACATAGTTGTGGAGGATAGAATTAACTTAAATAATATTCTGTGGATTTAAGGGAATAGTAATTAACATTATGATGAGGTTCTGAATATTTAATATTTGAAATAGAGAGTGTAAGGAATGCATGATGACTTCAATGCTTAAAGATTTCAAAGCAAGTTGTCATTAATTTTGTTTACGAATGCTATTATGCATATATTTAGAATAACTAGAATTCTACAATAGACTTTTGGTCATGCTTTATTAATTGGAATAGGAGGAACTGGGAGATGTAAATCTAATAATTAATAATATCTTTAGCTTCCTTAGCCAAATTAGCAACTTTTATAGTATTTAGATCAGAACCAATAATAATCGACCCTCGTTCTTGGAATGATGAGTTGTTGAATACTCTATTATAGGTTGGATTGGATAATTAGAAAGCATCCATAATATTCAATGATTCCTAATTACAATAATCTTATATGTGGGAAGATATTTGTAGTTTATTGAGTCATGGCGAAGTCACTCATCTATTCACTCCAGAAGAGAGACTAAAGATATAAGAGGAGATGCCATTCTCAAAGTTCTTGTAGATTTGTAAATTTAATGTTCATGTCATTTTATGTATGCAACCAGTTACAGAGTTATACAGAAAGAGATTAAGAACATTTCCTACAATCATTAATTGTACTACAATAGATTGGTTTATGGATTGGTCAAATGAGGCTTTGGTGACTACAGCTGAAGAATTTCTACCCAGCAATTCTCTTGTCAATGTGGCTGTTAACATTCATTGCAAAGTATTATAGATTACTCAAAAATATAATTCTGAACAAAGAAGACAATTTTATGTTACACCAACATAATATTTATAGATGTTGCAAACTTTTAAACGACTTCAAAGAGAAATAAGTGAATAATCATTGGCATTAATAGATAGATTTGAATCTGGTATTGAAAAGATCATTAAGACTCAAAAGGAAGTCGACAAAATCAAATTGCAATTATTTGAATTATAACCACAATTAGAGTAGGCAACCATCGAAAATTAAAAGTTATTATAACAGATTAAATTAAAAAAAGAGGAAGCAGACTAAAAAAGAAAATTGTGTGAATAAGACGAAATGATATGTTAGAAACATAGAGATTAAGCAACTGAATTGAAGAATATATGTATAACTGAATTGAATAAAGTGCTACCCCTTTTGGGTTAGGCTACTGAAGCATTAGATAAAATTACAAAAGAAGACATGATCTAATTGAAATCTTTCACTAACCCTCCTTTATCAGCTGCTGTTGTTATGGAAGGTCTATGTTATACATTTTAAGAAGATGAAAAAGTGAAATCCAAAAACAAAGAACTACCTGTCATGTAAGATTATTGGGATTATGCCAAAAAGTATTTATTAAATGATAAGCTCATAAAGAGAGTCAAAAAAATGAAACTAGAAGAAATAAGATCTATTAAACTAATGAATATACAGAAACTCTAGGTTTTTGTTCTTAATCCTCTTTTTGAAAAGGAGAAGGTATTTAATGCATCAAAGGCAGCTGGTAATTTGGCATAATGGATAAGAGCTGTCTTAGAAACATACTAAGCTGTTGAAATCATAGAACCAAAAAAGGCACAATTACTTGAAGCTGAAAAAAAACTTAAAGAAGCTGAAGCTGATGTTTAAGTCAAACGAGCCATCTTAGAATAGTAGTTGAATGAACTTAAGCAATTTGAAAAGGAATTCGAAAGAGCCAATTAAGAAAAGCAAATAATTTAAGCCGAAGTTGAGACTATTTAAAAACAACTTAATAAAGCTGAAAAACTATTATTCGGTTTATAAGATGAAGCTTAAAGATGGAAGAAAAAAGGATAAAAGATAAAAAATGAATAGATTGCAATCGAAGGAGACTGTATTTTAAGTGCTTCAATAATTGCATATTTGGGAGTATTTCCTATTTAGTATAGAGATGTCTGTCAAAATTACTGGAAAAATCTATTGAAATAAAATAATGTCAAATTCTCAAGTGATTATGCCATCTCGAAATAATTATGTAATCCAATTATAATCAACAATTGGATTACATAATAATTACCAAATGATTAGCTAAGTATTGAGAATGCAATCATACTTAAAGAGTCTACAAAATGGCCATTAATGATTGATCCACAACTCTAAGCCAATTAATGGATTAAAAATATGGAAGATAGCAAATACTTGCTTATCTTAAATGCCAATTAGCCAACCTAATAAATTCAATTGCAATTAGAACATGGAATATAAATTGGTTATGCAGTTCTATTAGAAAATGTTGGTCAAACTTTGGATCCATTATTTGAATCATTGTTGTAATAAAATGCGAAATCTAGATCAAAGAGAGCAACTATGAAATTAGGAGATAAAATAATTGATATATCTTCTGATTTCAGATTTTATATGACAACCAAATTAAGTAATCCTCATTTTCAACCATAAGTTTGTGTTATGGTTAATATGCTTATCTTTTAAGTTACTCAGGATGGATTAGTTGACTAATTGTTAAATATAGTTGTCAAGATTGATGAACCTCAGAAGGAAGAACAAAGATTGAAGAACATCCAATAATATTTTTAGAATAAGGACAAATTGATGTAGACAGAGACATTGATATTGAAATTGCTTTCAGAATCCACAGGAGATCTATTAGAAAATGAAGACTTAATTTAAACACTCTCAAAATCAAAGGATGAAAGTATAGCAATTGAAGAGAAGTTAAAAAGCTTAGAGTATGATAGAATAAACTTTATGCAAATCAGATAATTCTATTAATAAGCAGCTGAGAAAGTCGCCAATCTTTACTTCATATTAAATGATTTGGCTGTCATAGAACACACATATATTTGGTCCTTAGAGTTTTATTTCTTTCTTTACACTAGATCTATAAGAGAATCTTAAAATGAAAAGTTAAAACGAAATTAGAATATCATAGAAAAGTTTTTATAAATTTTATACACTTAAATTAATAGATCACTTCTAGAGAAAGATAAACTCATATTTCGATTTCTATTATATGTAAAGACTATGAATATTCCTTCTGAATTAATTAGAGCTACTGTTATGGGTTGCACCTTAACATCCTCAGATGTGTAAATGCCCAAAGGATTCTCATGGTTGACAAATAAGATGTGGTTGGAATTAGTGGATTTATCATAATCCTTTCCTAACATATTTGGCAGTATATGCTAAGATTTTATATCGTAAAAGTAATTCTGGGATAGCTTTTATAACAGTTCTAATTGTTATTAATTATCATTGAGAGGTTTAGATTAATTTCAAATGAATATGTTGGTTAAGATTATCAAACCTGAATAATTTATATCTGCAACCAATGAGATGATCAAATAATAAATGGGTAATCTCTTTCTAGAAAATATTCCAACGACGTTTGAGTAGTTCTACTTTGAATCTGATTGCAAAATCCCTCTATTGTGTATCATAACTCCCGGAGCAGATCCGAGATAAGAGATCATAAAATTGGCTACCAAATATGATTTTAATGATCGATTTAATCAGATTTCACTAGGATAAGGATAAAACTAATTAGCTATCAAAATGATTCTGAGTGCCATGCAATAAGGCACTTGGGTTCTATTATAGAATTGCCATCTTGCTGCTTCATTTATGCCTGAACTTGAAAACTTATTTGAAGTGCAATACAAAAAAGAGATGAATTCTGATTTTCGACTGTGGTTGACATCTCAACCAACATCAATATTACCACATAATGTGATATTAAGATGTATTATATTATTTTATGATAGCTCTCAAAATAACTTATGAATTACCTCGGGGTCTCAAAAATAACATGTTAAGATCATATTAGCAATAGGAGTCTGACAAATTTGAGTAATCCAAAAAAATAAAGGAATGGAAAAATCTATTCTTTTCATTAGCATTATTACATGCATGCTTATTAGAAAGAAAGAAGTATGGTCCTTTGGGTTGGAATATTGGATACAATTTCTCATAACATGATTTTGAAATTTCAAAGGAATAAATCCATTACTTTCTAGAGACCTATTAAGATATTCCATGGGATGCTCTAAATTATTTAATTGCTGAAAATAATTATGGTGGTAGAGTGACAGATCCAATGGACAGAAAGCTTCTTAAAATTTATGTTAACGATTTCATCAATTCCAAAACCATTCAATAAGATTATCAATTTTATGATATTTATTAGATTCCTCAATAAATGAAACTAAAAGCTTATATGGAATACATATCACAATTGCCAATCAACGATCCACCTTAATTATTTGGTCTTCATTATAATGCTGAAATCTACTCGTCAATCTTAGAGACTGAAAATCTTAGTTAAGTAGTTTTGCAATTACTCCCCAGAACTTAAAGTGATTCAAATCAGACACATCCTGATCAGATTGTGTATAATAAAAGCAACGAAATCTTGAAGAATTTGCCTTAATAACTAGATAGTCAATTGGCAAAACAAAAATTTTAACAAATTTTGGAAAATCCTTTAAATGCAATAATTCATTAAGAAATCACAAAGTACAACAAATTACTAGCAAAAATATCAGAATCTCTTAGTATTCTAATATAAGGTTTGGATGGTCTCATTAATATCTCTGATTAATCAATAGAAATATATAATGCGATTTTTGATAATCGAATTCCAGAACAATGGCTAACCTTTTCTTACTTAACTACGAAATCTTTAGGATCCTGGTTTAGTGATCTAATAAAAAGAACTGAATTCATTTAAAAGTGGATAAATTAAGGTCAACCTAAGGTTTTTTGGTTGGGAGGTCTTTTCTTTATTTAAGGATTCTTAACTGCTGTTTTGTAGACATATTCGAGAAAATCAAAAATTCCTATTGATTAATTAAAATTTGAGTTCAACTTTTTTTCTTAAGAGCCATAGACCATAACAAGAGGTGTTTGCGTCAATGGGATATCAATAGATGGAGCTCAATTTGACCTTTAAGAGTAAACACTCGTAGAACCTTAAAATAATATCCTGTTCTATCCATGTCCGATAATCAATTTTTGTCCTACTCAATAGAGAAAAATAATCAAAAATTATTCTTGTCCCCTCTACAATACAACATAGAGAAAAGGAATACTTACTTCAAATGGAATATCAGTTAATTTCATTTGCAAAATAAAAATACCTATTAATAACAATAAAAATCATTGGTCAAAAAGAGGAGTAGCATTTATTGTTTAAGCAAATTGAAATTTTAATTAATAAATATTTGACAAATTAAATTAGCATTCACATTTAATAATTATAATGTATTTTTATATATTGTTTATTTTCATTCAATCTCAGGGTTTTGAATTGTTCATTGAAAAGGATAAGTAATATCTCATTGCGAATGATAATAAAACCGATATTCGATTTTAAGATGAGACTTTGGAGTAATCTCAATGTCATCCTTCAAAATAATATTTAGAAAACTCTAATGAAAAGCATACCAAATTTATATTCAATAACAATCATCAAGAAGACTAGATCACTGTAGTAATGCATCCTTTAGTATATGATACAGATGTCCTTAACATATTGTATTCACCCAAAAAGAAACCATACGAAATAGAGCCAAACTCATCAGAATAATTTATTATCTCTTATGAATGCAAAGCTACCAAGGATTAAATTTCATGGAGTTTAATAGTATTAGAATTTTAAGTATTCTTCAATCAGAATCATTCTTAATATTACGCAATCTACTTTTACAAATAATGCCTATAGACAGAACTATAAATCCATCCATTAATTATATTATTAATTTTGGCAGTAACATTAATAATAATAGGCACCAATTATGGATTATAAGAAATTAAAATGCTTGAGTAAATAAAGACTGATGAATTCAATGCAAAGACATCAGTGTTATTTATTTTATCTGCAAGTGTATTATTATTTTGTCTATTTAAATTTCCATAAATTGGATAATTGTAAGCTATTATACTTATAATAGAGTGTTGAGTGTAGTGATATTCTTTTTGGCCATAATGAGTATTTAAATAATTATAGAAGATTAGTTATAAAAAATGATAGGAAACAACACATTACTGAAGATTGTGTCATATTTAATTAGTTTTGGTATTGTATTCTCATATTTCTATTATAAACATTGGATAATAAATAACATTGTTGCATTTCTAATAACACTTTTGATGTTCAAGGTAAGAATTTAATAATAATCTTTAGATAATTGAAATAGATAGTTTTAAAACTGCCACATTATTATTGAGTTTGGCCTTCTTTTATGATATATTTTGGGTATTCATAAGTCCTTATTTTTTTGGAACTTCTGTTATGGCATAAGTAGCTACATCGATAGATTTGCCTATGAAATTTATATGTCCACCTTTGATGATTTCAAATACTTCTCCTTTAATGAGATGTTCCATACTTGGTTTAGGAGACATACTATTACCAGGAATCGTGATCAAGTATGTTCTAAAATTTGAAAATTTGTTGAATAAAGGTTATTGTATGTACATTACCTCGATAATTGGATATTGTATTGGATTAATAGTTTGTATGTGTTCCTTGGTTATCTACTAATAAGCATAACCAGCATTATTATACTTAGTTCCTATAATATTGATACCTGTGATTATTATGAGTGTCATAAGAAAACAATTTTATTAATTATGGAAGGGATAGGTATTTAAATCATAGAAATAAGCTGGAGTTTATGAGTTGCAATAGAGTGAATAAGTTTGATATATATATTATAAAGTGTATGAATAATATTATGAATTATTATTATTAATTTACAAATGAAAAAATTAAGAATTCTGATTGAATAAAGAAAACAATGATTAATCCTAATTATAAGATCTCATATATATAAGAATCTGGAATAAGTGAGTGGAATATTATAGCCATAGTTAAATAGATAATTTTTTATGAACTGACCATTCATAAGTTTTACATTAATTAAGTATATGGAGCATTAAATGATCAAATGAAATGTTGAACCTTTTAAATTACTTATTAAATTTTTATAATAGATATAGTAATGATCATATTTATGAATATGAAAAGATATTAATTATTGAAGAAAAATGATTTATATATATAAACAGATGATGATAATATCTCTATTACAGGAATAGAACAAATAAATACAATATTGGATAAATATACTGAGGGCGACTTGAAATTTGGGGATACAAAAAACAAAAAAAGGAATCAAGAGAAAAAGATCTCTTATTAGGAAAAATCTTAAATTGTTGAATATGCAATAGAATTAAAGGAAGATGGATTGGTAAATAAGATTAGCATTCAATTAAGAGTTATATAAACAATTGGAAAAAGGATGAACTTATGATTAAAAGCATAATCTCAATATTTGAAAAATTTAATAGTATACAAAATTATTTAAATATAGCTCGGACGATATCAGAATCCCCAAAAAGTAAATTCTCATGGATTTAAGAGATGAATATAGGTTTCAATAGTAATAACTAAAAATTCTCAGTTCAATCAATACCCAGACCTAATTTTTTTAGATTGTCTAGTAAAATAAATCTTGAAAACATAAATTTTTATATTATATTTTATTATTATATTTTAATTTCCTACTTAATTTAATGTAAGCCTAAACTTTACCCAATATTACTACCAAATCACCATAATCCAAACTCAAAACCCTTGATTCAATGTTAAATGCTCAAATAAAAATCAGATAACCAAAAGACATTGCCTTCAAGACTTTACCAAATAATAAAACCAACATTTCATTTCTGAGGAATGAAAAATTCTAAACTCGTTAAGATGTAAAATGGCATATATTTTTCAGCAATACTATAGTTCACCCTTATTAACAAAATCTTAGATAACAGAAGTTGAGGCATAAAACAGATAGAGTAGAAATGATTTCTATTCTTAAATGCTCAGCGATAATCCCTATAAATACAATGAATACAGTGAGATTGATCAAGAATATAACAGAAGTATGAATCCATATTGAACCATTAGAAATTTCAGATATCAATGTCAATTTATTGGATATGAGAAATAAAGATAAGATTAAAGAATTCCTATAGGAATCTGCTTCTTTTTCTAATCATCTCTCTACTCATACTTAAAGATTGAAAAAAGTAAATGTGCTCACTCAAAGACAAGATGTTATCAAATTGGCTTAATGGCTTGATTATTAGATGTAACAGGTGGTCTCTAATAAGAAAATGATGAAATAGCAATAACTAAGAGAAATTGAGAAGATATTTAACCTCAGTTTAAAAGAGTTGGTGAGAGAAATATCATTAGATTGCGTTGAAAAAAGGTATAATATCATAATTAGGTAGTGTACTATTAGAGAAAATATGGAATCAATATGTTAACTACAATACATTTCTACTTAAATCATTAGATGATGAGAAGAACAATCAAGAAAATGAATATTTACAGCAACTCAAATCAGTATTATTAATATTTTATGAAAATAGTTGCATTAAACATATTAAAATTCTGTGAAATTTTTAGAGGATAAACTAAAATAAATAGATGATGAATTTAATTCATTAAGCACTAAATTTGAAAGAAAGAAGTTTAAACTTAAAAATATTAAAGATAACTTCTTTAGCATTTAAGAATAAAAGAAAGAAATTGAACAAGAAGTTGAGTATCTTAAGAATTAGAGAAGAGATCTGTTAGAGATTAAAGAAGCACTCTAGAATTAAGTTGAGAATTTGACTCAAGAAAATGAAAGATTATAAACAGCCATCTATTAGAAATCCTAAGAGTTGAGAACAGCCAAAACAAAACGTTACTCTCAGATATCTATTGATAGTTGTTTTAGTGAATAAAATCACAAAGGGACAACCATGGAAGATTTCTCTGAAATGATGTCAATCAAAAAAGAAAAGTATACTTAGACATTTGATCATGATAAAATAAAAATATCAACTGCTAATCAAACTGATATCAAATTCATTTTTCATCAAGGCACTCAAACAGGTTTGCATAATGAGGATGATTATTACTAACCACATGTCTCCGAAAATAATGATTAAATGAAAAGATTATTAGATTAAAAGTATGACTTAGAAGAAAAACTGAAGTTATCCAATAACATAATATCAGAATTACAAAGGGCTAAACAACATCTAATGAGGGAACAAGAAATCAATTCTCATAAACTGTCCTCATAAGTAATCAATCATATTACATATAGGAAATATCTCTATCAGCTCTCTAAAAAGAAATAGAAAGACTTTAATCCGAACTATAATCATTATTACAAAGCAGACAATAAAAAAAGAGGATTATTGTCTCCCTTGAAGAAAATAATGGAGAGTAAATGTCATTAGGACCAGTCAGAGAATAATAAAGGACTCCTTAAAACACACTGGAAAAATTAGTAGATAAGAATAATCTGAATAATACTCAGAAATCAAAATAATAAAATTAACTATAATACTAGGATAACACTGTAAAAAATGGAAAAAATGATAAGGCTGAAAGAACCTAGGGATAAAACAGTAATTTTACAAGCAATAATGCAAGTTAAACAAATTCATAAAATTAGACACCTTTAAACAAAGAATTATCTAATAATACAGCTTCTAAATTATAGACATCCAACTCAAATAATTAATAATAATAAGGCAAAGCAACACTCCATTAGAAGAAACCTTCAGATAATTCAAAATCTACTTCTCATAATGTTAACTCAAATTAAAAATAAACAAAAGTTTAAAATAATAAAAAGCCAAACGGTGAATAAATTAACAATTAGTCCAGCGGTCAATAAAATAATTAAATTAATTAAGGAGTCTAAAAATTAAGTAATTAGTATGCATAATTATATTAGGATACGATACAAATTAAATAGGATAAGTAGAGTCATCGAATAAAGAATAGGATCAACTTAATTCATCTCAAATCAGAAATACATTATTAAATTTAAATGAAGTGAACAACGATGATGACTAATTTGGAGAAAATCAAATTGATTAAAATAACTAAAATGAATAAGTATTTAAGAGATCTAGCACAAAGAAATTATCATATAAATTTAATAGTTCACAACCAAATTCTTAAAATAATTCAATTTATGTTAATCAACGTAATTTTACAGAATATTTTAGTTTAAAGAAAAGGATCTTATCTGACACCTCCTGCTCCTGAGACAAAAACTATTAGAGATAAGGAATAACAGTTAAAAGAAACTGCTCTAGAATTTATTAAATAATTTGTTTAAACAATCAAGTATATCTATTTTCTATTTAGTTTATAACATCCAGAGAATATTGAATAAACAATGCAACTTTAAAATGTTTTTAAATTGATAACTCAATTTTACAAGGAACGACTAGAAAGAAAGCAACCCATCTATGTTATATGTTATGAATTCTATATGAATACTTTTGGATTGAAATAAATAGCTGAGAATAAGTTAACTATGCTGTGTTAGGCAGTGATCTTTTACAGAAGCATTCCAAGAGTTAGACTATTTTCTAGGTTTCTATAAATTTAGGATCCCATCAATGATGAAGATTTGGATTTCTATTTCTCAACTCTATAACATCTAGATGTGCAATAGAAATCAGAAAATCTCATCTCTTGCACTCAAAATTATGAAGGCGTTCTGATTTTATACGATAAAGCTTTGGATCAATTAGCATCCTTAGATGAACATCTAATGGAAATATAATAAAAATTTAAATCTTAGATCTAAATTCTTAATGGAAATAGGCATATAGATTTAGATTTATTTTTTATGGAATCATTACAACAATTTTAATTGATGAAAAAAATCCATTAGGATAACTTTAAGGAATTATTCTAAGCAGTTGATATTAATGATGATGATACAATAAGTGTGGAGGAATTTACTATTTTATTTAACCTAATAGAAGAAGGGTAAAAGGATTAGCAAATGTTTATATAAAAGTTTATTGAAACTTGTGGTAATTCAGATGGTCTATCTTTCTATTAATTTGGCATGTATTGTATGTCAAACTAATTATTTCAAAAAGATAAATAAGATGCATTTCTATAATACAACAATGAATAATTCAAAATATTATAAACTAAATGGAACGAGTAGAGAAAATAACTTACACAGAGATTAAAAGAAAATCTAGTTTTTACAGAATATTATTAGAATTTAGTAAGAAAACTAGATGATGTAAATATTCTTTATCTAATATATAGTCACTTAAAAATAACCATCCCTATTCTTGGTTGTTATGGAGAATATTAGAGGAACAATGCAAAAGACTTACTGCTTAAAGTAAATGATGGGATTTCTAAATTACTTGAACCCTTTATATGTTTCAATAATAATATATACTTTGTTTTATTAATGTTTATAAATACAAAACTTAAAGTTACTTGGACTTATTAAGATGCTTCGAAATGCTCAAGTGTAATTATTGGTTACTTTAGGACTCAAATTAAGAAGAAATGAGGATGTAATTGTATTTTTAGGTCTATTAATTAAGTACTACCTGAATTAATAATTACATAAATATAGTATAAGAACAGGTTTATAAATATAAGAATTTATTCATATATCTACGGTCCAGGGATCTAATGCGTCTTCATTTACAGAGTGTATTCGAAATCGGGGCTGTCTATCAATTTAATTAAGTTTTGGTCTGCAATATTTTTACAAATAAGTTCTTCTTAATTCGTTGAAATCAGAATTATCTGAAGAATCACAATAAATAGAATTATTTTAGGATTTTTTGTTAATGATCAATGGTTTTTATAATTTAGGTTCATCAGTTGATTATGTTCGAATGTTAATTGTTTTCATAATGAAAATAGGTGGTTACAAACGCATTGATGTATTAACAGATGAGCTTTCGTGAACAATTATATTTTTGGTTTTCTTTTGATACAACTTATTCAGGTTAAGGGGTATTTTTATTTATTTTTAAAGGCTTTAAGTAAAAGTTAAATCTGGAGTTTTCCTCCCAAAAGGATTGGTATTACAAGTCTGATAGTTTCTTCTTAAAGGCTCTCTTAAAGGGAATTTTTTGTATCTTAACAATGAGTCCAAAGGGCGATCGATAGAAAACATATGAATAATAATAATAATAAAATCAAAAATATAATTACTACTTATTTTTAGAGCAGAACTGAATTTTTTTATTTATGATTGCTACTTAAGGTGCATTTCAACGTTATTTTGTTGATAAAGATTTGTAAAACCTTAAATATATAATAAAGATTTTTCACTATTTTTTGTTATGGTAGTTTTTATATGTTTGATATTTACATTCCTTTTTTCCGATCATTAGAAATACAATTGACCAGATAAACATCAATTAGAATATAGCATTATATATCTAGTCTTTAAACTTATCGAAAGATAATAGATCATTTTGAATAATTTATTTGAATTTAATATCAGGTATTTAGGAGGGTTTGGCTTATTTATTTACAAATTCAATGATTATTATTATTAAATAACCATCTTTTTTGAGATATCATATAAATGTGATCCTATTTTTTAAAATAGTTTAAAATAATCTTTAATATAGCCTTTACCTCAAACATTTTATTATAGAACTCTAATGCTTTATTCATTTTAATTGATTGAGTGTTTAATTAAAGAATTTATATCATGTTTTCTAATGATTTTTATGAATTTTATTTTATCCATAAAACTTGATTTTAACTGACAAACATTAATTGATAAAATTCAAATCTTTCATGAGAAATACAAAATTTAAAATTATTTTCGATTGAATTAAAAATTATCAATTACAATCATTAGTAATTATTATCGAGTTGAATTTTATTAATTAAGTTATTCGTAAATTCTGAACGTTTCAAGTTTTAATAAAAAAATAAGCTAACTCATTTTTTATTTTCAAAAGTATAATATTCAGAATAGCAATGCAATAATTTTAATCCTTCTTGGGGATTTTTTAACTTCAACATAAGTTGTGTAACAATTATTTAAGAATAATTTTAGATTTTTGAATTAAAAAATGGATTAACTGGTATAATTAAATGGATCATTAACATTTTTATATATTTGAGATTAGGTTAAAGTATTTAAGATTTATAAAATAGTTTTCTTCTTTTTGTAGAGGTGCAATTATAAACCTTTTGGTGTATAGTTAGATAAAGGAAAAGATCTTCTATTGGCTCTTTTAGGATTTATGCATTAGAAACCTGCTGAGCAGAGATTTAATAAGTATTGAAATTGAATAATAGATAAAAAGGAATTAAGGAGAAATGACAAAATTATGTTATATAAAATATTAATGTAATTTAATTTTTTTTTTTTTCCAGCGCCTAAGCCTTAATACAATTAAGGGTCCTTTGGAACTAATTTGATATTCATCAAAAGCAAAGATAGAAAAGTTCCTTGCTACATGATGAAAGGCAGTTCTAAAATTTGGATAATATATTTTCACGGAAATTCTCAAGATTTGTATATAGATTGATTAAAAGAATAGATATGGAGCATCTTAATTTATGTAATAATTAAAAGATGCCTCTGAAAAAGAATTCAATATATTAGCAATAGAATATCCTGACTATGGCCTATATAAAGATGCAGAGCCTACTGAAGAAAATATTTAGTAAGATGCACTTGCTGCTTACGACTATATCGAGAACACATAAGAGAATGCAGAGATTTATTTAATGGGAAGGTAGAATTATTGGAAATAATTAGGTCAATGGGTACAGGTCCAGCTTGCTATTTGGCTAATCTCAATAAAGGAAAAGGTTTAATATTAATATCAGCATACGCTTCATTCAGCAAAATTGCACATGAATATGCGGGTATTTTTGGAGCACTAGTTAAAGATAGATTTTAGAATGTGAATTATGCAAAAAACATAACAATTCCTACTCTCTTAATTCATGGCCTAGCTGACGATATCATTAAGTATACTTAAACAATCGAAATATATGATAAGTATAATTTATGGTAGACTAGTTTGCGCTCGATTGTTAAGCCAATATATCTGAATCAGGACATGACTCATACTAAATACGATATGATCAAAGACATAAGTGAACCATTAGAAGATTTCTTTAATTTAGTAACAAATAAATGATCTAATATTATAATTTTATTTTATGAGTTTGAAAAGGTAGGATGGCAGGAATCTCTAATAAATGAGAAATATCGAGTTTAAACTTGCCATTGATCTCTCTGTTGACGGATCTTGCTTATATAAATAAGGACTCACTGAGGTCATTTGTTTAGTCTAGGGACCAAGAGCTGTAAATTATGATTTTATATCAGAAAACATAATCAGAATTGTTGCTAATTGAATATTCTGTTTCACCATTCAGCAACATAGAATCGAAGAGGAGTTCTAAATTTGATAAGGATTACTCAATGTTTGCTGAAAACCTTAAAGAATCCTTTGAAAATCTGATCATCTTGGATGAAAATGGGAAATCAGAAATCTCAATATCAGTTTGTGTCATCTAAAATGATGGAAGTTCTAAAAGTGCTGTTTTCAATGCAATCACTTTGGCATTATTGGATGCTGGTGTTTCCATGAAGGACTTTCTAGTCTCAGTCACAGTAGGTCTAGACCAGGGCAATTTAATCGTAGATCTGACGTAAGAAGAAAGTAAAACAGCTCAAGGGGAACTTACTATATCATATTAATCGAGAAAATAGAAAATTGACTTCTATGAATTAAAAACATTAAAATTATAATAGTAGGAGATGGATTAATTAAGTAAACTAGCTGTATCCAAAGCAGATGAAATCTATCAGTGGATGAAGGAAGAAATTTATTAAATCAAACAAAAATAGATAGATTAATGAATAATTGTGTATTTGATATAATTAAATATAATTATTATGCAATAAGCAATCCCCAGTTTAACTCCTGAAATCAAGCAAAGACTTGAAGAATAGGGATTTTAACCATTCCAATATAGACCATTACCTGGTTATGCAAATCCCCATACTCTCTCATGTACAAACCTCATTTTTAATAAGATTGGCTGACAAATGCTGGCCTTGGTGTTCTTTGTCTAATTGGAAGACATTATGCTTCCTAATAATAATCAATCAGAATTTTATGGTCTACAGCTGCTGTAGCAATTCCTCTTTATGCCATAGGCACCAATGCAAAATTAGACGGCTTAAGATAAAATAATTTTTACAGGTTTTATAAATCATACATTTCTTAGAAAAACTTTAGAAGATAGACTTGAATTACATCCATTGACTAGAAGAGCTTGGGAGAGAGCTATAGAAACTAATAAAGGATATTAAGATTAATTAAGGGAATAAATAGCTACTTTAGAGGCTGAATTGAGAAAATGATAAATCAAAGCAAATAAAATATTATTATTAATAATAATATCTATAAAATTTAAATTCACATCAACAAATATTGAAATTCCTTCATTAAATTTAAGCATCTCCTTTATATTAAATAATTTACTACCCTTAATTATATAATATCAATTATCCAACTTGTAAATTTAATTTAATTATAAACACACTAATGGACCATTAAACTAAATAAAGTTCATATTAGTCCTTATATATAGTTCTATTTAAATTATTATTACTTATTCATATTCAATTTTCATTGATTTAATTAATTGATTCAATTTCACTTTAAGTATGTCAAGATAGCAATAGAATCCAAGCTTTCTACAAGGTTATGTAACTTCAAAATTGAATTCTCATTTTATCTGATTAAATTCAATATAGAGCTTTAATTTGATATAAAATAATATTAACCATAAAAACTGAGAAAAATCCTTAAATGTTCTAAACAATACACAAGCTGCTGCCAAATTTATACCACAATCATGAGTACATTCCCGCAAAAATAGAAATTGATAAATTGACATAGTTGGAAACAGTATTTGACAATCTAATGACTAGTGTATGAAGGAATTAAAAATTATTCAAACAAATTAAGAAATATATGCCAAATAAATTATACGCCGATAATCAATAGAAAGATATAAGTAAAAAAAACGATTTGGAAATGCGTTTAAGATATATTAGATACGTAAAGTTATTGCGGAGAGGAGATTAAGAATAAATGGGTAATTTTTAACTTAAAGTGAATCTGAGAAGGTTTTGTTAGCTAGGAATATTCTGGGAAAAAACAATGTTCAAATAAAAAACAATAATGTGAAAATCAAAATTTCGAATGAAAGGCGGAAGGAAAACCTTATAAAATTTATTGATAAATTAATGCCTAATTAAATTTTATAGAAAATATAGAATAAATAAAGAATATTCAAAATTAAATGAGTTTCTATTTTTTCATAACTAAAATTAACAAACTATAATCCTTAACTATATAAAATTTATACATATTAATTCCTTTTATCCATAAATTAAATTTAAAATAAGGCTAGTTAAATATTTCGTATTTTAAAGCCTTTAATGCAATAACAAATTGAAATTAAATATCTCAAAATTAAAATTCAATTGCACTTAATTATCGTCATTAAAAGATGATCTTATTTAATGCTATAAATAACAGACCTTGTATTATTTAGACAAATCACTCTATGATTTCGGGAGTAAATGTTAATCAATTAAGCACTTTGAATAAATTACTAAATATTATGAAAATATTCTCAAAGTTACAGATATTATTAAAGTTATAGAAATTGATTAATATTAAAGTGAATAATGTGGATATTACAATTACTTAAACAAGCTCTATTGTATTAATAATAATAAGTTATAGGTAAGGTTATATATTTTTATAATTAGGGATTTTTATTATGAATATATTAGAAAAGTACTTTTTTTAAAGCTATTAAATAATTAATTAAAAAACTTAATTTTTATATTAAGATTAATTGTTGCAATCATAAGACTCATTTAATCCAATAATATGGCACAATTAATTGTTTCTTAAATCTTATACACATCAAATATTCAGATTAAATGATGTGAAAAATGTTTATCTAAAAATACGAAAATGCAGTGTTGAGTGTTTCAAAAAATTAAATTGCTAATATTAAAATCTTATACAATTATGATGAATTTTAATATTATTATATTTAATTTCCAAACTATTTATTTTTGTGTGTTGTATGTTTGATACATTTTTATTTTAAGACCTGGATTCAAAACATTATAAAGCTAAACCTCATTAATAATTTCAAACATCTTAGAAAACAAAAAAAAATCACGAGATTAGCATTCCAAAAATAATAGAAATCCTTGTATTCTAAATGATTGATTTGCATTAGGAAAGGACCATTACTTAAAGTATCGACATTATTAAGTTTTATTATAAAGACTTGAAGAGTATTCTAATCAACTTGAATTATTATTACATTTTATTAGAAGTTAACTGATAATTATTAATTATATTTATCCTATCTAGATAATATTTTCATCTATATATTAAAGGATTATTCCTTGAATTTAATCCAAAACTTCCTCAAAGCACATAATAGTTGATTATTTTAATTTTTAAAGAAGTTTAGATTGAAGTATAATTCTGTAGTTTTAATAGGGCTAATTTAAAAATAGTATAATAGAGTTTTACAAAAATAGAATCAAAAGAAATAATAATTGTTTGTTTGCAATTTAGAAAATTTCAAAGAGATGAATAAACTTTGAATACATCAGTCTTAAGATAAAATCGTGGAGTTTATGTTAATTCTAAAATAGGAAATGATATTAAAGGAAAGAATGAAAAGTTAAGTTCATTAAAAACAGGTTGCTGTAATGAATAAAATTAACATATATTTCCAAATCTTATTTTTTCTTCTTTAACTTAATTATGTAGTATCCTTCTTTTCTAATTTCTAGTTTTTAATATGCATCATTCATATTTTATATTATGCTTCAATATGAATAAAAATATTTTTTTTCAATAGTAATCATTTTAGCCTTTGAGTTATTATAAGATTATTAATGTTGTAAATTGATATTCTATTATTGATTAGAAAGTTCCAGTAAATAAAAATTTTAAGTTTTTTTAAAAAATAAAGAGTGTAATTGAAGTTGAAAATGTTTCATAAAGACTTTTGATATTTAATTATCATTTTTAAATTCTTAATGACCAGAAAATTGAAGTCATATTTTATAATCCAATCAATAAATATTATTGTAAATTCTACCTACAGCTAATTAATATTTTATATAAAATACTTGGAAAAGCATAGGATTTAAAAATCTATTATTCCAATTTCCTTCATTTGTTCTTTAAAAATCAAAAATTTGAGATATTTTAATAATTAAAATTAATTTGTTCTGAGCTAAATATTTCGTATTCCAAAATGCCCATTTAAAGACTTATTTTGCAAATTTAGAATAAAAGGAGATATCATTTATA